CTGTTCCATTGTCATCTGTAAGTTCCTCTACCTCACCATTAAGCGAACATAATCCAAGGTTTATGGTATAGCTGATAGTTTCTTTGGAGGTGTCCAGCTGGAATGTTCCTCAGTCTAGCATTATACTTACTTATATGTCGTTTTTTTATTGCTCAAATGTTTAAATCCCCTCCACCAGAACACTTCCACAATGCACCTTTCAATTGCAAATAACTTAGTGTAGTGTATATATACGGATGGGACAACATCTCGCTAGACGAAATTGCCACAAGATTCTTCTTTTCTATCTGTTTACCTTTGGATTGGACAAAAAGGTTGAAGCACTAGTGAGTGACACGGTTATGAGAAGCTGCAGCAAAGGAGAAATTCAATACTACAGAGGATTTTCAGACAATATTAAATCCAGTCTATTTCAAACCTACAAACACATTAAGGGGCCCATCTCTTGCAAAATCAACTTTTCAGAGCTTTCTACCTTCTAAGAGTGATGTGTGGGCCTTGTATATGTCGCCCAAGTGGTTTTTTAGATTGATTCAGGTTTTTTTTTTTTACAAATTGCAGCGTATTTCTGCCACCCTCCCACGTGACAACGAACTAAATCTGCAACAACGATGACGCGGCAGCTACACCTATGATGCGTAGCAGACAGCGCTTTGCACCTGCCTCCCTCCCCCGCTCCACTGCCTCCGCCCCGCCTCCACCCCGCATCGGTTGACAATTCCCACATGAACACCTAAACAAAAGCGACAGCATAAACTCATTGTTGTACACTACAGCGTTTATGAATACTTTACCAATCAGTAATGTTCAGCTGATGTGGACGCGGTGCTTGAGCTTCGTGCACCTCAAAGTCCTCGTCCGATTCCAGGTCCAACACATGCGGCTGAACGCGCTGTATCACCATGATGAATAAAAGTTTATTCCTACCACTATCAGGGTGCACGTCTGTCTGACCCTCCCTCCCTGAGATGGGCGGAGGAAGGGCGGCTCACTCAGAGTCTACGTCACGTTTGGAGGGCGGAGCCTGTGCTTTCTCAGGACGGGCGGGGCGATGAGCAATAGTCGGCCTTTCATAGTCCCTGGTCTGTGACTGTCTCCAAGAAATCAGAAAGATTTCGTAACTATTGTGTAATGGATGTTCTAAAACCCAAATTGTGCTTGTTTATGTGCAGAAGATACAATGTGAAAAGAGTTATTTTGCATGAGATGAGCCCTTTAATTAACTATTTACTATTGGTTTGCCTTGTTAATTATTTGTGCAGAACCTGGAATAGTTGGTACAATATATTTTAGTGTTTTTATATTGTTTTCATGAGCTGTAGCTTCCTGTTACTTGCAACATTTTGAGGACTTGCATTTAAAAACTATAATATTTCGTTTGAAAATATGCATAGACAAAAAAAAAAAAAAAAGTCAAATAATCAAAATAAAAGTCATAGAAAATAAAAGTCATAGCCCAAATAGTGCTTGTATATGTGCAGAAGATACAATGTGAAAAGAGTTATTTTGCGTGAGATGGGCCCTTTAATAGTTCATGATAAATTTTCCCATAAAAATCAGAACTACCATGATTTCATACACCGCATTTCACTCCACACACTTTAAAAGTCCACATGTACTAGGTTATCATCGTGTTACCTGTACACTTACCCCCTGCTCCCTTTTTCTGGCTGCATGTCTGCTTTGCCTCTTTGATATCTGCCTCTGTCCTTGGATGTTATCTCTCTTACCTCTTCTTGTTTCCTCTCAGTACTCTCTGGTCTACAAAGGTTTCAGTTCAAACCAGGATGAGCCTCTGTTCTGGCAGCTCCCAGCGCAGTTCACTGGGGACAAGGTAACTCAAAACACTTGGCTGGTCTCCATGGCGACCTTTGGCTGACCTGAAGAGGGCAACTCAAATATGCAAACTTTATTATACCCGACAGCCCTTTTCCCTGCCTCATCTGCTTCAATGTGTGCCCTGTGTACATGATTCATTTTGACTTGAAACAGCAATTATGGGAGTTTACTTTGTACTTTAAAGTGATAGTGTGTAAGTTTTTGGGAGTGGAAAGTCATCTGCATGATTCTATGGAAACAGAAAGTTAAAACCAAACACTGGAACAATCTACATGGAGTTAGATAAGTTTTAAGCAATACTGTGGAATATTATAGCCTATTATAGTTTCCCTGCCAGATAAGAGTCAGGGTTGTGGAGATGCAAGCCAATAAGGATGCATGTTTTTATGTTTTTTCAAGGCAATAAATCTATATCCAAAGGTACAACTATGACTACATTCAGACTGCAGCCTGAAGTGACCCAAATCTGATTTTTTGGCCCCTATGTGACCTGTATCTGATCAGTCTGAATGACACAGATCCAATTTTTTCAAAAGCGACTTTAGTCTGAATCGATACACTTATCATATGGTTTTCATCAAAGGTTGGCTATTGTGTGGTAACAAGCACCTGTTGCAAGCCAATACGGCCCAATGCTCATGCGCTGCTCACGGAAATAAGCCGCCGAAGATGTGTTTCCTCCCGCGAGAGTGGCACAAGTAGTTGCTCACAAATGTAATCGTCAGGTGCTCAGTGCTCGCATCCATGTTTGGACATCTTTTGTAAACACAGAGCACACTCGCTGCGGTTGACTTCGTCGTGTCTCCAGTGCACACGAGGGACACTTTGGGCCGTTTAACGTTCACACTGGAGTCACATACAAGTAACATTTAATTGGAAATGTGAACGACCTCGCAAAAACATCAGATTTCCACAAAAAAATCCAGATTGAGCATTAAAGCCCTGCAGTCTGAACGTAGCCTATGTAACTTTTTTCTATGGATATGTCGCTGCTGCTCTGCCTGAAATGTTCCGCAGTATGACATTAAACAGCTTTGCCTTACATTTATTCGATTTCAGGTGATTTTATAGCTCAAAAATACCTAGAAAACAGGCATTCTGACTGTGAGTGGGGCTGCCTCTCCACAGATCTGACCTGTAACTTGACCTGGTTTGGTCTCCATGAAGATAGAAAAGTTTAATGTCAAATTGTGAAACATTTGCAGATGGAGCAATAACATCTCTATGGAGTCAGTCAAATGTTTTTCTCCATTTGACTGACCCATCGCCAAAAAAGTTACTCAATGCGCTTCTTTAAATGATACTAAATGCAAGTTTAGTTTGTTTGTTAATGAAGTAAACATTGTCAAATCATCCATCCACCTTTCTGGGTCTGTTTCAGTGATAATAATTGGTTGTATATATTTTTTATAATCAGAAAACAGTTACATCTTTAGAATAAGGCTGTAGATCAGTTTGAAGAAGTACTTAAAGTTGGTAGAAATTATAACAGGTTATGTAACGTAGTCTAAAAATAAACTTTGACTGAATATAAACACACATGAACAGAACAACAGTGGTTAGATAAACAGTCTGAATATCTGTAGTATTGTGACTGGCTAGGTCTGTCACACGGGCAAAAGCGTACCAAAATATGCATCCTCACACAGCTTTTGTTCGCGCTCCACTCTGTATACAAACCCTGTGTACATGATTCCTGTGACCTAAAGCATTCATTCTGAAAGAGCAGAAAATACTTGTGTACTTTTGTTTGTGGTTGGCGTTCCCTCAGGAGCTTCTATTTCAGTTCAGAACATTCAAAGTGTCAAAGTCGCTTAAGGTTGTACCCAGGGCACAAGGTAACTCCATGAAAGTACTTTTTTGGAGTGAAATATTTTCATAGTCAATAAATAGTTCTTGCACCTTTAGATTAATAGCTATATAACTTTTCTGTTGGTAATAATATTCCTGAAATGTTCCACAGTATGGCATTTAAGGTGTCTATATAAGATTTATTTCATCCGTCCATTTTCTTCCTCTTATTCGGGACCGGGTCACGGGGGCAATAGTCTAAGCAGGGACTCCTAGACTTCCTTCACCGCAGACACTTCCTCCAGCTCCTCCAAGGCGGCGGCGGGACACCAAGGCGCTCCCAGGCCAACCGAGAGACATGGGTCTTCCCTGGGGCCACATTCCGGTGGCATATGCCCGGAACACCTCCCGAGGGAAGGTCATCTCAACTAGCTCCTCTCGATGTGGAGGAGCAGCGACTCTACCCCGAGCCCCTCCCATGTGACTGAGCTCCTCACCCAGTCCCCCCATATAGGATTTATTGAAATATTTCTAGAAAAACATGCATTCTTACTTTTAGCGGGGGCGCCTGTCTACAGATCTGACCAGTAAATTGTCTGCTTGCCTGTGTCCCTGGAGCTAGTTTAATGCCATACTGCGGTACATTCCTGACAAAGCAATATCATTTGCACAAAGATAAACAGGTGGTAGATTCTCCAGCAGAAAAGTTACACAGTGCACCTTTAACAATAAGCAAATAATAAGATAGTAGTAGTAATAGCAGTAATAGTTGTATAGTAGTAGTAGTGGTATTCTTAAATTTGTAGACAGGCAAATTCCACTGTTTTGATCATAGTTAGATGATCCCAATTTCATTCAGGTCCCTTCTGTGACAGCTGTGTAAGTATTAGTACTACTTGTAGTATTAGCAGCAGTCATAGTATGCAGTTGTAAGTGATATTCGTAGTAGTAGTGGCAGTAGAAGCTTTTGTTCAGGTTTATTTGAATAATAGTATGAAACAGCTATTTAAATGTGATGTTTTCCATAAAAGTAATGTCGTTTTGGATTAATAATGAAGAGATTCAGTGATTATTCAGTGATTGAAGTTCCTGAAAGAGGATTTTCTATGGCTCTACTTTGATATCCTTTATCCGATTCAAATATATTTTCATTTATTAGAACTCCCATCTGTTCTACCTGTCAAATGGCATTAGTCTGTAGTCGTTTCAGTTGCAGTCTAAGAGCTTCTGTAACTACACACACTTGCTTCATGTCGACATATGGCATTGATTTTTTCCCCTCTCCATCTGATGCGTTTGCCTCTTGAGGGAATAGCTGTGTTTTCATGTATTTGGCAGCAGATCTGAGCCTGTCTGTGCCTCTGTTACAGGTGGGTTCATACGGCGGTAAACTCAAATACACCATCTCCTACGTGGCCGGGCCCAGAGGAACGCTATTGGACGACGCCGACGTGCAGATCATTGTAAGTATCCATATGTGCACCTGCTTACCTTCACTTTACTTGTACTCGAGAGAGAGAGAGAGAGAGAGGAGTCAAGAGAGGTTCATAACGTCAGGGTTATTGAATTTTAAAGGTCCTATATAATCCAAACATTGACTCTGGTGATTTTTAAGCCATATTAAATGTTGTTACCTCCTCAAAAACATACCTGCAGTTGTGTTTTGTTTCATTCACATATATTTGAGTAAATCTTTAGTTTCTCTACATCTCCAAAGCTCAAAATCAGCGATCTTTTACCTTTAGTTCAGGAGAGATTTGCAGAAGTCAAATGAGCCAAATGATTCTGTTAAAGGTGTATGGATTTTAAAAATACAGTGGAGCACATCCTGTGTTACCCTGACATCACAAGGTAGAAAAGGGTGTTTCAGTTTGAGAGTAGAGCTCAGCCTAAACATGTGTGAATAAAATTAAACACAGCTCCAGGTCTGTTTGTGATGAGAAAACAACATTACAGTATAAATCAGAAAATAGTATAATATAGGTTCTTTAAAAACATTATAGAATTACAGACACTATTTGTTATGTTTTAAAGCGAGATCTTTGCCAGAAGTCATACCTGCTTAATTTCTAGACCTGAAATTGATAATTATTTTAATGATTGAGTTAAATTAAATACATTATCAACCAAATAAAGGTTGAAATATGGTGAGTGAAGGCTTCTACAATATTTACAAATAAATTGATTTGAAATTGAAAGTCAGAAATGGTTTAAGCCAACTTAAAGGTCCAGAAATCAGATTGATTAAATTTATTTTATTTATTCAATATTTTACCAGGTAAGTCAATTGAAAACACCTTCTCATTTGCAATAACGACCTGGCCAAGATAATGATCAGATTTTGATGTGCATGTGAACAGACTAGTAATATAAAAATTGAACTAGTTAGTTAAATAATTAGACGGTTGTGGATAGTATTCAGTTACATTTTCTCTTTTGAAAGAATAATTCTCAAAGTACTTTTCTAGCAGCATACTTTTACTTGAGTCAAAGTTTTGGCTACTCTTCCCACTAGGGCAGGGTATCATTAAGAAGTTGCTGATACGATACATCTCTCGATACAGTGAGCTTTCGAATCAATACAATATATTTCAAATCAATTTGACACAGTTCAATAAAAACTAACAGCTAAACTGTGGCTGTGATACTAAAAGTCTTTGTTAAACCACTTCTTGCGCAAAGTTCACATGGAACACCCATTTTAATCATCAAAACAGTGAAAATGTCAAATGTGTTGCATAAACAAGTTTCCTTTCTTTAAACAAGCAACAAAACTGTAGCAAGCAACAAAAATAATTTCGTATAATATACCAAACAATACTCTTGGTGATATATTGATACAGCAGCCCATAATATCAGTACTGTATCACCACATTAAACAATACGATATATTGAGAGTTAGATATTTTTGCACTCCTACTTCCCACTGTGTATGACAAAAACTTCATGTTGATAATATGAAATAATTTGAACATTTGTCTCAAATTTGACTCCCAAATCAGATGACTGTTCCAAATTCAAGTTTTTTAACTCTTTTATTAATCATTTGTTTTTGAGCCATGTTTAAGCGGTGTTGGTTGTTCCCTCAGGGTAATGACATCACGTTGGTTGCGCGGAGGCCCTGGAACAGGAGGCAGCCTGGGAGCAGAGAGACTCAACAGTTCGAGATCGTCTTCAGGGAGGTGAGTAAACAAGCAGAGCTCACTGCACAGACCTGAGCATCTGCTCCGCTTATACAACGAAATGTGTTCATCCAAAGAGGAATCGACAATATTAGGCTTTTTTTATTGCCTGGGATCCAGAATACACTCTTCTCTAATACTTTATACAAAGATGTGAGTCTAGTCACAAGTGCACCTCAGAGTTATGAAAGCTGTGATTGACAGGTGGATTAGACAATTAGGAAAACACATAGTCCAGAATCATAACAAATATGGGTGCTTATGAGGAAAAATTTAAGTAAAGTAAAAACATAATAATAACAACAATAAAATACAGGGGACTGAAAAACACAGCCGTTTTCTGTTGAATCAATGAGCAAAGTACTATCTAAGCATGAAACAGCAAGGCATTGTGCAGTTTTAGGACACTACGACGCATTGGAATTCTGTGGTGTAAAATCTGTTCATGTGAGGTGAGATCAGTGTATAATCAGAGACCAGTGAGCTCCTTTGTTCTACAGTTATCACCTATAACCCCTATTAACCCCTCAGCACACACTTTATACACTTTTCTCACACAGGACACTTACAATCCTTTTTGCATCCTTCTTAAAACTTATTGCTGCTGTCGTCCTTTTGTTATTTTCCTCCTTCTTTATGTAACGAACTAAAGATTTTTTATTCCGTAATAGAGTCCTAGAGCTCAGAGTCCTGCACGGGTCCACTTCTGGAGACTCGCAGTACAGCACCGCACCTGCCCGTTAACCCGAGATTATATCAAACTTTTGCGCTGCCTACGCCATGGACTGAACTAAACCAGGACTAACCCAGGACTAACCTAGGACTGATTTCAGGACCGAACAAGGAGGGCTAAACCAGGACTGAACTAGGACTAAAACAGGAGTAAAAGGACTAAACCAGGACTAAACCAGAACTGAACAGGACTCACTGGTGGGACGGGCTCAGAGGTGACCGCAGGATAAAGGACCGACGGAGAGATCCGCACCTTGCGAAGGTAAACGCGGCAATTGCCCGATCGCGCTTTGCGGGCAAACTGCTCGGTGTTCTCTCTCTTAAGTCCAAGATTAGTCCTGGTTTAGACCTGGTTTAGTCCTGACTCACCCGTGTGTAATTACTATCCATCCGTGATATGCAATGCACGTTCATACACTGCAAAAAATCAGCAAAATGGCAAAACCCTGAAAGGTGAACCGCGATATATCGGGGAACGACTATAGCTCAATGTCTAGGCCCCACCTCCCTCCCCGGTAAGGTGTCTGGGTTTTCACAAACGGAAATATGGTCACTCTACTGTAAAGAATATTTTCATGTTATAAAGGAACCTTTGTCATGCTCCAGAACAGACGTATTGTAAAAGCAGCTCTCGAGAGCGCTGTGTGCTGTCTGCAGGCACAGGCAGCACGCAGCATTTAGACATATTTTGTGATCCGCAAACCCCAGAGTAAGCCTGTTAGTGTGATAGTTGTTGTTAGCATTACCGTGACAAGGAATCTGCGCCGTGGTCTCTGAAAGTTGTGAAATGCAATGGCTATGACTAAAAAGTTAAACTGAGAAAACACAATTATGTAAGGGGAAGTACTACAAATCCTGCATTGAAATAAAAAAAGTGATCTATGTGGTGTTAAAGTTAAACATTTGCCCTCTAACCACAAAGTCACAGGATCAAATAGCCCTCTCCAGTCGCAAATAGCAATAAGGTTCTCAACTGCAGCATCGTAACTGCCAGTACGTTGGGTGAGTGTAAGTGAATAGTAATGTAAAAACAGGGTGTAGCTAATGCGTTGTTGTGGGTGGAGGGTGAGTTTGTTAAAAATGGGGGTCGTGGACTTTTTAATAGGCAATACAAAGCACAATGATCTGTATCACTATAATTAAAACGCACTGGCCATAGACAATTACCCAACTCGGCCTTTTTACTAGAAATAACAGGACCACAAGCAGTTTTATATCTGCTGGGAGCAATAATCTCGCTCCATGCAACCGTGTCCAGAAACGTGACCTTGTTATTTGATGTATGTGAGCTGCATGTTTGCTTTATATCACGCTATTTTATATTAACTATTTCATTATAAAGACTGCGTGAGGATAAAGAGCTGTTGTTAAGTGGCTCAGTGGTTACACAGGCTGCTCATAAACCTGAAGGCCAGTGTTTCAGTCCAAGCTTAGACCAGTGAATACAGATGTCCTTGAGCAAGACACTTCACCACACTGTCTGCATAAACTGGATGTGTAAATGATCGATTTGTTGTGGGCTGTTTTCCTTCAGTCTGCCCCAAGGCTGCTGTGGTCACCATAACCAAGTATAGGGAATGAGAGAGTAATAGCTAGGCTTTCCAGCCACTAGGGGAAAGAGGTTATTGTCCTTAATATAAGCTTAATATACCAGTTATCCTCGCTAGCGGTGCATTACATACGTCCCGACCAAATAGCAGCGATTGGTTAAATTAAAAAAAGTACCCATCTACCGTCGTGCGAACGAAATCTACGGCTGCGACGTCAGACGTTTGTACGAAGTGAAACGAAATAAAACCAGCTGATGAATCAGGTTAGGGTTCTACCTGGACGACTGAGGGATTTTACACATTATGAGAAGCTGTAGTTCCAAAACACAGTGGTATAATGACCACAAAAATATTAAATAAAACTAATGATTATTATTTGTCTCAAATTATGCCAAAATCCTTTCTTGTTTCTTTGTCGTCGAACACCATCTCAGGTCTCATTTCATCTTGTTGAAATTGTCTCATCCCACCCTTAATAGTTCATGATAAATATTTCCACAAGAATCAGAACTACCATGATTTCATGCAGCACATTTTAAAAGTCCACACGTACTAGGTTATCATCATGTTACCTGTACACTAACCCCCTGCTCCCTTTTCTGGCTGCATGTCTGCTTTGCCTCTTTGATATCTGCCTCTGTCCTTGGATGTTATCTCTCTTACCTCTTCTTGTTTCCTCTCGGTACTCTCTGGTCTACAAAGGTTTCAGTTCAAACCAGGATGAGCCTCTGTTCTTCCCACGGGATTTGGGAAAACCTGAATATACCAGTTAGCCCCGTTAGCAGCGCATTACATACATCCTGACCAAATCGGAGTGATTGTTTAAATGAAAAAAAGTACCTGCCTACTGTCAAGCGAACAAATCCTAATGCTGCGAGGTCAAACGGTTTCTACAAAGTGAAACCATTTGATGAATCAGGCTAGGAGAATAATGCATAGAACTGTAAAGTAACAGTGAGCAGGAAAAACAAAACAAAAAGCAATACATAAAACTAAATCGCACTATTACTTTATGCAGTCATTCGTATAAATTAGTAGTAAGATGGGACAATAAACACAAACATCACTAAGTGTGATAAGATCATCACATTATACCACTTATCTGCTCAGAGTAAAGCTACTTATTCAGGGCAGGGCAAGTTTATTTGTACAGCACAATTCGTACACGAAGTAATTCAAAGTGCTTTACAGAATAAGAAATACATGAAAATCACAATAAAAACAAATCAAAACATAAATAATCATAAAGATTAAAATTAAAAAAGAGAGACATAAATTAGAGAGAAGAGTGCGGAATGAAAACCTTTCAGCCATATGCAAAGTGAAACAGAACCGTTTTGAGCCTGGATTTAAACATAATGTTCTCTTCTAGATCCTTGTTGTTTTCTACAATTTGTATTCTTATTTATTTATTTGTAAAGGGACAGCACATATTAATGAACGTTAAAAATGTAAATATGTAAAGATTATAACCAGCATGGCTAATTTGCATCTTCAGTCCCTCGGCAGGCTGATGTAAAATCATCTACAGGACAAGGAAAAGTACAACAACAGTCACACTCACTGTACATACAAATGAAATGAAATGAAAACAGTCAAGAGTTTAAGAGTTAAACCAACAACCCCTCAATATAAAAAAATGTTATTTGTTTAAACATGGTGACATATTTTGACCATTTGAAAATGCTGCCAGTGTTGAAAGTTCTCGTACATTAGCAGGGACAATAGATAAACTGTCAACAATTTGAATAATTATCGGGATATTAGTGTGAACAGCAATTATCTGGGCCATGATAGTAGTACATAGAGCTTGTACAAATGATCACTGTTGTCGTCACAGCTGCCCTGGGGTAGACTGATATAAGCAGTGCTGTCAGTCTGTGCCATCAGCCTCTCCAACCACCACCAACACTCACTCACCACATTCATTCTAGGCAATTTCAGTGAAATGTCTTGCCTAAGGACACAATAACACCCCACTGTGACACCTGGTATTCCCTGTGGATTACCCGGCTTAGCTTCAAAGATCGGATGAGACATTGACAGAGACGGTTTGGTAGTAGCAGAAGCAGTACAAGTTATTATACACAGTAGTAGTTATAGATCGGGGTGGGCGATTCATTTTTCCAAGGGGCCACATGAGAAACAGAAAATACTGTGTAGGGCTGAGCCAAAATATTTAACTGAATTCTGCATAATATTAATTAGAAATAGAACAGAAAGCCTTTATTGTCATTATACAATAGTATAATGAAATTCAGAGCTGCTCCGTCAGAGTGCAATCAATTGTATTTCTTTATTTAAAAAAACAAAATAAACAAAAACAAACAAACAAACAAACAAACAAAAAAACTGTGAATAGCATTATTTTGACAAGCTGATAAGACTGGTAAGAGTTTATGTTATGATTAAACAAGTGAGGTTGCCGAATAAAAAAAATATCATTTAAAAAATACACCTCTAAAATAAAAGCAATGCAGCTTTAGTCCATGCATGAGGTAAAATGATAAAATACATTTATTTTGTAATTCCGGGCCGGTCAGAGTCAACCAAAGAGCCATTTCTGACCCTGGAGCTGTACAATGCCCAGGTCTGTTATAGATTGCACTTGTAGTAATCTATCTATAGTAGTAGTATATTATATATACTCTATATAATATATAGTATATAATATTGAATTAATTTTTCCACTCTAGGAAAACTGGAGTCGTCCTGATGGGATGCCTGCCACCAGAGAGCACCTCATGATGGTCCTGGCCGATCTGGACGATGTTTTGATCCGCGCCTCATACTCCACAGAGATGCGCTCCTCCAGTATCTCCGACGTCAGCATGGAGGTGGCTGTGCCCAACTACAGCGGACTGGCACAGGCTCTGGAGGTGGAGCAGTGCCGCTGTCCCCCCGGATACCAGGGCCTGTCCTGTCAGGTGAGTGTGCCATCCGCTGGATAATGCTGACATTGAATTGAACATGAAATTCCCCTCCCCCTGAGACATCTGCATCTCTTTTTGAGGTAATTTGTAATAGTTTCTTGTTTTGTTTTTTTAAATTAAATTGTCATCTATCTATTAAAATTGTTCATCTATTTATCAACTTCTATATCTTCCAAAACAGCTATTGCGATATTATAAATTTTTCGATACATCTCCAACCTCTAATGACATAGTAGGAGTTTTAAGTGATGCATGTTGATCATTTTTCAAAGTTTTCAGTCAAATAGTTCAATCAGGAACGATTTTGAAGGTTCAGGTATGGCTCAAAAAGTGAAGAAACTGTAAAATGAAATGCAAAAATGCAAAACTATGACATAATACCCTTGTTTAGAAGATTACTCTACCAATTTCAAGTAGTTTGTTTTCAATTCTTTGCATCTTATTGAATTATGTACTTGTGGGTAATTTTACACTCCTTTCACATTAAATTTGTCTGATAATTAAACCTCTTCTGAGAAAACATGTTTTAGCACACTTCTGATGGGTTGCACAAGTATTATTGTTGCCAGGATACAGCGATCACTATCTGGGATATTTAGTATAGTAGTTATAGTCTCAGTCATCCTCAGATTGAATGTTTTGAAGTAAATGCCATTGGTAGTTTTCTAAATGACTGTTCCCTGCTTTAGGACTGTGCTCCTGGATACACCCGCACTGGAGGAGGCCTGTACCTGGGACACTGTGAACTGTGCGAATGCAACGGACACTCGGACTCCTGCCACCCCGAGACCGGCATCTGTTCCGTATGTACAGTATTAGTACACAGCAGGGAAATCCCTGCACCACAGATGTACAAAGTATCTTACAGGTTGTATAAAGGATTAGAAATACAGGGACTCCTTACGCTAGAAATCATACTTGTTTACAGCCAGTGTGTGTTCGGAATCGCGTATTGAATTACTGTTGAAGTTACCTGTCCAGAAGTAAAACGGATTTTCTTCTGCGGCTAACTGGTCGTGGATTCTTGTCGGCCATTGCAACAAACTTAGTGTTAACTTCAAGGAAGCTACATTTGGAAAAAGCCACTGCGTATGTGGAAGGCGTGAGAGGTGATCGTAAACCACTTAATCCCAGAGCGCCGGCAAGTCAGTTACACTACAAACATAGGCAGTTTGATTGACAGGCAGTCTCATTATCTATTGGCTAATGTCTATCTGGCCCCATCATGTCCACAGTTGATGGATTTTCATTTTTTTTTTTTTTTTACTTTGGTCATCATGATTAAAAGGCTGCTTTCACTGAAAAAAAATAAAATAAAATAAATTAAAAATAAATTAAAAAATTCTCCATACAACCTTAACTGCTGGAGCCAGGATCCAAACTCATGGAATACTTTTTGATTTATAGTTGGTAGTAATTCTTGGCAGTACTCAATAGTTACAGTAATATAATAGTGGTAGTTCTTGATGGGTATTGGAAAAATGAATGAGAACTTTGCACATCAGAGTCTTGAAAAGGGTGCGTTCGAGGAGAGGAAGCAGCCCAAGAACATAGAGAAAAATCCTGCACTTGTCTTACTGGCAAATTGTGAAATTTATTAGGACATAAACACCTTTTCAGCACTTGGCCTTCATCAGACAAATAGAGAAAGAGCTGAAGTGGCCATCTTAAATACAGTGTGGCAAGCAGGGATGACAGCTCGTTAAAAGAACAGTGTATCCAAACAAACATCATCCAAAATACAAAAGCAATCAACACATATACAGTGTAATAGAAATCATTATAATAATACTAGTAATAATAGTTGAAAAGTTGAGAAGAGTATCTGAATACATATTGACATTGCACATATATAACCCAACAGAGGCGAATAACATAATAATCACATGATACTTACAAGAAAATGCTTAAATTAAAGTCATCATTCAGTCCTTTGGGAGCTAAAGTCTGGAGGGTATGAATCCAATATGCCTCCCTTTGTCTGAGTAGACAGCCACGGTCCCCTTCTAATATTGATGAATTTTGGGCCCCTAGACTCTGGGGCTCATGAGATGTGAATCTTTTTGCTCCAGGAACCCAGATTTCTGTCGACGGACCTGGTAGTAGTAGTAGTAGTAGTAGTAGTAGTAGTAGTAGTAGTAGTAGAAGCAGAAGGAGCTGTAGTAGTAGCAGTAGTAGTAAAAACAATACAAGTAGCAGCAGTAGTAGTAGTAGTTGTTGTTGTTGTAGTTGTAGTTGTAGTAGCAGAAGGAGCAGTAGTAGTAAAAACAATACAAGTAGCAGTAGTAGTAGTAGTAGTAGTTGTTGTTGTTGTAGCAGAAGTAGTAGTAGCAGTAGTAGTAAAAACAGAATGAGTAGTAGCAGTAGCAGTAGTAGTAGTAGTAGTAGTAGTAGCAGAAGCAGAAGGAGCAGTAGTAGTAAAAACAGTACGAGTAGTAGTTAGTAGTAGTAATAGTTGTTGTTGTTGTTGTAGTTGTAGTTGTAGTAGCAGAAGCAGAAGGAGCAGTAATAGTAGCAGTTGTAGTAAAACCAGTAGTAGTAGTAGTAGTAGTAGTAGTAGTAGTAGTAGTAGTTGTAGTTGTAGTAGCAGAAGGAGCAGTAGTAGTAGCAGTAGTAATAAAAACAGTATGAGTATTAGTATTAGTATTAGTATTAGTAGTAGTAGTAGTAGTAGTAGTAGTAGTAGTAGTAGTTGTAGTTGTAGTAGCAGAAGGAGCAGTAGTAGTAGCAGTAGTAATAAAAACAGTATGAGTATTAGTATTAGTATTAGTAGTAGTAGTAGTAGTAGTAGTAGTAGTAGTAGTAGTTGTAGTTGTAGTAGCAGAAGGAGCAGTAGTAGTAGCAGTAGTAATAAAAACAGTATTAGTATTAGTATTAGTAGTAGTAGTAGTAGTAGTAGTAGTAGTAGTAGTAGTAGTGATTTTGTTTATGCAATCTATGCTTCCCACTTGAACAGACAAATAAACAGTTGATCATTTCTGGGTTTCAGATGATGTTACGCATTATATAGGCTAATAATATTTAATATGGGGGCAGTTAAATAGAAAATATAATGCAGAACTTGTAATATAGACAGATCTTGGGTCAGTAAAAAATAAAGATCAGGATCAGCATTTGCACCTTTTGAAATCTCTGCCTGTTATTTATGAAAGTACAGTCTGGCTCTTGCCCCCCATCAGCATCACACTAGAATCTGAAAAACATATGTATTCTGAAAAGGCATTCTTAAAATAAAGAAATAAAATAAGCGTACAAAATATATATGGTATGGACCGAACAATTCGCCTGTCTCACCTTATCTGTCCTTTTCAGAGCTGCCTCCACAACACTCAGGGCGAGCTGTGTGAGCAGTGTGCCCCCGGCTTCTTTGGGGACGCCACAGTGGGGACCCCTGAGGACTGCCAGCCCTGCGCCTGCCCACACACGGACCCCGAAAACCAGTGAGTCTGCCACACAAACCCCACCACACATCCCCCTCGTCCTCCTCCTCCTCTTCCTCCTCCTCCTGCTGTATTTACAACAGCAGAGCCTCCTGTTTACACTAAATGTGACTTTAATAACCCAGGCTTAATAATAATCTGCCTCCTCCATTTTTCATTTTGGCCACTGGACTTATAAACAAGATTATTTGGAGTATATAGTGACGCACAGGTTGGAGGAAAAAAATATTTGCAACTCCTATAATCTCATAATATACTGTATATATGAACATCTTACCTATAAACTTTTATTATATTTTCCTCTCTGGGCTGAGGCTCCCTTAACAATGACTTTCCACATCTCACTTAAATAATGGTTAAATAATTCATAATGTTTGTACTGTCACTGTTATACTATATTATATTTTTTATTAGTTTAATTCATTTATCACTACATTTTTAAATGCTTGGAACGTTAGTATGTATCTACACGCAGGGGTGGGCAATTATCTTTTCCATGGGGCCACATGAGAAACAGAAAATAATGTGGAAGGTCAGGCCAAAATGCTTAACTCAATTCTGCATAATATTAACTGGATTTCTTTATCAAAAGCAGTAAATAACATTGGTGTTAGAACAGAAAATTACCCTTACAGAAAATGTAATGTACAGGAAAACAGTGTCAACCAGCAAGATGGTCTTCGATCATTTTGCTGGTGGCGTCCCTTCATGTAATAAAGGACTTTTAATACATTCAGTCAGAGTGCCTCGGGTTTGTACCTTACCCATTTTTACATTTTCCTGTAAGGGTAATTTTCTGTTCTAAGACCACTGTTTTAACCCTCGTAGAGCACCTGTACTGATATTCTTTACTCTTTTAAGACCCAGAGAAGCGCTCTATCTCTCTTTCTTTATCTAACGCAGTAAATAACATTGTTTTGAGGCATTGGTCAGACTGGTAAGAGTTTATGTTATGACTAAGCAATGAAAAAGTGAGGTTGTCTTACGAAAAATGTTATTTAAAAAACACCTCTAAAGTAAAAAGCAATGCAGCTTTAGTCCATGCATGAGGTCAAATTTTAAAATATGTTTTTTATATTTTGTAATTCTAGATTATCTTAAATGGGCCGGTCTGACTTAACCATACAAAACCATTACATCATACAGAACAAATACTTTATTATTATCGGTTTATTTCCTAGGGCCTGTGCATTTTAATTAACATACATACACAACTGTTGCCCTGCATTCGCTCTTACAACACACTCTCAATCATATATGGACACTGAAGGCAAGGTGGGTGAAGTGTGTTGCCAAAAGACACATCAACAGTATGCACTCTGGCAGTTTCTATTTGAAGTGTTTGTTCTCCTGTCCCAGTACTGAACAGGCCCAATCCTGCTTAGCTTCTGAGATGTATTTATTTATGGTTTATTTGACAGGGACAGTGTAGTGGACCAAACAGAAAGGCAAAGACAAGGTATACAAATAAGTTTAAATTTAGTAAAGTCAGAAAAAGATATAATTTAACAAAGGCTCAAATTATTAACAAAAAAAGCCGGGCCCAACTGGGGTAACTTAAATCAAACTGAACAGAACAAAACTAACCCTACCAGACAAAGAACAGGGGTGTTTAAATACCTAAGGACCAACTAAAGCTAAACACAAGAGGGAGGAATTGCACAAAATAATTAACTAAAAGTACAAACTTAATCAAAGTAACAAAAAGGCACATAAGTATAATACAGAAAATAATAAGTGATGATAAAGTGATCTTAAAGCAAACTAAACAAACTAAATAGTGCTCAAAAAAGCAAAAAGAACAAGTGTAAGTAGATCAGACTTGTGTGCACTTAAATTAGAATATAAGTCTAAATAAAGGAATTAAATTAAACTGTGTGGTGTAGTTAATGTAAAGTAAATGAAATACTGACTCTGTGGAGTGGTGGCAGAGGTATCCAACACAGACAGATACAATATTTGTTTTACAGATGAACATCGTTATCTGATGCTCGTGTCACAGTGTGTATAGTGTTTGTGTTGGTCAATGGGACCTCCAGGTTAAATAAAGACAAATAAATGAATAGCCAAAGTGAATTCACAATGCCAGTCCCTCAGAGGGCTTTTAAAAGATCAGAAATGATGAAATGCAATATTAAATGGTTTGAATAACAATTCAAATGACTAATTAATCAAGTGAGATCACATGAGATTGGGCATTCTAAAAACATTTTGTCAAGTAGATGCAGTTTAGAAAAAGATTAAAGGGCCCATCTCATGCAAAATCAACTTTTCTACCTTCTAAAAGTGATGTGTGGACCTTGTATATGTCGCCGAAGTGGTTTTTTAGATTGATTCTGTGTTTTTTTAACAAATTGCAGCGTATTTCTGCCACCCTCCCACGTGACAACGCCTCCGCCCCGCCTCCACCCCGCATCGGCTGACACTTCCCACATGAACACTTAAACAAAAGTGACAGCATAAGTCTACTAGTGTTTATTACCAATCAGTAATGTTCAGCTGATGTTGACGCAGTGCTTGCGCTTCGTGCACCGATTCCAGGTCCAACACATGCGGCTGAATGCGCTGAATCGCCATGATGAATAAAAGTTGATTCCTACCACTATCAGGGTCACGCCTGTCTCCCCCTCCCTCCCTGAGATGGGCGGAGGAAGGGCGGCTCACTCGTCGCCTACGTCACGTTTGGGGGGCGGAGCCTGTGCTTTCTCAGGACGGGCGGGGGGATGAGCAATAGTCTGTCTTTCATAGTTCGTTCATAGTTCGTGTTTTTATATTGTTTTCATGAGCTGTAACTTCCTGTTACTTGCAACATTTTGAGGACTTGCATTTAAAAACTATAATATTTAGTTTGAAAATATGCGTAGACAAAAAAAAAAAGTAAAATAATCAAAATAAAAGTCATAGAAAGTTTTCATTGCATCTTGGTTTTTAATATAAAACATACACATGAATGTATTTTGGCCAACATAGTATTCATCAGGGCTTCTGACAACTACTTAATATTTTCAAATTTTTAAAAAAGTCCTCCCAAAGAGCACCTGACTATAAATTTGAACGCCGCTCTTGTTCTCCTTTTAATATTAATTTGTTTTAAATTGTTAATTGCAATGGCAGCAGTTATAATTTTTTATCCTTCTGAAACCCGGGGATATAGAACTGCCTTCACACTATTCATAACATTACCCCAAGCAAATCTTGAGTTATTATATTTTTATCTTTTAAACAGATCTGGATTAAAATCAAACTCCATTCCTGTCTCTTTTAGATTCTCCCCTACCTGCGAGAGCCTTGGTAATGGAGGCTATCAGTGCACGGCGTGTCAGCCCGGATACACTGGCCAGTACTGCGAGCGGTGAGTTGTTGACCAAAATAATGAATATGTCAAAAGAACAACAAACATCGTAAGTCATGTCTCAAACAGAGCTAAAACCTTGTTTCCAAATGTTTTTTTCTTCTTCTGTCAGCTGTGCTCCTGGATATGTTGGCAACCCGCAGGCCAGAGAGAAGTGCAGACCCTATGACGGTGAGATGGAGTTTTAATATTTTATCACTGCTGCAATAAGATTAAAGGTCTTATATTACACAAAATGGATTCTTGTGAACTTTATGCAGTTTTATAATTCTGTTACCACCTCAAAAAACACACCTGGAGTTGTTTTCATTCACTCACACGTTTGAGTAACTCTTTATTATGAGTCTGTCTGCATGTAGGTAGGAAGGTGGTCAGTGACCCAACCCATGTTCTTCACAGTCAGTTTGAGTTGATGTCGTCAGGCAGAAGGTTCAGGGTCCCAAACTGTAAACTGAACAGATTCAAACATTCTTTTGTGCCACTAGCCGTTAATCTGCTAAACTCAGACAGTGCAGTTAAAAAATAATTATAAAAGGCTTAGGGAATGTGCAATCAAAACTGCACATAGGTTTAGGGAGTGTGCAGTTATTAATAGAATACAAGAATGCAAAGGGCTTGCCTGTTAAGAATAATTTAAAGGTCCCGTTGGTGCATCACTCGTGGTCATACTTGGTCTTGTATTTATTTTGTTCTATGGTGTTTGTTTGTGTCGTGCTTTGTGTTGTGTTGTTTTTTGATAAAACATGTTACCCCCCTGTCCCAAGACAAATTTCTCCCATGGGAGACAATAAAGGATTATTTCATCTTATCTCCAAAGCGCAAAATGCCCTGTTCCACCTTGTGATGTCATGTTGTGGTAGTTTTAAAATAAACATCTACCTTTTACCTTTTGTTCATTAGAGATTAGCTGTTCCAAATATTGTAGTCTAGCAGCATTTTTTGTTTTACCACATGACATCACAAGGTGGAACAGAGTGTTTTCTCCACCAGAAAAGTTACACATTGCACCTTTAGTGACTTAAAAATGTGAAAAACTGAATTTTAAACAGTTTGCAGTAGTCCAAAGTTCTTCCTCACTCACCTTTTGCACCCTGAGCATCCTCATTATTCACCACGATGAGTTTAGAAACACTTTTCACAGTTCTCAGACACCAGAGTGAAGCTTTTTCTTCACGGTAAAGCTAAGAACAACTTGCATGCTAACTATGCACTTCCTAATTATCTAACAATAAAATGCTTGAGTCTATAATTAGATGGAGAGAGCTCGCAGAGGGCATATTTTGACCTCAAGAGCTGCTTATACAACATATTATATCTGTACTGGGGCAAGACACACTTTGCTCAAATACGTGGTTGCAGGGCATTAAATATTTTATGAATTCAGAAAAAATATTACAACTTGCTTGGAATCTGACAAAGAAGTGAAAAAAGTAGGTCATGAAAAACTTTATAAATCTGAACTTCTAAAATCAAGACATCCACAAGATATAATTTATTAATTAATTTCCAATATTCTGAATCAAGGCATAGTGACTTAGCGTGGTAGTTTATCCTGATATAACCACACTTTATATTATACTTAAACTTTTTCCTTTTCCAGCTGCTGCCTCTCTGGTGGTGAAGGTGTATCCTGAGCGCGTGCAGGCGACTTCAGGGGGCACTGTGACCCTCAGGTGTCAGGTGTCCGGCCCGTCCCCGCACTACTTCTACTGGTCCAGAGAAGACGGACGACCCATCTCCTACACCGCGGAGAGACGCAGACAAGGTACTCGAGGGTTGATGGTTCATTTGCCATTCCAGCCATTGCTTGACATTACGTCCTTAGGCGAGACATTTCACCTTCCTTGTCTACACAGTGTTTATGTACTGTATGAGTGATGGACAGTGGCTGGAGAGTTAGTTATTGAAGAGTAGCTGCCACATCACTGTTGGCCAGACCCACATAGCACATAATCAGAGGAGGAAAAAGTACTGAAACATTGTAATAAAGTAATTTGCTTTGCTTAATTCCTGCTCAAGTAAAAGTAAAAGTAACCATCTAAAAATCTAAAAGTAAAAAAGTAAAAATGTACTTCATTTAAAATGTAATTTGAGTAAAAGTGACTTGGTTACTTTGAATTATTTGATGTAAAAAAGGATGAGTCATAAATCTAATCCAGCACAAGTAGTTTAATCATCTTCTAGGTGATACAGACAAACTTTGCTCAGTGCAAACTTTGTATATTTTAAAGACAACTGAGCTTATTAACATTAACACTGAGCTCTTCCTTCTTTTTATAGAAAGTTATAGAACTTAGAACTTTAACTACATAACAAATTTAACAAATAAAAAAATATTTAACAAATTCTGAATTATATGGTCCACCTCACTAGACTACAATAAAAAAGAAACTAAACAGCAACATAGTATGCAAAATGAAAACGTTGCAGACTGACTGCTGATATAAGAAATGAAAAATTGCCATGACGACCTCGATCTCTGGCTCAGCACCAGCCGTCATCCAACTCGATCCAAGATAGACTGACATTTCTGTACAGTGACTCTTACATTCTATAGTAAAAATGCTGCATGTGCAAACCCACAGTTTCCTTTCATTTCCGGCAATTTTTTTTTTTTTTTCGCATTTCTTTATTTCTCCTTTCACTCTGACTTTACTCAGTAAGGAAGGTGGGTTCCCACGTAATGAAGTAAGATACTTGGGTCAAAATGGACTTGAGTAAAAGTAAAATTACCTGTTTCAAAAACTACCTAAAAAATTACAAATTACTCATAAAAAGTACTCAGTTACACTAATGTGAGTAAATGTAATTTGTTACTTTCCACCCTTGCACATAATCTTATGTAAAATGCCTTGAAGTTCCTCAATATATACAGCATATTGATACTTTGCAATGACATCACACTGGGGCGGACTACATGTATGTCTATGGAGGAATGTTCAGCAGTTATCGTTATAAGACAATATGTAAAGCCTGATACGTTTTTAGATTGTCTGAAAAGTCAAGAAAAAAAAAAAAAAGGATTTAAACTCATTTTCAGGAGCCTGTGGTCAGTATGCAGGCTCCAGCGCCGCCAGTGCCCTGTGTGTGCACACTCGTAGAAAATAATGGAGGAGGCAATTTCGTTTCTCACTGTGCGTTGGTCTTAAGTCAGTTGTCAGTTTGTGTAGATGGAGCACTGCCTCTAGTTAGCTTCACCCTCACAAGAAATGTTGATGACAGCAGCCGCAAAGTTTCAGTATAGGAAAAGTTCACGGGAATATAAGTAAACTTGTTTTTGTTTTACCAAATCACAGTATTCCCAATAATGTTCAGTCCCTAGCTGAAACCAGTACAGCACAATTGTTCTGCTTGTTTTGCATAATATATCTCAATTTTGTACTTCACACAGGTATGAAAATGGTTTAATTATTTGTGTATTCTCTCGTATTCACAGGAGCAGAGCTGTACTTCCCCAGTGTGAGCCCGAGCGACGCAGGCGTTTACATTTGTACCTGCAGAGACCAGAGGAGCACCAACCGAAGCCACGCTGAAATCATCGTCACTAGTGAGAAAAATACATCTCCGAATCCTCCTGTACATTACAACATCACTCTTCTCTCTGTTTCCACACTGTTTCCACACTCGCAGCAGATGGTGAAAGTTCGGGGTTTAATTTATGACGTTACAGTTCAATCTTGGGTTGAGTTGTGATAGCTCTTCTGCTAAAAGTGAACTTTGTGAACATTTCTGACTCCAGGCGCTCCATCCAAGCCCATTGAAGTGACAGTGGAAGAGCCCAAGTCCCAGACAGTGAGGGTTGGCGTGACCATCAGCTTCATATGTACCGCAAAGAGCAAGGTAACGTGATCAAATGGTTTCTTCTGTATTTATACTCAAGGTACAATTAGTTGTAGTTGAAGATGACATTATGTAGTTAAAGTTATACGTACAATAAATACAGACATAAGATCATAGGTCATAAGAAATTAAAAGTGTCCAGACTGGCAAAATGTTTGTGCTTTTTATATTGAGAGAGCTATAACCAAAAACGCCTTGAAAGTACACATTTTCTGGTGGATTTTCTGAATCCTGCTCTTCTCCATGGAGATGTTATTGCTTTGCCTGGAATGTTCTACAGTATGGCATTAAACTTATCTATCCCCACGGCAAGACAATTATGTGACACCACCAGATTTATAGTTATAAGTTAGGTCTGTGGAGAGGTAACACTGCTCATACTAAGGGCCTGTTTACATGAGAACGCTTGTGGGTAAAAACAACAAAATATTTTATCACAAGTGCCTTTTGTTTAGACGGTTGTTTAGCATTTTTGAGGCTTAAAAATGCAAAAATCTGAAAGCACCCTCCAGAGTGGAAAAGTTGAATACACTCCGCGTGAAGTGTTTCCATCTACACTGCCCAAGACGCAAAGCTCTGATCAGATCTGCTCATGTCGCGTACGTGTTTATGTCACATACATACAGTACACAGAAACAAACATGTCGGATCATTTTCGTTTGTTCAGTCTTCTCTGGCAGCTCTAATAAACTTACAGGAGGCTCCCAACAAATGTACAGAATCTGCAGAGATATTATTAGTGAACAGAGAAGGATCTGCAATCATCTCTGTCAAATTGTGGATGTACCAGTTCGTCACAGGCGAGCCAGACAGCAAGCATACCCAATCCAATTCCACACACTTTTGCGTCACCGTATGCATGCAGATTTCCTTCCGAAAACGCTCGTCTAAACGCAGAATAAAAAGTGAAGACGCAAAATCAAATAACCATAGTTTAAGACCAAATCTCATTTTAGATACTATTACAAAAACACACTTGAAATTGAATGAGATGTGTTAGATGAGGTTATTTTATCTAGGGGTGTAAGAAAAAAACCGATTCAGTGATATATCGCAATTCTTCTGGTACAGTTCTGGTAAACGTTCAAAATGTCTCCAAAATTATACGTTCTGTTTACTGTTCTCATGATTTAAAAACTAAATTAATTGCATTTCTTCCAATTTTGTTCTTGTGAAAGTGTATTCAACCATAATATTCTACAGTTTTCTTGAAAAATGATAATATATCGTCCTTTGTTTTATTATTGGGATATATCGTGATATATAGAATTGCAATATAAGATTTATGGTAATGCAACCCCTAATTTTGTCTCTCAAAAGAATTTCCCAACTAACTTTTAGTGTGATCATAATTGTCTGAATCAAAGGCTCATAGTACATGTAGTTCTTTTTCTTTTTTTTACATTTTCTTTGGAGTATGCTGAACTGATAATGTTGCGACACTTTTGATAAATAAGGATCATGTAGTTCCCTGCTTTTTACAACTTTACACAACCTTGCCAGCATTGCCACATCCCTAATCATTTATTTCACACCCTCTAACCCCGTCTGTCCTCTCCCGCAGTCCCCCGCCTACACTCTGGTCTGGACTCGCCAAGGCAACGGCAAACTCCCGAACCGCGCCATGGACTTCAACGGCATCCTGACCATCCACAACGTCCAGCCGGAGGACGCCGGGGTGTACGTGTGCACCGGCTCCAACATGTTTGCCATGGACGAGGGCAGGGCCATCCTCTACGTGCCAGGTTCGTGATCCCTGGCACCGCGCTCGCCTCTGCCCCTCCCCCCTGCCTCACACAGCTCCTCCCCCTCCTCCTGCACTGTAAAAAATTAGATCTGCATGAGTTTAAATGACTGGAATTCAAATTATTTATTGCGTTTATTTGAGTAGTTGACTTTAGTTAAGAATCTGGGGGGATATTTGACTTTTTTAAGGTATTCCTCTGTGGTTTTAATGTATAGCTTTTAGCTTTTTTTAAATTTCAAACTACTCAAGTTATCGTAGTAGCAGTAGTAGTAGTAGTACTAGTAGCAGTACCAGTAGTAGAAGTAAGTGTAGCTATAGTTTTCTAACCTAAATATGGGTTAAATAAAATGAATATATTTTTGTAGTTGGAAATTATAATAGTGGTAGTACTTAGGGATGTAACGATATCCAAATCTACACGATATCTTCTCATGGTACGATATTTATTGCGATATTTTCTAGAGGCAAAAAAAAAAAAAAAAGGAAGAACAACAAAAAAATTGTGAGTGATGCTACTTTTCTCTTATCACAATCCAAATAATTGTGATAAAAAGATTTAAAAGTGCATCATAGTAGTTATTTCAGCGTGTTCATTGGATTTAAACAGAGCAAAGGATCATGGTCTATGTAGTTTTTTAGCTATTGCTGCACCAAAACAATGAATTTAAGCAGAGACACTTGCGATTCGATATACTGTGATGACCCATTGGATTATTGTTACATCCCTAGTAGTACTTGCAGTAAAAATCGTCTTTTTGTAAAAACTATTCATAATCTCAACTCAATAAATATGCTGAATTCAAGTCCCTGTAACTCATGTAGATACATTTTTACGGTCTAGTCCCATTGACTCCAATTCTAAGCCCTCTCCAGCTTGGTGCATGAGTCTGAGTCTGTGCGCACTGTAAAAGTTGACCTTGGTTAACAGCATAATAAGCTTGCATTCTAACTGCTAATGCTTGTGGCTGCTGCTTGCTACACTTATTTGTTAAGCCAATCCTTTTTTTTATTTTAATTTTGTACTTTGCTCGCTCGGCTCTAATGTCTCTAATCAAATGAATACAGCTTGTGGGTTTTTTTTGAAAGCTCTCTTATTGATAACAGATACTGGGCAAATTAATTAAAAGGTGTAATTAGTGGTTGATGAGCGCTCTTCAGTCTAATTTGGGGGGTAATTGTCTTCCATTAAAATCATTTCTCTCTGTGGACTGATGCCGTGGTGGCGGTTTGGTGCTTCTTGGTCAAAATGGAGCTGAACAGTACCTTTCACTTTGAACTACATTTCCCATAAATTTTATTAATGACTATAACAATTGCGTTAATTGCAAATCAAAACATACCATAGATTATAATGGAAAATGCAGCAAAATGCATGTTTGACTTTGCTTTAGAGATGTCAAAAACTGAGAAAAAACTGTGAGAAACTAAAAACTATTATACTACAGAACTATTATGAGAGCACACGATAATATTAAAGACACTACCTTCATTTTGTATCGAAAATTCCGCTGTTCCGAATGTTTTTAATTGCCATAGTGATATTGAAATTAATATCAAGTATCAGGTCTGTTTTTTACGATCAGAATTGTAAAAGTTCAAATTAAAATTATATGTTTTGGGGTTTTATTGGTCATAATTTAAGTTATCTCATAGCTTACTCCCCCATAAACTACAATATTAAGCTTGAACTCTTTGGCGATTTATAAATAAGTCAATGGGAAAAATGAATAGGGAATGTACTTCTTAAACCATGCATTTGAAAGTACTGTTGAGCTCCATCGCCGCTGCAGGTTTTCTATGAGTGCAACTAGCAGGTGATGGATTCTTGGGTTCTTTTTTCACTCCTCAATGCCCAAGCTGACACAAAAGCAAAAACCAAACAAATATATCACGTATTTTGGAGAGACTGGACTTCTAAAGGTGCTTAAAACTCACAGCAAGAGGATACAACCACCAGCCGCTACCTTCATTCAGATGTTGTATTCAGTTACTCTGTTATGGTGCTATTTGACCCTGTTCAATCTTATAGTTTAGTTTTTGTAACATTGCAATCGATATTCCTGTTTATATTATAAGTTACATTGATGTGTTTTAATTTTTGACTTGAAATCCAGTTTGTCAATCAGCTAAAGATATATTTTTGGTTCAATATATTTCTCTTTATGTTTGTAAAATCGAAATGTAACAATCAATAGTATCATTCTTTTTTTATTTTTAGTAATTTTTGTATTAACTTGTAAGCAATATGACTTTGTATTGTGTGTTTACATGTAGGCTGTTGTGATACCAATGAATAGTCAAGTATTTTTGAAAGTATATATTTTTATACTACCCAAAATTTCACCTCAAATTTCAATTTTACACACATTTCTATGACTACTATGCGTTTATTTCGTTTGTATTGGATGGTGCCACTGTAAAAAATATTTCTTGTAACCAAAATGAAAAATGAGTTGTACACATTTCTCTGTATTGTATTTAACTGTGAACTATTTTGTGAAAAAAAGATTGATTAAAACAATGACACTGGTTTGAATATTTGACCTTTCATATTTGTAACCACAAGCTGTATGGCAGCTGTTTGACCTGTCCTAACCAAACCCAATGTTGAAATGAGCTTTTTGCTACTAACCTGCATGCCCTGTGTGTCACTGCTTCATGTGCTTGGCTCATAGTCCTAATGTATTTAGGAATGTTTGACTTCAGCTGCAATGTTTTTGTTAATTACCATTATTATGTGCATCAGTGGGTAGGACGCAAGATGCCAACAACTTCTTTTTCTACTCAGTGTTGAGGCATTTTCAGACTAGAAACTTATTTATTTTTGGCCTAATATTTAATTGTTGTATATTGTTTTGAAGAAAGTGACTTTCACATTTCACATACACCACATCAAAGCTGGAACTAAACTTGGACTAGACCAGGACTAAACTATTTCTAGAACAGTACCACATGATGTCAAAATCAAGATTATCTTGGAATCAAACCAGGACCAAAGTTGACTCAGTTGGTCTAGACACAACCTAATTATGTTATGGACCAGACAGGACATGCAGGTAAGATAAACCATCACATGACACTGGAATCTGAATGAAATGAAAACATATAGAGGTATACTAACCGACACATACAAGTATCATTGTATTTTAGCTTCTATCTTATTTTAACTCGGGGGTGTCCAAACTATGGTGCGGGGGCCAAATGTGGCCCTCACACCAGTTTTTGTTGGCCCTTGGGTCTCCGGCTGAAATGGCCCAACCGATAAGAGCCAGGCAGAACTTTTTAATACAAATTTAAGTAATTTTAACACTACTATGTTTATAGCATCACATTAACAAAACCTAAAATCACTGTTCGAATGACAAACTGTATAAAAGAAGTGGACTAAGTGAGTCTGACATCACCCATAGCGTTCAGCGCCGCTCAAATGAGGCTCGTGATGCTCACAGCTACAGGAGCAAATCTGGAGGCTCTACGTTATGAATAGGATTTTTTGACAGACAAAATAGTGAAAAAAATAAAAATAATAATCTGGATCATGTAGTGCAGGTTAATATGAACATTTTAAGACCAAAATGACAAGGCTCAAAACAGCAGTTACAGAGAGAGGGACGACAAGTTCCCAATGTAAGTCAATTGTCAGAAGGAGCCGGAAGAGCCTCCTGGCGAACTTCCTATTTGACAGCGGCTAGAGCTTTAGTTATGTCCACTCATATATACAGTCTGTGGTTCGAACCTTTATTAAATGTACAATAGCTCTGTCAAAGCTCTTTTAAATGCACACATCTGATCGACTGTACAGTATAAACCACTGTGACCCTCCGCTTCAAATATGTTTCGGTGGAAAAAGTTTGGACACCCCTGCAGCTGAACTGTTCATACTTATTCACTAGTAGTAATGAACTCATATTTGGTGGTCTCTATGGAGAATCCCACTTGGTCCGCTCCAGTGGAGGGTAAACTGCTCCTATTGGTTGACTCACCTGTCAGTTTACCTGTGCCCCTCCCTCTATATCTGCCCCTCCCCCTGCAGAGGCCTCACAGACTCAGATGTTTTACACAGCCTATGAAATGTTTGAAGGACACAGAAAGCGTAAGTCCACATGGGCGCAGTTCTTTCTCCCTTGGGTGCTCCCTGGAGGGCGCCGCCTCTTCCTCTCTCTATGACGTCATGCATGCGATCATCTTTCAGCATGGATGAACGGAGAGACTGCCTATGTGCAACCAAGCAACAAGTATAACTATATATATAATAGAACAATTCTAACAGCCAAGTTAGATCTAAAATACAGTCGTTTATATTTATAATGCATTTTTAGAGCATGTAGGGAACTTTGTGTTATAGTTTTATAGTTTTATGAGCCCCATTTTTGAATAATTTGAACAGTTCTCCAACAGTTATCCATTAAAGGCACTATACTAGATTTGTATAGTTTTATAAACATGAAAAACAGAACTGGTTCATATTCAGTGGTTGGCAGCAACAGCCTAAAGTTATTCCTCTTACCTTATGTATTCTGAGCATTGCCACAGTGAGTTTAAAAGCACGTTTCACAACTTTCAGAGACCACAACAGAGTTTTGCAATGCCAACTAGCATGCTAACTGCGCATCATCTTATCTTCCTGGTTCACAGATGATAAAAGCTCTTTAGAAATAGATGCAGACAGTACACAGTCTCATTTTGATATCTGATTTAATTTAACAACAGTTTTGGGAACAGTGCTTTGTAGACACTTACCTTATATACTTTTCAACATCAGAAATAATAAGTATACCATCTTTTTTCACACCAAAGTATAGTAACCAACTAAAAAAGACTGAAAAACTTGAAATAACTTGAAAACTGTATTGGATTTTCATACAGGAGAATCATTTAGCCCATATATTTTTCCTTTTTTTTCTCTAAAACTGTAATGTGACTGCAGTTATGGTTTTATTTTTCCATGGCATCATAGATTTTTGTCAATTTTGTGAACCATAATAATAATTTTTTAACACTTACAAGTCATTTATTTTGACCTTCTTTGCTCATATTAATCATGGGTGGTAATGTTATTCGTTGTGGGCATTGCCATAGTAACCAGCTGGTTGTACATGGGCAGTACGACTCCACCAGATTCTGAGGGTTTATTGGGCTCCATCACTGCAGAAAAAGTGCATGATCTTAGTATGGACAACTCCCTGTGAATGTAGAGCTATATAGATATTTTTAAAGGGCCCATATTACGCTATTTTCTGATCTGTGTTATAATCTTGTTTCCTCATCACAAACAGATCTGAAGTTGTGTTTTGTTTCATTCACTCATGTTAAACACACAAACCCTGAAGATTTAGGTTGAGCTCTTCTCTCAAACAGGAAAAACTCTGCTCCACCGTGTGATGTCATATGGTAATACAGGAAGTGCCCCATTATTTTTTAAAACCGTGTACACCAGAGTTCTCAAATTTGAGGCCTTCGGGGGTCAACTGCAGCCCACGGAATGATATTTTGTGGCCCCGTACTTGATGTCAAAGTTTTGTGTCAGTGTGGCCTGCGGTAAGGGGATCCACGGTAGGGGGGCTGCACTGACAGATGAAGCTGCAGAGTATCGCCCCTGCAGATTCACAACAGCAGATTTGCTTACATTCCACTTTACAAGAGGATGTGCCAACACAGATGAGAGAGCAACAGTGGACCTCAGTCTGCTGTGCATCTCCACCTAAAAGCCACAGGCCACTCATTTGAGGACAGTGAGGTACAGATCTTGGCCAAAGAAAAGAATTGGTTTGAGAGGGGAGTTAAAGAAGCTGTTTTTGTTAGGAAAGACTCTCTGTCCTTGAACAGAAATGGGGGACTCAGACACCATCTATCTCCTATTTACAATTCCATCCTCAAACCTAAATCAAAACAAGCAAAGATAACAGGGATAGGGTTAACCAGGTCAGGTCCAGAGGTGTGAAAGCTCCATTATGGCCCTGAATGATTCTGCTAATCAGACCCCACACTCAGTGCAAGATGAATAGGCCTAGCTAACTAACAGAAACTGTAAACAAGTAGATGTGTTAGTTTCAGAGTAGTTTCAGTGTAGTTAGCTCCTCCCTATGGGCACATATAAGGAAGTGTCCGTCAGCGTCGGACCAGAACTGTAGAAGCAGCTTGGATGACTTGCGAAACGTATTCAACCAAAAAAACGTTTGTCCAGTTGACAAATATATAGAATTTCTAATTTTGCCTTGGATTTTACCTGGTCGACTGTGGAATTTTACAGACTTACATCCCAAACTCAACTTTCAGCAGTTGTAAAGCTACGAGTCCAGGTGGATCTGTTTATGCGTGTATATGTGCACATAAGACGGCACTGAAGAACCAAAACAACTCACACTTACTACAGGCCTCATTCATAAGTATGGGACATTTGGGGATGATAAGTAATAAAAAAGTCACTGACAGCCTGTTTACTTGTTCAGTGCAGCTCCTTCTCTGCTTCTCTGGGCGTAATTGGCTGGTAACGCAAAGACCATGCTGTGTCTCAGTTGTGTAGTTTAGTTTTTTTTTTTTTTTGAATACTTGAAACCCAGCCTCACCCACACTCTACCCCAAGTCATTTGAGTTTGCGACCCCTGCTGTACGTCTTCACGAGGATCATTTGGACATGCATGACATCACAAGGTGGAACAGAGCATGTTGAGCTTTGGAAATGTAGACAGACAGGGTTCCTCAAACATGCGAGAATGAAACAAAACACAACTCCAGGTCTGTTTTTTGAGAAGGTAACAACATGGCTTTAAGCTCTCACGAGTCAATGTTGCGTAATATAGGACCAACTCAATATTCTTCAGTGTTCTAGCTATACACTGCAAAAAGTACTATCTGTGAGTGAAATGGCTTGAATTCATCATGTTAATCTTTATTCAATGTTTTGAGCAATTAAAATTTATTTTTAGCCCAAGATGATTTGACTGTTTTCATATATTTGTCTGACTTCAATTGGTTTTCAACTATAAAGGAAAATGCAATGTTTTGTTTTTTATTGCAATAGCAAATGGATTTATTTTAGTGAAGTTAGATCCTGGGCATTTTCTCAAATTCTAATCAAGACCTCCATTCTGTCATGTTTTAATTGTTAATGATACAAGCGGTCTAGAGCCGATCTCATTTAACTAAAAGCTTGTGGCTTGGAGCAGAGTTCAGACTTTGGAGGAAGAAATTGGACAGAAATGTGTGTTGAAAAGCCCTAATTATTTAAAGGATGTCTTCATGAAATCAATAATGAATGCCATTTTGTATGTTTTTTTAATAGAAAAAAACATTAGATTTATCACTATGAGAAAAGAAATGCGATTCTTAAAACTGCATTAACGTGAATTCAAGCCATTTTACTCGTGTACATTTTTTTTTGCAGCGTCACCCATTTACTTATAAATGTACGGCGCCATTTAAATCGTACCTCCACATTCAAAGAGATGTCCCCTCTTTCACCCTGTACCACTCTGTTCTCTGTGTCCTTGACTCTTTTCTTCAGGAGACAGTCTTTTCTGGAACGTAGCTGTCGTCTGGTCTTCAAACATCATACTGTGCTTAAATACATCCAACACTCTCATATATCTGTGTATTTAAATGTGCTTGTCAGACTGGCATACATATAGTAGAGCTGCAGCTTTGCCAACTATAGGATTAATGACAAAACTGAACAGTTAAAGGTGCACTATGTCCCTTTTCTGGTGGAGGATATGCTGCCTGCGTGTCTCCATGGAGATATTATTACTATGCCTGGAATGTTCCACAGTTTGGCATTAAAAGTGCACAATGTAACCGTAACATATTTTCCAAGGTGTTTATGAGCAATGGAAGACTTGTGATGAAATAAATGCTAGTGGTTAATGCCATACTGTGGAACATTCTTAACCTGGCTCATGAGAGATTGATGTAGCACTCACTGGGTCATTCACACACCATCAATCTGCTGAAACAATTGGAAGTGTCAGTACTTTGACTTTAGTATCTGCTGATACCAGATAACAACTGATACAAGAACAGAGACTTAAAGCGACAGTCTGGAATTTTGGACATAGGACTTCATTTCCTAGTGAGCCAGAGTGTTGGAGATGTTTGGAGACACTTTTTAAAATATTTCATCCAGTCCTTGTATTTGCAGAGGTCGCTGGTGCTAGGCTAGTGCATGTCAATGGCCATAGTTTATCCTGCTACTAAAAACAGTCTTATCCACTCCACAAAACAACCGAAACAAATCTATTACAGTAGTCCCTCATTTATTGTGGGGTTAAGTTCTAAAAATAACCTGAAATAAGTGAAATCCGTGAAGTAGTCAAGCTATATATATTTTTTAATAATGATTATATATCTGTTTTAAGTGTGTAAAACCCCTCACCACACACTTTATACACTTTTTCAGACAGGACAGGTGCAACCGTTTTTGCATCCTTCGTAGGACTTATCACTGCTGTCGTCCTTATGTTATTTTCCTCCTTTATGTAACAAACCCAAGATTAATGTACTCTGTAATGGCACCTATAGCCGCGTAACTTCTACCTTTCTTCAGCGTGTCCAGAAATACAATTTTTTGTGCGGTGGTTACATCTTTTTGTGCCTTTTGGGTGCGACCGCAGGAGACTTTGTTGGCGCAGAACATTTTGTCGACATTGTGGGTTTTGTCGAGGAGAAAACTTGCAAACATACAGCACCTCAGAATCACACTGCTGGAGATCCAACATTTATGTCAGTTTGGCAGCTGAACACATTCTGTACTGTACAGGAGACACGGCACGGAGGAGATTGATTGACAATGGTCTATAGTCTCTTAGTGAATGCAATGCGTGTTAATGCATGTAAAAAAAAAAAAAGCATGCAAAATTGCACAAAAAAAATCCGTGAAACAGCGAGGCCGCAAAAGGTGAACCGTAATGTAGTGAGGGACGACTGTAGTACACCAGACTGTCCATGTAAATGTCTGTGTTGATAGAATAATAAAACTAACCTTGCATCGCATGAATCGTCACATGTTGAGGGACTATTTTCTCAGCAGCAGCGGTATTTGACTTTGTCGGTAAGATCGGTGCTAGGCGATATCAGTCCACCGCTGCCGAGCTTTCTATCAGGAAATACAACTCGCTGCTGCTCAGACAGAAATCCTTCAAATGCAAGGTTGGTTTTACTTCTAAAATTATTCTATCAACACAGACATTCACATGGACAGTCTGGTGTAATAATAGTTTTGCTTTGGATGTTTTGTGGAGTGGGTAAGACTGTTTTTAGTGGCAGGATAACTATGGCCATTGACATGCACTAGCCTAGCACCAGTGACCTCTGCAAATACAAGGACTGGATGGAATATTTCAAAAAGTGTCTCCACACGTCTCCAACACTCTGGCTCACTAGGAAATGAGGCCCTATATGTGCTATAAACACAAACAGTATAAGTTCAAAAATAATCCAAATGTGTTTTGTAACTGTTATTTATAATTTAAAGTAATTACAGAACAGCTTTGAGAAAAATAAAGTTTAATTTGAGTCATTGAGTCATCAACATTGGTCTGTAGATTGTCTTATTACACCAATGTATAGACCAAAGTGAGATATCGGCTGAACTGATAACTTAAAATCTGATATCTGATCCACCAAAATTTGCAATATTGGCATCCCAAATTCAAATGAATACTCCAAGCTAATTGGTCAAAGAGTCACAACAGCGGAACATGCCAAAAAATTGAAATATAGTTAAATCCAGATGAGAAAATGAACATTCTAGACCACACAGAAACATCTCCATGGAGAGAAGCAGGTACTTAACTACTAAACTTCCCCAGAAATATTCCACAGTGCACCTTTAAGTTCACAGAGTTTAGTCCGGGCCCGTATTTGCACATTCCCTTTTGCGGTTTAGCGGCTGCTCCCTCAGCCCCACACGCCTCTCTGTGAATAGGGCTGGTCTTTGGCCCTGTCACCCTGGGATCATAAGGGATTGAGTTTGAATCTGCAGCACTGGCTCAAACGCCCAGTGCCCGCAGGCTGTGCCAAGGCCCAGTGCCACGTCCACTTTGTTTTGACTGGACTGGACGGGCTCGAGACTCTGCCAAAAGGATCACATCACATTCTCTCCATTCAAATCAAAGGCATTTCACACCGCTCGCTCCTGAACTTCTCATGCTCATGTTTTCTGAAGGTCTACGGCGCAAAAATGAATGCTTAAAATGACTCGAATTCATCATAATAATACTGAGATGAGTAGATTTGACTAGTTGACGTTTATTAAAGCAGATTATTTCATTTGGAGTGACCGGAGAGAAGCTTCCTCAGACCTTATCCAAGTTAATTTATTGGTTGTTACAATACAACTAATTCACTGTGGCAACTTAGACATTATGCATTTAAAAGCTTTTTTTTTTTTTGTAGATTTGGCAGTATTTTTTACTTACAAACTTTAATATCTAATTTAAATGTGCATTATGTAACTTTTTGGTCAGGGTAACGTCACCTGCTTGCCATTTATCTGCCTGGAATGCTCCACAGTATGACATTAAACAGCTCTACTTTACTTTTTTTAAAACTTTTTTTTAATGCTGTATATCTCAAAAATAGTTATTCTGACTGAGAAGGGTCACCTCTCCACAGATCTGACTTTGTTACTTTGGTGTCCAAGATGATAGAAAGTTTTAATGCCATACTGTGAAACATTCTAGACATGTCCATGGAGAAAAGACTCACCAGAAAAGTTACACAATGCACTTTTAAGCACAATTTTCGGACGCAATTTTGCTATAAAAAATCGAATACTGTAACCAGTCAATCTACTTTACAAACTTGTCAAAACTCCTCACCTCAGATTTTGAATTCAGGTCATTTTAACCCACTTCGATGCACATATATTGCAGTGTCTGTTAACTTTTGCATGTGTTTTGGTCTGTAGCAGCAGAAGGGGTCCAGCCCGTGGCCTCTGTCAGCCCGTCGGTGCTGAACGTGCAGCAGGGACACAGAGCTGAGTTCCGCTGCACTGGGACAGGCAGCCCCACTCCAGCCATCGAGTGGATAGGTATGTTGGTTATTGATTATTTTGGTCACTTATTGATACTTTGCAGCAGATGTCATCGATATTCCCTGGAGGTCATACAGAAAAGAAATACAATAATAATTTCAAGTTCTGTTTATATACTGTATGTATTTATAAGTATGTATGTGTATGTGTATGTGTATGTATGTGTATGTGTATGGGTATGTACATGTAGGCTATATGTGGGTCTGGTCAAGTGGTAATGGAGGGAAACGGGCAGATTTTTGACATTCAAATGTCTCTTATTCAGAAACTAGAGGGACTATTGAAATAAGTAAAGTATCAGAATGTAGGAAAGAGTTACACTCCAACAGGGTCAAGTTAAACCTGTGATATTCTTTCAAGTTGTAGACAAAAAATTTAAAAAAACTCATGTCGGTAACGGAGGGAATGAAATATGCAGCACTTTTTGGGCAATAAATCCAAACAGTGATAACTCTTGGTTCTCACTTCCATATCCTTAACAAACTGGTTTGAATATTTGCTTCATATAGTTTTCTACCATATGGTACAAGATTAGGTTGAAAAACCTCTTACTTTTTGACTCATGAGATTTTTTATTAAGAAAGGTCACAGAGGGAAAAGTAACGGAGGGAAAATTGTACAAACAAGTAGAAGGTGCAGGATTTTACATCATTTGTCACTTTTTTCTTCTGAATACTTTAATATTACTTCAAAATGAAAGGAAACTATTTCTATAAAATATGTCAGTCCTTCCAAGAAATTTTTATCATTTTAAATACATTATTTTTTTTTTAAATCCTGTACCTTCATCAACAGTTCAAAGATGGAATAACACAAGATATGATGAAATACATCCATTTATTGACATGATTTGCAGGTCTTTGAAATTTGGGAAATAATTTTTGTTCCATGTTTCATACATGGTCTGTTTAAAATCGTATGGAACTTTAGAACCAAAAATGGTACAGAAAAAATGTCAACAGTTTCATAAACTAGAGTACATATGTATCTGTTCAATACATTTTTATATCAGATGCATTAACTTGAATATTTGGCCTTGCTGTTTACTTCTGCTTGACCGGGCCCATGTGTGTATGGTATTATGTAGGTGTTTATATGCATGTAGTGTATGTATATGTGTAAATATATGTATGAGTGTGGTTATATGCGTACATATGTGTATTATTTTGTGTAACTGTGTGTATGTGGGCAGGTGTACAGACACTTGCACACTTGCACACACACATGCATGCCTTTGTTTTTTTTATTTTTTTATTTGCAGCCCAGGGAATGTGTATAAGCATGTGTATGTGTGTGTATGTGTGTGTGGGAATCACCATGCGCTCAGGATTGGGGATTTTTTATTTATTTATTTTTTTCGGATTGTTAGGTGCCACCTAGTACCCCCACTCAATTTAATTTCTCTCCAGCGATTACGTCAGGAATCAGAATACACTAGACCATTCGCAAAAACCTGTAATTGCAAGTTCGGGCACCAGCCAATCAGTGAAGAGCCATATTCAGTGTTGTCAACAATTCCCGAGATCAAGGATGTAAAGCCGGAATAAAGAGAATGTTTGGCGAACTTTATCAAGGGGAAAGACGTTATTGTCCTTCTTCCTACGGGATTTGGGAAAAGCTTAATATACCAGTTAGCCCTGTAGCGTCACATTACATATGTCACCACCAAATAGCAGCAATTGATTAAATAAAAAAAAAAAACGTTGAGCCAACAAATTCTAACACTGTGAGGTCAGGTGGTTTTTACAAAGTGAAACCGACTGATGAATCAGGCTAAAAATGTAGATGTCATTTCATTTTGTCCGATTACAAATAAAAATTAATCCCAAAAAAAAAAAAAAAAAAACTTCGTAGAGGTGTGGTGCTACCTAGAGACACTGCATTATCTGAAGTTCCGTTACTCAAGTTAGACTTTAATCTGAGCTTCATTTTTACACAATGTGACCATAAAAAACTGACTTATCTGGAACTATAACAGGTAAGGTGATTTGTGTGCTTAAATGTGTCTTTCACACTAAAAATTACAGTCCCAAACCAACTAGCCTTAGGTAACACTTTTTCAGTTAGTCAATGTCACCTTTTTTTGTTAGAACAAAGGAAACACGCGCAGGCTTTTAAAAATGTGTTGTTTAAACCCATGTTATAATTTTTCTTCAGTTTTCCACGATCTAAAAACTTTTTGACAGGGTTTGGTAATTGGTACTTTCTGTCACCATGGAAACTGATGAACATTCCTCCATAGAGATACACGTAGAGCACCCCCAGTTGGTGAAGCAAGTGCGCAAAACGTCCATACAGGTGCATTAGTCAAAGTTATGTTAAAAAAAAGTAAACAAAAGAGCCATGCAACAACTCGATAAGCTGTTAGATCATTACCAGTAAATACATTCATCACAATAATGTCAGAGTACGAATGTGAAACAACGCCAAGTCCATTTGTTTAAACAGAAAATTCAGCTCTGTAGATGTCACAGTTGAAGAGATGTAAAAATGTGAAAAGTCACAATATCTGATTCAAATTCAATTTCCAGTCTAAACAAAAACTATTGGATAATTTGCAAAGTTTGTCATGATCTAGAGCTGTGGTTTTCATATATTTCACACCAAGTACCGTCTAAGAGGAGATCTGACTTTATGAGTACAACCAGATCTAAACTCTCACAAAAAGGTGGTCCAAAAAGTGGCTGAAATTTTCTATAAATTAAGCCAATAAGTAAAGGGACATTAATTAAGTAGTTACTAAGCCTGAATCATTCTTTATAGACTATTTTCTGATCTATGTTATAATGTTGTTTCCTCATCACAAACAGACCTGCAGTTGTGTTTTGTTTCATTCACACGTTTAACACACAAACCGTGCAGATTTAGGCTGTGTTCTTTTCTCAAACAGAAGACACCTTGTTCCACCTTGTGATGTCATGTGGTAATACAAGAAGTGCTTCATGCACTTTCACTAGAATTATTTAGATAATTTCAGCCACGGAATTGCCAATTTCTACTGAACAAAAGCTAAAACATAGAATTTTGAGTTTTGAAGACAGACTAATAAAGTATGATTACCGTATTTTCTAGACTATAAATCGCTCCGGAGTATAAGTCGCACCAGCAAAGTAATGCATAATAAAGGAGAAAAAAGCATATATAAGTTGCATTTTTGGGGGGAAATTTATTTTACAAAATCAGAGAACAAGAACAGACATTTTCTTTTAAAAAGCAAAGCCTCTGGTAAGGAAAGAAAAATCAACAATTTTCACTGAAATAGCTTGAAACTAAGAAAAGCAATAATAAAAATAAAAAATCCCGAAAAATAGCCATTGAAAATGCAGACACTGCTGTTGAATTGCTGTTCAATAGAATTATAAAAAAAAACAAAAAACTAATGAAACTAGCCTGGACAAACTGATGGTACCTCTAGGAAACATTGTGAGTAACTTTCCATCTCACTCCAAATCACTAGATCCATTGAATTCTTCTATCTTGAATCCTCAAGATAGAAGAATCTATCTTTTAGACTGCGATTAACTTTTTTTTTGTTTTCTTCATTGAAGTTCGAGTATCCTCTGCTTTTCCCCAGTCCATCTTGAGTTTCTCGCTCACTCTAAACTTTCTTTCTGCTGCTTGATTACTGTTTTCCACCACAGATTTCACGACTTGCAGCAGGACAGTGGCTCTTTCTGTAGGAGACATGTGCAGCAGAGTGAAGTGACAGTGGTACAGGAGTAACAGGCGCAGCAGATACTCACACACAAGACTAGAGCGCCCTCTTGCCTCTGTCAGAGTAAAAATAACAAACATGTCAAATTATATATTTTAATATATAAGTCACACCTGAGTTTAAGTTGCAGGAAACACCCAAACCATGAAAAAAGTGCCACTTATAGTCCAAAAAATATGGTACTCAGACGTGTGAATGAAACAAAACACAACTCCTGGTATGTTTTTGAGGAGGTAAAAACATAACATGGCTTAAAGCTCACAAGAGTCCATTTTGTGTAATATAGGACCTTTAAACCATCAAGCCAGTCTCTAACAAATACTGATAAGTTTCAACATTTGTGGATCATAACTTTGGATATTTATTTCAAAAACTGTAAATCTCCCATAGAGTTCTATAAGCCTCTACCTTCCATGGGAAATTCTGCCAAAATCCAAAGGCCAATGTTGTAGTCATTCATTACCAAGATTTTAAGACGATGCTTTGGTTTGACAGTTAGATGACAATTTGTGAAATTTTTCAGAAATCAATTGTCATGAAACATTTTTAGATTTTGTTTGTTTTTTTCTGTGAGAGGAGAAATTTGGGAATAAAACAAGACATATTATTTATCTCACAATTGCCCGACAACTTCCAAGCAGTGAATACAATTTTTGTTCATGTTAAATTATTATTATTTATTAGCTATTAAAAAGTGTTACCCAAAATAGTAAATAAACCTTTGTATTTTAAAATAATGACATATTTTCTCAATGTTTCAGTGACACTGCTAGTCCATGTAGGCTTTATGAAATCCCTGTTTTTGAGTGAATGTGTGACAGGTACTTCATGTGTTGTTATTGTTTTTAATGAGGTATAATATTCCCGCAGTTGCCCCGGGTCACAGGATGAGTCCCCGGGCGCAGATCCAGGGCGGGCTGCTGTCCTTCTCTTCTGTGGACGTGTCCGACGAGGGAGAGTACATTTGCAAGGCCCTCAACACTCATGGGGAGCACATCGCCAGAGCCTCCCTCTATGTACAAAGTATGTGTAACCGTGATCTGAATGCATGTTCAAATTAGGGATGCACCGATACCGATACTGGTATAAAATATTAGCGCCAGTACTGATCATTTAGCTGGATCAGGTTCAGAGGTGGGACCAAGTCATTGTTTTGCAAATCTCAAGTAAGTTTCAAGTCTTTGACCTCAAGTCTGAAGTCAAATACAGGCCAAGTCCAAGTCGAGTCTCGAGTCACTGGCCCATAAGTCCAAGTCAAGTCCAAGTCCTCTGCTTTGAGCTTCAAGTCTTTTCAAACCTTTAAACCAAAATACCAAATACAGCTAGATTTTTTTTTTTTTTCATGACTTTTAAGATAAATTGTACTTAAAGAATCATATTATATTTATATATGAGTATCTATAGAGTATATAAGAGTTGTAGAAATGCTTTTTTTCCTTTTTAAATGTCTTGACAAGACCTTAGAGTGACTCATTATGGTCAGAATAGAAAGAATTCTTGGGATGTAATGATATCCAAATCTCTCGATACGATATTCTCACAATATGCTTCTCATGGTATGATATTTATTGCGATATTTGGAGGCAAAAACAACAACAACAACAAAAAATAATAAGTATGCTACTTTTCTCTTTCCCTAAAAGTGCATTGTAACAGTTATTTCTGCATGTTGATTGGGCTGAAACAGAGCAAAGGATCATGGTCTATGTAGTTTTTTAACTGTTACTGTACCAAAACAATGAAGCAGAGACACTTGAGATTTGATATATTGTGACGACCCATAATATTACTGTGAGACTTTTGACAATACAATACTACGATATTTCGACTATTGTTACATCCCTATTAAAACTGCTTCTCAAGTCACGGGCCTCAAGTCCAAGTCAAGTCCCAAGTCTTAGTCCATTTTATGAAGTCAAGTCTCAAGTCCTAAAAATAGTGACTCAAGTCTGACTTGACTCCATGTCAGAACTTGCAAGTCCCCACCTCTGATCAGTTTCATGATATCTCGTAGTTAGAGTTTAAATGTATGTAGTAAAACAATCTACAGGCTGATTTTGACCTAAAACAGGCCATAATGTTTGAACTTGTATTCAAATGAAGCTGTTCAGTAATGATTTGAAGGATAAATAACAGTTACGTTAAGGAAATAAGTGCCATTTTCAGTCCCTACACTGGTATCGGTTAATATCGAGGATACTGATATCAGTATCGGAACTGAAAAAGCTGGATCAGTGCATCTCTAATTAAAACTGTTAAAATGTTGATATCAGTGGTACATTTATATGGCCAATCAAATCACATAACCCAATAGATAAGACTTTTGCCAACATTTTTATTTGTATTTTATCATTTCATATTATAATAAAATATAACAAAACAAACAAACAAGTATACAGAACAAATGGTCAGTTATCATTCAAATAAACAGTCCACTTTTCCCAGCAATCCTCACATTTAGCTTGTTGCAACCTTATAATAGAAATCTCTCCATAATGTGAATTTCTCCAACAATGTCCCTCCAGTTGTTAATTCTTCTGTACCCTCCTTTTACCATTTACGGGTGATGGCTTTAAAAAAATATATTAAAAATGATCAAATAGTGCTTCTAACATGTGTTAATCAATGGATTTTAAGAGTAACTAAGAATTCCTTTGGTTTCTTCCTCTGGACATGTTGCTGGCTCGTCAGATAAGTTGTTAAAATGCAAAAAGGTTTAATTAAAAGTAAAAGAAAATTGTAACTAGACAGATTTTCCCACATTGGAATGATTAAAAAGCAAATTAAAAAAGGAAGCAACTAAAGCAAGCAAGAATAGCAAAGAGACTCTTTTATATTTTATCTTTGCCTTTGCCATGTTAGTTTTTCCTTTTTTGTGTAATTTTCTTTTTCTTTCCAAAACCTGCATGGGAGAACAATTATAAAGAATCAGATTACTCACATGAGATGTAACTGGTAATAGTTCTAATTTGATAACTCCAGGTTTGTGCTGTACATAGACATTGTTTTAACATTGAAACCTATATATGTGTATTACTTTATTTCTATTGACGGTGGCAGAGGTAGCCTTTTGGGGGCCATAGGAGAACTTGAGGTTGGGGCCCTCACTATAATGCACTGTTTTGTTGGGGGAAGGGGGGGTTCCCATTGTTACAAGTATTCAGTTACAAGTGTTTCAAAAATACATAGAAAAACAAGCATTCTGACTATGAGAGGAGTCGCCTCACCGCAGATCTAACCTGTAACCTTGTCTCCATGATGATAGAAAGTTTCAATGACATTTTGTAGAGGTGCTGTGAAATATTACCCAGGCTGGCGCCACCTAGTGCCTCCGCTCAATTTAATTTCTTTCCAGCGGGGCAGGAATCAGAACAAACTAGACCAGGCGTCTCAAACTCAAATTACCTGGGGCCACATTAGATAAAGTCTGAGTGAGGCTGGGCCGCATTGAGTATTCGATAAATAGCGGCTGCATGAAAAAAAAACACGTGTACTTGTATTAACAGATCCACTTAGACTCGTTGCTTCACAAGCTGCTGTAAGTTGAGTTTTGGGATGTAAGCTGCGTTAATATCCTGTTGTTGTGAATCTGCATGGGCACCGATTGCAGCTTCATCTGTCAGTGCGACCCGCGGTAGAGGGGTGGGATTGTGCGTACATCCACCGCGGGCCGCACTGACATTATTCTTTGGAATTAAGTGGAGGGCTGCAAAAAATCCTTCCGAGGGCCGCAGTTGGCTCCTCGGGCTGCGAGTCTGAGACCCCTGCACTAGACAATTCGCAAAAACCCCAGAAGTTGTAAACCACGCACTGGCCAATCAGCTGTGAGCTGTGAAGTCATGACGTCAAACTTGTCGTGCCTGTCTGGGTTCCTTTTGTGAAACAGCACAACAGTAAACAAAGAGATGGATGTAGACGAAGACAGACATTCTGTGTTGGCAACGATTCCCAAGATCGAGGATTTAAAGTTTTATCAAGGGGAAAGATGTTATTGTCCTTCTTCCTACATGATTTATCGCATTACATACGTCACAACCAAATAGCAGCAATTAGTACCCACCAACCATCAAGTGAACGAATCCTAATGCTGCAAGGTCAGACGGTTTCCACAAAGTGAAACCGGCTGATGAATCAGGCTAGTGAAACAATACCAGACACGCACATCTTTATTTGAATTAGGGTGGATTGGTGTTATGCTCCCTTTGCTTGGGGAGAAGGAAAGTAACAATAATTTAAAAAAAAAAAAAGATGTTTAATGGTTTAACTAAAAATTGTGGATTTATTATTTTACAGCGTAGGAAAAAAAACGTAGTAGCAAAATAAAACAATTTAAACAAAAATAAACTACTAAACTAAGGAGCCCTAATTAAGTACAACAAGAAAACCTAACCAAAGTTGTAGTGCAAACAAGGTGTCTCAACGATACTGTATCAACTAACAAAAGTCAACAGCCGGCATCTTAACAAAAAAATAAGACAACCCAAAAGAAAACAACCGAACAAAAAGGGCGAGCTGGCACACAGGGATCCAATACTCCGCGCCCCACAGGTGGCATCTGCGGATTGGTGGGGATGGAAGGGTGTCTGGCCGGTCCTCTGAGCAATCCGACACCTAGTCTCCATCTGGTGGTCTCTGCTCCCACGCATCTGAGTTCAGGGCTCGCGGACTGATCACTTACACACTAAAGAAACAAAAGACACCGGGAGCACTAATAATAAAACACCAAATGCCGAGGCCCGTAAACAACTGGAAACTTGTCTTATTAGTTAGGTAGATTACTAGATAACCAGAGCTGAAAGTAGTTTTATTTTTTTGCTAGTACAATTACATTTTTGTTTACATCCATTACATATGATTATGATTGTGCTATGATTATTATTTTGACATATGATATTACTTTGACAGTTAAAATAGATTTGACAATCAGATACTATTTTTATGTTATTTTCTTGTTTAAAAGTAAAACAACTCTCATTTAATGTCGTATTGAGAGAAAATCAAATAGCTCTGAGGCCTCAGTCATTAGTGGCACTGAGGGCAGTTGGTTGGGGGCCCCTCCAGGTTCGGGGGCCCTAAGCGGCTGCCAACTTTTGCCTAACGGTAGCGCCGCCTCTGTCTATTAACTTGCACATTTACATTTATATAATTATGCCGTATTTGACACCAGTCCCTTGCTATTTTTGCTACTTATTTAGAATGTATTATTACCATTTATATTTATTTCTCTTTGTTATTTGAATATGTTGTGAAGTGTGAGCTGCTGTGTTCAAGTAATTTCCCTTGAGGATCAATAAAGTTTGTCTAAGTTTAAGTCTACAATCAAGATAGGGAAGAAAAAACAACAACATAAATACAGTATTTTAGTATTTTTGTCATTTATACTTACTAGAAATGTCTTAGTTGAATATAATTTGCAATGTGTTTTGAAGCTCTACCTCAAGTTTGAAAGTATCGATGAACATTAATGTATGTACTTTTTGCCCCACCAGAGTCCAGCCCCAGTGGTTTGGGGACCCAGCCTCAGGTACAGGTGAGTCCGCAGTCTGCTGATGTCCACGAAGGAGACACTCTGAGGCTGTACTGCAGAGCTACGGGATCACCCACGCCCGTACTCACCTGGCTGAGGAACGGAGGACCAGTGCCCCCCCAGGTGAGAGAGACCCTCCCCCTCCTGATGCCTGATCTGTGGTCACTATGAAACAGGTTGTGTTCACGTGAGGGCGTAACTTTCTAAAGAACTCATACAGTATATCTAAAATAAAGATGGAGGACAGGTTTGAATTCTATAGTACAATCTGTATTTTAAAGGTGCACTGTGTCACTTTTTAACTCTGGGTCCGTCACCTGCTTGTTTCTATGGAGATGTTATTACTCTCCTTTGAATGTTCCACAATATGACATTAAACACATCTACATCACATATATTCAGTTACAAGTGTCTCAAATACATAGAAAAACAGGCATTCTGACTGTGAGAGGGGTCCCCTCGCCCCAGATCTGACCTGTAACTTTTTCTAGTTTAGTCTCCATGATGACAGAAAGTTTTAATGCCATACTGTGAAATGTTTGCAACAGAAAATGCACACTGAAGTTCTTGAAGAGGTGCTGTGAAACATTACCTGACAAAACAATGACATCTCCATGGAGAAAAGCATATGATTGACCCTCCACTAGAAAAGTGCAAAATGCATCTATAACTCTCAAAAAGTATGAAACAAAATGTGACGCAGAAGCTTAACACTCTTACTTCTACACAGTTTATTGAAGGTTACATGTTTTTGTCACTAAAGCATTCCAAGTGGCTTGTAATCCAGTGCTTATCTCGATACAGCCTTCACAGTACACTATATGTATGATAATAAGAATCATGCAGATCCAGACAGTGGGCAATGACACTGAACATTGATGTGAAGGTAAACTGAACGTAAATGTATGTTTTTACTGTTCTGAATAACAAAATGTACTGGAATTTACTTTCTACAACTTCATCAGAACACAACACAATTGATTTATGACTAAGTAACTTTTTGAGGTCAGTAGCTCTTTGTTGGATTGATTATTTGATTGCTCTTATTTCGAGCTTATGACAATAGTTAGTTAGATACACTGTATACAATATTTACATTTACATGGGAAAAGCTCTCATAGCAGGTTTGCTTCATATTCACAATACAATGGTAAATGGTCACATTTTTATATATATCCATCTTCAAGGCACTTCAAGCGCTTTACAACAAAGAACTCACACATTCACATACACATTCATACGCCAGTGTATGTTATTAGGTTCTTTTTTCAGACCAAAAATTTGTTTTCACACCTGACAGTTTGGACTGATCAAGAGCGCTCTTCCTCAGAGTGGTTACGTGATGTTGCTGTGACATGTCCGGACATCTGATTTAAACAGGACTTGGCGCTGTCTTCCTACTGGTGGAGGCAGGACGACAGCGCCATCTGCAGTCCCACTTCCTCAGGACAGTATCCCAGGTGTGTGTGAGTAAAAAAGCCCCTCGTCCCAGTTTATAGTCCTGTGGGCATGTTTTTGTATTTTGCCAGTTCTGACCACTGTAAAAGAAAGAACCACATTATGGACTGGAACGGAGGAAACATCATTGGGACAGAGGAAAACAAGCACCGACGCTGGATTAAAGAGGCAATCGAAAAACAGAAACGTGCCCATGGGACGATAAACCGGGACAAGGGGGCATTTTTACTCTCACACCTGGGATACTGTCCTGAGGAAGTGGGACTGCAGATGGCGCTGTCATCCTGCTTCCACCGGTAGGAAGATGACCGGACACGTCACAGCAACATCACATGACCATTCTAGTGAGCTCTAGTGCGCTAGTGAGCAGCCGACACTGTCAGGTATGAAAACAAACTCTTGGTCTGAAAAAAGAACCTAATAACATAAATTATCGGAAGACCAAATAACCCTCATGGAACCAATACGCCAGTGTACACAGACACTGGGGGCAAGGTGGGTTAAGTGTCTTGCCCAAGGACACAACAACAGCATTCATCTGTGTGGGGCTGGGACCACAATGACAATGACAAATTTTGCTTGAAAAAGAGTGGAAAGAAGGAAAAGGTATCAAGCTTGAGTCATAGTGTAGTAATCAGCAGGTAGTTACATGTATAACTCTGCAATTTTTAATGACTTAACATTGCTTAAAAGTATTACGATGTAGTATCACATATCCGTATCTATATATGAGTAAAAGCATAACTGCTGTCAACATTCAGTCCCACAGCTGTCCTTTTATAGAACAGACAGTATTAAGCCACAATACTGAACATTTTCAATTCAAGTGTGAATGACAATACAATGTAAAGCGCTTTGAGTCTCTTGAAAATCTCCATATAAATCAAAGGTTACTAACAAGGATCTGCCCTCCATCTAAAATATTTTCCAATTCCAATGTATATTACTTCAACTTGAACACAACCTCTTTGAATGCACTTCTTTGCAGGAAACCCCTGGTAACAGTAACACTTCACAATACCTGAATACATTGTGATGTCTGTTTCATTTGACTCTCTGTTTCCCTCTGGTCCTCTCTGCTCTGGCGTTGCTCAGGCCATTCCCTCTCACGGTTTTCACCAGTTTAAAAGCAACAGTCTCGATGTGTTACAGAGACGTATTGGAGAACTGCAGGTCTGTTCATTTGTCCACTGTCTGTCTCTGTGTCTGTGCAGCAGTCCACTAATACACATCCTGTCCAGTGTCCACTAAACGCATGACTCTGTACCATGCTCACTCAAAACAAGTACATGTTGACTTTAAATAAATCTACTGTGTAATTTTACTGTTTATTTTTCTGGTAATTGAAAGCAGATATTTTAAGTAGATTCAATTAAAGATGCCTTACCTGATTTTTACTCTTTTATTGTAAAAACAGAACTAGTCCGTTTTAGACAGTTTGCAGTGGCCAAAAGTTATTCCTCACTTACCTTATGCATTTCAAATATCCTAGTTATTCACAGTGATTCATTGATTTTCACAACTATCAGAGACCAGAGCGGTGTTTTGCAACAACAACTAGTATGCTATGCACACTTCCTGATTATTGGACAATAAAACGCTAGATGAGACTGGGGCAAGACTCATTTTGCTACAAGACCTTTTTGGTACATAACCTTTGAAATAGCTCATCGGATCAATACTTGACAGTAAAGCTAAAAACAACTAGCATGCTGACCTGCACCTCCTGATTATCGGACTATGTATGGAAGATAATTTTCTTCCTTCTGATTTTGAATTTTAAATAGCACTGAATTATTTGCTTTTAACTCTAAAAAAACATGTTTGAATTATTTTTATTCAGATTTTTTGTTGCTTTAAGTACATTTCCAAATTCAGTATATAAAAAAAAAATCACATTTTAAATATTCAGCACAAATATTTTCAAGTCCTCAAATTCAGCAGTTAAAATTCAGAGTGTGAAATTCAGAGTCAAAACATTAGCAGGAAAGATCCAAGATGCCAAGGCAGAAGCAATCGATTCCAAAGTGATCCAATGTCACTTTGTAACAAGCAGGAAATGGTGCAGTGAAGTGATCTGATTGGTCAGAATTAGCCTCATCAAAATGTATTTATTCATTTATTTTTTAAGTGTAAGTTGAGAACAGCCAATTGCTTTTGTTTTGGAATCTTGGATCTTTGCTGCAAATTTTACACTCTGAATTTTGACTGTTGAATTTGAGGGTGATCTGTGCTCTATATTTAAAGGTGAATTTTTATTATAATTTTTTTATTTTTATAAAAATAATTCAAAAATCTTTTTTCAAAGTGAGAAATTCAGCAGTATTTAAAATTCAAAATCTGATGGAACAAATAATCTTCATAGCAGACAAATTTTGACTTCAAGAGAGGCTTATACATTATAGCTGTACTGGGGTGAGATTCATTTTTCTGTAAGACCTTTCAGAACAAGACCTTTAAAATAGCTCACTGGATCAATACATTAAAAAAATAGTGTAATGAAGTCAGTGTTCTTGGTGTAACTTGATAACCCTGAACCAGAAATGAAAATCTTGCTACAGTCCCAAGTTTGCAGCGCACATTTGTCAGTATTAGAATCACTACTTTACTTGTATTCATTCCTAATCTATTCATCGTTTCTCTACTGGAAATCCAAATGTCATACTGGTTTAAAAACAGCAATTAAATCAGTACGGAAGCCTGAGACGCAATTAGCTGCCATGGTTACACATCATGTCACAGAGAGAGCTGGTTTTTAGTTGTAGGATCTGGCAACCCAAAACAATGAAACAACTTTTTTTGTATTGAATTAACACAACAGTAGGCTGAAATATGACTTAAGATATTTGTTTAAAGTCAACATTGTCTTTATTTGAGTGTACCGCTGATGATTTACGGTTCGCTGCTAACCCCGTAGACTTTGTAGTGCTAGTATCATTTACATTTCACCCAAGAGTCATTTAAGGTATTAAGATTGACTTTAGACCTTTAGAGGAGGTGATTTCTTGGCTTATAAAAAGATGGAGAGGTTGAGGAGGCTGATAATTCTACTGCTGCGGTGGAGGTGAAGAGGGTAACCGCCATCAGAATGATTTTAAAAAGGGAGAGACGACTATGAATACCTATACGAATGCTTTGCTTGGTGATTGGTTGACGGTGACGGTAGAAGTGGTAGAAAAGACTTCCTGCTTGAATTGACTCATTAAAATCTCGTTTGCTGTGCCTGTCTCGTGTCGCATTAATCTTAGTGTTCCATGCGTCTGCGTTCTGGTTCGTCACATCATCATCATCATCATCACCGCTGATCTTTGGCTCTCATACTTTGAAGCAGTCAGATACAGAGGTCTGTTCTATCCATGCTCTTGGTTTAGTCCTGGTTTATCCCTGGTTTGGTCCTGGTTTACACAAGGTTTATTCTACTTAGTTCTTGTTTTGACTTATATTTTCCTCCCTGTACGCCTAGTTTAGACCTGTCTCAGATTTATTTTAAGTGTACATGTAATTTTGGAAATGCTAAGCTCCCCATCTGGCCCATGTTAGTTTGAGTTTAGTCCTGGCTTAGCCCTGGTGCAGATCTGGATTAGTTCTTGGTAAAACCGGGGTTATACATAGTTAATTCTGTTATAGACATTGCTTTAAACCTGGTTTAGCCCTGGTTCAGTTTCAGTAAAGTCCTGATTTAGATCTGTTTTGGTCCTGGTTTGGTCCTAATTTAGACAAGGTTAGTTCTTGCTGAGTAGAATAAAGGATGGCAAAGGCACTCTGATTTACGGTGTATTTATTACTTGTCACGTCAACGACTACTTTCGACTACTTAGTCTTCATCAGTGCTGATGGAGTGAGCTGCAGGTGTGACCAAACATGTGATAATTAAAAATAAAATATCTAAAAACACTATATACATAAAAATAACAAATTACTGGTGCTTTCTTCTTCTTGATGATCAACTGAAAACAATTTTTAAAGTGTGCTGAGTAATCTAAGGGATGTATGTATTGTTGACAATACTCCAACTTATACAGTGTTATTTATCCGTTGTTATGAATGGTTTGTTGTCAGTATACTTGGATTCAACATGCAAATCTTTTGGGAGATTTTGATCACGTGTTTGGGGTCATGACCCCTACAAATGGTCACACCTGCTGCTCACTCAATCAGCCCTGATGAAGACTAAGTAATCAAAACGAGTTGGCGTGACTATTAATACATTCACCTCAAATCAGAGTGCCTCTGCCATCTTTTTTTCTACACTATATACATGTTGAATCTAAGTATATTGAGAACATACCACTCGTAACACAACAGATAAAAAACACTGTTCTGTATTGGAGTTTAGTCAATGATACATATTTACCTTAGGTTACATGGCACACTTCAAGAACTGTTTAAAATCAACATTATCACAAGTAGAAAGCACCAGAAATTTTGTAAGAAAGGCTATTAAAAATACCCAGGTATTTGGTGGCCAATTGTCAAGAGGGGGCAACTTGTCTCTTAACAGTTGGCAACAATATGATAAAGACATAACATCTTGAGGTGGTAATTAAGAAAGCATATGTTTAGAAGCTTAATAGTTCCAATAGTTATGGAAGCAGCTTTATAGTTCAAATAGTTTGTACGAGCGGCTTTATAGTTCAAATAGTTCAAATAGTTCAAATAGTTCAAACAGGTCATATAGTTCATATAGTTCATAGGGACGGAGGGGGAGCTACAGGAAAGGTGAAAAATCCACCTCTTCGTTTAAACCAGGGTGGACCGTAGCCCTCAAAGTATGGATCCAAAACCCTCTCTCTTTGGAAAAGACCCTTTAAACAGTCTCCTCCTCCGGGATCCTGGAGGATGACCTCTATTACCATGACCCTGAAGGAGCTGAGGGTGGTTTAGTTCTAGTTAAGGTTTAGTTCTACTTCAGTCCTAGGAGAGACCTGTTGAAGTCCTATTCTAGTCCCAATATAGTCCTGGATGTTTAGTCCTGGTCTAACCATGGTTTAGTTAAACTGAATGGGACATGTTTCTTTTTTTTTGTTTTATTTTTTAGATCCAGTTCCTAGTTTAGTTCTGTAGACCTGATTGAGGCTATAGTCCTGGTTTAGTCCTCACTTTTAATCAAACACGGAACATTACTCGTAGTGCAGACATGGTTTGGAATTCACTTTGTACAGTAGATAGAACATGTATGTGTATACAGTAGATATTATATAGACAGACATGTTTTGTGGTCCTCCTCTGTGGCTCTCTCCTCTGTGTACACTGCTCCTCGCGCCTGGTTAGTTCTGCCTGACAGAGCCGCTGTGTTGAGTTAGCCTTTCCCAGAGGCAGACGTGCGACCACGCAGAAATGAATGTCATCTGCCGCTTTGAAAACCCACCAGAGGTTTCAGACTAGATTGAGACCAGCACAGAGCCCCTCCTCCTCACGGTTCGATGGGTACGAGCTAACAGCTTTGCCCCCGATGCCCCCCGGATACAGTAATCCACCCCCAGGCTCTGCCCTTCTGCCCCTGTCCCCCTGGTCAGGTGTTTACAAATTTATCAAACCTCATTTTCAGCCCAACTGCACCTTTAAGTACCGTGTCTAATGTAAAAAAAAACATCTCACAAAGAAAAGAGTTGAAATCAAAACTTCAATCTCAGTTTAATGGTGCTATATTATGTCAAACTCATGGTATGATGACATTACGCTATCAAAAACAGACATGGAATTGTGTTTTATTTCATTCACATGTGTTTGAGTAACACTTTATTATTAGTCTGTCTACACCTCCAAAGGTCAAAATGCTCTGTTCCACCTTGTGACATCATGTAGTGGTAGTTTTCAAGTTAACAATTAGCTTTTACCTTTAGTTCAGTAGACATTTGCAATTCCAGAGCTGAAATCATACAAATGATTCCAGTGAAGGTGTACGGCGTTTAAAAACACAGGGGAGCACTTCCTGTATTACTGCATGACATCACAAGTTGGAAGAGAGTGTTTTCAGTTTGAGAGAAGAGCTCAACCTAAATATGCAGGATGTGTGTGTTAAACATGTGTGAATGAAACAAAATACAACTCCAGGTCTGTTTCTGATGAGGAAACGACATTAGAACTAGCCAGGCCAGTGCCTCCGCTCAATTTCATTTCTCTCCAGTGACAAGATCAGGAATCGGAATAGACAGTTTGCAAGAACTAGACAGTTTGCAAGAACCCCGGAGGTTGTAGATCGCGCACCGGCCAATCAGCGAAGATCTGTGAAACTGTGACGTCAAACTCGTCGCGCTTGTCTGGGTCCCTTTTGTGGAACAGCACAACAGTAAACAAAGCGTCGAGATGGATGTAGACAAAGACAGACATTCTGTGTTGGCAATGATTCCCGAGATCGAGGATTTAAAGCTGGAACAAAGAGAATGTTTGGTGAATTTTATCAAGGGGAAAGACGTTTTTGTCCTTCTTCCTACAGGATTTGGCGCATTACATACTTCACGACCAAATAGCAGCGATTGGTTCAATAAAAAAAGTACCCACCCACTGTTGAGCAAATGAATCCTAATGCTGCAAGGTTAGACGGTTTCCATGAAGTGAAACCGGCTGATGAGTCAGGCTACATTAGAACATCATCACATCAGAAAATAGCACAATACAGATCCTTTAATGGTGGCACTGCCCTTCACAGTAGCACTGTGGGGTAGAAATCGCACGGTAACTAAAAGTGTAATTATGGTTGTGGTTAATGGATACATCTGTCCTTCTACTTAACTTCACTGTAATATTAATAATCCTTACTCAGTATATGAAACCTGTGAATTATCTGGAAGCAAATAACTTGCTATTTCCGTCCTATTACCACTATGCTAATTGGATGGAACTGTGCTAACAAGTAAATAAGTAAGTAAAGGTTGTCATGATACAAACATTTCAAACTTAATTTTAATGCTAGAGTAAAATGTTGATATTCAGTTTTGACACTATCTGATATATCTGATGTTCTCGTCTTATACCACAGACAGCTGCCTCTTCACCATCTCCAGTGTAATCACAGTTTTATACAATTAATGTCATTTTCCAACACAGAATAATAATTCTTTTCTTTCATTTTACTGTGTGATTATACTACTTCTGAAAATGTTCAAGTTTGATCATAATATTTCATTAGAGTATGCGGTTTATGCATTTTCCTGACCTTTGCATTGCAACACTGTAATTTCATCACTGTGGGACAAAAATAGATTGTATAAAGAAGTGGACTAAGCATGGGAGCATGATGTCACCCACAGCATCACTCAACAAGACTAGCAGTCATAGGGGTGAATTTAGAGCCAAGTTTCATATTAGGAATTGGAATTGATTTTGGGACAACACATCCATCCATCCATTTCCTTCCACTTTATCCGGGGCCGGGTCACAGAGGCAGCAGTGTGAGCAGGGAGGCCCAGGATTCCCTTTCCACACACACTTCAGCCGAAAGACATAGTCCCTCTAGCATATACGTACTCGGTCTTCCCCGGGGCCTTCTCCTGGTGGGATGTGCCGGGAACACCTCTGCAGTTTTCCAGAAGGCATCCAGAAAAGAAGCCTCAGCTGGCTCCTCTCGTAGTAGAGCCGCTAATCCTCCACATCAAGGTCCTCTCATGTGACTGAGCTCCTCACCATATCTCTAAGGGAGGTGTATCTGTGATTTTGTCCTTTCGGCCATTACCCAAAGCTCATGACCATAGGTGAGAGTACGAACGTAGCTTGACCCACCCCAACGGACCGACACACCGACCGCATCACTGCCGACACTGCACCAATCTACCTGTCAATCTCACGCTCCATCCTCCCCTCACTCGTGAACACAATCTCGAGATACTTGAACTCCTCTTCTTGAGGAAAGGACTTTCCACCCACCCAGAGAGGGCAAGCCACCTTTTTCTGGGTCAGGAAAATCATGGCCTCGGATTTGGAGGAGCTCATCCTCATCCCAGCCTCTTCACACTCAGCTGCAAACCGCCCCAGTGCATGTTGTAGGCTCTGGTGATCAATACGATGAAGCCAAAAAACACTAGTATCATGTAGAGCGGGTTCAAAGGAACATTTTAAGACCAAAATGAAAAGGCTCACTGCAACAGTTACAGGGAGTGGTGACGTTTTTTTGCTTTTGTTTTTTTTTTAATTTGAAGCAGTCGATGGAGCCAGGAGCACCTCCACGCTGACTTCCTATTTGGAACACGGCAGGTCATAAATATAGACTGTATATATGAATGGAGATATATTCTCTGTAGCATGTTATTAATTTCATAAATGCAACACAATATAGTCTTTTATACTTAGCATACAGGTTAAAAAATGATGTGCAGTGTTCTCCTCATTTTAGAGTCAAAAGAGTTTTGTGGCTCCGGGTGTTTTCTTTTCTGTGGGAGACGCTCCAAATGGCTCTTTGAGTATTTTCAGTTGCCGACACAAGTTTATATTATGTTTGAATAGTTTTCAGCTTGATTTGTAACTGAGTTTATTAAGTACTTTAACTCAAGTAGATATCCATCTTATTTCAGTATAGTCAAGTGATTTACCCATTGGCTACGTCCGTGTCATAGTTGAAATTGTAATCTGCTTTTCAAGGTGGTATAAAGAGTGCTCTTCAAAGTCATGGCTTCTTGCATATTAACACCTGTCATTGTAGAAAGTGGGTCCTGGCTTTGGGCACACATTTGTGTACAAATGTGCAACAGCTTTTTAATCCCAAACAGAAAATCCTCGAAGTCTGAGCAGTAGTTTTTAACAAGCCCTGTCGTGTCCTGGAGTCCTGTGCTGTAGTAGAGCTTTCTGTGTTACTCGGAGTTAGTGAGTAGTCTATGTCCTAATGACAGACGTGTTTTTGAGAATCTAAAGGGCGTCCGTGACAATTTAGGCCAAAATGACTTCATAGTTTATAATGATCTCAAAATATGGAAAAATAAATATGTAATTAAAAAGTTATTAATTTAGAAACAACTCCCATCTCTCCAAAGTATTTAAAAAAGGCTTTGCAAAGTTAAAGGGCCCATGTTATAATGTTTCCTCATCACAAACAAACCTGGAGTTGTGTTTTGTTTCATGCACATGTTTAACACACAAACTCTGCATATCAAGTCTAGGGCTGGGTATCATTAAGAAATTGCAGATAAGATACATACTTCAATACAGAGGCCATGATATAATACAGTACATAACTCGGTACGATATATTTAAAATCAATTTGATTCAATAAAAAAAATAAAGGCTAAATCATGGATGTGATAATTCAAGTCTTTGTTAAACCACTTCTTGTGCAAAGTTCATATGAAAAATGAAAATTTTAGTCATCAAAATGTCAAAACTTTTCTTTTCCTAAACAAGCAACAAAACTGCAGTGCTGTAATTTTGTAAAATACAGGTATACAAAAAATACTCTTGGTGATAACCCAACCCAAAACATGCTACATAGGTCTCCAAGAACAGTTCAAGAACATTTGATATGTAATGAACCTGCCCAGGGACGACAAGTGGAAATTATCACTGGTGCTACAACCTGATGTAAAATGCATCTCTCCTGTCAAGGTTAATGTAAAAATTGTGCGCTGTCCCCGTCTAAAATAAATAAATAAATAAAATATATCAATACAGCAGCCCAGAATATCGATACTGCCTCATCACATTAAACAATACTATTCATCGATATTTCAATATTTTTGCACACCCCTAATCTAGGCTCAGTTCTTCTCTCAAGCTGAAAACACTCTTGTGATGTCATGTGGTGATACAGGAAGTGCTCCACTGTGTTTTTAAACGGCGTACACTTTCACTAGAATCATTTGGATCATTTCAGCCCTGGAATCACCAACCTTTACTGAGCCAAATGTAAAACGTAGCTTCTAACTTGAAAAGTAACGTTTCATGACATCACAAAGTGGAACAGAGCATTTTGAGCTTTGGCGATGTAGACCGACTAATAATAAAGGATTACTCAAACAACTCCAGGTCTGTTTTTGATGAGGTAACAACATTATAATGTGGTTTAAAACTTTGCATAATATTGGACCTTTCAAGCCAAAAATACGTTCTTGTTTTTGACTTACTTTTACATATAAAAATATTAAAGAATCCTATATTTTATTAAAGAATAACTGTAACATTTTTCTGGTGGAGGGTACGCCCCATGCTTGTCTCTATGGAGATTATCGCATTGTTTGGGATGTTTCGCAATATAGCAGTAAACGTATTGTCTATCAGTTGAGTTAATTGCTAAAAATGTCTTGGGAACAAAAGGACAGTGCATTCTCCTCTCCACAGATCTGACCTGTAACTCCTGGCGATGCCACCTGCTTGTCTCCATGGAGATCAATATGTTTAATGCCATACTGTGAAACAATACAGCACTAACATTTACATGGATACAAGCAGAAGGCAGACTCTCCACCAGAAATGTTCCTTAATACGATGTTTAATAATGTAAAATGATGAGTGTTTAGGACAAATTGCATAAAACATGAACTTTTTTAATGCAGTTCAAACAATGCCAAGCTTTTAAAATGTCACATGTGCCTTGTAGATTCTTAGATCTTGATTTGTGCTTTAAAAGAAACAGGTAAGTGGTGTTTGATTAGTGTAATATCACAAAATCAACTGTCTTTGAATAATGACGTAAATGCAGACTTGTAATACGTTTGCGTGTGTCCTCAGGCTCGTATGGATCGCACAGACATAGGGACTCTGCTCATCCCCAACATGAGGCTGTCTGACTCGGGGGTCTACACATGTGTGGGCAGCAACAGCGTCGGCTCCAACAGCGCCCCCATCAGAGTCACTGTGCTCAGAGGTAACGCAACACAGGCGGAGTGTAAAGGAAGACGAGCTCAAGAATTTACTGTTTTGTTTTACTTTATCTATCGTATTTTTCTGACTATAAGTCTCTCCGGAGTATAAGTTACACCAGCCCAAATATGCGTAATGAAGAAGAAAAAACATATATATGTCACACTTTTTGGGGGAAATTTATTTGATAAAATCATAGACCAGGAACAGACATTTCATCTTGAAAGGCAAGTTCTAGTAATAACGATAGAACAGAGAACAACAGGCTGTTAACGTCACATATGAACAGTTCTTCAGATAAACTATTGCTTAAACAACAGAACAAGTTTACCTAACTCCTTTCTAATTATCTTATTTAATCATCTCACTTTACTTTACTCCTCAGCAGACCATGTGTCTTCAGGCGTCACGATCCAGCCTTCCATCGCTGATGTTCAGGAGGGACAGAGTCTGGAGCTCAACTGTTTTGCTCCTGGAAACCCTCCTCCTCAGGTCACGTGGACCAGAGCCAGCGGTCGCCTCTCTTCCAATCACCAGGTAACACTCAAGTTCTCCAATAGACTAAAGTCAGGACTACTGTATTTTTCAGACTGTAAGTTGCTCCGGAGTGTAAGTATTTAAAAAAGGCTTTCCATGTTACGTGTTTTTCTGATCTATGTTATGTTTCCTCATCACAAACAAACCTGGAGTTGTGTTTTGTTTCATTCACATGTTTAACACACAAACTCTGCATATCAAGTCTAGGGCTGGGTATCATTAAGAAATTGCAGATAAGATACATACTTCAATACAGAGGCCATGATATAATACAGTACATAACTCGATACGATATATTTAAAATCAATTTGATTCAATAAAAAAAATAAAGGCTAAATCATGGATGTGATAATTCAAGTCTTTGTTAAACCACTTCTTGTGAAAAGTTCATATGAAAAATGAAAATTTTAGTCATCAAAACAGTGAAAATGTCAAAACTTTTCTTTTCCTAAACAAGCAACAAAACTGCAGTGCTGTAATTTTGTAAAATACAGGTATACAAAAAATACTCTTGGTGATAACCCAACCCAAAACATGCTACATAGGTCTCCAAGAACAGTTCAAGAACATTTGATATGTAATTGAACCTGCCCAGGGACGACAAGTGGAAATTATCACTGGTGCTACAACCTGATGTAAAATGCATCTCTCCTGTCAAGGTTATTGTAAAAATTGTGCGCTGTCCCTGTCTAAAATAAATAAATAAATAAAATATATCAATACAGCAGCCCAGAATATCGATACTGCCTCATCACATTAAACAATACTATTCATCGATATTTCAATATTTTTGCACACCCCTAATCTAGGCTCAGTTCTTCTCTCAAGCTGAAAACACTCTTGTGATGTCATGTGGTGATACAGGAAGTGCTCCACTGTGTTTTTAAACGGCGTACACTTTCACTAGAATCATTTGGATCATTTCAGCCCTGGAATCACCAACCTTTACTGAGCCAAATGTAAAACGTAGCTTCTAACTTGAAAAGTTACGTTTCATGACATCACAAAGTGGAACAGAGCATTTTGAGCTTTGGAGATGTCGACCGACTAATAATAAAGGATTACTCAAACAACTCCAGGTCTGTTTTTGATGAGGTAACAACATTATAATGTGGTTTAAAACTTTGCATAATATTGGACCTTTCAAGCCAAAAATACGTTCTTGTTTTTGACTTACTTTTACATATAAAAATATTAAAGAATCCTATATTTTATTAAAGAATAACTGTACATTTTTCTGGTGGAGGGTACGCCCCATGCTTGTCTCTATGGAGACTGTTTCCCCTCACATTCCTTGGTTTGGTTTGATTTGTTTGCGCACACCTGGGCCTAATTAAATGATTACAGAGACACACCTGGTTACCTGGTTTTTTGGTCTTGCTGCCATCTACTGGCCAGACTAAAAATAACCTAATCAACTAATAACTAGAAAAGCAGTCAGAGAGCGCAGACCTCCGCCAAGGACTACCCCCATTTTTTATATAAATTGCCATAAAATCAGTCTTCTGGATCAGATCCGGATCAGCCTTTGGAATATGAAAGAGGATCCCATTGTCCATCCCTGAGTCAAATTTCATGGGGTTTGGTCAATAATTAACCGAGATATTGAGAAACAAAATTTTTGGCCCCATTTACCACAATGTTAACTAGGGATGGGCATGATTAATCGATTAATCGATAATTGATCATTAAGAATTTCATCGATTACGTTAATTTTAATCGACAAACCGAATGCAGGTTGCTGTGTGTAGCGTGACCAAACAAGGGTCTGTACATGTGTCTCTGCATCAGAAGGAGCGAGACACAAACAGTGGGTCAGTCTGCAACGTACCGAAGCACAAATGCGTATTTAACGATGATTTGTACAAGAAATTCCACGCTTTCCATTGCGTTCGGGACAAGTGGGAGTCCATGTGCACAGTGTACAAAGCAGGAATATATGTTTTGGTGTCCAGTGGGAAAAAGTTTTGTCAGGTGAGAGTCGCTCAATGTCGATGACGAGTCCCCACCTCCCTCCCCCCGTACGGTGTCCTGGTTTTAACAAACGCAAATCTGGTCACACTAACCTGTATTCCACTGAGTCATGTCTTTTAATCCTACAGAAGTTGACCGCATCAGCGACACAAGAGCTGTACTTTTCTCTTCACTTAGTTTATGCAAATTAGCGATGCGGTTTTAAGTTTTGTTTCTGTGAGTTGCACAAAACTGAATTAAGCACACAGCTGAATTTATTTATGCACATTAGTAGTGCAGATAGTAATAATAATGATGATCATTTTAATATAAAATCGTTAATGACTAATTGATAATCGATCGTTAATTCTTCCGACGATCGATTAAGAAAATTTCATCGAATGCCCATCCCTAATGTTAACTAAAATTTCAAAGTGATCCAGAATCCAGGATTTCTTCTGGATCACCCCCAAAATGAAATCAGTTCTTCCTTTTCACATTTCCAACAAATCCTGAAAATTTCATCAAAATCGGTCCATAACTTTTTGAGTTATGTTGCTAACAGACAAACAAACAAACAGACAAACGCCGGCAAAAACATAACCTCCTTGGTGGAGGTAAAAAGGGGAGGGGAGGAGAGGGGAGGAGCGGTGAAGAGGAAGAGGAGGGAGCAGAGGTGAGAGGAGAAGGGCTCAGGAGTGGAGGTGAAGATTTGGTGCAGGGGCTGGGCTTTTTGACTTGACAAACATATTTAAATCGCACTAGACTATAAGTTGCACTTTTTGGAGGAAATTTATTTTATAAAATCTGGGACCAGGAACTGACATTTTATCTTGAAAGGCAAGTTCTAGTAAGAACAACAGAATAACAACAGGCTGAATAGGCGTTAATATGTTAATGCAACATATGAACAGTTCTTCAAATAACAATAGCATAAACAACAGAACATAATCTTACCAAACTCTCGCTCTCACTCCAAATTACTAAATCCATTGAATCCATTGAATTCTTCATCCTCGGTGTCACTTCTGAGCAACTCTGCACAACTTCTGTTGTCACTGAAGTCCAGGCTTTGTCATCCAGTGACTTCTAGGAAAGTTGTATGGTGCACTTGATCGGTTGCTGTAAAGCTGTGTTCTCCATTGCCGCTTTCCAACAGTCCCACACAAGTTTCTCGCTCACTCCAAACTTTCTTTCTGTGGCTCGGTTACCATTTTCTGCTGTATATTTCACTACTTGTAGCAAGACAGCGACTTTTTCTGCAGGAGACATGCGCAGAAAACTGATACACAAGCCTAGAGTGCACTCTCGCAGCTCTCAGTCTGAATATTTTAATATATAAGTCACACCGGAGTATAAGTCGCAAGAAACACCCAAACCATAAAAAAAGTGCCACTTATAAATATCAACGTCATTTCAATCAACATTTTAGTTTTAAGAAGCTGAAACCTGGAGCAGTCCTCCTGAAGATGTGAGACAGGCCTCTACTGTGACAATGTTCAAATTCAGGCTTTTAATATACAATTTATTGATGATCATTTATGTTTTGATTTGTTTATATTGTGATTTTAATGCTTTTATGATAGTTTGAATTACTTTGCGTACAATTTGCCTTGCCTTGAGAACGATGTAACAGTGATCACGATTTTGCAATTATTCACAATTAATGACACTATAACCAAACCACAGTGACTCCTAAATATTCTTGTCTAATTAATTACCAATCCTCAAGCTTGTGACCAGCTTTACAGAATCAAATGTTCTGAATAATGAAGTTTCTTGAAGTTAATGTGACAGAAACAGCGAGATAAAAACATTTGTGACTTGATTCTGATGAACTAAATACATGTCTGTAAATTGTAAATTCAATTATGCAGTAAAAGTCTGTTGTAATAAATTAACTTCACTTCACATTTCTGTGTATATTTCTGTTTTGACTTGTGTTTTGTGTGTGCAGATTTTAGGTAATCAGCTGCGTATCCTGTCTGCCTCCCCTGAAGACTCTGGGGAGTATATCTGTCAAGTTCAGGGTCCTTACGGAAGCCCGGGAGGTCAAATCCGCCAGTCCTCCGTCTCTGTGTCTGTGACTTCATCCAGCTCACGTAAGCCTTGACTTTTATTCACAATGCAAGGTTTAGGTTAATGGATTCTGAAAAGATATATGGATTTAATTACAAGACGACAGTTAAAGTTGAAATTGTATTGTAGAATTTATTGCATCTATTGCCATTTAAATGAAAATACTTATGTCCAGGTTTAATGTTACTTTCCTGGTATTTGTTTGTAGCAATATGAAAGAAAAACTGGCACAAAGCTTAACATCTCTGTCATACAATACTTGATACTCAAATGAGATAAACAGGTGACGGACCCTCCAACAGAAAAGTTTCATTGTGTGTTTTTTACATATTTACCAAGAAGGACCTGTCTGTTTACTGTTTACTTAACATTTCATAAAGTAGGACATAACTCTTATTAAATTAAATAGTCCATCCATCCATTTTCTTCTGCTTATCCGGGGCCGGGTCGCGGGGGCAGCAGTCTAAGCAGGGACTCCCAGACTTCCTTCACCCCAGACACGTCCTCCAGCTCCTCCGGGGGGACCCCGAGGCGTTCCCAGGCCAGCCGAGAGACATAGTCCCTCCAGCGTGTCCTGGGCCTTCCCCGGGGCCTCCTCCCAGTGGGACATGCCCGGAACACCTCCCGAGGGAGGCGCCCAGGAGGCATCCGGAACAGATGCCCGAGCCACCTCAACTGGCTCCTCTCGACATGGAGGAGCAGCGGCTCTACTCCGAGCTCCTCCCGTGTGACTGAGCTCCTCACCCTATCTATAAGGGAGCGCCCAGCCACCCTGCGGAGGAAACTCATTTGGAGCGCTTGTATCCGCGATCTTGTCCTTCGGTCATTACCCAGAGCTCATGACCATAGGTGAGAGTAGGAACGAAGACTGACCGGTAAATCGAGAGCTTCGCCTTTCAGCTCAGCTCCCTCTTCACCACAACGATCCAAGACAGCAACCGCATCACTGCAGACACTGCACTGATCCGCCTGTCAGTCTCACGCTCCGTCCTCCCCTCACTCATGAACAAGACCCCGAGATACTTGAACTCGTCCACTTGAGGCAGGGACTATCCACCCACCCGGAGAGGGCAAGCCACCTTTTTCCGGTCGAGAAATAAATTAAATAGCTTCAAGAAATTTCAGAAAGTTGATTATGGGTGGGAAAATGATGACTGAGTAGGGAGGTTGTCATTACTCATGAATAAGTAGAGATATGCATCTGTGACATTTACTTGTGTTCTGTTTTTTTGAACACAGTGTTGAGTTGTGTTGGTAAAGTTGAGACAACAGCAGCTTTATTGTCAAATTTTCCAGGGCAGTGTTGCATCGCCTATTTCTGTGATTAAATATGGCAGCGTAGGAAATGAAAGAGGCTCAGTCATCCACATAGGAGGGCCCGTACTGCAGGGAGGATGTTTTTCTCACATTTAGTTTGTGCTGCATTCTCCCTCCGTCATAGCCCAGGCTAACCTCAGTAAAGGCTTCTCCATGCTACTGTCCCATGATCTCACTTTATCTCCCCCTCTCCTCTCCTCTCTGCTCTGCTCTTATAATGTGGATGTTTTTACGCTGTGTATTCTCCATGGGCTCTGTCAGATCCATATGTTGACAGCTGTGTTATACGTCTCTTTGTTTGCAGGTCTGCAGAGCCCAATCATCGGCACTGAGCCTCACTCGGCCGCAGTGCACGTGGGAGAGACAGTGAGCTTCAGGTGTAAAGTGTACAGTGGAGCTGAGCCTGTGCGCATGGAGTGGAAGGGCTCCAATAACCAGCCTCTGCCAGGTACAGACTCTACTCTGACATGATTATACTGGGCAGCACAGGTTTGCACAGAAAAGCTCTATAAACACATCAAAGAGTCTAAAGTCCATGATTTAATCATTCAGTCACAGTCTGGGTCAGCTTTTCCTGCACCAACAGCTGCCCTGGGGCAGTCGGCTGCCTCTTTGACTCTCCCATCTCAAATAATCACAGTCGTGATGGGAAGTATTTGTGAACCATTGGTTTAGTTGGCAGAGGATGCTCACCTCTTAGCTCCCACAGAGAACTATTTCTAATTTAGCTAAATCCATCACACTCACACCTTACATACACAGTCTGTTCATTTGTGTGCACTGTCCACTCCATATGAACAAATACAGTAATCTAAAAGCCAGTCTAGTCTCATTAAAATGTCATATTTTACAGAAAACATCAAAGTGAGTCCTGATGGTTCAGTTCTTACCATTGTGAACGCTCGTCCAAGTAACCATGGAGCCTATCGCTGTGTGGCCAGTAACCCGTTCGGCATCACCCAAACCATAGTGTCTCTGATCGTCAGAGGTAACTGCACTTGAATACTGTATGAGTACTTCAATACACAGTACTTCATGTAGAACACAGTACTGTATGAGGAGGAAGTAGGTTTAATAAGCACAATACACTGGAATGGCAATTTATATACACATACAGATAAAAAACATTTACACTTGCACTCCCGTTTCTTCCATCAACTCAAAGTTTTCTTTTTGTTTCACAAAATGATCACACATTCACAACCACAAATGGCACTACATTTCATATTAAAAAATGAAGTACTGTTTGTTGCTACTCAGATAAATAAAATAACTGAACTCCCCAAGCCACACTGGTGAACACCACACAGTGGACATCGGGCTGTAAATAAGTGTGACAATCTTTTCTCTCCTTATTATGCAGAGATGTGCCTATCTTTTTCACTTGTTGCATATTGGCAGATTCTCCATGTGCTTGACAATGGCTCCCTCTTGTGGTGAGTAGTGAATATTAATTGCTTTATTATTCCAGGTGCCACAGACTCACCGGTTGTCACGGTGAGCCCGGCCAGTCCTGTGCGTGTTCAGGCCGGGGAGCCCATAAACCTGGAGTGCCAGGGCTCAGGGGAGTCCCCCGTCTCTGTGTCCTGGCACAGACTCGACAACAACAGGAAAGTCATGATGATTAGCCGCTTCCCCATGGACTCCAACGCTGTCATGCAGGTATGGAACAGTCAGAATACACTCCATTTTAGACTCCGCTACATTTATGGAAACATTATCAAATGACACCAATCTGAGCAAAAAAGGTCTAAATAATATCCATGGAATTGTGTCTGGCAGGAGGGATTTTGCAATAGTTTGCTCAGGACAAATTACACAAATTATTGCTCTGAATAACTTTGCTAATCAAGTAACTCTAAGTGGAACATTTTCCAGGGCACACCTAACAACCCCTCAATGCACACTAGTGTTCCTGGGCACACTGGCTGAAAATCAGTGCTCTGTTTTATCCTCTTCTCATAATGGTTTTAATAATCTATATAAAGCAGTTTTGGTAATATGTATTAAAGTTGCTTTATAAATACATTTTAATTAAGTTTGAAATAGTTTGCCTATTTTAGACTGCCCCCTGACTATCTGTATAACTGTCTAACTAGTTAAAAATGTCTTGGTTTCTGTTTTGTCCAGGTGCTGTTTGCTCGTCCTGAAGACAGTGGGACATATGTGTGTGTGGCTCGTAACAGTAAAGGCACTACAGAGACTAAAGTGGAGGTGTTTGTGGAGGGGGGGTCCCAGCTCCCCTCTGTCCCTCGCGCCTCTGTGTCTGAGCCCCTCTTGATTGCGGTGGAGGGGCAGACAGCCATTCTGCGCTGTGACGCTCACGGTAAGAGGTCACTACACAGGAGAATATGACTGTACACACATTTGCCTTCATATAATTTAAATATCCCATATGGAGGGCCAGGGCCTTTGTAACTGGGCCTACGTCACTTTATGTTACTTTATATGATATTTTGTTAGTGATTTTTGTTAGTAACAAAGTAATATTAATCTTGATTTGAATCTTGTGGCTTGACTGAAATGGTCTGAGAACATAATCTTGAAATCTTGAAAAAAACAAAGTCTACCTCCCCTCTAGTGTCTAGGGATGGTTTGCTTCTTTTCTTGTGGTAGCTCCTTGTCAAAGCCTGATCTGATCAGATCTAGGGCCTGGGGCCTGGTTAGTACTGGTACTTGAATGGGAAACCTCTGGTGGGCAAGGCACATCTTCCACATTATCTTGTATGAGTGTGCTGTGTGGTCAGAGGGTCTGGTGGCACAGATAGGAAGCCTCACTTTTGTCAGTCTACCCCAGGGCAGCTGTGGTGACAACAGCAGCTTACCATCACTGAGTACAGAGTGAATGATTAATGCACAATGCAATAGTAAAGCGACATGGAGCGTCTGGCAAAAATGTTTTATAAGACTGATGCATTATCATAATAATGATTTATCTCTTTGTATTTTTTGTAGGTTTCCCGGCTCCAACCATCTCGTGGTCGAAGCTGCGCGCTCCGTTGCCATGGAGACATAAAATCGAAGATAACGCTCTGATCCTTCCCGCTGTGGGACGTCAGGACTCAGGAGAATACATCTGCACTGCCTCCAACAACATGGGCACCTCCGAGGCCACCATCACACTGGAAGTGGAGAGTCAGTTTATTTAAATGTTTTTTTCATGGATTTTTACTAACAAAAACATAGTAATCAGAAACAGCAACTCAGTACTCCCTTTTTAAAATGTACACTGTAAATTTAATCTTGACTTTAAAATCTAAATCACAAATAAAAACAAATACTGAGGTTACAGAATTACAAAAAAATATATATTTAAAAAAAAATGAAATTACCACTCCGCAAGTGCAGTCCTTGTCCTAGTAATCTTGGCCTACATCATCAGAGGTATAATACTCCCTACAACAGAAGCATAGCTAGACTGGACTGGATAAGACAATACTTCAATTTATTATACTACAAGATTTTTAGAAGTTTAAGTACCTGGAATAGTGTTTTTGGTTAATTCATGCATTTTTTGACTAGTCCCACTTATTCAGTCCAAAAAAACTCTTTCACCTGCTCATGTGGTACCCTCTGTCTGCTGTCTTTGCTCCTCTGTATTTTTGAAGTGCATAAATCTTATTAAAACACATTTCTATTTTCCTCTCCAGCTCCTCCGTACACCACCTCCACCCTGGACGACGTGGCTGTGCGTGTGGGTGAGGTGATCCGGCTGCAGTGTCTGGCTCATGGGACCCCTCCTCTCTCCTACACCTGGACCAAAGTGGGCGGAGACCTGCCCTCCAGAGCTGAGGGCGAAGGAGGAGATCTGCAAATCAACCTGGCAACCACTGAAGACGCCGGCAGCTACAAGTGTGTGGTCAGCAACAGAGTGGGCAGCAGTGAAGTGGTGCTCAACGTCAACGTTAGATGTAAGTTTTCTTCTGAGTATTATTATTATTATGACTGATATATAAAGACGAGGGGATTTTACCGCAAAAGTGATAGAGGAACCACATTTTGTGAAGTTACTGAACAATAATACTACTCAAGTAGCAGTACAAAGTAGGTGGTAGTAGTGGTCCAAGAAAATACTCAAACATGTATTTGTCAAAACTATTACTAAAGTAAAAGTAATAGACACATCAAGAATCTCTGACTTCGGGGAAGGATTTTCCAAAAAAGTGAGCATCAAACCGCCATGTTTGTTTTCCCAGTGGGATGTGTCTATTGACAAAGTCGATCTTTTCTAGTCTTTTGAACCATATCACTTTTGTTTCTGGTTCTGATATTGTCATATTTTAGTTCTGGGATTCTGTTTTCCGCTGTTAGAACATCCAACAACCACACAATTACGATGTCCAAATCCCAAAACTAAAATATGACAATATCAGAACCAGAAACAAAAGTGATATGGTTCAAAAGATTAGAAAAGATCGACTTTGTCAATTGCCACATCCCACTGGGAAAACAAACATGGCGGTTTGATGCTCACTTTTTCGGAAAATCCTTCCCAGTATGCATTGTGCAATGACCGGAAGTCCGAGATTCTTGATGCGTCTATTGTAATGCCATCTGCCGCATTTGAGTCATAATTTGGAGTGAAAGTAAATGAAGGACACAACATAAAATAATGCTCAAAATCTGGTATTTTCAGGACAGATAAAATTAGAAAAACTAAATCATCTAACTAAATCTGAAGTAGTAACCATTAACAATCTTTCTCAAGAAAGTGTAGTGTATGAATTCTGTAAACTACGCTTAGAAACACGCAGTATTATAAGTCGTTACAGCCCGCCATAATGTGTCCTTCCACTGCCATGCTGATGACACACAGATCTACCTCCTGCTGAGACCAAACACCCCCGGGAGCCTGGCTGCTGTGTTAAACTGCTTCAATGACGTGAACAGTTGGCACAGAACTTCCTAAAACTCAACAGCTCTAAATCCAAAATCATTTTAATCAATCCCCCCCGGTTCACCTCCCATATCAGCAACAGTCTCGGCCCTCTCACTCCCAACCTCACCCCTGCTGCCAGAAACCTCTGCGTCATTTTGACTCATATCTCAACTTCCACATGCACATCAAAAAAGTTGCCCAGTCCTGTTTTCTCCACCTCCACACAATTAGCTAAATCAAAAATATCCTTGAAGAAGTCATCCACGTGCTCATCTTCTCCCGTCTAAACTACTGCAACTTGTGACTCCAAATCCATCTCCCGCCTCCAACTGGTTCAGAACACAGCAGCTCGGCTCCACACGGGGTTTAACAGACATCAATACATGACCCTGTTTTACTTCCCTTCACTGGCTCCTGCGTGTTTTAGAATCGATTTGATTCTAAAATTTTACAGATCAATTTTAAAGCTTGCTTAGGTCTTGCACCAAGTTACATTTCAGAACTTTTAACTCTGTACGAGCCTCCCCACATCTGCAGATCCTCAGGCAGGTCCCTGTGTCTGTTCCAAAGTCCAGGCTCCGGACGAAGGTGATGGAGCCTTTTCAGTCCGGGCGCCTCGGCTTTGGAACGACCTGCCTGAAGAGATAAAGCTCGACCATCAGTATTATTTTTTTTAATCACTTCCTCAAACGAATTTTTTTATCGATTGGCCTTCCTTTAGCTGGTTTTAGCTTGACTTATTTATTTTTATTCAGTTGTATTAATTTATTATACTTGACTGGATTGGTTAGTCCTATTTTTGATTATTGTATTAACTGATCTGCCTCTTTGTCTGCTTTTGTATGCTTTCTGTGTGCTATCTTTTGCTTTTGTACAGTTTTTGTGTTGTCTATAGAGCACTTTGTAGACCTTGCTTTTAAAAGTGCTTTATAAATAAAGATTACTATTAAATCAAGATTATTATAAAGTTGAATTATAAAGCACTTGAGTTTTGTCACTACGATTCACTTGTTCTTGGAGGTAATATTATTTTCAAGTAACAGTCTTTATTGAGTTCAGTTTTACTGTTCTATCCAAGATCCAAATGGAGTTAATATCTGTGTTTCTCCCCTGTGTACAGCCCCCCTCTCGGTGAAGGTGTACCCACAGGTGGAGGTGAAAGCTCAGGGCAGCGCAGTGGAGTTCACTTGTTCGGCTGCAGGGGGCACTGAGACACAGATTGAGTGGCTGAAGGAGGGAGGAGTCCTACCACCAAACCACCACGTGAAAGAGGGAGTGCTCAGGTAACAGATGCACTGGATACATCTGAAGATTTAATGTGTTATTACAGTTTATTTATTTAAGGAGCCAACAAGCTCTAGTCCCAAAAATATTATAATTTCCAATGATAGAGGTCACTTTGTTAACAACTAAAATTTTATAAATACTTATTGGGAGAAGAAATTCAACTGAGTATATTAAAAAACAATGGGAGAAAGAAATTAAAACAGTTATATCAAACGAACAGTGGGAAAACATGTGAAACAAACTGCTCACTGAGATACTTGTTCTGCTTTATTGGCCAAAATTCAGCTGGAAAATCATAATTAGTTTTTCATAACCCCCAAGCAACGAATGAATTGGAATCCAAGCAACTCTTGATGTTGGAGGAAGGCAGATAATGAGGCTCACCATACCCACATATTCTGGTCCTGTGTGAAACTGAATACATTTTGGACACATGTTGGATGAACAGTTGGACAAATAAATGATTTAACTGTTACTCAAAATGTGATGACACTTTACATGGGGGATATACCTGATTTCCCAAGCAATGTCAGATATTTATTCAAAATACTTTGCACCTTTGCTAAAAAAGCAATTACATGTAATGGCTTCAACCAGAACCATCTTTGCTTGAGAACTGATTAAAATTAATTGAAGAAACTCATAAAATGGAACATTTGACAAACATGTTCAGGCTTCAAGCTGATGTTTACAACGCAAGATGGGCTAAATGATCTAAATATTGTAATGAAGTTTAGTTGATGGTTAGTGCTGCTCTATCTCTGTGCCTGTACAACTGAGTACCATTTCACAGTGATTGTAATATATATATATGTGTGTGTGTGTGTGTGTGTGCGTGCGTGCATGCGTGTGTTTTATATATATTATATATATATATATATATATATATTTTTTTTATTTTTTATTTTTTTTTTTTTTTCATGTAAATATATGTTAAATTTTGCTTCTGCTTTTGTTATTTTCTGTTAGCTTAAAATGCTCAATAAAAATTAAGGGACGAAAATACTTGTTAGGAATTATTTAAGAATGTATTGTGGCAAGACATTTTGTCTATTTGTGTGCATGTTAATAAAGTCACTGTATGAAAATGACCAAATGCTACGTCCTCTGTAAAAGGAGCAAGTCAAAAACAGATTCAGATTTTTTTTTACTTATATACAAAAAGATAGAATTTCTTGTAATGCATCTTTTTTCCCCCCAGAATTGAGAACCTTGAGCAGAGCAATGAAGGAGTTTACATCTGCAGAGCCACAAGCGCCTATGGTCAGGCCCAGGACACCGCCAGACTGAGCATCCAGGGTGAGTCAGCATTCAACCACAACTAGAATTCTTCTTTTACCAGCAGTCTTAGCTGTGCAGGAATAATACACAGACTAAAGAAACATGGTATTGATACAGTACTGCCAAAATGTATTCGTATGAAAAAATACACTATATAGAAATACTAATCATTTATCTCACCTAGAGTCACAATATAATTATAAGAATTTGACTAGTGAGCCATTAGGCAGAACCTCTTTCATTTCTCTATGTTAATGGCATAAAAAATAAGTATTTCAATATATTTGTAGGGTCTGTCAAATACCTGATCATAACTGTACAAGCCTATTCCTCCATTTCCCAATTTGTTCCAGTACTTGCTTTACAAATAAGCCCTGTCCAGTAAGTTGAAGGAGGTCAGTTTGGCTCTGATATACTACAGATATATTTTGTAATCAGTCTTAATCAGTGTTATAATTGTAATTGTAATCAATCAATCTTTTTATCGCGGATACAAGCGGTCGAAATGAGTGGCTGGGCGCTCCCTTAGAGATAGGGTGAGGAGTTAAGTCACACGGGAGGAGTTCGGAGTAGAGCCGCTGCTCCTCCATGTCGAGACGAGCCAGCTGAGGTGGCTCGGGCATCTGTTCCGGATGCCTCCTGGACGCCTCCCTCTAGAGGTGTTCCGGGTACGTCCCATCGGGAGGAGGCCCCAGGAAAAACCCAGGAGATGCTGGACGTCTCTCAGCTGGCCTGGGAACTCCTAGGGATCCCTCCGGAAGAGCTGGAGGAAGTGTGTGTGGAGCAGGAAGTCTGGGAGGCCCTGCTCAGACTGCTGCCCCCGTGGCCTGGCCCCTGATAAGCGAAAGAAAATGGATGGATGGATCTCTTATGATACCGCTACCTCAGTCTAGCTACGTTTTGTAATCCTCTGTATTATTATTATTATTTATTTAATTTATTATTATTTTTTTTTTCAAATTTCCTTATTTATTTGTTAGGAGGGTAAGCCCCTTGAGATGCCTCACCATGATTGTCCTCAAAATCACAACAACAAAAGACAGATACAGTAGAGCAGACAGTAGGCTACATAAATTCAAATAAAGCATATAAATAAAACATAACAGCAAAATCAACACAACCATACACACACACTCACTCTCACTTGACTGTTTGAATTGCCTCCATAAGGACAGATAAAATGTTTGCATCTCTTTTTCCTCCTACAGCCCTTCCCAAAGTCATGATAAACGTGCGCACTTCGGTTCAGACTGTGATGATCGGGAACTCGGTGGAGTTTGAGTGCCAGGCCATAGGAGACCCCCAGCCCACCGTCAGATGGAGCAAAGTGGGAGGAGCCCTGCCCCCCCACATCGTCGTAAAGGGGGGCATGCTGAAGATCGAGCAGGTGACCGAGGCAGACGCCGGACAGTACAGATGCACCGCCACCAATGATGTGGGCTCAGTGCAGTCTCAGGTGGTCCTCAATGTACAGTGTAAGTGCTACTCTTACTTTTGAATCTTCTGTACCTGCTGGTTACTAGGGATGTAACAAGAACCAAAATATGTGATATCATTTCGTCAAAAGTCTCACAATAATATCGTTAGGAGTCACAGTATATTGAATCACGATAAGTTCCTTTGCTTAAATGCATTGTTTTACAGCTGCAATAGTTATTAAACCTCAGGAACTACATATCCCATGATTCATTTTGGCGTAGACAACACAAAGAAATATGTTTTTTACTTGAATTCTTCAGATTATGATGGAAATAATTCACACCAAAATCTTGTCAGGGTATTTTAAAAGCAAAAAGGCATCCTATCTACAATTATATCAGCCTCTCCAAAATATCGTAATAATATCGTACCGTGAGATTTGGATATCATTACATCCCTACTGGTTAATATTTGTTCTGTGAAATGTATTATGAAAGTGTACTCCGTAGTGCCCCCTATCATACAAATGCAAATGAACCATTAAAAGTACATATATTATCATTTTTTTCTATTTCCACTTTACCAATTACTAAAAATCAAGCGACTCTTTCTGTGGCTGGCATGTGAATTAAAGTTTTGACAAATTTTGAATAGTGCCTGGGTGCCCTCCTCCGCTCCTCCACTGCATCCGCTCCTTTTGTGCGGGTGGAGGCTCTTTCACTCTCACAATGAAACTTCTCATGATGGGAAGAGTTCAGCAGACAGCTCCTGCATCTTCCTGGACAGTTTCTCACTGTCTTTGTGGGTTGTTTTGCCACCAAATCCAAAACCAGTGGGTCTTCTGTGGCTCTTGACCACTCCCTGTTGGTATCTATCTTTTTTTTTTTTTTTTTTTTTCTTGTTTATTTACATATTATAAATTTGTATTAAACCCTATCTAAACCTAGACTGGATTAAACTAAGATTAGAATGGGGCCTTACCAAGTCTACATTAGGACTAAACTGATGAATTTAATTTAAGGCCTATAAAAGAGATTCAAAATATCAATAAATAATCTTTTATTGACCCCATTAACTCTGACATCTTTCAATATATTGTTGACAAATGGAGCATATTTTTTTCCAAATTCTTGTTGACAAATTAGGAACGTCTCAGAACATGTAATACAATGAAACTACTCAACAACTCAAGAGACAAGCAGAGAAGTAGAGATAGACAGATATTTTGACTTTTTAGTGTGTCGGCCATTGATATTTTTTTCACACTGGCCTCTACACACAAAGCTTTATTTTAATACAAATATATAATGGTTTTCTGAATGGTGCTGTGGGTGAGTTTGTATTAAATTTAAATTGCATAAATTGCATTTGAGGAAAATAATCTGCCCTATATATCAGCCTAAAAATATCGACAGAGTTTATTTACCATCGTTTCTCTGCATTCTAAACAACTGGTATCAGCATCGGCCATGAAAAAAATCCATATTGGTCGATCTCTGTTGTGAAGTCCTTTTACTTCAGTCAGATATTCATCTAATTCTCTGTTTGAACAGCTTTGCCTCAAATCGCAACTCTCCCTGAAACCAAAGAGGTGACAGTCGGCTCTGACGCTGTTTTACCCTGCGTCGCTTCTGGATATCCACTGCCTGAGATCAAATGGTCCAAGGTAATGTTAAAAAAAAAAACTAAGAGAAGGTTATTTCTTACATCATAATTCCCTGTAGTTCTGATAAAATGTTAATTGATTTTTTGACTTTCTCATTTCTAGCTGGACGGAGAACTTGCCCCGAAGTGTTCCCAGGAGGCCCATGTTCTGACAGTTCCTCGAGTTTCTCACGAAGACTCAGGCACCTACGTCTGCACCGCCTCCAACAAACAGGGCAAGGTGGAGGCCTTCACCACACTCAAAGTCCATGGTACGTCTATTCAGTAGTTTAAAGGTGCTTTGTGTAACTTTTCTGTCCATCACCCTATGTTCGAAAGTATGATATTAGACGTCTCTACCTTACATTTATTCAAATACAAGTGGGTTTATAGCTCAGAAATCCCTAGAAAAACAGGCATCCTGACTGTAAGCGGGGTCGCCTTTCCACAGATCTTACCTCTAACTTGGTCTGGTTTGGTCTCCATGGTGACCATACTGTGAAACATTCCAGACCAAACAATAACATCTCCATGGAGAAAAGCATTTGACGGACCCTCCACCAGAAAAGTTACACAATGAAACTTTAATTATATCTAAATTTAAGTATTTTGGTTTTAACAATTTTAAATGGATATTTAGTGCATTGTGTTGATTTTCTCCTTTTTTTTCTCCATGGAGATATTATTGATTTGTCTGGAATGTTTCACAGTGTGGCATTAAACCTTTCTATCTTCACGAAGACCAAATCAGATGAAGTCACAGGTCAGATCTGTGGAGAGGCGATCCCGCTCACAATCAGAATGCCTGTTTTTGTAGGTATTTTTGAGCTATAAAACCACCTGTAATCGAATAAATGTAAGTTAGAGCTGTTTAATGTCATACTGTGGAATATTCCAGACAGAGCAGTGACATCACAAGACAATTTATCGTATTTTTGGATTATAAGGTGCACTGTCATTAAATGGTCTATTTTCAAACTTTTTTCACAAATAAACCACACTGGACTTTAAATGAAACACAACAGTGTGATGGGTGAGTGGTTTTGTTTGTTTGGTGCGTTGATGGTGACTCTGGGCTTTGTTCAGTTGTGGCGTGTAGGGAGGGTGCTGTCTGGGACCAACGGATTGTCGGTGTGTTCGCACTGACTCAGTTGTTCAGTTGTGTCTAGAAGTGACACATTGCACTCGCTTTTTCGGTTTGTTTCTCCGTTCCGTTCCTCGTCGGTGTGGAGTGATGAGTGTGGCTATGGGTGTTTTTCACTGTGCAGTCGCTGTCTGCTCCATGTGTTTGCGTGCGCTGCAGGTGTTGTGGCTTTGTAGTTTACTGAAGTCGTGCTGGGACACCCGAGTGGATTCGTGTATAGGGCTCTCTGAATTGTTGGGGGTTGTTTTTTGATAGGGTTAGAGGCTTAAGAGCGCGTCTAATAGCCCGGAAAATACCGTAACAGTAATAAGTAAAAAAAAATATTTCTGGCTGCCTAAAATTATTATGGACTTATTCCTCTAAATTAGCATGATATTATCACTGACTAAAACAAAAACAAATTATTTGACTAAATTTGGACAAAATCTAAAATTCATTCATAACCCCTTTGTTAATTATATGCTAATTGTTAATATGTGGCATTAATATGTGTGATTCTTGTTCTTATTTCAGAGAGAGTGATGCCGTACTTTGCCCAGGAGCCTGTGTCGTACCTCACGCTGCCGACCATCAAAAATGCTTATAAGTCTTTTAGCATTAAGATCAACTTCAGACCCGACAATGTGGATGGTAAGTTTGGTTTTAATGGAAGCACTTCATTTTACACCTCAGCGTATTAATAAGGTCATAGACTGTGAATAGTGGAAACACAGGAACAGGCTCAGAATACAGGGACCAGAATGCACAATGGCAACAATGGATTCACACAGATTCAGAGCTTGAGTGTCACTCTTGACCGGTCAACAATCTAGCAAAGACTGAATGAACAGATGGAGTATATACAGGGTGTTTCCCAATTGCCAGGATCCTCGGCTTCTGAACCACTTTGGACAGATCCAGGTCCTCAGAGCTCCGCCAAGTGCTCCTCCAATCCCCCCAAAGCCCTCATGTCCTCCACACTCCACTCCTCCGCTTGACTCTTTTACCAAGGATGCACGGGTGGATCCTTGGCAACCTCGGAGTGCTGCAAATTGCCAACAATGCACCGCAACTTCATTTTTTACAAACTTTTTTAAGCAGTAAAATGCACTTGGATCAAATAAAACTCATTATACAATAAAAAAGAAGTAAATATTTTGCTATTTCAGCCGCATTGCTGCAGATCGCACTATTATCAGATCTAATTAATTAAAATCAGGACAAATGCAGCAACATCTCTTAATGAAGGTGATTGGGAATACAGTTAGTCTATCACCTGAAAATGTTTCAGCCTGTGTATTTATTTTTTTAGGCTAATGATCAGCCTAAATAACTCAATAAGAGATGATTCATTCAGCCTTTATTATTCACATGTTTTAATGCATGTGACATGTAAAAACACTTTATATTTATAAAAGCATTGATGTTTATTAAAACTCTGAGTTTTATTGCGTTTGCTCTGGTCACGTGACACGGCGCAGTCATTCCCTCTGGCGCCTATTTCACGTGCACTCCAGGAGCTGTGAGCAGGACGCTACTTCAGAGGAGCCGACTATGGAGGAGTGCTACAGAATGTCTTCAGAGGAAGGATCCTGAGAACTGAGAAACATCCATAAACTCTCCTGGGATGACAGGGAATGAGTGGCAGTTGTAGGAAAAATGGGGAGGTAGGAAAAGAAGTACTAGAACCGAACAGGCTGGGAAAATGGAGCTGGACTGGAGATAACATGTAAACGATGGACAAAACTGTGACACTATCAAAAATATACCAACCATGTCTCCTAGTATTTTACTGTAGGATTGTCAAAAAATCATTATCAATATGATAATTTATGTTAAAAGTAGTATTGAAACTAGAATAGATACTCATTTAACAAAGCAGAAGTGCCTACATAAACTAAATGATGCCTTACTATCACAGAGGGAGCAGGGTGGGAATGGGATACAGATATTTAATGTCATTGTACTTTTTATAACTGTTTATAGATCGCCTTGTTTATGCTGTTTTTGTATTCTATGTTTTGTGTGTCTCAGAGACTATAGATGGAAATTAGCTCAAAGCATCTCTTCAGTGATTGTTTGATTAATGCTCCTGTACATGGTCCCTACAAAAAAATCTTCATATCATAATGTGTCACTTCTACAAGTAGCACGTTCTGTCGTCACAAACAGACCCTGGAGTTGTGTTTTGTTTCATTCACACATGTTTAACACACAAACCCTGCAGATTTATGATGAGTTCTTCCAGCTCAAACTCTCTGTTCCACTTTGTGATGTCATGTGGTAATACATGAAGTGCTGCACTTTGTTTTTAAACTCTATACGCTTTCACTAAAACAGACTAAACTAAAACATTTTGAACTTTGAGATGTAGACAGACTAATAAACTAGGAACAGGTTTAAATGAGACAAAACACAACTCCAGGTCTGTTTTTGGGAGATAACATTATAACACGGTTTAAAGCTCAAAAGAGTCAATTTTTGCGGTATATAGAACCTTTAAATTAAGTTACTGCCTTAAATGAAGTGGCAAAACATTTGACAGAATTAGATTTACTTTTGTTAGGCACCCTACCTTGACAACTGAAATCACTGGACTGTTAAATGAAGTGCTTCTATGAAATTTCAGTGCCATAAGTTCTGTTCATATATGATTCTTTGCTTGATTCTGTTGATGTTTGATGTCTAAACGTGTCCTCTGTTCCTCACTCATGTGGTGGGAAGGTCTCATAGTTTACGCCGGTGAGTCTTAGACGGTTTGAGAAAATCAAATCTCAAAGTTTAAATGTGCAGTTGTGCTGATTGGCTGCAACAGACTCCTCCATCCTGCAGAGGGCACACAGCTGATTTTAGGGCATTGGAAAACAGAAATGCCCAGTCATTCTCTAGGAATATTGTGTTTATGTTTATCCACACTGCCAATATCTGGGAATATCTGTATTCATTTAAAATGACATGAGTTCAAGATTTTACTTTTGATTTGAGGTTTTAATAGTTTAGGGTGACCACATTTTCAAAATAAAACACTGGGACACTGGGTTGATAATAAAATTGTGAAACAAGTGCATATTTAAGGAAAACTGTTCTGCACTCGGCCGTCATAACAAGTGAATGAGTATAGTCACATTTTCTTTGTGTTTTGGTCATTTTTAAGCAGCTTTTCTGTATTTTATCAAAACAAATGACAATTTATACGTTTCTTTATTGTTGGCAGGGATCAAATTGGGTCATTTCTTGTATAAAACTGGACAAATTAATAGTTTTGGATAAATCCATTGGGACAGGGGACACAGGGCTCAAAACTGGGACTGTCCTGGGTAAATAGGGATGTCTGGTCACCCTCTAATAGTTCATTTACAGCTAATATGTGCTGACTGGTTTTGTTTTGTTTTGCCAATCAATCCCTGAAAACATCATATTTGGTTAAGTTAAAACAATAACTCAAAAATGTTATATCTTGTGTTGGGTTGTGTTTATTTATCATGTAAAATTACGTAATAATTAAATATGTATATTTAGTATTTCTGGTCAGTTTCAAGATCAGCCACCTGCTCGTGTCCATGGAGATGTTCCACGACACTCTTAAACATTTCTAACCAGCATTTGTTGACATGTGCTTACCTTGACACATGTGCATTCTTGTCTCCATGGCAATAGACCAATTAATGCCATACTAAGGAACGTCTGAGGCAATGTAATAATATTGTTATGGAAACATGGAAACAAATCGGTGGCAAAGTTATATAGCACACCTTTAAGTAAACACACTCACACAGGAAGTTAATTGTGCTTTAAATAAAATTAATATGTTGTCTGTCATAAATATCTTCTAACAAGTAAAATAATAAAGGCTTAAGAAGTTATTAAATCTTAATCCAAACAGCTCAAATCAAGGTAAAACTCCGAATTCAAGTCATTTAAACTAATATAGGCGTTCTGATTTTTGCAGTACAACACGGGCAGTAACTGATCAGGCATAAACAACATTTTAAAAAATCAGCTTTGTGTTTGCACCTTTATTCAGGCTTGTTTATTTGATTTACAGTTCAAATGTGAAAGTATAATGATGCATGTTGCCTAGACTTGTGTGTCCCTGGCATGTGGACAAAGTATAGAGAAGGCTGTCATATGTTTCTGTTGTAAACTCAGCTTTGGTTGGCTTTAAACCTGCCTCACCATAGCATGCTGCTTCACCATAAGCTTTTGAACAGTTTTTTTGTGTTAAAATATTAAAAAGCCTATCCTAACTAGTGTCCTTTTCATTGATGAGCATTGTAAAGACCAAATAAATGCATTGTTTAGTGAGTGACAGAGAGAACATTAAAAAACATTACATTTGTGTTAATACATGTTTGTTTGGTGCAGGTATGATTATGTACAATGGACAGAAGAGGACCACCGGAGCAGACTTTGTCTCCCTTGGCCTTGTGGGAGGTCGACTGGAATTCAGGTCAGTTTTTAAGATCGCAGACAGAAATAAAACTTAATGCATATCAATTTTTTGCACAGTTTACTACTACTACTACTACTACTTCTTACTACTATAACAATACAGTAGAGTACAGTAAAATCATGTGCTGTTTACTCTGAACTGTCATTATCTTCCGCTGATCATTTTTCACTGTTTTCACTTCCAAGCATGTCTCTGAATTAGCAAGGGTGTAGGTTTGGTCTCAGTAAGTTTTTAAGTTTTTTTAGTTTTTTTAAAGTTTGATACATCGTCTTCACTTACACCTGCTCAAGCTGACATCTTCCGGTGTGGCCCTGTCCTGTCGTTTCCCCAGTTTAGGCTTCTGGCTTCACTAATGACATCACTCTGTTACAGCCAATGAAGCATCGGCAGGAGTAACCCTGTTGTCATATCACTGAATACATCTCAGAACATCTCAAACAAATTGTGAACTAAAACTTCTTAAATGAATACTATCGAGTTCGGAAAAATATCTGAAAAAATGTATATTGTTGTTTATTAAAATAAAATGGAAAATACTGGTAGGGTCTTCCCCAAATATTGGTTGTGACATGTTCCCACCATCCCAATGCAAACCTACGCCCTTGTAAATTAGCTTGTCTCTGGATAGATTTGTCTTTCTTTTTATTTATTTGTGTAGTTGTTTCCCATTGTTGCCAGCAGAGTATTCATTCAAAGTATTCATTTTGCGTCACTTTTTCTATACTTTTACATTATTTTTAAATGAGAAACACAAATACCAAGGCCTCCAGAACTACACAAAAGATACACACTCACAACGTCTTCTTTAAATATTGCATTTTGTGATCTCAGGTTTGATGTTGGCTCTGGCATGGCCACTATCCGTGACCCCAACCCCATAAAACTGGGCGAGTTTCACACAGTGGAGTTTTCTCGTAACCTGACTCAAGGCTACATCAGTGTGGATGGAGGAGAGCCCATCAACGGCACCTCACAGGTCAGTCACCTCTAAGTCATTACATATTATAGAGAAAATAATGTCTGTCAGGCTTAAGGTAAGTGAGGAACAACTTTGGACCACTGCAAACTGTTTAAAATGAACTAGTTGTGTTTTTAAGGCAGTAAAAATCTTTAATACAAAAATACAAACTACTGACCGGGCCCCATCTGGGAGAGTGACATAAGCACTTTCTACAATCTGAAAACAGTAATTAATCCAGTTTAATTACAGTGTAGTTACCTTCCTCTTTAGGGTAAGTTCCAGGGCCTGGATCTGAATGAAGAGCTGTATTTGGGTGGTTACCCCAACTACACCCTGCTCTCAAAGACTGCCGGTATCAAGACTGGCTTTGTTGGTAAGTGTCCTATTCTTACACCACCATAATGTCCAGAATTTAAGCAAATAACCATTGTATTTTGTGGATGTTTTTCAGGCTGTATCCGTCAGCTGATCATCCAGGGAGAGGAGGTCATCTTTAAAGATTTGGACCGCAGCTCCACTGGGGTCTCCAACTGCCCCACCTGCAAAGATCACCCATGTCAGGTCAGTTGTGCTGTGTTGTACATACACTAAATATACAGTATATATAGGCTTGTGTTAAAGTAATGACCCTATAATTGCTTTAAATTTATGGCTCTAAATGTCCTAATGTAAGTATGATAAATCTTTAGGACCGATGTTTCCTTGTGTTACTGAGCTCCTGTGACAAATTTCTCTTGTCCAACTCTAAAGTGTAACTCTATCCACAGAATGGAGGCAGATGTGAGGACTCAGAGGCCAGTCTTTACAAGTGCAGCTGTGCCCGAGGCTTCACCGGCAGCAACTGTCAGCACCATTCCTCCCTGCACTGCCACACAGGTACATTACAAGGGGAACAAAGGTTATGGATGTAACTATGGTTCTATGACTCCCAGATGACTACCAGAGGGTAGGCCCCCCTTTCACAGTGAACATTCAGTACTGCTCTCTTGACAAGAAAGAGAACTGTGATCATTTAACTTTAAAGTGGCCCGTAACTGTTGAACCTACTAACTTACATTTGTTTTGTCTTCATCATCAGAGGCCTGTGGTCCAGACGCGACCTGTATCAACCGTCCAACTGGACTGGGTTATGACTGTCGCTGTCATTTGGGCAAGTTTGGAGACAAATGCATGGACGGTGAGTTTAGATACTAACCTTAAGAGACTGAGCTCCTACAGACAGACTATGACATTGAAGCATGGGGCAAATGCAGAGGGAGATATTTTCTTAACAAGGACATTAATTTATACCACGTTCATTCTTTTCCTTTGTGCTTTCTCAGGAGAGCTGGTGACCACTCCTCTGTTTGATGGGAAGACTTCGTTCATCTCGTATCCTCCTCTCACAAATATCCATGACGACCTGCGGGTGGAGCTAGAGTTCAAACCTCAGGGCGCTCACGGCCTCATGTTCTTCTCTGGAGGAAAGAAGATGAAGGTGGAGGACTTTGTCTCTATCGCTATGGTCAACGGACACGTGGAGTTCAGATATGAGCTGGGCACAGGTGAGGGAGATTTTAGGAATTTCAGTTACATGTTTTTTCCTGTTATGGACGACACACTGAGGACTTTTTGACTATTCAAAAGGTAGTCCTGTTATGTTTTGAATTGTTTAGTACTCTGACTACAGTGCAAATTTGACTACTCTCTTGAATTGGTATAAAATGTGTAATTTGGCCTTTATTATACCTTTACTGGACATCTGACAAAACTGTGCTGATCTGAACCAGTCCCAGTGTAATGTTCATTTAGTCCTAGTTTTGATGTGTTTTGTAAGCATGTGTGAGCACAGCTTCAGTCTGATTTTAACAAATTAAATATATTTTGTTGCATATCCACTCATTAATCTTTTTGTTTTTATCCTCTCCAGGTCAGGCGGTCCTGCTGAGCTCGGAGCCTGTCTCCCTGGGTCAGTGGCACAGGGTGGTGGCGGAGCGTGTGAGGAAGGCGGGGTACCTCCAGGTGGACCAGGGCCCAGTGGAGAGGCTCTCGTCTCCGGGTAAAGCCCAGGGTCTGAACATCCACACTCCCATGTTCCTCGGAGGAGTCCCCAACCAAGAGATCCTGCCCAAACCCGCCAACATCAGCCACATGTTTGAGGGCTGCATTGGAGAGGTGAGTGGTGTTTGGCAATATTCAATTAAAAGTGTTTTTATTTAAGCATCAGATAAAACATAAATGTAAAGATTCAGTTAATGGGAAAAGATAAAGTGGGATAAATTAACACACTGTGGAGTACATGATACTCAAAAGGAATTGGAGGAAGTTTATCTATCTATCCTATCTTCAGGACAACAAAGTATACCAAGTAGAAAATATCTTGCACAAACTGTAGAATTTTGGCCAGTTTCTTAGAGAAAGATTTGGTAAATAAATTGAAATTGGTTCAAACTGTTTAAATGATCTGAATTTTAATTGTTTTCTAGAGATGTGTGATATTCATTCATACAGGTGTGTAACTTTGCTCTGAATGGCTTTGTAGGTGCTTATCAACAATAAGACCATAGACTTGTCGTACAGCTTCACTGAGAGCCATGCCATCAGTAAATGTGTGGACAACAGCCCCTGTGACCGGCGGCCATGTTTGAACGGAGGAGACTGCATGTCCAACGCTGAGTACGAGTACCAGTGCCTCTGCAAAGACGGATTTGAGGGTAAGTGCTATAGGAATGAACTAAGATTACTTTATATTGAGTATTATTGACTGAGAAAATAAGTTGTCAAATTAATTCTCAGTGCACATTTCAAACATGTTGGTAAGGATTTAGAAGATATTTGCTGAGCTGTCACTGGATCACACATGTGGTCAAATCAAGTGCTCTTTGTAGGATCCAAATCAGGGCAGATAGAATTTAAACATAAGAAAAGACAGACCCAGGGCAAACCAACATGTTTCGACTGATAAACAAGTCTTCATCAGGGCCCTGGAGTTGAAATGATTTCCCCTTTCACAAAGACAAAGGAGTAAAAGTGTGCTGACCATGTTATTTAAGCCAATGTAACAGGCCTGGTTCTAACCTGCTGAAGTAGCCTATAACTGTTGTGAACTGTATGTAAAGTTTAAAGGTGATCTTTGCCCTGTCAGGTGAGCGCTGTGAGGTGGTGAAGGACGTGTGTCAGAGGGACGCTCAGTGTCTGAACGGAGGCAGCTGTGTGGAGGGGCAGTGTGTGTGTGCCCCGGGACACTCCGGCCCAACCTGTGATCAGAGTAAGTCCTTTACTTTATCTATGTCTTCTTATCTAGAAACTATCTCACATACAGTGTCTCTGTGTCAAAGTGACCTTTCTGTTTCATTCTGTGAGCTGCTTATCCACTGCAAACACACAGCGGTTTATCAAAGCAGTCGGACCAGAGGCTGAATTGAGTCCATATGGTTCACATTCCTCTCTGTCAGACAGCTGACCCCCAGCGCTGCAGTGCACTCTGGGAAAGATTAGTATGTCTTATTAAAGTGTGTACCCCCCTCATGCTCTATACTGCACACAGGCTCCCCCGAGGCCCTCTGGAGTTTGGAAGGTAGCGGCTCCAATGGTACAGTATCAGTGGTATACTCAGTCTGCACCGTGACTAACAGCGCCCCCTCATGAGCGGGAGGGGCTTATGTCTTTGGCCTAACACTGAAGCTCCAAATAAACTGCAAACAAGCAATCATCCTTCACTGAGGAGGAGGAGGTTTGAGGAAAGAGGAACTCTGTGTTTATGTACAGAGAGCTCATTACACAGACTCAATATGGGACATATGGACCCACTTTGTACCTGTAAACAACACAAGCGCCATAAATGCAGGATTCCTCTTGTTTCCAAACCCAGAACAGCTTATTTAAGACACTTTCTGTACTCACAGAAATAAAATCTTATTGACAATTTCTTTTCCAAATAAACAAACTGCCAGGGCTGCACAATATTATATATTATTAAATGATCATTATCCCAAGAAGCTAATTACAGTGAGTCAGTGTTTTTGTGATATTGCCTGTATATTATATGTCTGACCAAATCTGGAATAAAAAAGTATTAGAATGTAGTTTTACTTAACTTTGTTTTATGTTTTTAAATCCTAATTAAACCATTAGGATTTAAAACTAGTTTAAAAATATAATGCTAAATTAGATTGAGTAAAACAATAAGTATATATTGGACCTTTGTTAAAATGACATACTTCAAATTTGCAGAAGTGATGCTTCTAAATATCTTTTCTAAGCATCTTTTGTGCAGCTCTGCAAACTTCTTCCAAACATATCTTTGTTTTTCCTGTGAAACAAAGTCAAAAGGCAGAATAATCCAATGCTGATAAAAATATGCTGATACTAACACCCAGATTTAAAGTGGGAAATGTCTGAAGAAAAAATGTGTTATTATTGTGTATGCATGGAGGCACAGAGCTGGTGAGTTTTCTGGTTGCTTTATAAAGTTTCTCAGTTGAATTTGTGAGAAGGATTGCTGAAATGATGCCTGATCTTTTCATGACATTTTGTGGGTTTTAGTGTCTATGTGAACAGTAAAGATGTAAAGATAAAATCCGTAGAATACTATGGAAACTGTGAGATGATGCAGTTGTGATTTTTTTGAGTTATACACAAATAGTTTTACCACTAGATGGGGTCCTATCATTAAGAATGTGGTTACAACAAAGTAAGCTAATATAATGTATTTGTCTTTATAGATTTGCCTGCTGCAGTGCATTATGGGGCCTGATTTGAATCATTTTGTAATGTGATATTTTTGATCATTTGTTTGGATGGTGCATTTTGAACCTGCATTGTGAAGAGAATAAATATAAGACTATGAAAGTTACAGATGATTATATTACGTTTTACCAATAAATTGCTCTGATCAGGGGTCTCAAACTGAAATTCACCACATCTATTGTTGACATGGAGAGCTCAAGTCCTTCAACATCAACAAGTAATACATAAGGACATGATTTCTTTATATGAAACAATAGTACCACAAAAAAGTTGTCAAAATAAAACAGTTTTGGAAGCAACAAATAGTGCAGTTTCATTTTAATATTTGTACAATTTGGATTAAACTTTGGCCGAACAGCAGAAAGAAGTGAGTCACATGTTTGAGAACCCTTGCTCTTGAATCTGATTACTCTTATCCCTTCTACACCTTCTACCTCTAGATGGCGATATAACAAAAATGAAAAATGATACAGACAGCTAATTCTGACATTTGTAATTTTCTAGATTCACCCTATCAGTACGCCGCTCACTTCGACAACAACGGATACATCGCTCTTCCAAAAGCAGTCTTCCCAAGAAGGTAGCTTGTCTTTGTCACATAAGTTTGAGCTTTCATTTGATCATATTTTAATTTCTTTAAAGGTGTACTGCGTAACTTTTCCTGGTGAACTTTTCGTGCCACATGCTTGTCTTCATGGAGATGTTATTGCTTTGCTTGGAATGTTACACGGATTATCATTCATCTTTTTGTATTTATTTACATTGCTCCAAAACACCTTAAAAATAACATGCATTCTTACTGTGAGTCGGGGTCACCTCTCCATAGATCTGTACTGTAATTTGGGCTGGTTTCATTGTTTGTGTCCATGGAGAGAGATGAGTCCAGTGAAAAATACCAGACAAAGCAATAACATCTTCCGCCAGCTGAAAAGTTCCATAATGAACCTATCATTTCATATTTTTTTGTATTTCAGTGCACCAGACTCTCCAGAGACTATTGAACTTGAGATCAACACCAGTTCATCTGAAGGTCTAATTCTCTGGCAAGGCGTGGTAAGTCCCTGCTTGGAGTATCTTCAACTTTCTTACCACTTATCCGATCTTTTTATTCATATATGCTGTATCCATCAACTCCATGTAACCAAAACTTTAAAGGTCCTATATTACACAACATTGACTCTTGTGAGCGTTAAGTCATTTTCTAAACATCATCAAAAACATACCTGGAGTTGTGTTTTGTTTTATGTTTCTTTTCTTTTATTCTGTCTATATCTCCAAAGCTCCAAATGCTCCATTCCACCTTATGATGTCATGAAGCGGTATTTTTCAAGTTTCCTTTTAACTTTAGTTCAGTAGAGATAGGCAATTCCGGGACTGAAATTATCCAAATGATTCTACTGAAGGTGTATGGAGTTTAAAAACACAGTGGAGCATTACCTGTATTACCACATGACATCACAAGGTGGAACAAAATTCTTTCCATTTGATAGAAAAAAACTCCTAAATATGCAGGGTTTATGCGTAAAAACAAAATTCCAGGTATATTTTTGAAACATTATAACAGATCTGAAATCTTAATAAAGACCTAAATAGCGTAATAAAGGCCCTTTATTGTCCATATATTAATTATTGCATTTTGTTCATCCACTAATTCTGTTTTACGCATGTGAGCTTTGAGTTTTGCTTTTTTTTTTTTTTTTACATCACATCACTAAAGAAACGCATGTTGCTCTAACCCACCTCCATGTCCTCAGGAGACCTCAGGCTCTCGCAACCTGAGGAAAGTGCATGCTAATAAAAAGGTATTCACTATATTGTTTTCTGACATTATTGTGTATTTAAATTCTGCATTCATGTGTTTTTAAACCACATCCATTCTCACATGTTTGTATGTTAACATTGCTCTGACAAATTAAGGCTTGTCTTATCTTTCATTATGTTTATTCACTCACTTGAGAAACCAGTGAATTGACTGATTGATTGATTTTTTATTTTTCATTTTATTTATAGATTTTACATAATAAAACAAAACTTTAAAACACAAGAGTACAAAAGAAAAAAAATACACAAAATACATACATATACATACACACATACACATGAGGGGCCGTTCAAGTGAGAACATATGTATGTGAGAGTGAGAATACATGTATGTGAGAGTAAGAATATATGGATGTGAGTGCAAAAATGTTTATATGTGAGAATGAGAATATATGCATGTGAGAGTAAGAATATATGTCTACGAGAGGGCCAGAATGAATAATGTCTTGAACAGACCCTCATACACATACACATATACATACACATATACATAACTTACTGTATATCTACATATATATATATACACAGTAATATATATTCTGTATATAATAATAATATCCATTTTACATATACAAATACAAATATACACACACACATGTATATACACTTTAAAAAAATACTTTTTTATCTCTACACTACCACAACTTATCCAGTCAGAGCTATCAGAGTTAAGTATATACAATGAAATAGAATTAAAGGATGTTTAACTCATTTGAAGTGTATAAAAAATAGTAGTACAAATGTCCTTATCATGTCCAATAGTAAATCATGGACAAAACAGATATAGTATGTAACTGTTTAATTCAGTTAATAGTATTTTATTTTAATGACTTAAGTGAGCATAAAGTTGCATAAAGCATAATTGTTAGAAGTATTGAGCTTTGTAAGTGCACGTGTTATTAGAATCTGAGTAAGCACTGAGTAAGTGCAGGTGTTAGAAGAATCTGTTTGCCAAATGAAATAGAACTTACAAATTCAAGTATTACAAAATAACTAGTGATAGTGGCTCTGTTTGCCTGGAGACTGACTGATGTGATTGACAGGAACATGGGGAGCACGGCAAAGGCAAAGACTACATCAGCCTGGGACTACACAACGGACACCTTCTCTTCAGGTAAAATGACATATCTCTCATACACTACTGACACTATTACTGCTACTAGTGATAATGCTACTACTACTATCACTACTACTGCTGACACATGTATCTCTGTTGTAGCTACCAGCTGGGCAGTGGGGAGGCACAGCTCAGGTCTCGGAGGCCCATCAATGACGGACAGTGGCACAAAGTCACAGCAGTCAGGTAATGAAGACAAACAATTAAAGTATCTCTCTTTCTCTCGTTAGTGATCAGTATGAATGCACATGTATTTTGATATTCTACACTAGATTCACTTTCAAAACCCAAATTTATGTCAGACTGTGTAATATGGTGCAACATAAACCAATGAATATGCTATGCTAAAATAAAATGCATGAATAAATATGGTGTTAGAATAAAAATAGACCTTGACTGGATATGCAAAAATGTACAAAATATGCAGAATAACAATGCAAAACTGCTATTTGTAAGTAGATGAGGTGAGTTATTTAATTGAACTGGACTTTATGGGTCCAACAGCATCCTTTTTATTTGATTTATTTGATTTTATTTGGATCCCCATTAACTGATGCACACGACACCAGCTACTCTTGCTGGGGTCCACATATAACACAGAACAACAACAAATAAGACACTTACAAACAAAACCATTACATAAAGATTAAATTATTGTCCTTTATTGTCCTGAAGACTTGTTCCATCTCATAGAAATTTCAGGCTTTTAACTGCATAAGCTACAGTTGGAAATTAGGACCAACTGAGACAAAAGGGCGAGTTCAAATGCCCTGCAGAACATATCGAAAGAAAAATTTAATTCTGTCAAGTGGGCAAAAGTTTTAACTGCTTCTTAAATTCCAGTCAGATTGCTGGTGGTGCAGATATAAAGCAGTGTTCACCAGCAATCTGACAAGAACTGAAGAAGCAGCATTTTACATAATAAAATGACTATCCTACCTGGACGGCTGAGGCAGTGTTGTGCATTTTTCAGTGAACTTTGAACTGAACGCAAAACTTTTGTAAATCAAGAACTTGAACGTGAATTTGTTCAAATTGTGTGATGAACGACGTACGTCACTGTTGGGGTTCAGTTAAACGTCGGAATTTGTTTTCACCTGATGAGTGACGATCTGCTCGCACTTCACCTCGCGAAACCACAGCCGCGTGTCAACGCGAAGGCGACTCCACCGGCAGCTTTAGCGGAACGTACGGGCTCTTGTGTCTCTCAATGGGAAAGTCAATCAAACTTGACTGGGCGCGTTTAGCTGCTTGTATTTACCTTCTGTACAGGCTGACCACGGCAAACGCAAGGATTTCAAAAGTAAATTTCAAAGCACTAATTAACAGTGTATGTGGATCTGGGCTCTTTCACATGATACACAACTGCCCAGGGAGCACAATGTGCTGATGGTAAACGCACAAATACAACAATAGATACATGCTCTGTGGATTTTGACGGGGATACGCGCCTACGCTCGTGTAGAGCGTCAAAAAATAGGATGGATCCTATTTTCTGAAATCTACACGCACAGGACGTGCTGCTCCGCGCGCGTATTATTTTACTTGGTACATATGTCAGTAACGCGCGTCACAATGCTTTTTTAACCTGGATTGAAATGGTGGGTTTTTCGTTTTTCTTCATACAAATTTGCTAAAATCACCGCGATATCAGCAGCAGTGAAACGCCGGAGGTGCGCCCGCGTAGACCGTGATCTTGAGCGAAAGGACCGACGCAGAAGTCCGCGCTCCACCGAACTAAACGCAGCTGACGCCCGATCGCACTCGAGGTTCTCTCAGGGGCGGTCCTAGATTCCAAGTTCTAGTCCAGGATTAGTCCTGGTTTGGTCCTGGTTTAGTCTTGGTTTAGTCCTGGTTTAGTCCTGATTCAGTTCTGGTTTAGACCTGGTTTAGTCCTGGTTCAGTTCTGGTTTAGTCCTGGTTTAGTCTTGGTTTATTCCTGGTTTAGACCTGGTTCAGTCCTGGTTTAGACCTGGTTCAATTCTGGTTCAGTCCTGGTTTAGTCTTGGTTTATTCCTGGTTTAGACCTGGTTCAGTCCTGGTTCAGTTCTGGTTTAGTCCTGGTTTAGACCTGGTTTAGACCTGGTTTAGTTCTGGTTCTGTTCTGGTATAGACCTGGTTCAGTTCTGGTTTAGTCCTGGTTTAGACCTGGTTTAGTCCTGGTTTGGACCTGGTTCAGTTCTGGTTTAGTCCTGGTTTAGACCTGTTTTGGACCTGGTTCAGTTCTGGTTTAGTCCTGGTTTAGTCCTGGTTTAGTCCTGGTTCAGTCCATATACGGCGCAAAAGTTCAGCATCTTAACAGTTCTTTTGGTGAGAGTAAATTAAAAGTGCTGCAATAGTCGTGTAATGTTTTACATTTTAAATACAGTAATATTGTAATGTAACAAATGACTTTGAAATGACAGTAACAAGTCATAAATAACACGTTACAGTTTTAAAGTCACTTGTCCAACAGTGGATCTTGTAAAGTTGTTGTAAACTAGAAGTCAGTTTGAAAAATAAAAGCAGCCTTTCATTTACAGATCTCATCTAAATATAAAATGAACTGAACTTTGAACTAGTTCAAAATTAAAATTGTGAACTATGAACGTGAACTATTCACTTTGAACAAGTGTGAACTGAACTTTGAACTAGTTCATGAAAACTGTGAACTTGCACAACACTGGGCTGAGGGATTACACAGACATTTTGCAGAATATATTTTCGAAACATGTCTGAATTACATGTTGTTGTTGTTGTTGTTGCAGGACTGGGAAGGACGGGTACATCCAGATCGATGGAGAGCCAGGGCTTCATGGACAGTCCAAAGGCAAAAGTCTGATGGTCAACACTAAAGGCAGCATATACTTAGGTCAGTGTGGGTTCCGTTAACAATATTCAAATAAATTGAGTGCTCTCGAAAATACTGACAGAAATCTATGGTGGTCCAGATTACGGTGTGACTTTCTGATGCCAAGACCCAAACAAACTTGCTCAGTTTTCCACAGACTAAACCAAGAATATCAGTGATTCCTGGAGATTGAAACAGACATATGTTCTGTTTGGTTTTAAACTAATAATGCCTCTCATACAGGAAGTACTCACACTTGGAGTATTCAACCCATAAATATTGATCTAAATAGTTTAATTGTGATGTATTTTTTCCAGTGCTAGCAGAGTTTGTGCACCAGTTTGTAAAACATTAAAATAAAATAAAAAACAATGTGCAGTTTTGATCTTTATACAATTTCTAGAGTAACAATATGTATGACTTAAACAGATTTTCAAGTTGCACTGTGTAACTTTTGTGTCTGTCAAATGCTTTTTCCATGGGGATGTTATTGCTTTGTTCAGAATGTTTCACAGTATGGTATTAAGATAAGATAAAATAGGATCAACTTTATGGTCCCAAAGGGAAAATCTGTCTTGGGCTCATTGCCCGCAGCTTAAAAACACAATTACACTCACACATACAGTACAGTCAGACAACAGTCAGAGTTTATCAGATACATATAAGATACATGATGTGTCCATTATTAATGCCCATTGTCCTTTTGTGCACTGCACAACCATAAAGGATAAAGGATCTAAGTGATTGTTATTGCACCAGCTCTTTTGCACAAACACTTACTGCACCATCATTCAGTATAAAGTGATTTAAGTACACATTTTTTGTGCAGATTTGTTCAATAGAAGTGGGCACAAATGAGAGTTTATATCTGTTACTCTTAAAGTGATGTGTTCCATAGCTAGCCAGGCTGGCACCACCTTGTGCCTCCGCTCCATTTCATTTCTCTCCAGTGACTAGGTCAGGAATCAGAATACACTAGATGGTTTGCAAGAATCCCAGAGGTTGTAGACTGCGCACTGACCACTCAGTGAAGAGCTGTAAAGTCAAACTCAAGCGCCTGTCTGAGTCCCTTTTGTGGTACAGCACAACAGTAAACAAAGCGGTCGAGATGGATGTGGACAAAGACATATATTCTGTGTTGTGAATCATTCCTGAGCTTGAGGATTTTCACTTTCTGCTTTCTGCTCACTTTGTTTGCTGTTGTGCCGGCAATTACTTGGACACCACTGAGCGTTCCGGCGCATTACATATGCCACGTCCAAATAGCAGCGATTAGTTAATAAATAATAAATAAAGTACCCACCTACTGTCGAGTGAACAAATCCTAATGCTGCGAGATCAGACGGTTTCCACAAAGTGAAACCGGCTGACAAATCAGGCTACTCGATAGCACCCCTGCCTGCCTGATGGAAGAATTTCAAGTTTAGTTTTACACTGGACAGTTAAAGCGCTAAACCAGGCAACCATGCAGTAAAATATCAGACTCTCCAAAACAGCATTATAAAAACAAGTCGCGATTTCTATGCTCACACCAAACAGCTTCAGACTCTGGGTCAGCATGTACATGAACATTTAAACAAACTGTCGATGTACACACCCACATAGGCAACCTGCTCTATTTGTCTACCCTCAATGACAACAGGAGCAATGAGTCTGCAGAGCTCGAGGATCAAACACTATCTCCTTAGTTTTGTTCACATTAAGAGAAAAGTGACAGGAAAGACAGGAAAGAGCTTATCTCCAGATGGTAGGTGGAGACTAAACCTTTCTATCTCCATGGAGACCAAATCAGACCAAATTACAGGTCAGATCAGATCTTTTTGAGCTATAAAACCATCTGTAATTGAATAATTGTAAAGTAGATTTGTTTAAAGTCATACTGTGGAACATTCCAGACAGAGCAGTGACAGACCCCCAACCAAAAAGTGACATACCGTACATGCACCTTTAAATGTTTTGCTTTTTGATTTCACCATTTCTGCTTTCTGTCACCAGGTGGCGCTCCAGACATGTCCAAACTCACCGGCGGTAAGTTCTCCACAGGAATCAGCGGCTGCGTGAGGAACCTCTCCATGCTTAACGCTAAACCTGGACAAAACCCCGCCCAGTCCATCGACCTCCAAACCCACGCAGCACATGGAGTCAACGTACGACCCTGCTCCTTATCATAGACCTGGAGGAAGTACTACTACTACTACTACTACTACTACAACACACTACTACTTGGTGCTTTGCTGCTGCCAAAAAATCAAAATAACAGGATACTTCTTTCCGTGTGCAGCGAGAAACCAAAAGAGAAGAGAGATTTTTGAGATTTTAAACTACTCTTGTATTCACAATGAAGGACATTTAACACAGGAGATGAGTTTACATACTTCCAGCAGTTTTAGTTTTTAGAGTCAAAACTAATAGGGCTTCTGCATTTGGGTCAGATCCTATGGAGAGACAAGTTTTTTACAGCACTGAATTTTTATTTATACATATGATTATATAAATAGATATTATATTTGTGGGGAAAACATGCAAACTAACCATAATGTCTTCAGCTTTTTCCTATAGAGTTGATTCTGGGTTGTAATACTGTACTTTGTTTTCAGGCTTGTTGATAAACTGCAAACTAGAATGATTGTCGACTACAAGAGTTAAAATCACATGAATTCAAATTAAATATCCTTGGGTAGTGAGATTATGTGGAGATACATTCAACTTTAAATTAGTGAGTAAATTTTTGCTCGACTGGTTAAAATTGTGGTCTGAAATTTTGCTCTTAGCTACTAAATCAGTTGCGTTTTGATCTGTAACTTTTTTGCTCTGCTAAATTAAAAACAAAAAAACATTTGGATAAGTCATAAATACTGATTAAAGTAAGCGAATCAACACGAAAGCTACCCAAATCAAGATACTTATTGCGAATTCAAGTCATTTTAACTCATAGGTCTTTTGTTTTCACAGTCATGGCCTTATTATTTTGTCATTTTACACTTTTAGGCCTTTCTGTGTTCACTTTCTGACGCGAGCATGCTTAAAAGTCACTGTTTCGAGAGGAGCACAACCAGTGGTCACAGTTTCAGTGCACAGTTCGCATTTATTTTTGTTTTATTTTGTGTTTTCTTGTGTATTTTTTTTTTCTTTATTTTGCAATTATGGTGCTAACGTAAGAGATGGATATCTGATCAGTGGAGTAATGTTGGAATACCATGTTTATTATTGATTATTGATTGAGTAGATCTCAAGTTGGATTTGATGGTGTCCTAAAAGTAAGGAGAATTGTTCAGTAATACCATAGAAATTGTGGTTTGTGTGATATCATAAGGGGACATTTGCGGTTAATGGATGCATCACGAATTTCGGACTTCCGGTCATTGCACAATTCATACTGGGAAGGATTTTCCGAAAAAGTGAGCATCAAACCACCATGTTTGATTTCCCAGTGGGATGTGTCTATTGACAAAGCTGATCTTTTCAAGTCTTTTGAACCATATCACTTTTGTTTCTGGTTCTGATATTGTCATATTTTAGTTTTGGGATTCAGACATCGTAATTGTGTGGTTGTTGGAAAACGGCTTGAGAAATTTGTTTGCGAACTTCATAACTGCAAAAGGGAATCAGATGTGTGTGACTGCAAACCTCTGTTCAAACTGTTTCCCTTCCCAAAGGAATTGAAAAATAGTGAAAGGTAAAGGTGATGGGCAGGATTTATCCACAAGAAAAGTGAAAAAGGAAAACTTTGACTGCCTTAATCATCCCGAGTTTGCAGCTAACATTTTGTATGTGGAGCGCCAACAAAGCAAAATCCCGATTCCTCGCTCCATCTTGGTTATGAATTTAAAAAGTCAACGCCAAAGCCAAAGACACCAACTGTTCACCAAGAAACATCTTCCACTGCAAAGAGACCAAGACGTGATGTTGCTGTTTGGTTTGCAGTCACACACATATGATTCCCTTTTGCATTTATGGAGTTCAAAAACTTCTGTCATTCCATTACAATGTCTTAATCCCATAACTATAATATGACGATATCAGAACAAGAAACAAAAGTGATATGGCTCAAAAGACTAGAAAAGATTGGCTTTGTCAATAGACGCATCCCACTGGGAAAACAAACATGGCGGGTTGATGCTCACTTTTTCAGAAAATCCTTCCCAGTATGCATTGCACAATGATCGGTACATCAGGAATCACTGGGCCTATCCACATTAAACACAAGCACAAAGATTAAAGGCACATTATGTAACTTTTCCGATGAGGGTCCACCACCTGCCGCTTTCCATGAGATGTTGATGTTAGCGCTTTGTATAATTCGTCATTTGCGTTCCACAGCATACACGCAAACGCTTCAATCTCCATGGAAACAAGCAAGTGACACCACCAGGTTGAGTTACAGGTCAGATCTGTGTAAAGGCAAGCCCACTCACAGTAAGAATCTGTGTTTTTCAAGGTGTTTTTTAGCAAGAAAACCCCTGCTGTTACATAAATGCAAGATAGAAAATTCTGATCCTGGTTTAGTCCTGATCTAGACTTGGTTTAGTCCTGATCTAGTCCCGTTTAAGTCCCAATTTAGCCATGGTTTTGATATCTGAGCTTATAACTTACTGAAAACTTGTTACTTTTGGAAGACACCTCCATTGACTGGTAGATACTGAATGTGTTTTGATTTTTATCTATGTTACAAACAGCTTTTTACATTTGTAATTTGAGTACTTCAAGTTTCTTTTTGTATACACAGCTATCACTTTCATCTTTATCTGACATTTTTGTTAAAAGTACGCTGTCTAACTTTCCTGGAGGAGGTTTTGCCACCTGTCTCCATGGATACTGTATTGCTTTACCTGGAATGTTCCACTGTACATCTTTATCTCCATGGAGGTTACGCCAGCAGGCCAAGTTACAGGTCAGATCTAAACGTAAAGATCGATTAGTGATAATTTGCCGTTGTATGCGAAATTCCAGGTAAAGCTATAATCAATCTCCATGGATTAGAAAGTTACACAGTGCATCTTTAAGTCGCTGTGACCGGTGCTTCCTCTTATAAAAGCATGCTCGCCCAAAACAATCTGAAACGGCAGAATCGCTATCGGTTACCATCGTTTTCGGTATCAGATCTTAACTTGTGTTTTTAAAATTGAGCACTAAAATTTCACTTAGAGTTGCTGCGTTTTTATTTATTTTATGTTTTTTTTTTTTCTTTTTGTTTTAGTGCTTGATTTAGAGTAAAAATCCCTGCTTTTGGTTCATATGTATCACCTCCCCTTTCCCCTTCTTAAAATGTCGGAGTTGCATACGATCTTTTCAACCCTGGGTCATCAGTACTACTTAGAAACTGGTCTTATTCAACCAAGTCTTAGCTCCAATAACATTTCATGTGGAAGGAGGCCATCCTGTAACTGTAAATATAAAAAGAAGAGAGCAAAGGTGGAACATGTTTGATTCTATACTTGCTGTAATTGCTCCAGGATTCTTTGGGAAACTGCCACTGTTACGAGGTTGATTACTGTTTGTCGACTCTAGGTGGCGCTCTGATGGTTGAAATCTTCCTTTCTGAAAAATACATGTAACATAATCCATTGTTTAAGGACAACATGACTGTAAAATTTCCCCGCTTTTGGTGTTTCTTAAAATAAAATCAAAATTCATGTGCTATTTGTAACTCTTGGTTTGTCATTGACCAAAACGGCATTTGTGATTTAAAGGTGCGTTGTGTCACTTTGGTGCTTTTTTTTTTTTTTTTTATGTTTCAGTGTTTCACAGTGTGTCATTAAACCTTTCTGTCATCCTGGAGACCAAACCAGGCCAAATTACAGGTCGGATCTGTGGAGAGGCAACCCCACTCACAGTCAGAAAGTCTTGTTTTTCCTAGATATTTTTGCGCAATAAAACCACCTGCAATTGAATAAATGCAAGGAACATTCAAAGAAGACCAATGACATATCCACAGAAACAATAAAGTAAACAATAAAGACCCCCAACCAAAAAGTTACACAGTGCACCTTTAAGCAGATCTGAGCAATAAAAGACTGAAAATTTAACACGAAAAGCTGATAAATCACTTTTCTACATAGGCCTTATCGGTGCTTGATTGATACTTTGTGGTGACATCACAGTGGGCAAGTACTACATATATATCTATGGCAGAATGTTCAGCAGTTACCATGGTGACACAAGGAATTGGCAAGTTCAGTTCTAAGTCTGAAAACCCAAGAAAAAATACAAAATGGATTAAAGCAATATATTTTCCGAAGCCCGTGTTCAATACGGGCGTTCATGGTTCTGTTTAGGTGTTTGACTTTCGCTTGGCTAATGCGAACTACAGTAATATTACTTAAGATGAAGTTTTTTAACAGCACAAATGAGCTCACCTGTTGTAGTTCCAGGTAAGTCCGCTCTTTATGGTCCAATTGCGTTCAAATAAATATTATGATTTTGCATTTATGGCAAAAGCTCTCAAACCTGCAAACTGCTTTCATCACTACAACCGACTACAACGGCACGGGAGTCTATGCAAAAACAACAAATTATGCAGAAAGTAGTGGGAAACTGAGTAAATAAAGAGAGTAACTGAGTAAATAAAGAGATCAAACTTGGGCATTGTGAGTTCAATCTGTCTTTTTACATATAAGCCTAAATACAAAAAAGAAAAAAAAGCCAGATTTCTTGAGCAAGTTCTCCTTTTCTGTTATTGTACCATATTAATCCTTATAATCAACATAACATGATTATTCGACACCATCAAGAGTTTAATAAAGTGAACGACTAAAGGACTACAGCTCTACCATGAGCCCTTCAGCTGTTCCATTAATAAAACATGTCTCCATAATGTGAGAACGTGCAGCTGTACAGAGCGTGAGTACAGGTTAAGCACAGAGGACTCTATGCCAGAGGTGGGACCAAGTCGTTGTTTTGCGAGTCTCAAGTAAGTCTCAAGTCTTTGACCTCAAGTCCGAGTCAAGTCCCAAGTCAAAGACAGGCAAGTCCAAGTCTTTCAAGTCTTGAGTCACTGGCCCATCAAGTCCAAGTCAAGTCAAGTCTCAAGTCCCTAAAAATAGTGACTCAAGTCTGACTAGAGTCCAAGTCACGACCTGCAAGTCCCACCTCTGCTCTATGCTACTGGAATATATAGGCCAGGTCAATATGTGCTGCTCGGGCTGATGTCACAGTCAAATTGACATTGTAATCTGAAGGGCTGGAGTGGACGAAAGAAATGATTTTTGTTCTAAACCCACGTCGACTATAAAGTTGTCTGGTAAAAAGCTCTCAAAACTATTACGTATCTCCGACCGACCCAAACTGCACTCACAAGATACAGCTGCACAGGAGTTAGTGCAAAAACAGCTATTTATATGGAAAAAAGTAGGAAAACAATGTGTTTGTATAAATACGGATTAAACTGGTGAATCAAGAGTTTAGTCTGCCTTTTTTACAGATAAATAAAGATATTCAATTTGAATTTACTCGTAAATAATCAATTATATGTTTACTTACTGGTCTAACTGAGTGTATGATTCTTTGACTCCTTTTCATCCTGTCCACAATGTTTAAACCACACAAATGAATTTGAATTTTTACAGTTAGTTTTGTTTTATTTTATACTAGATTTAGTTTTTATTCATTTTGCAGGTCTTTCCCAGTGTCCAGGGCTGTGTGTGAAGACAGATCCTGAATATTATCGTTACATATGGTGCACGTTTCTGTTTTTAACAGAAGATAATAAGCAATCAGCAGTTAGAAGCTGAAATGACACTACTATCCCAACAGCCCATTTAGTCCTGTCTTCACTACTCATTTAGTTCAGTTGGTGTTTCCAGAGGTGAGACCAAGTCATTGTTTTGGAAGTGAGTCAAGTAAGTCTCAAGTCTTTGACCTCAAGTCTCGGACAAGTCTAAGTCAAGTCAAATATAGGCCTACAAGTAGTAGCATATGTCACAGACGGATGTGTGTGTGTCAGTCATAGTGTTCGGCAGTGAAAAGCAATGAAAAGCATCATTGGATTCCTTTATATTAAGTGATTTCTCTTTAGTAGTTATTTTAGATACTACTACCATCACTACTACTGACACACTGTGCTTTGTTCAAAGTACCAAAAAGAGTCACTACACTTTGGAAATGAGAATGCTTCTAAAATTGCTTTCCTCTTCACTCTAGTCTAAGAGATGTGTTAGGCATGTTCAAAAATCCATTAAGCATATTCTCCCAAAAATGACCACTGGAATTGATCGATTAAAAGCAAAAAGAATTGATTCCTTATTCAATACAATTCTATTACAGAGCTCTGGGTCAAATCACTACCCCTGATGGCCTACAGCTACACAGGACTTACATCAGGCGATCTGAACGCCTGTGCATCCATTAACCCAGAAATATAAAACATCCATATGAATATGCAAATATAGGTGGAGCCGATGCACATCTTGAATCTTCCTTGGGGTTTCTCTGCATTCCTTTCAGGGTCGGGGGGGATGACAGCAGCCAAATGTAAATCACTGCCAGTTTGTTTGGATTCGCACCAGGCCGAACCATCTCCACTGCTGCTGCTCTACAATGGATTTCCTTAAAAGGACACAAACTATATCCCTGCACAAAGATTACCTTAAAAGCATACATGTTTCACATAGTGGTACCTTTAAATATACATAGGATTTCAGTGGCTAAGCAACTCAAGGTGTATTAGTCAAACAAATATATCATTTCAGTATTTAATATATGCATGTGATACACTCATGATACGTTATTACTTGATATAGTCTTCAGATGCTTTACAAACAAAAACTTCCTCTATCTGAACACGGACCAAACCTCTCATCAAATCATTCCAGAGCTCTGGATGTGTCAATCATCTCCATTCCAAAGTGTGAGCTTCTCTCTACTGCAGTACCACGCACCACCAGTGAGTGGCAGCAACACGCCCCCGTGCTCCTAGAGTGTTTGAGCGCGAGCCATGGCGCGAACTCGACAACTGTTGCGATTTATTTATGCTAATGTGAACATTTAGTTCGTTCTGTAAACTCTAGTGTCAGGCTAAAAGCTCCAAACAAAACAAGAACTGAAACAACAGTCAAAACAACAGTTTGTTTCTGTTCAAAGCAGTTCTGAACCAAATTAGCAACACAGATTTGAAGTGACCGTTGGACAGAAACACAGCCCGTAACTTTACAAACCGCTAACGGAAGCAGCACCGGTGAGCAGAGCCGTGGCACACTCACAACACTTTTCATTATGTCCAGATTATTTAGAGGTTTTGTGGAGGAGCGGCTGGGTGCTGGTGCGGAGGACATATGTGCGCCGTTAGAGAGCACCACAGCGGACTTGGAAGAGGAGCTACGCCGCTCCAAACAAGAGACCCAGCGGCTCCAGCGGCTCCTGGACTCGGCTCTGAGGGCCCTAAGCCCGAGAGTCGTCCTTGTCAGAACCGGTAAGTCTTCTGGATCGTATGAATCCTGTTTTTAGCCTATAGGTGTTAAAAAAGATATGAAAAATGCATATGATGCAGAAAAAAGCTCGTGAGAAACGTGCGCCATGAGTCTAACGGCAGAAGAACCTGTATGACTCCAAATCACTTCAGATATTGAATCTAACGTATTTACAACTTCATGGACAGAAAAGACACCCCATCAGCCTTAAAGTAGAAAACTACCGACAAGTTCACAGAGTTCATGTCACAAGACTGCACGTGCAAGTGCGTCAGTCGTTTTCAAGGAATCTCCTCTATGAGCCATCTCAGATTTGCCAGAAAAAAAAATCTAAAAATTTCTAAAATTACCACATGAAAGAATCTCAAATTTTAGCTCAATCCCTTGAGTCGTTCCTGAGTTATGGCCCACTGAAATTTTGGAGTCATGCTCACTTTTTCGGAATCCTTAATTTATAAGCACGTTTGAACACCATAACTTCATAAAAAATAGAGCTAGGAAGCAGAAAATTTGTATTATTGTAGATTCTTGGTCATAGATTTTGAATCTTATTATATTATTGTGTCTCTTTATAAAGAGGGGAGCTGTGGGCCCCCAAAATCTCACATTTGGTTGCCCCTCAATTTTTTATTTCAATTTTTGATGTCCAAGATCTATTTACTCCAAGCAGATGTTTACAAACTAACTGTTGGACCTGAATATTTGAGAGAATGACCATTTCTGACAACAATCTCACACTTTTCTGAGCTTTCATGTGGTTGGTGTAGAGTGCCAAATATGGTCACAGACCAAATGTGATCTTTTTGGCCCCTTCTTTGGAGCCTCGGTTCCCCATGTGGGCACAGTTAGATGTTGATCAAATTTTTACCAGAGAAACTTTGGGATATTCTGATTAGTTTAAAGTAATAAAAAACATATTTTATTAACTTCCTTCATTTCAAATGGAATTTTTGAAAATGAGCTCTCACAGGTCATTTTGTTGGAGCTTAGGTACTTTTCCTCCTGCTAGAAAGGTTCAATTATCTTTAATAGACTTAAAGACTATTTGCTTGTTATAAGGGAAAACAGTTGGAGATTATTTCTGGTACATTGCTTGGAAAAGTGTTATTAATCCTTTGAGAAAATTCAACTATTAACTCTGTACAAAATTATGAAAAAAGGTTTGTTTGCATTATTTATTTTATTTTTATTTGAAAAGATTGGAAAATAATTTATTATCTCACAAAGAGACAGCTTTTCATGGTGTATAAGTAAAGCAACAAAAGTTAAGATAATATTCATGAAAACTGATCAAAGGCAAATTACAACTGGAATACTCTGATTCTATAACCAGTGGCTTTCAGTTCCACTATAAGTGTATACATTTGCACAAAAAAATTACAAGAAGGCAGTAACATTAACAAGGAAAAAATTGATATTGACACAAAAATGACCAAAATACAGTAATCTGGTCTGTTATTTGTTCAACTGCTAGAAATTACATTTTAAAAAATCAGTGTGAAAAAACCCTCAGCAGAAAATACCAACATACTGGAAAAAAGTGCTCATTCTGGCACCTTTGCCACCTGCATGCCACATCATCTATATTGGTATCTTGCACACTAAGTGTTCCTAACTACTAATGAAGTTCAGAAGTAATTTTTGGATCCTGTCATAATCTGCAGTGTCAAGGTGATAATTTCGTGCTCTTCTTCCCTGAATTTCTGGAACCTTAATACAACAGATTATGTGCTGAAATGGGACCCAGCATGGTTCTACTGATGTTCAGGAGGCCACATAAGGGTTCTGTCGTCTCCATTCATGAATCTCACATAGACATCACCATGTTCATCTGAACGCTCTGAAATATTCCCAATGAACCACCTGATGTCATAAATACATGCACTGTATTGACATGGCTGGTACAGAGAGATATCTGCACATCTCATTTTGTATTTCAGAAACTGACACTTCAGTACATAAATGATCTTGAGATATTCTCCTCATTTCTAATTTTCCATTTGACACCGAAACGAATCTGTGGTGTGATCTAGAACCATTCACAGTCTTTGTCTTGCTATAGCGCACTTCTAGTTTGAAAGTAAGTTCATGGTTTATAATGTCTTTAGAGCTTGTAAAGGAAAACTTTACATTCTTTATGTTTTGTGAAGCTCACTCAAACATCTGGAGTGAGGTCAATATTTGATTGGTGTCAGTTGTCTGAAGACTTGTCCTTGCAGCCAAGCTTTTTACTGTGCCACCAAAACCATCACAAGCAATGTACCACGAATAATCTCCAACTGTTTTCCCTTATAACAAGCCATTAGTCTTTAAGTCTATTAAAGATAATTGAACCTTTCTAGCAGGAGGAAAAGTACCTAAGCTCCACCGAAAATGACCTGTGAGAGTTAATTTTCAGAAATTTCGTTTGAAATGAATGAAATTAATAGTTAGATGTTTTTATTACTTTAAACTAATCAAAATATCCCAAAGTTTCTCTGGTAAAAAACGGATCAACATCTAACTGTGCCCACATGGGGAACCGAGGCTCCAAAGAAGGGGCCAAAAAGATCACATTTGGTCTGTCACCATATTTAGGACTGAGTTTGTAAATATCTGCTTGGAGTAAATAGACCTTGGACCTCAAAAATTAAAAAAAATAAATAAATTGAGGGGCAACCAAATGTGAGATTTTGGGGCCCACAGCGCCCTCCTTAATAAAGATACACGATATTTGACAACAGACTCAGAATCTATGACCAAGAATCTACAACAATTCAGTTTTCTAGCTGTATTTTTTATGAAGTTTTGGTCTCTCAAACGTGCTTGTAAATTAAGGCTTTCGAAAAAGTGAGAATGGCCCCAAAATTTCAGTGGGCCATAACTCAGGAACGACTGAAGGGGTTGAGCTAAAATTTGAGATTCTTTCATTTGGTAATTTTAGAATTTTTTAGAAATTTTTTCAGCCGAATCTGAGATGGCTCATAGGGGAGAGCGGCTGATTTCATATAGACTGACCCAAGTGTGTATTCTTTTGTCTCCTGCAGCTGCCCAGCTCCCCTCTCTGAGTCCTGGTCTGACTCCACAGAACCAAGAAGAACCCAACATCAAACAGGGGGAAGAACAGCTGCAAGTGTGAGTCTCAGACACTTTAAAACCGCAACTCTTTATGTTGTTATTCATTCATTGTTATTCATTTCCATTACAAATATTCAGATTGGGTCTGAAATATACAAATGTATCTTATATTCTTCAGGTCTGTCCCAGAATTTAGCACTGTGAGTGTGAAGACAGAAGAGTCCCCACTGCTTCTACAAAGACAAACTGAGCAGAGAGAAGACACACAGGGAGAGGACATCAGAACAGAGATACATGTCCACAGAGAGGACACACAGGGAGAGGACATCAGAACAGAGATACACGTCCACAGAGAGGACACACAGGGAGGAGACATCAGAACAGAGATACACGTCCACAGAGAGGACACACAGGGAGAGGACATCAAAACAGAGATACACGTCCACAGAGAGGACACACAGGGAGAGGACATCAAAACAGAGATACACGTCCACAGAGAGGACACACAGGGAGAGGACATCAGAACAGAGATACACGTCCACTCAGAGACTGAGGGAGACACAGAACTCTCTTCTGACACTGACAGTGATGAAGACTGGAGAGCTCCACTCAGCTGTTCACCTGCACACATGGACACAGGGGCTGATGGAGACCACAATAACCAAGAGACTAGAGCCAGAAGCACCACTGCACAAAACCCACGTCTGTCCCCCAAATACAAGTGTGCACCAGAGACCAGAGCCACTGTGAACAATGCAGACATGTCAGGAACTGGTGAAGGACCCGAGAGGAGGAAACACAAGTGCTCTGTTTGTAAAGAGAGATTTGGCTCTAAATATAAACTGAAAAGACACAGGAGAGTTCACACAGGAGAGGAACCATTCAGGTGTTCAGTTTGTAAGAAAGTTTTTTCTCATAGTTCTAGTCTCAAAACACACATGAGGACTCACACAGGGGACAAACCATTCAGGTGTTCGGTTTGTAAGAAAACATTTGCCCAAAAGGTTATTCTCAATAGGCATATGAGGACTCACACAGGGGAAAAACCATTCAGCTGCCCAGTCTGTAAGAAAGACTTTGCAGATAGTTCTAATCTCAAAACACATATGAGGACACACACAAGGGAGAAACCATTCAGGTGTTCGGTTTGTAAGAAAACATTTGCCCAAAAGGTTACTCTCAATAGGCATATGAGGACTCACACAGGGGAAAAACCATTCAGGTGTTCGGTTTGTAAGAAAGACTTTGCAGATAGTTCTTATCTTAAAATACATATGAGAACACACACAGGGGAAAAACCATTCAGCTGCCCAGTCTGTAAGAAAGACTTTGCAGATAGTTCTTATCTTAAAATACATATGAGAACACACACAGGGGAAAAACCATTCAGGTGTTCAGTTTGTAAGAAAGTTTTTTCTCACAGTTCTAGTCTCAAAACACATATGAGGACACACACAGGAGAGGAACCATTCAGGTGTTCAGTTTGTAAGAAAGTTTTTTCTCATAGTTCTAGTCTCAAAACACATGAGGACTCACACAGGAGAGGAACCATTCAGCTGCCCAGTATGTAAGAGACTTTGCAGATAGTTCTTATCTTAAAACACATATGAGGACACACACAGGAGAGGAACCATTCAGGTATTCGGTTTGTAAGAAAGTTTTTTCTCATAGTTCTAGTCTCAAAACACATATGAGGACACACACAGGAGAGGAACCATTCAGGTGTTCAGTTTGTAAGAGTTTTTTCTCATAGTTCTAGTCTCAAAACACATGAGGACTCACACAGGGGAGAAACCATTCAGGTATTCGGTCTGTAAGAAAACATTTGCGCAAAAGATAACTCTCAAAACATACGAGGACACACAGGCGAGAAACCATTCAGGTGTTCGGTTTGTAAGAAAACATTTGCCCAAAAGATGATTCTCAAAACACATATGAGGACACACACAGGGGAGAAACCATTCAGGTGTTTGGTTTGTAAGAAAACATTTGCCTACAAGATTACTCTCCAAAGACATGAGGACACACACAGGGGAAAAACCATTCAGGTGTTCGGTTTGTAAGAAAGGTCAGAGGTCAATTTTGAGCTTAATATTTTTCACAATATTTATTTACATGATAAAGGATTTCTTAAATACAAACAAAATTCATTTTTGTACAAAAATCATTTTTGTGCACTGTTCCTGTCTTTTTGAATGAATAAACTTTACTGTTTACGATGTTGCTTTTAGTTTTGCATGACTGTATATTCCACAAATTCACTAAAGAAACATTTTAACACCAGAGTCACTCAGCTGGTTTTCTACTATATATCTCTGTGGACGGCCATCACTTTAAATGTTATTTCTTAGCCTTAAATTTTCCACAGTATGACATTAAAGTTGTCTATTTACACCTGAAAATAGACAAGAATGTATGTTTTTCTAAGTTGTTTCAGTCTTTGCTTATTTTCTAAAGGGTTCGTGTGAGAGACTGCCAGTACAACCGCTTATGCAAACAGTTCTTCACCGAGGAGACACAGGACGAGAAGTACCAGGGTCATACAAGGGACGAGAGCAGCCAGAAAGCTATAGAATCTGATCCAAAACGCAAATGTAGCCTAAAGACTCTAGACTGCGTGTTCCTATATTATGCAAAATTGACTCTTGTGAGCTTTAAGTCATGTAAGAATGTTGTTACCTCCCCATAAACACACCTGAAGTTGTGTTTTGTTTCATTTACACATGTTTGAGGTATTCTTTACTATGAGTCTGTCTACATCTCCAAAGGTCAGACGCTCTGTTCCACCTTGTAATGTCATCTGGAGGTGGTTTTCAAGTTAATCGCTCCTTTTACCTTTTATTTAGATTGGCAATTCCAAAACTGAAATGATCCAAATGATTCTAGTGAAGGTATATGGAGTTTAAAAACACAGTGGAGCACTTCCTGTATTACCACATGATGTCACAAGCTGGAACAGAGTGCTTTCAGTTTGAGAGAAGAATGGAAAATAATTCACAAAATTTACCCTACCAATTTACTCATACTCATGCGCAGTCAGGGGCCGGAGGGGATCTGGTTTGGGGACCACAGGATCATCTCTGCAGTTTGCAAATGATGTTGTCTTGTTGACTCCATTGAACCAGGACCTACAATGTGCACTGGGACGGTTTGCAGCCGAGTGCGAAGCTGCTGGGATGAAGATCAGCTCTTCCAAGTCCGAGGCCATGGTTCTCGACCGGAAAAAGGTGGCTTGCCCTCTTTGGGTGGGTGGGGAGTCTTTGCCTCAAGTGGAGGAGTTCAAGTATCTCGGGGTCTTGTTCACGAGTGAGGGGAGGACGGAACGTGAGATTGACAGGCGGATCGGTGCAGCGTCTGCAGTGATGCGGTCACTGTATCGTACCGTTGTGGTGAAGAGGGAGCTGAGTCGAAAGGCGAAGCTCTCGATTTACCGGTCAGTCTTCGTTCCTCCCCTCACCTATGGTCATGAACTCTGGGTAATGACCGAAAGGACGAGATCGCAGATACAAGCAGTCGAAATGAGTTTCCTCTGCAGGGTGGCTGGGCGCTCCCTTAGAGATAGGGTGAGGAGGCCCCGGGGAAGACCCAGGACACGCTGGAGGGACTATGTCTCTCGGCTGGCCTGGGAACGCCTCGGGGTTCGCCCGGAGGAGCTGGAGGACGTGTCTGGGGTGAAGGAAGTCTGGGAGTCCCTGCTTAGACTGCTGCCCCCGCGACCCGGCCCCGGATAAGCGGAAGAAAATGGATGGATGGATGGATTTACTCATAGACACATTCAAGGAAACTGAAACATATTGCAGTTTTTGCCATAACGAAGAAGAAACCATCCTCCATCTCTTTTATTATTGTAAATAGTCAAATCTAGAAACACTTATCCTGGAAAAAACATCCGTCAGAATTCATTTGGACTGCTCAAGCATAATAACCCATTTCCATACATGCATCACGAATTTCGGACTTCCGGTTAATGCACAATACATACTGGAAAGGATTTTCCAAATGTATGATAATAATAATAATAATAATAATAGTTATTATTTATTTTATGATTATTATGATTATTATTATTATTATAGTAGTAGTAGTTGTAGAAGTAGTGGAAGTAGTACTAGTATATTTATTTTTATTGTATTTATTTTATTTCATGTATTTTTTTTATTTATTTAATGTAAATATATATATATATATATATATATATATATATATATATATATTATATATATATATATATATATATATATATATTATATATTTTATTTATTTTTTATGCATTATTATTATTAGTAGTAGTAGTAGTAGTAGTAGTAGTAGTAGTAGTAGTAGTAGTATTTATTTATTTATTATTATTTTATTTATTTTTTTTGGTCGAGAGGCAGGAACATTCGAGGAGAGAAAAAAAATAAAAAAGACCACATGGGGGCGTCACTTCCGCTGGAATATTCTGGTGCCTGTATCCTCATGCGCCCTATAAGAACGCGCACGGAGCATCAACAGGTAAAAGCCAGCTATTGCTTCTACCGTCACCATTGCGCAATTTTACGCCAATTTTGCGTCAAAAACTGTTAAATTTTCCAGTCACTTACTACAAAATCCTGCGTACACTTGCTGATTTGTACGTCTCCATCACTTTAAACAGCAATAAACAGTTTTTTCACGGACTTTTCACAGGTAAGAATAGGTATTTTGAGACATTTCTAAATAAAACGCGCGCTTTTACTTCTTGGGCTGCTATTTTGCGCGGGTGGAAATGGCGCAGATGCACGGGAGAAGCGCATAAGTTCAATTCGGTTCTGATGAGAGTGCGCAAGCTGCTTTGGTGGAGCTCTCAAATGACATTAAATCTTTAAAAAGTGTTCAAATGACAAACAACATGGACGCTGGGGTGTTGGCGGAGTAACTGATCTACTCTTATAATGACATTGTTAGCTGTTCATTGACAAGGCTACGGTTTCATAGGTGTCTTTATAATGAAAAATGTTCCGTATTGTTTGTTAACTTGCAGGTGTTTGCTGTTGCTGCCAAGAGACGACCATGATCCTGCTGACTCCCTCCTCTGGTAGGCCTGTCTTTAGTCATCTCCTTTCCTTCTGTAGATTAGTTTTAGGTCTGTTTCTACAGTTTATTGCATGTTATAAGAGATGTCAGGTCAAATAATACTGAAATAAATAGACTATAAAGTAACATAACTAATTTATCATCATATGGTAATCAAAAGTGGCATGCAGCTCCTATAAACAGAAAACTGAGACTGATACATAGGGAGGAGGGTGCGCTGGAAAACAAAGGCCAAACTAGAAAATCAGTAAATACTCCAGGCTGCATCCATACTGATACTGAACTGAAACAAATTTGCTGGATCAGATATTTGCTTCCAAATATCGGTTCAGCTGATATCCTGGTTGGACATTATACTTCGGTGTATTTACAGGACTTGTTGTGGCAAAGTATTCATTATGTTTGAACTTTTAATCATACGAAGTTATTCTGTAGTTGCTTAAGAGATAAATAACAGCTGCAGAACACATTTGGATCAGTTTTGTCTTGTTTTGTTTTAAGGAAATAAATGCTGTTTTCAGTCAGTATCTGGGTCAGTATTCAGGCAGTACAAAGTATGAGCTTAATTAAAAGGTTTTTATTTAAGAAAGTAACATGCCAGCGTGGTGTTCATCAAGGCTCACATGAAACCGCACCTAGGAAATAACTTGTAGTAACACATAGTAATTATTGCTCATACCTACTTCTGTTTGCAGTACTACACTAATGACAGATGTACTCTTTTACGTTGGTTACTTTGGCTCTTTAAGTCTAAACATGTTTTGTTTGTCATTAACTCTATCATTGTTACCAGGTAACTAAGCAGAGCTCTTACATAACGGTTTGCTTCCCATCATGCATTGCACTAATGGGGCAGTAGTCCAGAAACAGGGACCTGCTTTTAACTGACTTTTGTGTCTCATCTGGCTTTACCCTTCGGCTGTCAGGTTCCGTGTTACTTTTGGCACATTGTCTGACTCTAAAGTTGTTTCTACCATAAGAGGTGGCTACTAAAAGTTTTCCACCAAGTCACTGCTGTGTTATTTAGTGAGGGGTATTTTCTGATAAGCCTGGTGCAGATTAAAAATGTACTATGGAACTTTTCTGGTGGGGGTCTGGAATGGAATCCACATTCTATATTAGACACATCAGATCCTGTATTGTTCTGTGTTCTATGTTACAAATGTCACTGTTGATTAGGGGTGTGCAAAAATATTGATATATTGTATCATTTAATGTGATCATACAGTATCGATATCGTGGGCTGCTGTTTCAATATATCGCCAGGTGTATTTTACTCATATTATATTTTACTCAATTGTTTTAGTTACAGCTACAGATTTGTGGTTTATTTAGAGCAGGGGTGTCCAAACTTTTTCATCAAGGGCCACATATCTAAACACAGATGAAGCAGAGGGCTGATCGAGGGCCGTAGACTGATGCTCAGTGCAGTGAAGAATTAAAATATGTGCATGTTTAACATATTAGAATGAGCCATCAATCTTTATTCATGCTAAGAGCCTTAAAACCACACACTACTTTATATATTAAATATAAACTTTGTCAAGGTAGATTTAAAAAAAAAAGTTTATTTTTAATTGATGCGAGGTAATTTCGGCCAATTCACCTGGAAGCCTGAGGGCCAAGAAAAATTTGTCTGAGGGCCACATTTGGCCCACGGGCCATAGTTTGGACATGAGGAAGGAAACTTGTTTATGCAACACATTTGACATTTTTACTTTTTTTAATGTGTTTCATATGAACTTTCCACAAGAAGTGGTTTAACAAAGACTTTTAGTATCACAGCCACGATTTATCCCTTATTTTTTATTGAACTGTATCCAGTTAATTTGAACTATATTGTATATGTATCGTATTGTGGCTTATATGTCAAGATATGTATTGTATCGGCAACTTCTTAAAGATATCCAGCCCTACTGCTGATGCACTCACTTGTATCTGTATGTGACCTTTCATTTCTCTGTATAAAAGTCCAGTTGTACTATTGTACCTGTTATCATCCTCCTGTCTCCATGGAGATGATAGAGTTGCTTTGTATAGTTCAGCAATAGCTCTTTAGAAATTACACTAACATTACCAGTCGAAAGTTTGGACACACTCTTTCATTTATTATATTTTATCTTAAAATCCTCACAGTACCCACCTGTAACTTGACCTGGTGGTGTCGCTATTGGATTGTGTTTTGTGTTTAATGCTATGCTGTGGAACACTCCTGACAAAGCAGTAACATAACCATGGAAACGAACAGACGATGGATCCCCACATCAGAAAAGTGATACGTTCTGTGGATGTGATGTTGCTCTGCTCACCTGCTCCTCTCTTTCAGATGAGGAGTCACTTGGAGTCAGAGGCAAATCTGTATTTAAACAAGTGATTTGAGTGGATTCTATTGCAAATGTTGTATTATTTCATCATTGCCGGTCATTGTGTGCGCTCTGTGGGACAGTGCTATGACTTGAGACACAATAATGCAGTCAAATAGAGCAGGCACAAAACAAGGATTTCTTTGTCGGTTTGATTGAAATCTAGCTTTGGCTTTGGAGCAGAGGCTGATGGCTGTGTCAGACCATCTGACAGTTGGCCTTTATGACTGCTGATTTGTGTAACTAAACATTGTTTTTACCGTACATGCAAAACTCTGTCCTAAATGAATCAAACTAGAACAATTTACAGTAACTCTTTAAGATTAAGGACAGCATATCACTGGCTAACTAATATGCATACTACTACTACTACTACTACTACTTATGACAACTGTTTTGATTATACTAAAAGCTATGAACTGTTTGAAGAGTCAAATGGCTTGGCTCAGTGGTGTATAGGTCTGAGTGAATTATTGATCTCACATCTATTATGTGCTGTACAGTTGGAGCGCCCCCTGCTGTAGAGAATGGTGACTGTGCTAGTGCCCATTCCAGTTCATTTGTGTTTGATCCTTTACTCATTTAGGCTACATGTTTCATATTTTATACCATGCATGTTATGGTTTTGTAATGAGTACCAGTGTTTAAAATGTATTCCCCTACAGATTACAGATTACATACTCCAAAATGTAGTTTGTAACGGAATCCAATAAATTACTTAAAGTGAGTAACGTAATCTGAATACTTTGGATTACTTGATTTTCTAAGAAGCAAAGACAAGGAAATCTTCACATAAGATGTTTTGTCTGCTAAAAGAAAATAAAAAGCCCACAATTTACTTGACCGTATTAAAAGTATAATTGATAGAAGAGGAGGAGACACGTCCACACAGCATGGTTTAGTCCTGTTAAATCCTGTTTTAGTCCTGTTTTAGTCCTGGTCTAGACCTGGTTTAGATCTAGTTTAGATCTAGTTTAGACCTGGTTTTAGTTCTGGTTTAGTCCTGGTTTTAGACCTCGTTTAGACCTGTTTTAGACCTGGTTTAGATCAGTTTAAAATACTGCCGTGTAATTCATTTATTTCAACAAAGTAACTGTAATCTAATTACCACTCATTGAAACAGTAACTGTAACTGAATACAGTTACTCATAATTTGTACTCAGATTACGTAACTCTGGTACATGTAATCTGTTACTCCCCAACAGTGATGAGTACAATGTTCTTCTGCATGAAGATCCAGGAACACAAGCAGCAAATGTATTCTGATGCATTTTAGACAACTGAAAATGTATTCAGTATAGTGTGAATGTTAGTTTGATAACAGAAACATCAGCGGTAAGTTGTACCTTTTTTTTTAACTAGGAAAAGAATACAACTACAACTGCATACAACTTAAAAGATGCACTATGTAACTTTTTGGGTGGAGGGTCACCGCCTGCTTGTCTCCCTGTGGATGTTATTGCTTTGCATGACATGTTCCACAGTTTGGCATTAAATTTATCTACTATCTCCATAGTGATAAACAGGTGACACACTCAGGCCAAGTTACAGGTTGGAAGACATAATTTAGTTAAATAATCAAGACTGACCCTACATATCAGCCTAAAAATATCATAGATTTTTTTATACATTCAGAATCTAACTTCCTGTGTGCTTCTCAGGTGTGTTTCAGTGCAAGAACAAGCTGCTGCTGAGTGACCGCGCTGGGCTGCACTTTAAAGAGTTTGCCCGGAAGAATGCAGCTAACGCCCTGTCTGTGGCCAACCTGGTCATGGGCCTGGCCTCCATCCTCAGCAGCCTCAACGGGTCAGTGCAGCAATGCAGACACACTCAAGAGGCAATAGAATGGAACAATATAAACAAGAATCTTTGGTGCTTTTTCACAAATCAATTAAAATTCCACATTTAATTAGGATTGTCACAATAACACATTTCCAGGTGTGATATATTGAAGAAAAAGTAAACGATAAAAGATAATATTGACACACAGACTGCAGTAGCAATAGTAGAATTACAGTTTTTTTCAGTAATTTTAGCAGAGTTTTTGAAACTTGGTTTAGTTTGATCATATGATTCAAACCTGTATGTGAACAGAGGTACACCTGGTCAAATTATTTGGAACATTTCTCATCAGTTCTCACATTTTCAGGCTCTTCCTCAGAACACTGGACACAGCTCTCATTCACAAACACACATGATCAGTGAATTCACTCTGTTTTTTTCAACACATTCAAATCAAATTCATAGAAACTCAAACAGAACGGCAACTCAAAATCAAATATCTATCAGCAAAGGATTTCATACATGAGTCAAACAGGGAGAATCTGCTCTCTGTGCTCTCTGCTGATCTCATTAGAGAGCACAGAGAGCAGTGATTCTCTTTGATCACTGAGACAAGAACCAAAACTAAGCTTTTTTTCAAATGAATGAAAGAGCTCAGAAAAACACATGACTAGAGTTTGTACATTTTGATGGTAAAATTTGATTTTGGGAGAAGATCGATCAGTTTTGAATTTAGAATTGCATTTTGCTGAAATTTTATTTTTTTGGGGGAAAACTTAAATTCTGTTTAAGATTTTGTGTAAGTTGTTTTGCAGATGTAAATTTCCCGGTGATAAATGTGGTAAAGTGATTAAAAAAACCTGTAAACAAATAGACATTTTTTATTCAACTGTCTGCAGCTCAAATCTTGAAGTAGAAAACAAATTTTGCTGAAATAAAATTTTGTTGAGGAAAACTAAAAGTGACTGAAAAGGGAAAAGTGATTGAAAAAAAATGTAATGCTCCTTGACATGTTTAAGATCTGCACTGTCAACTTAATCTTACAGTTTTTCTCACTCACTTTGGAGTTTGGGCTAAAGTCCTTTACCAGTGAGAACAGAGCTGTAGTGTTGACCAAACAAGGTGAATTCACTGATCATGTGTGTTTGTGAATGAGAGCTGTGTCCAGTGTTCTGAGAAAGAGCCTGACAACTGTGAGAACTGATGAGAAATGTTCCAAATGACCAGGTGTGCCTCTGTTCAGAAACAGGATTGAATCAAATGATTAAACTAAATCAAGTTTCAAAAACTGTGCTAAAATGACTGAAAAACTAAAAAGTAACCTGCAATGAAATGTCACACTTTCTATATTTGTTAGAAGATCACACCGAGTAATTCAAATAGCCAAACATAATGTCGAGGTATGAAAGAACAATACAGGTCTGACCAGAAGAGCCTTTCAACCATCAAAACACCTAATGAACCTATTCACTCCAAACAGCCAAACCTTCCTGTGTTGTTCCCAGGCACCATCACGCGGCCTGTTGGCTCGTTCTGATTGGATACATGTTGGATTTGGCTGATGGAGCTGTTGCCCGGCAACTGGACGCCTGCTCGGCTCTGGGTGAGTGCTCTGTGGTGGTCAGGACTACAGCAGACTTTTGTGTTGACTTTGTCTTAGTTTTAACCACACAGCTGTAAACAAAGCCTGACAGACCAAGAAAAGCATTTTATTTGAATCCTGAGTCAGGTTAGTAAAGATTCAAAGCCAGGCATGTCCAAACCTTTTTCTGCAGCTACTGTTTTGGAACATTAAAGATGCACTAGGTTACTTTTCTGCTCCACCACCTGCTTATCTCCATGGAAATGTTCTTCAATAAGGCATAATCATATACTACGTTCACGTGGACCTCAGGAACTATAGATGTCAACATTTACTGTATGTGTTTTAACTCAGAGTGAGGATTTTTACATTGTGTTCACTCATTAACAGTGTTCAAACGAGCTAATCAGTAAGATATGTTATTGTTAGCCTTCTCAAAATCGAAACGTTAATGTTATTTGTTTACTTTAGCTAACACTAGTTAATATTACACTGGTCATTTTTTAACCAGTAGTGTTGGGTCTTTCTTGCACAGCTCTGTTGCTCTTATGATGTGGGCAACTGGCAGTAAAGCTCATGAATATAGTAACATTTAGTCAAAGAGCTCAAATGTTTCAGATAAATTGACAAATCACCAGGTTTTCATCCATCTCAACCATAGACTGTATAAAGAGTCAGTGTAATGTCACCCATAGAGTTCGACTCCAGTCAAAGGAAGCTCATCAAGGCTTGCAGTTATGGGGAGAATATGGAAGTAGGGTTCATATTTGGAATTCCGATCACGAGTATGATAGCAACCAAAGAGAAAATCCAGAGTGAGGCTTTTAAAGTTAACACCTGATGCACAGCATTGCAGTGCCCGGTCCCTACTAAACCTTCCTGGCTCAGGCCAGATTGATTTTTATCACTCTGAAATGAGTTCTACACATTCACCATCTGGAACGGCTCTTGCTGAGAGCGTTTAGAAATGGTAGGGACTTGCAGCAGAATGCTTAGAGCTGACCCACCCCAAAGTGCCCGCCCACCAGTTACTTTTTAGCCAAACCTGATCAAATGTGTCTCCAACTTGCACAAGGTAAAACTAAAACAAGTGTCTTGCTGGAGAGGGAACATGTCCATAAATCTATTTAAACATTTTTGCTATACAAATTTGTGCATTAAGGGCATTATAAGCCACTATCACCATCTGCTGACGCCGTCATGTTTGTTTTGCTTCGTGAAGGTCAGGGGTGGGCAATTATTTTTTCCATGGGGCCTCATGAGAAACAGAAAATATTGGCCAAAATCAATTCTGCATAGTATTAATTTATTAATTATTAAAATGAATTTCTTCATAAAGAGCGGTAAATATCATTGTATAGACGAGCTGGTCAGACTGGTAAGAGTTTATGTTATGACTAAACGATGAAAAAGTGAGGTTGCCTTACAAAAAATGTCATTTAAAAAAACACCTCTAAAATAAAAGCAATGCAGCTTTAGCCATGCATGAGGTAAAATGATAAAATATATTTATATTGTAATTCCAAATGAGCTTAAACAGGCTGGTCAGAATGAACCAAAGGGCCGTATGTGGCCCAGGAGCTGTTCAACGCCCAGGTCTGATGTAGGCCATAGAATATACAGTCTATGGTGTGGGCCTGGAGCTCATAGAAGCCTGTGATTGGACCACTGCTCAGGTTAAAATTTAAACTGCACAGTGGGAGCATCTCAAGATGAATTCTCGTAAGTTTGTGACCTCACATATATTGTGAGAATTTATCTTGCTGCACAAGGTTATGTTGAAAACCAGAGGTGCGAGCACTTAGCAATGCTGTCAGTCATACCTGTTGTTAACACTAGTGGAACGACCTTGGGGAAAGAAAGCGCCTGATTTGTCTGCTATTAATGTCTATATCTTGAGTTACAAAGAAAATATCTAAATAAAAGTGAGTTGGATCCAGAGGCAACAGAACTGGGAGCTCTGTCCTTTTATATACAGTATGTCTGTGGAGCATTCTAGGCAAAGCAGTAACATCTCCATGAGGCAGACCCTCCACCAGAAATGTTTCATAATATACCTTTAAAATGTTGGATATTGAGGTTATGGTGCTGGATTGTTAAACTTGCAGTTTCTATTCAATTTAATCAGTAAGATGGTCACAGAAAATGGTCTATTTTGGTCCCTGGGCCATAATTTACACTTTCTTGTTGATTATATTTCTAGATTATATATAATAGTTTATTTTCCTTTTGAGAATAAACGGTGATGTGTGCTAGCTGACACTTTCACTGGTGCCTAAAATAGTGGCCAGGTGCTTGACAAACCCTCATGGCTGCACATTTCAGTTGCTTTGTTTTTCTGCATGACTTTGCAGGTAAATGTTGTTGTGCCCCATGTATTTTGTCACATGAACAGTCCCATTCTGATTAAGCACCTCATTCCACAGGACCACACTTCAATTGTCCATATGATCCCTGCCCTTTGGTCCTCTGCGTGTCTGAAATTGCTAAAATTGTTGACCCTGAGAGGTGGAATTCGCCTGGTTCGTTTGGCCTGAGTCACCTCATCCTCATCGGTGAAAACAGGCGGTGCTGAGGGCATAGAGCCACCACAGCAGAGAATGTGTTCATGAGATCACATGCACATGCTCTCAGCCCACACTAGTGATGTGACGTCTGTGACCGAATCGGCTCTTTTGAACAATTCCTTAAAGGTCCTATGCTCTAATGTTGTTTCCTTATCACAAACAGACCTGGAGTTGTGTTTTGTTTCATTGACACATGTTTTACACCAGTGTTTTGCAAGTTCACACTTTTCATGAACTAGTTCAAAGTTCAGTTCATTTTATTTTTAGGTGAGATATGTAAATGAAAGGCTGAACTTATTTGACTTCCAGTGTACAACAACTTTACAAGATGTGAACCATAAGCACTCTAGAGCCACATCAGTCCTTTTGACATTATAATGTGTTTAATGCAGCTTTGACACATTTGTTTACGTCTTACAGAAAAGAAAACCGCATGGCTAATTTGCATAAATGTAAACGTTGGGAAAAAGCAGCTTTTTCCTAATGCATAATGCATCAGCTTCTGTCGGACTAAAGGACACGTCTATATGTGTTCTTTCTGTGACAGGGGATGTCACTGTAACTTCTGGACATGTAATTGGTAGAATGCACTGAAAGTGAGTGAGGGCAGCTCCACTGCATGCTCTAGACGCACATGTGGAGCAGTGTGTCCTGCACGTGTAGATTTCAGAAAATAGGATTCATCCTGTATTTTGACATGAGCGTAGGCGCATAACCCCATGAAAATCCACAGAGAGCATGAATCTTTTGTTGTATTTGTGCATTTACCATCAGCACATCATGCTCCCTGGGCAGTTCTGTGTCATGTGAAAGAGCCAAGTCCCGAACAACTGTTAATTAGTGCTTGGAAATTTACTTTTGAAATCCTTGCATTTGCCGTGGTCATCCTGTACAGAAGGTAAATACAAGCGGCTAAACGCTCCCTGTCAAGTTTGATCGGCTTTCCCGTTGAGAAACACAAGAGTCAGTACGTTCCGCTAGAGCTGTCAGTGGAGCCACCTTCGTGTTGACGCACGGCTGTAGTTTCGCAAGGTTAAGTGTGAGCAGGTCTTGTCACTCGTCAGGTGAAAACAAATTCCAATGTTTAATTGAACCCCACAGTGATGTACGTTGTTCATCTCACATAATTTGAACAAATTCGCCTTCAAGTTCTTGATTTACAGATGTGTGGCGTTCAGTTCAAAGTTCACTGAAAAATGAACGTGTTCAATGAACGCGTTCTTTTGAACTCATTCATGCACAGCCCTGTTTAACACACAAACCCTGAACAAACAGTTCTTCTGTCAGAGTGAAATCACTCTGTTACACCTTGTGATGTCATGTGCTAATACAGGAAGTGCTCCAAACTCCATACATCTTCACTAGAATTATTTGGATCATTTCAGCCTTGGCATTTCCAATCTCTGCTGAACAAATGGTAAAAGAAAATGTTAACTTGAAAGCTACCATAACACGACATCACAGATTGGAACAGAGCATTTTGAGCTTTGGAGATGTAGACAATAATAAAGGGTTACTCAAGCATCTGTGAATAAAACAAATTACAATTGTTTTGGGGAGGTAACAACATTCTAACATGTCTCACAAGAGTCAGTTTTGCATAATATAGAACCTTTCTCTCTGTCATTAGTTTGTACTAGGGATGTAACAATATCCAAATCTTTCGGTACGATATTTTCACAATATACATCTCACGACACGATACTTATTGTGATATTTTGTGGAGGCTAACAAAACTGTGAACATGCTACTTTTTCCTCTTAAAATGCCTTGACAAGACTAACCCTAATCCAAAGAGTGAAGATTTAAAAGTGCTTATCACAGTTATTTCTTCATGTAGTCTGTACTGAAAAGGAGCAAAGGATCATGGTCTATGTAGTTCCCTCAGTTTTTTTAGCTATTGCTGCATCATAACTATTTATTTACATAATAATTCAATATATTGTGATGGTCCACGATATTATTGTGAGACCTTTGACGATACGATATCACAATACTTCTGTTATTGTTACATCCCTAGTTTGTGCTTTATGAGTTCTCACATTGGCTTCTGTCATATAAATAAATATAAAATGAGCCTGTCTTTGGCATGAATGAATCCAAAAGATTTAGATCCCACAAAGTCCCATCATTAACCCACACCACCAGACTAGGGTGCCCAAGAACCCTACTCATGAGTTTTGTTGCTACAAAAATAATAAACTGTAATAATGTTCATGAAAGCTTTCAGTAATCTCTCTGTTGTCCAGCTACGTTTATCACAATAGAAAATTTAATAGTGTCATCTACTGCCCTAAGGTGTGAACTGTCACCTGTCACTATGTTTCAGTGTAGTTGGCTCCTCTCTTCAGGCAGATATAAGGCCATGAGAGCTACTTGTCTGTTCACATGCATTACATTTTCCCCAAGCCAAACATTAAAAAAACATCATTAAAGTCTGGCGACTAGTGTAGTATCTGCCCTTCTAATGTTTAATTTGTAAAAGGATTAGTCTCATTTGTTTGTTTATTGACAGGAGCAAAGCTGGATGACTTTGCAGACTTCACAACCTTTGGCATCGCCACATCTCTGCTCCTCAGAACCCCCGAGCTCCTGGACAACCTCTTGTGCATGTGCTACGTCCTGTCTGTGTTCGCCCGCCTCTGCTTCTACTCCAGTGGTACGTTTAAAACTGCTTCTTCTCAGGTGTTTTTTTTAAAATGACATTGGTATTAGAGTTTAGATCAGGCCCAGGCAGGCACATGTACTGTTTGAACCCGACCCGGAATGGGGTCATCTGGAATCATCTGAGGAGAGTTTAACCCTGGGTTTAGACAGCCCATGGTGCAGCTCCAGTCTGTTGGCTGGGAGTATTCCATACAGCTGACAGTAATAAGATGAGCTCAGAGCGCACACATGCTGCCTGGAGGTGCTGGTGTGTGTGCCCCAGTCTGATTCTTTCTGTTGAGTCTTTTATGGTGGGACATCAGAGCCCACCACAGCCTTTTCCCTTAATAAATGTGTAGTTATCATGTGAACATGTGGTCTTGCACAAAGAGCTTTCAAAAGCACTGACTGAAACAGCACAGCAGAGCAACGCTGTCTGTGAGAGTCACACCACAGTGGAACCGCATCCACACTGCAGTCTCAGCTGAACCAGGCATGTTCTAAGTGAGGCGTAATCGCCAGAGGAGGGACACGTACTTGATACTTACATAAAATTCTACTGTAGATAGTGATAGAGTCTTGAGTCTGCTTTTTGTTACCTCAGTTACTATGCCGTTTCCATATTATTTCCATCCTAATACAGTGCCCTAAAATGCGACCTACATATGTTTCTTCTAGGAATCCCATTCATGTACCGGGGTCTTCCGTGTATTTACTCGTCTGCCATTGTGGCCAGTGCGTCTCTGCTCTCTGGAGGAAACATGGCTCTGCTCCGTGTAATCGCCGTGCCCATGATCCTGTTCATGATCAGCCAAACTTTCTACCCACACGACCGCGTCCTGGAATCTCAGGCCTGGAAGAAGGCCGTCTATGCAGGAGGTATACACATACACTATTCTGAATGTAACATACATAGTAGTAGTAGTAGTAATTAGTTAGTAGTAACAGTATTTCAGAGGAGGATCCACCACCTGCTTGTTTCCATTGAAATGTTATTGTTTTGTCTAGAACAGGGGTGACAAACTCATTTTGGTCCAGGGGTCGTATCCAACCTACTTTGATCCCAAAGGGGCTGGATCAGAAAACTCATGTCATATAAACCCCAAAAATAACAATAAGTTCAAATATTTGTGCAGAGAAACACAAATCTATTACACAAATCTTTTTTTTTGATGAATTGATGAACTCTTTCTTTTACAAAATATTATAATTTTATGAACAACCTGAAACTTTAAGAAAAATGCAATTTCAAAACAATGTTTTAACATGAACTTTATGCAAATAGGAATAAGTCAATTTTTCTTGGAAAATTCTTCACTCGGCTCCACTTTTCACATTTTTGTCATTTTGCTGATGAGGGTGTCACGGTCAACAGTCAAAACGATCGTCCTTTAAGAGCGTTTGGAAAGAGACAAGTCTTCATTTGTGCTGCTCTTGTGGGAGGGGCCACGTACAGAGACGCTGGAGACGCTGCTATGATAAACACCACAGAAAATTACCAATATTTTAAAAGAAAATATAATTAAAATATTTTAGTAGAAAATCAGCCCGTGGCCAGATTAAAGGTCTTGGAGGGCCGGATCCTGCCCCCGGGCCATATGTTTGACACCCCTGGTGTAGAATGTGCCATAGTTATAGTCTATCACAAGAAAACAGGATAAAGTACTACGCTACATTACAGCTCAGATCTGTGGAGAGTCGCCCCTATTCACAGAAGGAAGTATTGTATTTTTGAGCAATAGGAGCAATAGAAATGCCTGTAATGAACAAATGCTAGATAAATATGTTTAATGTCAAACCAGGGAACATTCCAGGCAAAGCAATAACATCTCAATGGGGACAAGTAGGCAGCAGACGCTCTTCCAGAAGTTGCGCAGTGCACCTTTAATATCAGTGAAAGGTTTTTAAGTGCCTAGTTAAAAAAACGTTGTTCTCTGACAGTGGCACAAAGTGTATTCAGATTCTACTGTAAACATACAACAGACCTAAAATGAAGCTTTTGGTTTTGCAGGAGTGGTGATGGTGTTCTGTTCTTCTTTCTCTCCGGCCTGTGTGTACTACCTCCTCTGGTCCATCTCCTACATCCTGTTCCCTACCTCCCTCTGGAGCTCCAAAGTGTGAGCAGCAACAACTGTGAGGCACACCTACTCTGAGGAGCACTCCTACTGAAGAGAGCTGTTCATGAACTGATGCTCTGCTGCCCCCTACTGTCACACATTCACTCCCTTTAAGATTCATTCACTCATTAGAAAGAGGTCAGTGAAAGAAGGATTTTGTCTTATGTACTTGGTTTTATCCATAGGTGATTTTTGGCACAGTAACCACAGCTGGACGCCATAACACGTATTATGAAAGCAAAAAGAGTTTATGTTTAGATATTTATTCTATTACAGAGCATTAATATTGTTATGTAGGATTATTTTAGTTTCAGAGCAGCTTGTGGAACATTTTAGTCCAAGTATTTCGAAGATAACTTTCTGGATGTCCAGGTCCATTTCAGACTTCAGCTTCACATTATAAAAATATTTTTTATTAAATGAAAGAAACCAGCTCTTTTCATTACTGTACTGGCGCTGTACCTGATTTTTACTCTATTTAAAAATGTGAAAAACACAGCTAGAACTTTTAAACAGTTTGCAGTGGTTCAAAGTTCTTCCTCACTTACCTCATGCATTCAGAGCATCCTAATTAAGTGCTTTTCACAACATTCAAAGAGGGAGATAGAGCAGAGATTTGGGCTGATTTCATAATAATTGGACAAGAAATTAAATACAGATTAGAGGTCAGGACAGAATTTTCTGTCCCGCTCCAGCTTGCACCCGCATTGTCCAGTCCCTCTCCTGCCCGCACCTGCAAACAATTGTAACTTTCATTCCTGCTCCTCCCTGCGTCTGCGATATTTTGTCCTGCTTCCGCCTGCAAATCCCGCAAGACTTTTCGCTTTCTTAAGCTCTATCAAAGACGGAGAAGGAATTGTCTAAAATGTGCTCGAGATTAGACCACATCCGCAAGTTTAGGCTGCTTAAAATGTTTTGATTACTGCCAAATCAAATGTCAGCACAAATGATGCATGATAAGCAAACATGTATCATTTGTATATTTTATTTTACACTCATATTTAGTTTGCGGGACTGCAGTTTTGTCATCCCACTTAGGGATGGGCATGATTAGTCGAATAATCGATAATTGATCATTAAGAATTTCATCGATAACGTTAATTTTAATCGACAAACCGAATGTAGGTTGCTGTGCATAGTGTGACCAAACAGGGGTCCGTACATGTAGCTCTCTGCACTCAGAAGGAGCGAGAAAACACAAACATTCGGTCAGTCTGCAATGTACCGAAGCACAAATGCGTATTTAACGATGACTTGTACAAGAAATTCCACGCTTTCCGTTGCGTCCGGGACAAGTGTGAGTCCATGTGCACAGTGTATGAAGCAGGAACATATGTTTCGGTGTCCAGTGGGAAAAAGTTTTGCCAGGTGAGAGTCGCTCAATGTCGATGACGAGTCCCCACCTCCCTCCCCCTGTACAGTGTCCTGGTTTTAACAAACGCAAATCTGGTCACACTAACCTGTATTCCATTGAGTCATGTCTATTAGTCCGACAGAAATCGACCGCATCAGCGCACAAGAGCTGTAGTTTTATCTTCGCTTAGTTTATGCAAATTAGCGATGCGGTTTTAACTTTTGTTTCTGTGAGAGTTGAACAAAACTGAATTAAACACATTATAATGTCAAACGGGCTGATGTGGCTCTAGAGTGTTTACGGTTTATATGTCGTAAAGTTTAATTTTTTTATGCAGATTAGTAGTGCAGATAGTAATAATAATGATGATCATTTTAATATAAAAATGTTAATGATTAATCGATAAACAATTGTTAATTCTTCTGATGATCGATTAAGAAAATTTCATCAAATGCCCATCCCTAGTCCTGCTTCCTCCTGCACCCGCAATGAGCTTTCAAAATGTGTCCCAAGCCGCACTGTTTTCGTCAGGTCCCACAGGAGTGCAATGCAGACAGCAGACATCACACAGCAGACAGACTTTGACCTCTAGAGCTGCTTATACAGTATATCTATAATCGGACAAGATGCATTTAGCAAAAAAAAGTGTTTTAAAAATCAGGTACAGGGCTTTTCACCATGTTTCCAACTTGGATTTCTACCACTTTGTAGAAATGAGCTGCAACTTGAGACAGTGTTTGAATTGTCATTTTCTAAGTGTTTATATTAGATCGTTTTTTAAGTTTGCTTCTGTTTTAAGAGGCATTACATTTTAAGTCCACTAAAAAAACTACTCGACCATCTTGGAAGAACTGGTGAAGCGTTGCATTTCCAACATTTAAGATCACCCATAGGAATATGATAGAGGTTTACTGTACTAGTGAATTGGCTGCCATCTAGTGGTTTTGTTTGATGTAGCAGGCTTTGTAAATACTCATTGCAATTTCTCAGCATCGCTTTTCACAGTTAAAAATATATTATGACACATCGTAAAGCTTTATGGGATATCCCCTTAGACAAACAAACACTAAAGCAAAGCCGGGATGTCCTCCGTCAAAACAATCTCCTCATTTCCAGTTCAAACATTCTGTAACATTAACTTTTTTTTCATACGCTTCTTCTGGTGTGTGAGAATGCTGCCAGGTGCTGATTATGTGTCTAAGGATATTATCTGTAAACTTTGCTACAGAGTTGTGAGTTAAAAGTGATGTCATTTCCGGGTTCAACCAGAAACTTCACAACTGGATAGGCTCTATTCACTCTTACTGGAAGGCATTTGGAAACATGCGGATGAGGACTTCCGGTGTAGTTCCGCACTGGGCATGTGATAAAACCGTGGATTCAGCAGCAGCATCGCCACAACCTGCCAAAGCTTTCCATGGGGGACAAGACTCTAATCACATCTAATTCACTCACATGCAGCTGGTTGTAACTGTTGATCTGCCGAACATAACGGACACTAGAGCACAACAGTACAATGACAATACAAACTAGACAAGTTATAATACACAAATTAATAGGCAATTTATAAAAGGAAAAAGAAAGAATACAGTGACATCTAGATGGAGATTGACAGGTGGATCAGTGCAGCGTCTGCAGTGATGTGGTCGCTGTATCAGATCGTTGTGGTGAAAAGAGAGCTGAGCCGAAAGGCAAAGCTCTCGATTTACCGTCAATCTGCATTCCTCCCCTCACCTATGGTCATGAGCTCTGGGTAATGACCAAAAGGACGAGATCATGGATACAAGCTGATGAAATGAGTTTCCCCCATAGGGTGGCTGGGCGCTCCCTTAGAGATAGAGTGAGGAGCTCAGTCACCTCAGCTGCTTCTCCAGAGAGGAGGAGCTGAGGTGGTTCAGACATCTGTTCTAATGCCTCTTGGGTGCCCCACTTGGGAGGTGTTCCAGGCATGTCCCACCGGAAGGAGGCCCCGGGGAAGACCCTGGACATGCTGGAGGGACTATGTCTCTTTGTTGGTCTGGGAGCACCATGGGGTCCCCCCGGAGGAGCTGGAGGAAGTGTCTGGGGTGAAGGAAGTCCAGGAATCCCTGTTTAGACTGCAGCCCCCACAACCTCAGCCTTCCTCGTACACTTTCTGTCACAGTTGTAATCATAGATCCTTATAAACTTGTTATCTTTAAACTACTGCAATCTCTTTTTAACGTGAGAGGAAATTTTTCTGGTTGGACCCAGAAGTCATTTAACATGTCTGTTGTCCTCTGTCTACTTGTCTGGTCCATAAGATCTTCATTCATCTGAAAAATAAGATCATTCCTATTTTTGGAGGCATTTTTTTAGTCACTGTTTGTATCTAAACAGAACACTGTGAGAGGCCAGTGAATGTATAAATCAGTTTTAAAGCTGTGTCATGTAACGTTTCCGATGGATAGTCTGCTATCTGATCATTTTCATGGACATGTTATTGTTTTGTCCAGAATATTCCACTGTATGGCATTAAACTTGTCTAGTAGTAGAGGATGCCACACACCTAATCCTACATTATTATGACATATAAAAAGGCACAATACAATCTTACATGTCATTTTGTCGATACTGAGCTGGATCTTCATCTGGAGATGTTACTGTTTTGCCTGGATTGTTCCACCATATGGCATTAAACTTGTCTCTCCATGGAAACAAGCAGGGCAAGTTTTAGGCAGATCTTTGGAGAAGCGAGCCCCCCACAATAAGAATAAGAATGCATGTTTTTCAAGGTGCTTTTAGCATTGGATAGAAGATAAATCCTCAGAAATGTTACATAGTGCAGCTTTAAACGCATTCTAAGTATGACCTACAGCAGCTTTCTGTGTGAATCTTCTATTTTCCTATTGTAAAGTGGCAGGTCTGTGTGCATGCTCAGAGCTACTACACTGGACAACACTGGACACTGTATTCATGTGTGGAGGAATCATGTACATATAAGTTTGTATATTTTGACAATAAAAGCATAAACACATTAATTGTATAATAGTGTTTATAACAATTTTGAGTGCAATATAATATAGGCTTATTGCTGAAGAAAATCTAGATCAGAAACAATAATATTTAAACAAAAGTGTAGAGCAGAATTATCCGCACAAATATTCTAAATGTACAGTACTGTAAATAAAAAAATATGAGCTGCAATAAATATACAACAGAATACAACATGTCAAGGGCCCATATTATGCTATTTTCTTTATTTATAATGTTACCTCTTCAAAAACATATCTGGAGCTGTGTTTTGCTTAACACACAAACCCTGTAGGTTTTGGCCAGAGTTCTTCTCTCTTCTCTCTCTGAAAACACTCTTGTGATGTCATGTGGTAACACAGGAAGTGCTCCACTGTGTTTTTAAACTCTTTACATCTTCACTTTTTTTGATCATTTCAGTCCTAGAATTTCCAGTCTCTACTGAACAAAGTGGAGGAGTTCAAGTATCTCGGGGTCTTGTTCACGAGTGAGGGGAGGATGGAGTGTGAGATTGACAGGTGGACAGATGTGGTCACTGTTTCGGACCGTTGTGGTGAAGAGGGAGCTAAGTCGAAAGGCAAAGCTCATGATTTACTGCTCAATCTACATTCCTACCCTCATGAGCTCTGGCTATGACCGAAAAGACAAGATAGCTTATACAAGCAGCTGAAATTAGTTTCCTCCGCAGGGTGGCTGGGCGCTCCCTTAGAGATAGGGTGAGGAGTTTGGAGTAGAGCAGTTGAAGTGGCTCAGGCATCTGTTCCAGATGCCTCCTGGACGCCTCACTCAGTAGGTGTTCTGGGCAGTTCCCACTGAAAGGAGGCCCCGGGGAAGACCCGGGACACACTGGGGGGACTATGTCTCTCGGCTGGCCTGGGAACGCCTCAGGATCCCCTGGAAGAGCTAGAGGAAGTGTCTGGGGTGAATGAAGTCCAGGAGTCCCTGTTTAGACTGCAGCCCCCACAACCTGGCCCCAGATAAGTGGAAGAAAATGGATCGGTGGATAAATGGATACTGAATAAAAGGTAGAAAGTAGCTGTTAACTTCAACACTACGACTACGTGACATCACAAGCAAACAAAACACAAACCAAACAACACAAAAAGGAGTTCAAACATGTCTTAAAGTTCATAGTCAGTTTTGTGTCATATAGGACCTTTAATTAGTTTGTTCACAATTCAACCTTCTACCACTCAAAATGTATCATAGTACAGAAAAATAATCATAATTTTCTCAGTAGTGCAAAACAAAAGTACCCACGATAAATATGAACTGACTATTGTTCCATCTATTGAGTACTGAACGATCAGTCGATATGGTAATTAGAACAGTGACAGGCCTATTAAAATAAGTGCTAAGTATTCAAGCCTGCGATGGTGCTGTATTGTATTTTGTCTATAGTATTGGGGACACAGATGGGTTGTGTGGAGGCCAGGTACTGCGAGGATTCCAGAAGTTTGATGATAGCAGAGAAGGCAGGTCTGTCCTTAAAGCTCCACATCCAGCAGTACTTCATTAAATCATACCTGCACAGAAATATACAACGCTGGTCAAAAGCTTTAGAACACCCTCATTTTTTCTGTTATTTGTTGCAGTTCAAGTCCAATGAAGAGCTTGAAATGGTACAAAGGTAAGAACTGAAAAGCCAGAGGTTAAAAAAACGATAAGAGATAACAAAACACAAGTCCAAGCTCTGCCAAAACTACCTCAGGAAAAAAGAACAGGATGGTAAACTTGAAAACCTGGAGTGTCCAGCAGCACAGTGTCCAGACTTAAAGCCCATGGAGCTGGTTTGGGATGAACTGGACAGAAGAGTGAAGCAACCTACAAGTGCCACACATTTATGGAAACTTCTGCAACAGACTTGGGAAGAACTTTCTGAACGATATTTGATTTGTATTGTAAAAAGAACGAGCCACGAGTGTGTTCAGCTGTTCTATCTGCCAAAGGTGGACACACACATCAATCAAAAGTTTAGAATACATTTTGGTCAACAGTAAACAGTAAAAAACTGTAAAAAGTGTAGTGTTCTAAAACTTTTGACCTGTAGTGTAGGTTATACTGAAGAAAATGTGTGAAATATACAAATTACAGATGTAGCAATACAAAAAAATGTTACACTAAAATTATATTATTATATATTGGAAAGAAGGTCCATACTTGTTGTTTATTTGTTAATATTTATACTTAGTATACTTAGTACTATTCAAATAAATAGATGATATGATAAAATCGGCATACTGTACCATATTTTGGTTTAAATAATAATTTCTCAGTTTTATAAGAAATGCTCAGAGATCAATTGTAATCACTTTAAATCAGAAATTAAAAAAATTGCAACAGGTTTTACTTATTGTCACGTTCTTAAATTTTAAGATTAGAAGACTTGTTTTATGATAGCTGGAGTGAAACAGCACAAAGGATCATGGTCTCTGTAGTTCATTTTAAACTCATTTTACGCACACAGTGGCTTGTTTTATTGTGTTTTGTGAGACATTTTCTATGCCAATATCAGTGTATACTATACTGTCATAACTGCGGTATTTGTTTTGTCTTTGTGAACTCACAGAGAAGCTCCACAGTTGCTGGGCCTCTTCATCCGATATGACCTCTGCAGTTTAGGCAACACAGACACAGGATCCAGCTCAGGGTATGGAGGAGCGCCTGGGAGAGATGGGATATTATCATTGTAAACACGAGTACAGCTTATACTATTTACTCTATATTGTTTTATAGACATGGCATGAACACTTATAAACATCATCTGCACTGTTCTATGTCTTACCTAATGTGACCATTTCATACAGTAAGATTCCAAATGACCAGCTGCAAGCAAAACCAGAAGAGAAACAAGAAATCAGCATCTGATATAGTATGTACAAGATTCAAATTAATAGCATTGTTGAAAATTTTAACCTCATTATTAAGAGTGTAACTATATCCAAGTCTCATGATACAATATCATCACGGTATGAACCTCATGGTACAATATTTATTGTGATATTGTGGGAAAGCTCATGATATGGTGCGCAGGCTCACGATTAGGAATGTAACAATATCCAAATCTCTCTGTACGATATTTATTGCAATATTTTGTGGACAAAACTATTAATATGCTACTTTTTTCTCTTAAAATGCCTTGACAAGATTTAATCTAAGGAACGAAGACTTAAAAGTGTTAGAACTGTTATTTCTTCATGTAGTCTGCACTGAAATGAAGCAAAGGATCATGGTCTATGTAGTTTCCTCTGTCTTTTTTTAGCTAAGGCTGCACCATAACTTTTCAATTAAGCAAAGAGACTTATAATTTGATATATTGTGATGATCCACAATATTACTGTGAGAACTTAGACAATACGATATCACGATATGTCAGTTATTGTTACATCCCTACTCATTATTTACCTCAGCAAAATATTACATTGATAACAATTGTAAACAAGATATCTGTTAATCAATACTAGTATTTCAGGGTGCGCTGACACTTATGTACACACACACACACACACACACACACACACACGCTACATCAAAAGTGAGACTAATTCTATTCACCCTGGGCTCAACTAGGACTGGACAGGACCAAACTAGGTTTTAAATCCTGCACCAAATCAGGACTTCACTTCTGGATTTGTTTGAATCATTTCAGTGCTTAAATTGATTTCACTTTGTCGTATCAGTTAGCATCATGTTGAAGAGTCATGCTGCTATCCATTCATTTGAGCATGCTTCACTCCCCAGAGCTACCAGCAGAGTGCGCCACACACCCAATCCTCCATCATTATGTCTAAGAAGGCACAATACACTCTTACACATCACTTCGGTCGATACTGAGCTGCATCATGATCCTTTCGGGGGCCTGCCATTTTAGTGGTACGTGAGTTGTTCTGATCGCTGACTCTTCCCTCTTCATTGACTCCGCCCTCCTCGCCCTGAAGGCCCCACCCAGTCCCGACACACGCGCTGAGAGGCCCGGCCCGAGGAGGATGTTCCGGGCTGCCACATCTCCATGAACCAGCCTGTGCTCAGACATCAGGTAGTCCTACAGAAAGGGAGGGCATTATACATAGGAACGTCTGAGGTAAGTACAATAAATAATTATTCCCCACAAAACATCTGTGGATTAAGTATTTCCCATCAACAAATATCATTAACTACTGCATATTAGAGTGAAGTTTGAGAAACACAAAAATGTGTCCATGCTTGGCAGACTCACCAGACCAGCTGCCACCTGCTTCGCCACCACAAACACAGACCTCTCTGTGAAGTCCTGCGATGGGTCACTCAGGGTTACATTGTTCTGTGAACAAAATGTACCATTTATTTGCTCCACTTGGTGGGGGCAAACCTATTTTACAGCCATAGTTGCCCAGGGGCAGACTTGTGGCTGCCAGTCTCAGTATTTCTAACAGCCACGCAAACATACAAAGCATTTTGCAACCTTTTTTTTTTATTATGTCTCACGTAAATCATCACATTTATACAGCGCTTTTCTACCTTCAAGACACTCAAAGCACTTTACCTCAGGAACCAGAACCACTCACCCACTCACACACACATAATACACCAGTGTACGCGCAGACAAGGGGGGTGAAGTATGTTGCACAAGCACACAACAACAGCATTCATCTGTGGGAGCTGGGACTGAAGTCAAGAGTGAGATTTGAACACTAAACTCTGCATCAGAGAATGAGCTACTGTTCTACTTAACAACCCAACAGAACTTATATGTGACAGACAGTGTTGGGGAGTAACAGATTACATGTACCGGAGTTACGTAATCAGAGTACAAATTATGAGTAACTGTATTCAGTTACAGTTACTGTTTCAGTGAGTGGTAATTAGATTACTTTGTTGAAATAAATGGATTACACGGCGGTATTTTACTGTTTTCACATTTTAAGCTATATCCCCCTTTTTTTTCTTTCTTTTTTTTTCCCTGTAATTCCACTCATTGCAGAAACTAAACCAGGATTAAACCATGACTAAACCACGACTAAAACCAGGTCTAAACTAGATCTAAACCAGGTCTAAAACCAGGTCTAAACCAGGTCTAGACCAGGACTAAACCACGACTAAACCAGGTCTAAACCAGGACTAAACTAGATCTAAACTAGATCTAAACCAGGTCTAAAACCAGGTCTAAACCAGGTCTAGACCAGGACTAAACCAGGTCTAAACCAGGACTAAAACCAGGTCTAAACCAGGACTAAAACAGGATTTAACAGGACTAAATCATGCTGTGTGGACCGTGTCTCCTCCTCTTCTATCAATAATATTTTTAATTTGGTTCAGTAAAGTCTGAGCTTTTTTATTTTCTTTTAGCAGACAAAATATCTTATGTGAAGATTTCCTCGTCTTTGTTTCTCTACAGCAAATCAAGTAATCCAAAGTATTCAGATTACGTTACTCACTTTAAGTAATTTAATGGATTCCGTTACAAACTACATTTTGGTGTATGTAATCTGTAATCTGTAGGGGAATACATTTTAAAAGTCACCTTCTCAACACTGGTGACAGACTTGTATGTGTGTTTACATTTCTGAGCGTCCAGAGGAAGTGCAGCAGGTTACCAGGACTGCTCTGCTCCAGGATCAGGTACATGGGCACACGAGACGTTTGACACAACAACATCTGCACCACGTTCTGATGTCTGCACACGCGGGAGTGGAACAATACCAGATCCACAAACTCACCAGAGTCAGATTTGTCTGGGCCATCTGCACACAAACACGTAGTAACATCACCAGCATCCAAGAAAAGTAATTTACTAAAAGATTTATGGAGATTACTTCTAAAATACAGGTCTAATGGGTCATATACCCTTGTCTTGTATAAGCTGCAGTAACAGTAACGCATTTACTAACAGAAATTTTGCAGCACTCCAGGCTCACATGGGTTAGTCATTCATGTCCTCCATTAATCATGTCAAATACAACTTTTAAAAGGCTAAAGATGAGAGAGATCCATTATAACATTAAAAGCTCAGGGTCAGTTTTACATTCTATATTCACAGCACCTGTATAAGACTTGACCACCACAGGCTGAGAGCGGCCGTCCTTCCTCTTCAGTGTCCCTTTACAGATGGGCCCGTAGTATCCAGCCTCCCAGAACTCCGCCCCCTCCAGTGAGCAGTCCGCAGGCATCTCCCACTGACCCAGAGCCACATGCACTTTGGGAGGTCTGCTCAGATCTGCACGTACCTCCATTCTCTGGCCTAGGACAACACAGTACGGACAACCACACACAACTATTTATATCTGGCCTATTCAAAAGAGACATGTTGCTTCATTGTGGCTTGTCAAATTAGGGAATAGGGATACATTGGTGTTTGAGGTTATATAATTTAGTTTTTTACATTCAAGCAATCACAGGAATGGGTAAAATGAGTCTGGTGAAGATCTAAGGACTGAAAGCTGCACTGTATATCTTTTCTGGTGGAGGGAACATCATCTGCTTGTCTCTATTGCTTTGCCTTGAACAGGGGTCCTCAAACTAAGGCCTGCGGGTCGACTCTGGGCTGTCATGCCCCTTTGACCGGCCCCCCAGCCCCTCTGCCCCCACCACTTAAACTGGCCTTATGAGGCAATCCTCAAAAATGGTCATTCTCTATTTTTTTTATTACATTTTGGCAAATAATAACATGTCTGCATCTTGTATTTTGCTGATGTTTTCAATGAAAAACGATATTCATATGAAGTATTTCTATTTCTATTTAAATAATTATATGATGTATTTACTTTTGCTGCTGACAAGATCAAGATCAAACATTGACAGTCAACGCTTGCACAGAGTTCTGTAGGGCAGTTATGGACAGAGTACTGTACTGCAGAATACTGTAGTGCAGAGTACTGTAGTGCAGAGTACTGTACTGCAGAATACTGTACTGCAGAGAACTGTAGTACAGTTAAAGACAGTAAAATGGCTTGTGTTAAAGTACGAAAAGTTGACAGAGAGTGCCGAGTTTTCCAGAGAGCTGGCAAGTTTACTTATTATATATATATATATATATATATATATATAATATATATATATATATATATATATATAAAATGTATTATTAATATTATTATTGTTAATATCAACAAGCCTACCTACAATTTGTAATTTTTCACTCTCCTTTGCCAGTGTCAATCACCAGATGTTTCTTACCTTAACAGTTTCTTACCTTTGATCTTATTGTTATTAGAAATTAAATACATGGAATATCTGTGATATTTCAAATTAAAATAAAGGGTGAAGTACTTAATACTTTTGCAAACCACTAGTAACAATAAACAAATATGTGCCAGGAATAATGTGCTGATAGAGTACTGTGGATGGCTGTGCCAGTGAAGCCTGCTGGTGGTCATTTTGGTCTGGGTTATACAATTCTGTTATACAGTGTATGCGACCCCAGCGCCCATCACAGTCAGGAGCGATAATGTGGCCCCCAATGAAAAAAGTTTGATGGCCCTTGGCCTTGAATGTTCCACAATACGGTATAAGACGTGTCCTTCTTCGTGGAGACAAGCAGGTGATGGCATCAGGACAGGGTGCAGTTCAGACCTCTGAAGACGTGACCCCACTCACAGAAGAATACATGTGTTTGTAAGTATTTTTAACTCGTAAATGCCAAGAAACAAACATTTACTCCAGACAATTTAGACAATTTACTCCAGTTATACGTTTTAGCACCAAACATTGTAACTTTATAGGCACAAACATTTTATTTACGCTCTTAAAACGCAGAACTTGTAAATACATGTACCTGTAAATTGTCCTAGTGTCCTTTGTTGTCTTTTCTTATTCTTATACAGACTGTAGAAAATGAGCAGCACCACTAGAAATGTACTTGAAGCCAGAAGAGAAGGGATAATTATGACGGCAAATTTACCAGACGACTCGGCATCTGAGACAAAGAGGTACATAATTTTAAAAAAACAACTTATGGTACCATTTACATTTTGGCCCCAACGCACCAGTCAGACAGAAGATAGAAGAGAAGCTGTTGTTACACACTGAGCTCACATCCATAGCAGCTAAAAGAACAATTACAAAATCACAGTGATGTCTGTAGATCATTTGTAATTCAAATGGAAAAACAAGAAAAGGTCATGAGAGTTAAACAAAGTCCAAATGCAAAAAAAATAACTGAAATTCAAAATAGTATTCTGATAAATTATAATAATCTATGTTATATATATATATATATTGTGTTTCGTTTCATTCATACATTTTTAACACACAAACCCTGCACATTTAAGCTGAGCTCTTCTCTCAAACAAAAAACACACTTCCACTTTGTGATGTCATGTCGTAATACAGGAAATGCTTTCACCCTCAGTAGATTCATTAGATAATTTCAGCCCTAGAATTGCCTCTGCCTTATCTCTCCTCAACTAAAGGTAAAAAAAATTGCTGTTAACCTAAAACTACCACTTCATGACATCACAAGGTGGAATAGAGCATTTTGAACTTTGGAGATCTAGACAGATTAATAATAAAGGGATGCTCAAACTCCAGATGTGGTTTTGAGGAGGTAACGTAATACAGGAACGTTAATCATTTTCTTATTATAACAACTTAATATTTGTGTTTTTCTATTTTCTTCTATTATATCTGATTAGCTGAGTAATTTGCTCTAAAAATGGTCAGTTATTTGTGACATAAAGCAGAGATTAGCGTAAAGCAGAGGTGGGACCAAGTATTTGTTTTACAATTCTCAAGTAAGTTTCAAGTCTTTGACCTCAAGTCCGAGTTAAGGCCCAAGTCAAATACAGGCAAGTCCAAGTCAAGTCTCGAGACACTGGCCCATAAGTCCTAGTCAAGTCCAAGTCAATTCCAAGTCGTCTGCTTCAAGTCATTTCAAGTCTTTAAACCAAAGAACCAAATATACCTTAGATTTTTGCAATTTATATGACTTTTCAGCTAGTCAGGCTGGCACCACCTAGTGCCTCTGCTCAGTTTCATTTCTTTCCAGCAACCAGGTCAGAAATCGGAATAAACTAGACAGTTCGCAAAAAAATCCCAGAAGTGCAAGTTCAGGCACTAGCCTGAGACATACATTCTGTGTTGGCAATGATTTCCAAGATCAAGGATTTAAAGCCAGAACAAAGAGAATGTTTGGTGAATTTTATCAAGGGGAAAGACGTTATTGTCTTTCTTCCCACGGGTTTTGGGAAAAGCTTAATATACCAGTTAACCCTGTTAGCGGCGCATTATATACGTCACGACCAAATAGCAGCGATTGTTTAAATGATAAAAAGTACCTGCCTACTGTCGAGCGAACGAAATCTAACACTGCAAGGTCAGACATTTTCCACAAAGTGAAACCGGCTGATGAATCAGTCTACTTTTCAGCTCAATTACACTTAAAATAAATCATAGTATATTTATATATGAGTATTTACAGTATATAAGAGTTGTAGAAATTATTTTAGTTATTTTTTCCTTTTGAAATGTTTTGACAAGATCTTAGTGTGAATCATTACGGTCAGAATAGAAAGAACTCAGATTTAAAAGTGTTTCTCAAGTCACAGGCCTCAAGTCTGAGTCAAGTCCTTAGTCACTGACCATCAAGTCCAAGTCAAGTCCCAAGTCTTTGTCCATTTTTATCAAGTCAAGTCTCAAGTCCTTAAAATAGTGACTTGAGTCTGACTTGAGTTCATGTCACGACCTGCAAGTCCCCACCTCTGATGTAAAGCAGAATGTTATTGCATCTGAACATAATATAGGCTAAGAGGTAAACGAATGTAGGTCAACAATGCTCAACTCATAACTGTCATTCCGTCTTCAGATCTTATTCACTTTTTTGCAAATAAATAGGGCAACCAGATATTCAAAATCAAAAACTGGGACACGAGTGCATAATTAAAGAAGATTGTTCTGTACTCAGCTCATTCATGACAGAACATGAGCCAGTATAGTCACATTTTCTTTGTGTTTTGGTCATTTTTAAGTCACTATTTTGTATTTTACTTTAGCAAGTGACAATTAATGCCTCTGTTTACTGTTGGCAAGGATCAAATTGTTCAAAATAGAGACACTTGGGACATTTCTTGTTTAAAACTTGGACAAATTACTGATTTTGTATAATAATTTTGTATAAACCTTGCAGATAAAGATTAAAGGCGATAAAACTGTTTTTCCTACCTGGCACCCAAAATGTCTCTTCTTTCCGTATGAAAACATTTTTATATGAGTGAAATCTCGCTCGGTCTGATGTAATTTTCCGAATGATCAGCTGCTGCAAATTCTTGGTTATGAGGACGCTGGCTCGAGTCAATCATTAACATATGTCCTCTAAGGTAAAGAGCAAGTGCAGCCCTCTCACTGCCCTCTCATTCAAGTGGAGGCCTACGAGTTCATGTTCAGGTTAATATGAGACATTTCCTTATTTCATTGAGTAAATCAGAAAAAATGCATGGAACAGCACTCATATTCCTAGAAAGAATTTGACCTGTTTTTACTGTGATGAGTGAACTACTGCGTCCAAATAATTGTGGATCAATAAAGTTTGTGTAAGTGCAAGTCTAAGTCTGTTAGTTCTGGATTTGGGCAGCTGGAACATGCTCTAAAGTAGTGAGTGGGTTAAGCAATATTGATTCTATTGCACTTTACAGATTATTTTTAGTATGTTTTAGGCCTTGTAAATGATTGGAAAACACATTTATACACACACTTTTTTCACAGCTAAAATCAGAAAGTTCTCTAGAGAGTTCATAACTAAATGAATATTTTTCTAAACTAAATATTTTTTGACAAAGCAAAAGGTGGATATTTTGATTATTTGAATATAATAAATAAATGTATATAGTTATAGTTAGAGTTATTGCACTTCCTTTGCTACACAATGCTGTAATAAATAAATAAATAAATGAATAAATAAAATAAAAAAAAAAAAACACTGAATAAGTGGGTGTGTCCAAAGTTTTGATTGGTACTGTAGCCTTTAGCCTATATCAGAAAATTTTAACTCGGCCAAACAAGATAGGCTACTTTATTCGAGCTATTGAGTGTAGTGTCCAAGAAGCCACCACAAGAGGGCAGGACTGAGCTACACATGACAAACGTGGCCAAAAAATGAACGTCTTCAGGCCTTTGTGTCAGGACTATTAATGTGAATAAAATGTTCCTACTTAAAAACATTCCAGGTGACACTATAATACAGGGAATGTTGTAATTATGTTGCAGAATGTATGTGGTTTACTTATATTTATATTCTGCTTACAATTGTACTTCTACTATGGTTCACACAAACTTAATGCTTTAAAGGCTTGTCCATCCATCCACTTTCTTCCGCTTATCTGGGGCCCAGACTTCTTTCACCCCAGACACTTCCTCCAGCTCTTCCAGGGGGTGTTCCCAGGCCAGCCCAGAGACATAGTCCCTCCAGCGTCTCCTCGGTCTTCCTCGGGGTCTCCTACTGAACACCTCCTGAGGAAAGCGTCCAGGAGGCATCCGGAACAGCTGCCTGAATCACCTCAGCTGCTCCTCTCGACGTGGAGGAGCAGCGGCTCTACTCTGGGCTCCTCCCATATGACTGAGCTCCTCGCCCTATGTCTAAGGGAGCTCCCAAACACCCTGTGGAGGAAACCAATTTCGATCGTTTGTATCCGCGCTCTTGTTCTTTCGGTCATTACCCAGAGCTCATGACCATAGGTGAGGGGACAAACGTAGATTTATGGTAAATCAAGAGCTTTGTCTTTCGGCTCAGCTCCCTCTTCATCATAATGGTCCGATACAGTGACCGCATCACTGCCGACGCAGCACCGATCCGCCTGTCAATCTCATGCTCCTAAAGGGCTTGTTATTTATGTTATTTTCTGTCAATCAATGTTATAATGTAACTTTTTCATCACAAACAGACCTGGAGTTGTGTTTTGTTTCATTCACACATGTTTAACGCACAAACTCTGCAGATTTAGGCTGAGTTCTTCTCTCAAATGAAAAACACTCTATTCCACCTTGTGATGTCATCTGGTAGGACAGGTAGTTCTCCATTTTTCTTTTTATGTATTGATTTATTTATTAGAATGATTTGGTACATTTCAGCCCTGGAACTGCCAATCTCTACTGAACAAAAGGTAAAAGGAGCTGTTAACTTGAAAACTACAGTTACGTGACATCACAAGGTGGTACGGAGCATTTTGAGCTTTAAAGATGTAGACAGACTAATAATGCAGGATTACTCACACATGTGTGAATGAAACTAACTCAACTCCAGGTGTGTTTTTGAGGCGGTAACAGCATTTTAACATGACTTAAAGCTCACAAGAGTCACTTTTGCACAGACCCTGTAAAGACACACCTTTATTTTGTCCGTGCTCATAATTGAAAAAAAAAAAAAAGTGTAGTGTTTGTTCCAAAAGTTACGCCCTAAGATCAAACAATGTAAATTCTTGTCCCATGAGGTTCATTTGGTCTTCTGATAATTTATGTTATTATTTTCTTTTTCCAGACCTGCAGATGGCGCTGTCGTCCTGTGTCCACCGGTAGGAAGGCAGCTCCAAAACCTTTTTTAAAAAATTATTATTATTATTACAAAAACATAACAACAAGACAAAACAACACATGTATATACAGAATAAGGTGCAGATTGGATTGTTGTTGCATCAATGCAAAGTCCACTTCACAGTTATGGCAGGAGTGAGGTATGGAAAATGTACATATACATTCATACACATAAACATACATAAACATACATAAACATACATACATACTGCAATATGGGGGTGGTTTGCAAATTAACATACAGGGGAGCAGAAGGAATGAAACCAAAACTAAACAACAAAATAACAAAACAAAACTGAATAATGTCATAATTTATATAAAGCTATACTATATTTTTTATTATTAGATTATAGATTTTTTTTTTTTGGACCTGTTTTATCGTTTGAAAGTATTGTTGGATTTCGATATTATATTGATGAATATTTGGTTTATTTTGAGCCCATTTGGTTTTGTGTATGTGATATTTTGCCAGCATAATGAGAGTCTAGATGAGGAATCCAAGGTCTTTGGGGATGGAGGGGCTGGTGAAATAGAACAGGACGTCTCTCTCCTGGAGGCCGATCGGGTGTTTGGTTTTGGTTTGGGTGAGAACAGCTCCAAAACCTGTTTAAATCAGCTGACTGGACACTTTACAGAAACATGGCCAGTTTGAGAAGTGAACATTCAGAGAGTAGACCAGATGTTCTTATAAAACTAAAACAAGTACTGTATAGAGTGGTGAGAATTGGTGGTGGTGTTTTTATGGGTTCCGGCACACACAGGAATCAAAGGGAAAAAAATGAAACTGATGAACAAGCAAAGAAATCTAGAAATCATTGAAGAGAAATGAAGTAAAATGGAGGTAAAAATCTATAATTAAACAGAAGATAAAGGAAAAGTGGCAAAAAGAATGGAATATGGAGAGGAGAGGTCATCGGTACCATAAAAATTCAGAAAAAAGTGGAAGCAATGAGCAATTCACTGGGAAATAGGAAAATGTAAATACTAATTTCAATGTTAGGATTCAGACTCAGGATTAAACTACTAAACTCTCTACATAAAATAGGAAAACATAATAACGGGCACTGAAGAAACAATAGAACATGTATTTATGGAATGTAGGGAATATACAAGGGAAAGAAATAAAATGAAGAAAGGGATCGAAGACCTAAAAATGAAAGTTGATTTGGTAGAATTATTACAACAGCAGCCAGGGAATAATAGTTTCAAAGTTTTTTTTAAGTTTCTCAGGGATATAAATTTGATTAACAGAGTTTGATTTATCATTTTGCTTTAGCTATCATTTGATCATTGTTGTTATTAATAATATTATCTATTTATTTATGTATTTATTCATTTATTTTATATTTCAGTTCACACTCCTTATCAGTTGGTGGTGGTAATGCACCAGTAGTTGTTTGCCAATACCACCAATAAAACCTTACAAGCAGAAGAAGAAGAAGAAAAAGAAGATGAAGTCACAACAAAGTCACGTGACCGCTCTGAGGAAGACCTCTAGTCAGCAGACCAAACTTTCAGGTATGAAAACAAACTCTTGGTCCGTAAAAAGAACTTAATAACATAATGTAAATACTTAATTAGCTCTCTTAAGACAATTAACACCGGCTATACCAGCAGCCTCTCCAGACATTCATCATCATCAGAAAGGCTTTTATTGACATGGTACAAGGTTTACAAATGAGCATTGAGCTAAGAAAGAGCACAATAACAGCAGGATATTTAACATTACATCACAGTGGGTCATATATATGGGTCAAAGCCTGAGAGTGGCCTGTACAGTTTTAATGCCAGTGTGGTCTTCAGGTGGTCAGATGTGAGACCATCACGGCAGAGACCTTCATGAAGCAGCAGAAACACAGCAGAAAAACCAGGGTGTGCGCCGCAAACACATACACCAGAGTGTGGGTCCAGAAGGCAAACAGGTACAGAGAGCGGTGACAGTAGAGCCCCGAGCTGACCTCTGCTGACCGCCCCCCACCAGAGGCCCCTGTGTGACTCGAACTGGCCCGTGCTGAGAGCCCTGAGTGTGTGGGAGTCCATGAGTTTGTGGGCGCTGGACCAGATCTGACCGCTGCAGAAGGCCCTGAGCGTCTGGACCTCGGACCAGATCTGACTGCTGCAGAAGGCCCTGAGCGTCTGGACCTCGGACCAGATCTGACTGCTGCAGAAGGCCCTGAGTGTGTGAGTCCTGGACCAGAGCTGACCGCTGTAGAGGGCCCCGAGTGTGTGGGTCCCAGACTAGAAGTGACTGCTGTAGAGGGCCCTGCGTGTGTGGGTCTTGGACCAGAAGTGACCGTTGTAGAGGGCCCTGCGTGTGTGGGGGTCCATGAGTGTGTGGGCCCTGGACCAGAAGTGACCAGTGTTTTGGATGTGGAGTTGTCCGTGTACTGCGGTGGGTACACTGAGTAGATGACGTAGCTCCCTGGGATGAAAAATACAAGTTAAACATTTTCATATCACATTTCACAGACAGAAGTGTTCTAAGAGCTTCTGTGTAGTGCTGGAAAGAGTCCTGAATATTTCTACAATTACATGGCAGAAAATGCAAGTACAGCTGCTAAATGTAAATGTAAAAGTTATATGTTGGTTGACCGATATTTGCCCTTTTTAGCGTGTTGCTATTGGCTTTAAATCTCCAGCACAGGCCAATATTTTGTTTTAGTCAAGCTGCTGCCTAAAAAATCCACATAAAGCTTTATCAGAACACTGCAACAGTGTGCAAATAGATAACTGCAAAAAATGTGACTGCATGCTCTCTTATAGGCTTATGGTAAAAAGGGCTGTGGGTGACTTTGTAGTATATTTAAAAGAGTCAATCAAAGAATCAAAATTGGCCCTGGATATTGCCCCAAAATATCGGGTTTATTAGCTTCCAGTTTCTATGGATTCTAAACGTGGCCATACCAGCTTGTCCAAGCCTGATCCCATCAGATCTCAGAAGCTCAGCAGGGTCAGACCTGGTCAGGAGACACTGGGAAAATCAGGTGCCACAGGGGTGCGCCAGTCACAAAAACTGTTGTTGTGTCCTTAGTAGGGGTGTGATGATATCCAAGTCTCACGATACGATATATCTCACAGTTCACGGTATGAACCTCACGGTACAATATTTATTGAGATATTTTGTGGAAAAACTGTTAATATGCTACTTTTTTCTCTTAAAATGCCTTGACAAGACTTAATGCAAAGAACTAAGACTTAAAAGTGCTATTATTTCTTCATGTAGTCTGCACTAAAATGGAGCAAAGGATCATGGTCTATGTAGTTCCCTCTGTCTTTTTAAGATATTGCTGCACCATAACTCTTCATTTAAGCAAAGAGACTTGTAATTCGATATATTGTGATGGTTCACGATATTATTGATATTAACTTTGACGATACGATATCACGATATTTCAGTTATTGTTACATCCCTAGTCCTTAGGCAAGGCACTTTACCCACATTGCCTAGTGTGAATGTGATGTGTGAGTGATAGTGGTGGTCGGAGGGGCTGATGACGCAGTTTGGCAGCCTTGCTTCTGTCAGTCTGCCCTAGAGCAGCTGTGGCTACAATAGCAGCTTACCACAACAGTGTGGAGTGAGTGAACAATAAACTGTAAAGAGCTTTGGGTGTCTTGAAAGGCACTATATAAATGCAATGATTAACTAGTTTAAAAAATAATTCAATAATTGGCATCTCAATGAAAAAACCCATAGTGGTCAATCTCTCTCTCTCTTTTTTTTAACCATAGTTTTAATAGAATTTTGTGGTGTTTTCTACAAAATTTGTTGAATAAACAATCTGCATTTTCTCTGAGCTCTGTCCAGTCAGGGCAGGTGTTGCAGTGCCATCACATGTGTCATATTATATTAGGAATAGGAATTTATTAACAGACAAAATAGTGAAATAAAACACCCAGGATCATGTAGAACGGATCTCTATATCCTCCCTCTGTTCATCCAGTCTCTATATCCTCCCTCTGTTCATTCACTCTCTATATCCTCCCTCTGTTCATTCACTCTCTATATCCTCCCTCTGTTCATTCACTCTCTATATCCTCCCTCTGTTCATTCAGTCTCTATATCCTCCCTCTGTTCATTCAGTCTCTATATCCTCCCTCTGTTCATTCAGTCTCTATATCCTCCCTCTGTTCATTCAGTCTCTATATCCTCCCTCTGTTCATTCAGTCTCTATATCCTCCCTCTGTTCATTCAGTCTCTATATCCTCCCTCTGTTCATTCAGTCTCTATATCCTCCCTCTGTTCATTCAGTCTCATCTCTCTGTTCATCTCTATATCCTCCCTCTGTTCATTCACTCTCTATATCCTCCCTCTGTTCATTCAGTCTCTATATCCTCCCTCTGTTCATTCAGTCTCTATATCCTCCCTCTGTTCATCAGTCTCTATATCCTCCCTCTGTTCATTCACTCTCTATATCCTCCCTCTGCTCATCCAGTCTATGCTCGATTAAACCTGTTCACCTGTTTTGTTTCTTCCAGTATTTTTTGAGACCTATGTGCAGGGGCCTTGGTTTAGATAACATGAAATGACCGAGCTTTATTATTTTATTGTTACACATGTTATGATGTGGTTTAACCTTAAAGTGAATAAAAGTTTTTGTTTGTTTTTTTCAAAGACTAATACATCTAACTCTAACTTCTAACTTGTGTATAGAAGTAACATTTACTTTCTCAGTTCAAGGCAATTGGTTTCTATGGTTTTACCAAGTAAGGTTAACTTCCTCTTAAAGTAAAAGTTACTACATATTTCAGATTTGAGGAACTGACTGATTAGTTGGCACAGCTTCACAACATGACTTCTGTGAATGAAAACTAAAGTAAACTTAATTTGTTGTGCCTAGTTAGATGAAAGAGGAATTTACTGAACACTACACTGAGGAATTACAGTCCACTTTAGTCAAGACTTTCAAGGCAATTGGTTTCCTAGGTTTTTTCAGGTAAGGTTAACTTATTAGATTTGCACAAAAATCTGTTTAGTTTCAGGCGCGTACGACTTTCCACCCCTGGATGATGTACTAACCATAAAGGAACCAGGCGAGGAAGACCAGGCCCAGGCAGAGCATGCACAGGGTCCACAGGGAGCTGCGGTGTCGGTCTGGACACAGCAGAGGAGGGAGGGCCAGAAGACTGATGAACAACAAGGTCCCCACTCCACTGACCATCAGGTACACCGGCAGGGCAGGTGCCACCGGACAGGAGCTCACGTACACCGCACCTGTACACAAGGGCCAGAGCAGGGCTGAGACTGGACTCAACAAGGACTAAACCAGGACTGACGTAACACTAAACCCAGGACTGAACCAAAACTGAACCAGGACTAAATGAGGACTAAACCAGCACTGACATAACATGAGGACTGAACCGTGACTAAATGAGGATTAAACCAGGGCTGAAACAAGATTCAATCCAGGATTGAACCAGGACTGAACTGGGACTAAACCAGGACTGAAACAAAACTAATCCAGAACTGAACCAGGACTGAATGGGGATTAAATGAGGGCTAAACTAGGACTGAAACAAGACTAAAGCCACAACTGAACCAGGACTGAACCGGGTCTAAATGAGGACTGAACCGGGACTGAACCGGGACTAAATGAGGACTAAACCAAGACTGACATAACACTAAGTCTAGGACTGAACCGGGACTGAACTGGGACTAAACCAGGACTGAAACAAGACTAATCAAGTACTGAACCAGGACTGAACTGGGACTAAATGAGGACTAAACCATGACTGAAAAAAGATTAAATCCAGGACTGAACCAGGACTGAACTGGGACTAAACCAGGACTGAAACAAGACTCATCCAGGACTGAACCAGGACTGAATGGGGACTAAACCAGGACTGAAACAAGACTAAACCAGGACTGAGCCAGCCCATGAACACTGCACCTGAACACAAGAGGCCAGAGCAGGACTAAACCAGGACTGAAACACTGCACATCTGCTGAAATAACAGTTGTGCAAATTCCATTCAGAAGAACGGTTTGACTCACCCATCACAATCTGAACCATGGGGAAAGAACAAACCACGAGTATGGTGCAACCTGAGGGACAAAAAGCACAATCTCTCACACTTTGACAAATGGCAGACAATTATTATTATTATCAAGCAATTATAGAGACTTTTTTTTTCTCTCACCTGTTACAAACAGCCCCGCTCTGAGCAGAGTGGCCAGGCAGTTGTCCTGGGCGGTGGGAGCCATTTTAGGAGTCCCCTGTCCACTGTCCCCTCGGCCTACTGTCTCTCTGTCCTATCCTTCCTCTGTCCTCTCTGTCCTCTCCTCTCTCCTCTGTGTGTACCGTCTCCTCTTTCTGCTCACCTCCTCTTTTTCTCAGTCCTCTCCTCCATGTCCCCTCTCCTGTCTCTCTCTGTCCTCTCCTCTGTGCCTCCTGTCCTCTCTGTATCTGAGCACATATCCTGTCTTTCGGGTGTCTTTCTCGTCTCTCAGAGCAGTGGTGTAACTGAGGACTTTCCATACTTGTGCAGACTTGTGAGGAGAAAAACACACACACACACAAACATGTAGTAAACCACAGATAAAGTGTAACAGACTATTGGCAAACACATTTTAAAGGTGTGGCTGTACTTTCTCACATGAAGACAGAAGTGACTCTCACTCAGGGTTGCGTCATGGTCTCATCAGCTTAGTAATATCTATCTTCACACATTTAGATGGCTGTAGAGCAGGAGCTACACTAGCTCTCCAAGAAACTCGGTCTTGGTAAGAACTTGGTCTTAAAACAGAAATAAGCCACCTAAATGAGCAGTAAAAGTGAAAACTTAAATCTTAAAATCAGTTCTTTCAAATCTGTGACATGTTAATGCCAAATGAACCATCTCACACTCTAAGGAACTCACGGACCGACCTCCTGCTGGTGTCCAGAGTCAGGACTAAATACGGGGAGTCAGAGTTTCAGATTCATGCAGCCTGGAAAAAAAAAAACCTGGAACAGTCTTCCTGAACATGCTAGACACACCTCTGCTCTGACTCTGTTTAAATCTAGCCTCAAAACAGTTCTGTTTCGCTGCACATGACATTTTTCATTCCTCACTCTTCTCTCTCATTTAATGTCTCTCTCTTTAATTTTGATGATGATTTATATTTTGATTTATTTGTATTGTGATTTTCATGTATTTCTTTTTCTGTAAAGCACTATGAATTACTTTGTGTATGAATTGTGCTTTACAAATAAACATGCATTGCGTATGTGTGCATTGTGTTACCATGGTAACTACTGAACATACATTCACAGACTTTTATGGTGAAATGTATGACTTCCTTTTTTATGAATGCAGTACAGAATTACTAAGCTAAAATGCATGCAAAAACACACACATCAGAAATGTTACATGCCACTGTAAAGTGTCACTTAGCCTTTTGCTATTGCCTTTAGTACATGTTGTAATGTTGTAATGTTTCTGTTTATGTTTCAGAGTGAGGCAGCCTGATGGGGACTAAGCTTTCTGACAGTGAGCCATTCAGGGCCAGTGTGGCGGTGAGGGCCATGGGGAGATGCAAGCTGCAAACTCTGAGTGTGACCAGGTTCAAACAGATGCTGCAGGAGTACCCCTACTGGGCCCAAGTATTTTCCTGTGACCTCCAGCGCTCACATAGAATGAACTCATCTGAGGTATTCATATTAAAAAGTCACATTCATATGACGGAAATGAAACTTTTCTCACAACCAGTCAGCCAGTTACCGCTGGACCAAAAGGACATACAACTTTAATAACATCCTGCAGGTGCTGAGGACCCTGTTTGACGGCTGGGTGAGCATCATGTATGATCGGACCAACTCTGTGGGGTCTTCCCTCGTGCTCTTCAAAATATCCACAGGTGACAACTGGAACAGCATTCTCAAGGACAGGGAGTGCCCAGTGACTCCCACTGTATGGACTACTACATGTGAACGGCTCCGCTCTGCTTCAGAGTTTGTGATTGTGATTGTGGTGCAGTTTGTCCTGGTCAATCTCATTGTAGCCATCATCATGCAAGCGATGAAGGAGTGCACGGGTGCGAGAGGGCATGGGCAGGAGCATCCACGGACAAGCCCAGATGCTCCAGAAGTGGCCCATCTGAACAGCATTATGATATATTCATATCATCATGTCTCTCCCCCCAGTATGTGTGAGTTTACTTCATGCTGTCAACAGGAGTAGCTCTCTAACATTTTTGTTTTGTAGTAGTACCTCTCTGGGGGGATGGTTGAGACCCCTGCTTTACACCAGAATACCAAACATTGATGTTTATTCTTATTTAAGTGCGATGGAAATGTATCACTATTTATGCTGTTAAGAAAATATTCTTATTATGTCTTAGTGTAAATGCATTTGGTCCGTGTCAGAAACAGAGTGGTCTTTAACATGTGTAAAGGCTCAACACACACTGTCTCCAAGCTCCAGGAAACTACCTGTCCTCAAGTGTGAATGATGTTTAACTCATGTCTGTGAAACAAGAGTTACTCTGCTGTGATATGTGTGGTGTATGTAGTTTTGTCATTCTAGGACAGAAGCTCTAGAGGGGTTACTCTGGGTGTGACTGTGGAGACTGACCAGGAGGCTGTGGTCTGTGAACAGGGCATGTCTAGACCCTGTCTGTATACACCTTTTTCTGTTTGTCATAAACTCATCAGGCTTCACAAATGGACTTATATTTATCATCAAGAGATACTTAATTTCTTCCAACAGTCAAACAGTTTTATAAAGTTTCAAAAACACACAATGGACATGTTGTCAGTGTTATGGTTTTCAAGACAATTATCCAATCATTATTCAATGCAGAAATCCAGTTGGTTTAAACTTAAAATGCCTCTCTCTGATCTGAATGGTCACTACCAAACCCCAGCATCCGCAGCCAATCATGAATCAGTGCTACTGCAGCCTCTGCAGCTCAGGGAGGGATTTCTGGAGGTTCTGAGCTTTCACATGTGGCCTGTCCATAAACTGAGAATGAGACAAACTTGTATGTGTCCACTACCTGCAGGTTAAGGCTCTGGAGACACAGGTTCAGTTGTAATTAACCTTTTTTTTTAACAACAGTAAGAGTGCAGGATGCAATTCCTTTAATTGCCGAAACATAAACATGAGAAACGGTCATATGCAAAAAAAACATCACCCACATTTCCAGCTCCATTTAAGGTTCACTCACTCCACTGTAACGTCTTCTGTCGAAAATCAGACAAACATGCAGGTAGAGTATCTCTGTGAAGTTGACCCCCCATCAAACACAAACCTACACAAAAACTATGCCAATATGCTTCGTTTGTGCTGCTTTAGTTTTGGAAATAGTAACGATTCTTTTATAGGTCAAACTGGGGTCAGCCAGCCCCCAGGAAGCTTTAAAATGCTCAGAATGGAGTCAATCGTTTATGCGATTACGGTTCTTAAATATTAGCAGTTTTTCGGCTGATGACGTCATCCAGCCCCTCAAAATGATATAAAAATGTTATAAAATAGCGTTCTGGGAAAGAAAAAAAAACGCTCTGGAAAAGTATGTATCAGTCTTTAGTAACTTGCTTTTGATTCATATTTTATATAATAATACAGACTTCTCCACAGCCTCAAATCGTTTCTCTTCACAAGTTTTGCGGAGTTTTGCTAAAGCCGCTGCCGTCAGCTGAACGGAAGTGACGTCATATAATTTCCGCAAAAATAATAATTAATAATTTAAGAAATATACTAGCACAAATGAAAATTGTCACAGCACAAACAGCCCCATCGAAGTACAAACGTTTCGTAAAATTTTCTGCCTGTTTTTAAGCTGTTTAACATTTTGAAGAGCTGGATGACGTCATCGGCCGAAAATAAAACGGCTAATATTTTAAGAACCATGCAACAACAATCCCATCTGCACTTTATACTGTATTTACCTTTGCGGTTTTGTCATGCTGTTGTATTTCTGTAATAAAAAAATAAATAAACAAATAAAAAGAACCATAATCGTACAAACGAAACTTGCAGCACAAAACACCACAAACGAAGCAGACACGACTGACACCATTTTGTGCGTTTTAGAGCATTTTTAAGGTTTCTTGGGGGCTGGCTGACCCCAAATTGACCTATAAAAGAAACGTTAATATCTCCAAAACTAAAACAGCACAAACGAAACTTCTTGCAGCACAAAACAGCACAAACGTTTTTAAGCAGGTTTGCGTTTGACGGTGGGATGCGGATGCGCTCTAACAGACGCGCGCACACACACTGCTCTGTTGTTTCTCCCCCAGCTGCACACCCCCTGTCACGTGACCGACACTTCGCATGCTCCTTAAAACACACAGCCCCAGCCCTGAGACAGGACGGGAGCACCAACCCCGAGACAGGAGCGCCTCTTCGGGCTGACACCGAGCAAGCACAGCGACACACCGAGGGGACACAACTAGGGGGACACACAGCGCGACCACCGGGACTACGGACGCCCTGCACAGACCATCAGACCATCAGCAGCACATACGTCTCTTTACTGAATCGTTAAACTCTTTCAAGCCACTCTTCTGCACAAATATTTGACTTAAAACCAGTTTGGGGTGAGTATAGATTTACATTCTTCACTTACATTGTTTTTGTCTCTGGTGCATTTTTTTAAATAATCTGGACATGTGACATCCAGGAAAATGTCAAAGTGCTCAGTCAGCGGTTTCAGAGAGGTATAAGTCAGATGGTCAAGTGAAATAATGCACTGTCATCAGGATTTTGAGGTATCTGGCTGCAGAGATAACACGAAGCTGGTATATCCTAAGAAATAAGTGTATTGCAATATATATGTATTTTTTGTGATTTGGAAGTAAATTATCACTTTAGCGTTTAGATTTTGTTAATTTTATTTGTATTTATAATTTGTAACATGTCCTCTGTGATAGACACCGGGGACATTTTGGTGTTAAATCCATGTGAAGTCAACAACCTAAGCAACTTTTTTGATGATTAATGTCTTATACAGTCACCTCAAAAAGTTTTTAGACTCCTTTTTATTTTTTATATTTTTTTTTAAATCATAGAGCCACAAACTAAGCTCCTATTGTATAGGGTGACCAGACGTCCCTGTTTACTCGGGACAGTCCTAGTTTTGAGCCCTGTGTCCCCTGTCCCAGCAGATTTATACAAAACCAGTGATTTGTTCCAGTTTTATACAAGAAATGTCTCTTTTTTGGACCAATTTGATACTTGCCAACAGTAAAGAGAGTCATATACTGTCATTTGTTTCGTTAAAATACAGAAAAGCTGCTTAAAAATGACCAAAACACAAAGAAAATGTGTCACTTCTCCTTAATTACGCACTCGTTTCACAATTTTATTATTACAACTTTGAAAAACCTGGAGTTGTGTTTTGTTTCATTCCAACATGTTTGAGTAATCCTGAATCATTAGGCTGGATCAAAGCTCAAAATGCTCTGTTCCACATTGTGATGTCATCAACGGCTTTTCTCTATATTACGCTTAGTTGTTTTTTTTTGTTTGGTTGTTTGACCTTTTGTGTAGTTGAGATTTTCCACAGAAAGTCTCCAACGAGGCTTTAATAGCAGGGGTAGAACGAGACACAATTTTCATGAGACAAGACACACCACGAGAATGAGACAAGACGAGATTTTGACGTCATTTGTAATAAATAAGTAGTGCAATCTATTTCACAGTGTTGGCTTCATTTATTTGATGTAATACTTCAGTGATCAATGTAGTACCGCTTTTTGGAACTACAGCTTCTCAAATTGTATAACTCACCAGCTCTTAACTCTTTTTTTTGTCCAAGTCAAAGGTAAATGTGGGGGAAACAATCTCACATTTTTCTCATGTGTGCACAATGTTGTCGCAATTTTGTCTCTTGAGATCTTGTTCCATCCTTATAAAAGATGGTAGAAACTAAACTAAACTGCCTATAGTTATGACGGGACCTTCAGCTCTTTTATGGGATCAGAATCTTTCGAATCATTTGTAAGAGATATTCAAAAGACTGGCTCTTGTATTGACATGACAGAAGCCAGTGTGAGAAGTCATTTAACCTACAAACTCACCACAGAGAAATGGTTCAAACTGAGACTGGGAGAGTCTTTACCGTTTGAAATATTGCATAATCTGAATGCCAGTCTGTTTTTGTGCATGAACGTCTCCCTCGTGTTGCCTGATCTGCATCTGTGCTGACTCATGTGTTGGTTCAGTGTTTAATGTGTAGTGTAATTAATCATGCATAGTGTAAAAATACATAAAAAACTAGAAAGTAATAGATTAGGTTCTTTTAAAAAGTAAGATCCAATTCAACTGTTCACATTAAAGAACCGTTCTAAAGAGCCAACTCATCCCCATCACAGGACTGAGGACTGAGCTGGAGGACAGGGCAGAATCCTGTGGTGAAATCAACAGCTGATTGAAATGAATAGCTTATGGTTAATATCTCTGAAGTTAGAGTAGTGTTCATTTAGCTGCATACTTTTTACTCCTACTTGAGTACATTTTTAGTGAAGTGACATTATTCTTACTTGAGTTTGGTTTGTCTTTAGGTTACTCTTCCCACTCTACAAGTTTCAAAAACTTTATGTGGACAATATAAAATGATTTGAGCATTTGATCTCGCAGCACTCCTTCAGACATCATTTTGTTTGTCTCATTTTTCTGTTTGTGTTTCATGTTTTGTCCTTCATACTACATTAACTTCAAATTATACTGACAGTTACTCTTTAACTTACTCTTACTTGAGTAATAATTTTCCCAAATAATAGTTTACTAACTTCTTGCACCAGTTCTACTTAAGTTATATAATTTTGAAGTAACATTGCTCCTATTTGAGTACAATGTTGGACTAGTCTGCCCACCTGTGTTAATTACTGGACCTATCCATCTTATTCTGCCCCTCCCACTTTAGTCTTTAAATGCTCCTAAACCACTTCCAGTTAAACGGGGATTTTTCACGTTAATGGAGAATTTGGGAAATATTTTTCATCTTAAATATGACTTAAAGGATCCCCGGGTGTCCTGGGCCTTTCTGTGTGGAGTTTGCATGTTCTCCATGTGTCTGTGCACTGTTTGCGCGTTCTCCCTGTGTCTGTGTGGAGTTTAGCATGTTTTCCATATGTCTGTGTACAGTTTGCACTCTCTCCCTGTGTCTGTGTGGAATTTGCATGTTCTTCCTGTGACTGGGTGGGTTTCATCAATTGAAAATCACTAAGTATCATTTTTGTCATTCTCTAGAAATAGAATAAATATTACAGGATATGTTACTAGGTTCCTTTTTCAGGCCAAGAGGTTGTTTTTCACACCTGACAGTTTGGACTGCTCACTAGCGCTTTTCCTCAGAGTGGTCACGTGATGTTGCTGTGACATGTCTGGTCAGCTGATTTATTCTCTTGATCTGGAAAAAAAAACTAATAACATAAATTATCGGAAAACCAAATAAACCTCTTTTTTTTGTCAGAACAGGAATGTTGGAAGTGTATGTTGATTACTAAAGGTCACAGTGGATATGTTTTCTTACAGCTCACTGGTTCCTGCGTGTGTCCAGCAGGTGGGGCCATGTCTGTGCAGAGGCTGGAGGAGTTCAGAGAACGTATCCGCCAAGAACTGGACCGGACTGTGAACTTCTGGGTCAAGCACTCCCATGATCCTGAACACGGGTGTGTACTCTCTGCATCTAATCATCAAGTGTTTTAAAGGTGCTATATTAAACAAAATGGACGCTGGTAACACACTTTAAGCCATGTTATACTGTTGTTATCTCCTCAGAAACATATCTGGAGTTGTGTTTTATTTCCCTTTATATACATATTTACATCTCCAAAGCTCAAAATGCTTTGTTCCACCTTGTGATGTCACGAGGCAGTAGTTTAAGTTAACAGCTATCACAGCTATAACAGAGCTGCTCTTTATACAGTAGAGACTCGCAATGTCAGGGCTGAAATTATCCAAATGATTCAAGTGAAGGTGTATGGACTGTGGAGCACTTTAGGTACTACGACATGACATCACAAGGTGGAACAGTGTTTTCTGTTTGAGTGAAAAATAGAAAAGAACACAGTAAATGTGCAGAGTTTGTATGTTAAACATGTGAATGAAACAAAACAAATCTCCATGTCTGTTTGTGATGAGAAAACATTATAACAGATGAGAAAGCGGCATGATCTTGGCCCTTTAATGTCTGATAATCAGGAAGTGCACGTAGTTGTTGTTAGCTTTACTGTGAGGGCAAATCTCTGCTGTGGTCTCTGAGAGTTGAGTAAAGTGCTTATAAACTCATTACGGTGAATAATTAGGATGTTCAAAATGCATAAGGGAAGTGAGGAATAACTTTGGACCACTGCAAACTGTTTCAAATGCACTCGTTCTGTTTTTCACATTTTTAAGACTGTAAAAATCAGCAAAACGCTTTTAACACTGATAATCATGTTTGCAGGGGATTCTTCACTTGCCTCGGCAGAGATGGTCAGGTTTACGACAAGCTCAAGTACGTGTGGCTGCAGGGTCGGCAGGTAGGTGGCGCCGCTCTCGAGGCGAGCGTCTGGGCTGTATGACTGACTTTGTGCCCCTCAGGTGTGGATGTACTGTCGGCTGTACCGCACCGTGCCGCGCTTTCACACAGACGAGATCCTGCAGGCCGCCAAAGCAGGTGAGGCTCTCCATCTGGAATTCCCTGCTGTGTTTCATCTAATCTCAGAACTTTTTGAGAAGGAGGTATTATTCAGAATAGGGATGGGCATGATTAGTCGATTAATCAATAATTCATCATTAAGAATTTCATCGATTATGTTCATTTTAATCAACAAACCGAATGTAGGTTGCTGTGTGTAGCGTGACCAAACAGGGGTCTGTACATGTGTCTCTTTGCACTCAAAAGGAGCGAGACACAAACAGTCGGTCAGTCTGCAAGGTGCCGAATCGCAAATGCATATTTAACGATGATTTGTACAACAAATTCCATGCTTTCCGTTCTGGTCGGGACAAGTGTGAGGTCCATGTGCACAGTGTACAAAGCAGCACACATGTTTCGGTGCCCAGTGGGAAAAGGTTTTGCCAGGTGAGAGTCGTGCAATGTCAATGACGAGTCCCCACCTCCCTCCCCCTGTACGGTGTCCTGGTTTTGACAAATGCAAATCTGGTCACACTAACCTGTATTCCACTGAATCATGTCTTTTAATCCGACAGAAATTGAACCGCATCAGCGACACAAGAGCTGTTTTTTTATCTTCACTTAGTTTAAGCAAATTAGTGATGCGGTTTTAAGTTTTGTTTCTGTGAGAGTTGCGCAAAACTGAATTAAACACATGATAATGTCAAACGGGCTGATGTGGCTTTAGAGTCGTTACGGTTTATATGTCGTAAAGTTGAATTTATTTATGCAGATTAGTAGTGCAGATAGTAATAATAATGATGATCATTTTAATATAAAAACGTTAATGATTAATTGATAATCAATCGTTAATTCTTCCGACGATCGATTAAGAAAATTTCATCGAATGCCCATCCTTAAATCAGAATCAACTTTTTGGAGCTTTCTGCCATGTTATTCCATCGTTTTTTCAACAAAAACATGCCTGAAGAGGTTTAGATGTGTCATACGTGCATGTTTGAGTAATCTAACAATCTTTTCTGGGTATGAGTGAACCATCCTTACAATTTGCAGTACAAAAGGGTCCAAAGCTCAGCCCACAAACCTACGTTGCCCATGCTCCCACGTGACAATTCTCCATAAATATACAAAAACATGATACAATACTGTACATAGCAACTTCACAAACCTGATGCGATGTTCAGTAGTTTCATTAGCGCGATGTAAGCTGAAAGGGGAGTGACTTAGCACAGGGAGCAGTGGAGAGAACACCACGCCCTTCTTTCTGTTGACACGTTATTGCTTTACCCAGAATGGTCCATAGCATGGTCCCATCAGGCAGGTCAGATCTGTGGAGAGGCAACCTTGCTTACAGTAAGAATGTGTGCTCAAGGAGATTTAGAGCAGAACAAAGCTGTGATTTAATAAATGCAGGGTATGTTAAATGCTGTACTTTGGAACATTCCAGGCATAGAATTAACTATAGCAGAGATGGGACCAATTCACTGTTTCAAGTAAGTGTCCAGTTCTTGTTCATGTTCTCAAGCCCAGAGGTGGGTAGTTACATTTACTCAGTTACGCTACCGGTCAAAAGTTTTAGAACACCACACTTTTTCCATTTTTTTTACTGTTTACTGTTTACATCTTGTTCTTTTTTCCTGAGGTAGTTTTGGCAGAGCTTGGACTTGTGTTTTGTATATTTTATCTTTTTTTTAACCCTTGTCTGTTCAGTTCTTACCTTTGTATCATTTCAAGTTCTTCATTGAACTTGCATGACTTGAACTGCAATAAATACCTGGAAAATATATTCTAAAACTTTTGACCAGTAGTATCAAGTGACAGTTCCTCTTTAATGAATTAATCATTGGATTTATACAGCGCTTTTCAAGACACCCAAAGTACTTAACAGTGTACTATTCATTCACTCCATACTCTGTGGTTGTAAGATACTATTGTCGTCACAGCTGCCCTGGGACAGATGGAAGTGAGGATGTCAATGTGCACCATGGGCACCTCCCACCACCAACACTAACACCACTTTCATACTAGGCAATGTGGGTGAAGTATCTTGCCTAAGGACACACCAGCAGTAGTTTTTCGTAACTTGCTCCCCACTGTGGCATCTGGAATTCCTAGAGGTCTCCTGTCCAAGTACTAACCAGTCCTGCTCCTGCTTCTGAGATCTGACCAGATCAGACTTTAACAAACCAGTGTGTCAGAGTAGTAGTTTTCCCAAGTCCTTTTTTTAATCTTATTTGAGTCATTTCTTGGACCACTACATTCTACTTCTACTTGAGTAGTACTTTGAAGTAATGTTACTCTTACTTACTTGTACAATGTTTTGGCTACTCTGTTCTTGGTAAGTCCCCTGGCCTGTGCTGTGAGTTTCAAGTTCTATCAAGTGTTTATACCAAATTACTGAATATAGCTCACATGTTTTGTGTAGCTGATGCTTCTGGTCACAAATAGAGAAGTGGGTGGGGCCTGCTCCACTTTGGTTTGTAAAATGAAGCAGTGAAACTAGACCTGACTGGGTGCTGTATAGAGACATCAGCCCCTCTTAAGTCCCATGGCTTAGTCCATTTTAATGAAGGCCAGTCTCACTTACTTTTTATGTTAATATCACCCAGAACATGCCACCTTCTCAGGGGTGGAATATGACCCAGATAATTATTTGCTCACTTACTGGAGACTTCCATCCTCACTCCTCCTGGTGCATACTGTTGTTGTGTCTTTAAGCAGGGCTCTTTATCCACCTTGCTTCTATACTGGTTTAAGAATGTGTGTGTTCAAAGTGTACTTTAGATGAGCTTTGTACTCCGGAGGTTTGAACATCATGAAACAGCAGGTGGAAGTTTTAAAGATCCTACATTATATGAAATGGACTCTTGTGAGCTTTAAAATCTTGTTACCTCCTCAAAAACATATCTGAACTGTATATTATTCATTCATGTTCGATTAACCCTTTGTTATTAGTCTGTCTACATCTCCAAAGGTCAGAATGCTCTGTTCCACCTTGTGATGTCACACCTTCTAGTGAAGGTGTATGTTTTAAAAACACAGTGGAGCACTCCCTGTATTACCACATGACATCACAAGGTGGAAAGTGAGTGTTTTCTGTTTGAGAGAAGAACAGGGTTTCTGTGTTAAATATGTGAGAATGATACTAAAGACCTGTTTGTGATGAGGAAAATACATAATTACATAGATCAGAAAATAGTTTAATATGGGCCCTTTAAGCGAAAGCCATGACAGACAGTTATGCCAACAAACAAATGATGAAGTTTGATATTTGTGTGTATCTATACTACACTTGTGTTGTGTGGTAGGGGGAGCATTCCTCAGAAAACACGCTCGTGTGGGGGGGCAGCAGTGGTCCGTGGAAGTGTGCCTTCTGTCTGAGCAGAGATGGGAAAGCCGTGAAGATCCAGAGGAGCATCTTCAGCGAGTGCTTCTATATCCTGGGCCTGGACGAACTGAGCAGAGTCACAGGAGACAGGGACATGCAGGTGTGTGGGGCTGATACAGGTGTGTGCAGTCTAGAGTGCACACTGTGTGTATATGCACATCAGGTCATAGGTCACGATGGGTCTCAGCTAAACTTCATCATGTGATCTGACCTGAGGCCAGTTTCTGAGCTGGCTCTGGGTCATTCAGGTGCTTCATATATATTAGAACAATATGCAGTGAATTGATCACTCTTTGATATGCTAGATTTATTAGTTGTAGCCTCTTAATTCAGGTTTGGTCATTGTAGTAATTTCTTGTATTTTGGTGGATTTTCAAGGAGGTTTTTTAAATTAGGCTCACCTGTGCTCTCTGGTCTTCTTCTGTCAGGGCAAAAACAAACAAATACAGCAGAGCCATTGCACACTGGGACTTACGAGTCTGGGCAACAGACACATTAATTTCCGGGTTTTTCAGGAAGTGTGGGAATCCTTGTATAGCTGTTGTTGTGTTCTGATTGGTTCACATCCTCCTCCTCCCAGTGGTTTCTCCTGACATCAGCAGTAATCTAATAATTAATCTATTAACCACTAACCCCTTATTATTCAGAGGAACACCTAAGTCTGATCATCTCACATGCTCAGAACCCTCTCATAGTCTAGTAGATTACAGCAGCTGCTTTCCTCCAGTCCACAGTGTGACAGTAGAGGGCGCTCTTTCACATCCTTTTATTATTTACATGTGTCTAATACAATAGTATAGAGTTGAGAGAGGAGGTGATGAGAAGTACAAAGTTACAATATTCTAAAGCAGGGGTCTCCAAGTCTTTCAAGTAGCTCACCAAGGAGATTTCTGAATTACATATATTGTCCTGAATAACTCAAATTTGATGAATTCATTCTATCATTTTGATACCTGATTTTGTGCACTCATAAATTAATAATGGTTTATGTTTTATTTAACTGTATCCCATCTAAGTCTTGCCATGGCTCTTATGTATACTTTATTTCCTATGACCTCTTAAATTAGCAGCTCTCTGGAATTTTTGTTTTGTAAAGAAAGCTCATCTGAAGAAAAAGGTTGGAGACTCCTGTTCTAAAGAGATTTCAGACAGGCCACATACATGGGTGGTATGAGAGGAGATGGACTCACCACTGCACACTGCACACTGCACCAAACAATAACAACAATCAATACGAACTATAGACAAGACAAGAGGCCTCACAGATGTGGAGTGTCCTGAGTGAGACTCTACACATCAGACTTACCAAAAACCATCAATACAACTGTTGGACAAGGACAAGGACAGAGGAGATGTGGAATTTATGATTCAGGACTGACCAAGAGCATCTGAGAAAGAAATATATTTATATACAGGTTTTTAGAAGCCTACACTAGAAGACGAGCAGGGTTTTCTTAAAATCATGAGTTGTTTTGTTGTTGCAGATGACCTGATTAAGTACAAACTTTACTTTTGCACACAATCATATTGCTTTGGTATTGTACAGTGCCTTTGCCCCACCCTCTCATTGCTCTGTGCAGGCAGAGGCTGAGCAGATGATGGAACAGATAGTGCACTGGGTGCAGGTGGACCCCTCAGGCCTGGGGCGCCCTCAGCTCCCGGGGGACCCTCCCTCAAGCAGCATGGCTGTCCCCATGATGCTGCTGTGTCTGGTGCAGCAACTGAGCGAGGACCGTGGCCCCGAGGCAGCCCTCAAGTACCAGAGCGTGGGCCAGTGGTGTGTGCAGCAGATCCTCATGCATCTGCAGGTAGGTCATATGTACAGGTCCAACATACAACACATATGCAAGTCCAAACATTTGAGTTATTTCAGCTTGTTGGTTTGTATTCATCCTGAGTCAGTGGAGGTGTTCACAGAGACAGTTGGCCCAGAATGACAGAAACCATTGTGCCAGTCTGCCCCAGGCACCAGGCTCAGGCACAGCACCTCCATAGCTTGTGTACCAGAGCTGGTGTACCAGAGCTGGTGTACCAGAGCTGGCCGAAGTGACCTCAAAGCTTTTGCAAAGAATAATAAGAGTATCTGATGCCATCTAAAGGAAAAAACAAAGTATGAACCGAAGGCATTAGACAGGCTCTCACATTCTCTGTAAGATATAAACTGCACTGGAAATGTTTCTGTGATGTTTTGGTTATGAATAGAATGAACTAGTATTGATGTATTTTTCCTGTACCGTGGCCCTTGCTCTTCCAGAGAGGAGGGACAGCCGTGCTCGAGAATGTGTCTGTGGATGGGGCTGAGCTGGAGGGCTGTCAGGGCCGACTACAGAACCCAGGTGAGCTCCCGCCAGGGACCCATGTCTCTCCCTCCAGGGACCCTAGTCCCTTCCTCAAAGGGCCCACTGCAAGTGCACTTCCTCCAGGGTCCCAGGGTGAGATGAGTCCTTCTATGGACTCTGTGGCCTGGGCTCCTGCTCTGATTGGTCCAGCTTAGTCTAGTTTAGTCTAGTTTCATATTTTGATAATGGTAACTGTCCCCTGGACTGTACAGACTCTAAAACACATAAGACACATAAGAAAAGTCCTATTAGAACATAGCAGCATTCTTAACAAGAAGAAAGCATTATTATGCTAAATTGACTTTTTGGACTAACATGTTGTAACATTGTTCTTTCATCAAAAACATGAACAGGTTTTATATGCTGTCCATGTCATAACATGTTTTATCTGTAAACCCTCCTCACAGCAGTACACTCCTCACAATTCTACGTCACCCATGCTCCCACAAGGCCATTTTCCATAATTATACAAAAACATGATACAAAACAACACACTACAACTTGACAAACCTGATGTGACAACACAACATTTATCTGGTTGTTTAAGTGATTTAAAAGTCTGTACAGTGTAAATAATTATTTGACTAGTCGACAAATAAAAAATGTATTGTTTACTGGTTGCAGTCGTACACATGAGTAGTGTTGTGTGGACATGATTAGTGTTGTGTGGATGTTGGGGCTGTGGCTGACACACTCCCTGTGTGCTGTTGGTGTCAGGACATGCTCTGGAGGCCGGATGGTTCCTGCTGCAGTACGCCTCACAGTGGGGGCTCCAGGACCTGCAGCACACAGCCATCACAAGCTTCATGGAGGGGCCCTTCCACAGCGGCTGGGACCCAGAGCATGGGGGCCTCTTCTATTTCAGGGACGTTGACGGTCACTGCCCCACACAGGTGAGGGAGTGGGGAGGGACGAGCTCAGGCTATTATGCAAAATGGACTTTTCAGATTATGGAAACTTTATTGAGCCCAATTCATTTGCAGCATTTTCAGAGAAGTTCTCACTAAATGTTTTTCATGTTAACAATCAGTTCTCCACAGAAGTGTAACAACCCTCTGTAACAAACACATTGTACAGAAACAGTGGAAAGAGCAGACCTGGAGTAAGTTAGATGGACTTTTGGGAATTTTACCTAACTTTTTACTTTTAGACACCAACTTTACCAGTATTACTGAGAGCATGTGGTCTTATGAGTGCAGAGTAGTGTCATGATACTAAAATTTCAAACTATTTCAGTATTAAGGAAGAGACTCGATACTCAATACTGGTTCTGATACCATGACAATAATAAAAAAAACACTCTTTCTTTAGGCAATAGAATGTGATTTTGAATATTAAATAACAGTACTTTCTTTTCTATTCCCATGTGTCTTATATGTGTGTAATCCCTCAGTGGTCCAGGTAGATTCAGGTAGATCCCATAGTTTATACTGAAACTACACTGCAAAAAAGCTTGGCCAAAATTTAAGATATAAACACTTACATCTATCAGAAAATGACTGTCCATGCAGCAAGATCATTTTACTTGACAAGTTATCTTAAAATAAACTACCTCTAGAATTAAGCAGTCTCAGAACGAGTAAGTGGATAATAAATCTGAAAATAAACTGAATAATATAAGTTTTAAAATCTTGGCCAGTGATGCGCTCTCTCTTTCTACCCCTCTCTCTATACAGTTGGAGTGGAGTATGAAGTTGTGGTGGCCGCACTGTGAGGCTCTGGTGGCCTTCCTCATGGCGTACACACACACCCAGCGCCCGGAGCTACTGGAGCGCTTCACCCAGATCTATGACTACACCTTTAAACACGTGAGTCCTCCTCTTTTACACTATAACTACACCTTTAAACACGAGTCCTACACTGCTACACTGTGTACATGGTGTTTTAATAGCATTAGTTACTAGTATTTTTTGGCAATTTGGGTGCAAACTAGGTACATTTGCAAAATTTTCTCAGTGTGTGCATCATGCAGGACTGTCCTTATTACAGCCAAGTGATTCTAACACAGGGGTAGCTCAGTGTTTAGAGCAGTAGCCCCTCAACCTGAGGTTTGACTTGCCTCATATGAGTGCGATGTGTGCAGGAGTGATTGGACAGAGGGGCCTGTTAAAGCACACTACAAGTGTATGGCTTTATTCTTCTTATAAACATGTGTTCATTATGAATGAAGTGTGTATTCCTGCTTTATTAAGTCTAAGCGTAGTCATCATAAAGAGGCAGCTCTTCCCTCACTCGTGGTGAACAGTGCTTTGTGTGTTTGTGTGTTGCAGTTTCCAGACACTCAGAGTGGAGAGTGGTTCGGATACCTCACTCAAGAGGGCAAGGTGGCTCTGGACTTTAAAGGAGGACCCTTCAAAGGTAAGAAGCATTTCACTGATCTTGTTCTGGTCTTCTATCTCAATTATTCACAATGTGTGTGTCTGTGTGTTTGTGTGTGTGTCCGCACAAATGTGTGTGTGTTTGTGTGCTGCAGGGTTCTTTCATGTGCCACGTTGCCTTCTTATGTGTGAGAACATGCTGGACCAGATCCTGGACCAGGACCAAATGAAGAGCCAGACCTCAGACTAGAACCAGACCTACGACCGGGACTAAAACCAGACCAGGTGGGAGCTGTCAATCAACACTCTGCTCTTTCTTTTTATAATGGTGATTTTATAAAATTATGTTTTTTTAATATAATTACATAATGATTGCAGTGTCATATAAATAAAATAAACAATTGTTTGCTGATTGTGGACTTGACACTCTCCAGTACTGTTTATGTTTGGTCTATATTTGTATGATATGAAGACCTCTGTGATTCTACTTCAGTTGTGGAATACAGACATTTGTGATTAAAGTGAATCATTTGAACTGTAATTGTGATAAGTGACTTGACACAGTACATAAATATACAATAATGTTATAACATTGAGTAAACCTGAGTCTAACATAAATGTACCTTTTATATTAGAACAACTGCCTCCTCTCACTCATCTGCTCTTTTCCTCTATCATCTTTCCTTCCAACTCCTCTCCTCTTTTAAGCTCATCTCTTCCTCCCCTCCTCCCCTACTCTCTCCTCCTCGGGTCATTGGGTCACTCCTATCTCCAGTTGTTGTGTAGATGTGATAGGAGCACATTTTGTAGAAAAGTGTGTGAAATCTAATCAGAGAGTCCTTGTCCCACATCAGCCCAATCAGGCGCAGGATCCACAGGCCTGATCAGAGACTCAGGATCTGTTTGTGCTCATCTCTGTTACACTCTGCTCTACATACCCCTGACATGTGATAGGCTGATAAACACTGAACATTACAGTGAAAAGCGCAGGATGTGGCTCTGTTTGTACCTGACAGACTGGATCATTTTAAAGCTGACATATTGTGCAGACTCAACTTTTCAGACCCTTAAGCCATGTTTTATCAGTTTCTTCTCATTGACCCTGTGAAGTTGTATTTGGAGTGATTCATGCGTGTTTGAGTCAGCTTTATTCTCTTGTATTGAAGACGTCATTGCTCCACCACCAGTACATGCTCACTGTGACGTATGCACTTCGGTCTTCAGTTTGATTTTCTTACACGTAGGATTCAGCCCACAGCATGCGCCGAATTCAACCTCAAGTGCTGCTTATACTATTATAGCTGTATATTTTACTCAGATACAAGGGGAAGTAGTCTCTGTACGTGTCTCTGTACATTTTGTTTGTCTCCATGATGATTGCTCTGCCTGGAATGTTCCATGGTGTGGCATTATAAATATATCTCCATGAAGAGAGCACATGGCATATTTATATACTAGGGATGTAACAGTAACCGAAATATTGTGATATCGTATTGTCAAAGTTCCCGCAATAATATCGTGGACCATCACAATATATCAAATTACAAGACTCTTTGCTTAAATGAAGAGTTATGATGCAGCAGTAGCTAAAAAAGACAGAGAGAACTACATAGACCATGATCCTTTGCTCCATTTCAATGTAGTACAAGAAGAAATAACAGTTCAAAGCACTTTTAAGTTGTAGGCATTTTAAGAGAAAAAAGTAGCATATTAACAGTTTTGTTCGCCTCCACAGAATGTCACAATAAACATTGTACCTTGAGATGTATATCATGAAAATATCGTACCGAGAGATTTGGATATTGTTACATTCCTAATCGTGAACCTCCCCACAATATCATGACCTTTCTCATGATATCACAATATTGTCCCCCGGAGGAGCTGGAGGAAGTGTGTGTGGAGAGGGAAGTCTGGAGGCCCTTCTCAGACTGCTGCCCCTGCAACCCGACCCCGGATAAGCGGAAAAAAATGGATGGATGGATGACGATATTGTATCGTGAGACTTGGATATCGTTACACCCCTAATATATACGTATTTTTTAAAGGACAATTTTAGCAATGAATATACCTTTATTGAGTAAATGAGTAAATATTGAGTAAATATTTTAATGCCATACTGTGGAACATTCTTGGAAGTTGGTGAATGATTCACTGTAAAAGCTACATAGTGTACCTTTAATAATAATAATAATAAAAAAAAGGCCATGTTAAACTTAAACTGAGATGAAACAGAATGATGTCAGATCTGTTCTTATCCATATCACTTTAGAGATGAGAGATCATCCACTGATCCACTGATATACTTAAAGTTATGGTACTTAACTTTCTGGAGGTGGTACATCACCTGCACCATTCCATGGAACAAAGTTAAAACCATATTTCAGAACAGTCTCCATGAAGAGAGATTCACTAGCGAGGACCACACCACAACAATGGAATATGATAAAGATGTTTATTGACAGTGGATAGATGTGATGTTGGGGGGAGACGCTGGGTGGGGGTACAATCTCCAATCCAAAATGGTCACCCAGCTGATTCAGAACCCCACCTCCTTAAAGATGATGTCTTTGGGCTAAAGGCTGGACGAGAGACACGAGGTGGAAGAGAGGGGGTCGAGAGAGCTGACACACACAGTCTTGTCATGATAGGCCGTATAACAGGGCTTCTGGGTAATTGAAGGCGTGGATAGGATAAACTGTGTTTGGCTGGAGAGAAGGTTGAGGCGTGTCCCAGCTCCTGAATCTCAATTAATCACATTAACTCCACTTCATTTTATGCCATTCTGTGCAGGATTATGGCCAAAGAAACAACATTTAAAGGGAAACAAGCAGGAGGAGGCCCTCTGTCAGGCAAAATAAGAGCCTGCTCTCAGTGAGGATGCATGAATTATATGATTTTCAGTTCTATAAAAACATGTTTTTATTTGAGTCTATTTTTTTTGGCCGGAAAAGTTGCATACTGTGGCTTTAAATCATGATTCTGTATCCCATCATTTAACTTGTATGGTATAGTTTTGATTATGTTATTAATTTCTTTTTTCAGAACCGAGAGTTTGTTTTCATACCTGACAGTTTGGACTGTTCACTAGCGCTCTTCCTCAGAGTCTCATGAAGTTGCTGTGACGTGTCTGCTCAGCTGATTTAAACAGGTTTTGGCGCTGTCGTCCTACCAGTGGAAGCAGGACGACACTGCACCATCTGCATAACATAAAATATCAGAAGACCAAATGAATCTCATTGGACTATACAGTTTTGATTATTAAAACACCAGTAATGCAAGTGAGACAAGTCTAACATTTGTGGCAAAGATCTCCATGGAGATAAACAGGGCTATACAAGAGCAGGTCTAATAAAAGGCCAGTCCTCTGAGCTACGACAAAACCAAGCCAAAACGTATTAGACAGTATCACATGTATTTTCTACAGTACTGTGAAGTTCATTTTGCCCAGTTATCCATGTGTGAGATGTGATGTTTGTTTATCTCTATCACAATGCTGTGAGGAGGACATGTTCAGACCTGATACAGACCGATACAGACCCCATAGTTCATGTAGTAGTGTAGCATCCACACTCTTTGCTCTCAGGAAATGTACAGGAAGTGACTGAGCAGACAAATGATTCACTGCTCAAGAGGTCTGTCACCTGTTGTCTTCATGCAGATGATTTTTACTTTCCATGTTCCACAAGGGTTTTTCAAGCTATTGTCATGGATGGATGGACAAGCAGGTGACACCAGGTGAAGTTACAGTCACAGTAAGAATGCATGTTTACAGGGCACTTTTTCAGCATTAAACCTTTAAAGGAATATAGTTTAACAAGTGGAACAGTTCAGGGAAAGCACTTACATCTCCATACTCATGTGGAGATGGCGTATCTCTTCCACTAGACTTTGGAAGTATTGTACAGTATACCATTCCTTAACTCCTCATCCCACCCCAGTGCACAGGGGGAGGCCGGCCCTGCTCTCCCCTCGTCCTGGGCTCTCTGTGCGTTCAGCCTGTACACGTGGGGAGTGCATGCCCGGAGCCTGGCCCTGCAGGTGGAGAGAGACTGATAGAGCAGAGAGGCCTTGAGTGCTGCCTACACACACCACACACACACACTACACATACACATACACATACACACACCCATATAAACCCCATACACACAGGTGGAGATAGAGGAGAACTTGTAACTCTGCAGCAGTGTTTTTTGACATTGTGTCTGTTAACCAGCTGGACCAAAAAAAAAAAGAAAGATACAAAGTGTGGCTGGGTTACACTCAGACGAGTAGGCGAAGATCACATGTTTTCAAAAGTTTCAAAGCTCTGTTTCACCTGCTGATGTCATGAGGTGGGGCCCTCTTCTCCTCTGCCTTCACCTCATTGCATCTACGTGAAGTAAAAACAAATCTGTGAATAATAACACAGAAGAGGGCTTTGAGTACAACACAGTACACATTAGAGCCCAGTTTAAAGTCAAATTCCTGGTGGGGGCACGCTACACACACATTTCTATGGAGACAAAAAGTCAATACGTAACATTCTGAATGGAGACAGATCAGTTTTATGTTCTTCTTTCAAACAACATTTCCATGGAGAATAGCAGGTTATGCCTTTAACAAGGATCAGCTGTTTTTAGAAGTTTTAAATACAAGAAATATAACTACTCATTTTCTTTTATCCTGATTTCAAATATCTGTCTGATTTAAACTTTAAACAAGAAACTCAGTAAGACCTGTGCTTTTCAAATACAAACATCCTGCGCTGCCATGTTTTGTTTTTCACTTCATTTTTGTAATTTCCCTGAACCAGTAATGAAGTAATTGGTGAGGGCTTTTGAATTTTGACTTCTTTTGACTTTTCCTTCAACAATTTTGAGACCCTAAACATCAAAGAATATTTTCAGACAGGGTATAGAAATGTAGGCTGGTGCTACCTAGTGCGATCCAGTTTCTTTTCTCTCCAGCGACTAGGTCAGAAATCAGAATACTCTAGAGTCTAGAGTCTTCCAGGGTTCTTGCAAACCGTCTAGAGTCTAGACGGTTTGCAAGAACCCTGGAAGATGTAAACCATGCACCGTCCAATCAGCTGTGAGCTGTGAAGCCATGACATCAAACTCGTGGCGCCTGACTGTGTTCCTTTTGTGGTACAGCACAACAGTAAACAAAGCGGTCGTGATGGATGTAGACGAAGACAGACATTCTGTGTTGGAAAGGATTCCCGAGATCAAGGATTTAAAGTCGGAACAAAGAGAATGTTTGGTGAATTTTATCAAGGGGAAAGACGTGGGACTGCGGGACTTGGGAAAAGCTTAATATACCAGTTAGCCCCGTTAGCGGCAAATTACATACGTTGTTTAATTTACTTACCGTCAAGCGAACAAATCCTAACGCTGAGAGGTCAGACGGTTTCCACGAAGGGACACCGGCTGATGAATCAGGTTATTAGCCAATCTGGTGAAAAATGGGATAAAATGGGCATCATGAGACCATCTGACGTGACTCAACAGTTCCACCTGGAATTTACAAAAATTAGAAGTCTATGGGCGGCCTAAAAGCATATTTGGGTGTAGGTCAAAGAAATTCAGACCAGTGATAAAGCTCCAGGAGACAAGCAAAAAGCCTCCTCATTTTCTTATGGAACAATAAAACAATGACATATTTGCAGTTCACTTGTGGTCTTCATGTCAGTCAGAAAAGTCTGAGCTGGACCAAGCCTGGACCTTCAGCGCTTCAAAGGCGACAGTAGCTCAGATGGAAAGAGTGTTTCTCCACTAAGCTGAAGGCTGATGGTTCAAATTCTGCTCCAGGTGAATGTTGTTGTTGTGTCATTGGGCAAGACACTTACCCCCTTGCCCCCACTGACTGTGTATACATTGGTGCATGAGGACGTGTTGATGTAAAGTGTTTTGCGTGCCTTGAAGATGGAAAAGAGCTGTACAAAAAAACATGACCAAATAGAATTACAGTGAAAGTGTATTGTGTATGTAGGACCGGGGGTGGGGGGTTGAGGGTGAGCTCAGTGAGATGGGGGTAAAAAAACAAAAACAAAACATGACTATTAACTACTAAACATGTGCATTTCTTAAAAATTTTCTTTAACATTAACTTTTATTTTGTACAAACGATAAACGATAAAACGTTGTGCCTTCGTTAATGTTAGTATTAGTTTGCACGACCATAAATGAAAACAAAATTTCCTTAATTTTTTATTCTTTTTTAAAATTCTCATTATAGTTTATTTCGCACGATCATAAACGATAAAATTTTTTGCCATTGTTAACATTATTATTAGTTTGTACGACCATAAATGAAAAACAAATAATCCTTACATTCTTGCATTCTCATTGTTGTTTATTTCGCACGATCATAAACAATAAACTTTTGTCCCTTTGTTAACATTATTATTAGTTTGTACGACCATAAATAGGAGAGAGGAAAAAAAAAAAAAAAGATAAGAACGAGGAAGAAAGAAATTTCAGGTTGAGATTTTGGTTTGTAAAATAATCGGAGCAATGACTTTAAACAGTCCAACACTGTAGAAACTTTTTTAAAAGAGTATAGACTGTTGTGTTTTGGAAAATACGGAGCTCTGGAGTTGATAAATTGTGCATTGAGTTTTGTTTGTTTTAATTTATATATTGTCTCTTATATGTACAGTGAGTGGAGTTGTGAATGCAAACTTGTTGTGCATGCATTTGGTGCCTTTGTTTCAGCTCGGACTCTTACTGTTATGACCCATTTTGTTTGCCGCAAATGATCCAAAAAATAAAAATAAAAAATTTGAGTGAAAGTACACAATAAGCAAAGATCATCCTCAGTTACCAAGAGCTACAGCGGTGGCCCTGAGCATCAGAGGTGTGGGTGTGTGTGTGTGTGTGTGTGTGTGTGTGTGTGTGTGTGTGTGGGAGGGGGCGGGAGGGGGTGCATGGGAAGAGCAGGGAGTGAATGCGTTATCGGTGTGTGACGCAGGCTGTCTCATGAACCTTATCTCTACCCTGAGCCTGATACTTTGTTGTGAGCTCCAGGCCTTCTGCTGTTTCCTCCTGGCGTTTCAGAATCTCTGGACCTGCTTTTTTCTTGTTTTAAAATGTGAAAAACAGAACTAGTTCATTTGAAACACTTTGCAGTGGTTGAAAGTTCTTCCTCACTTACCTTAGGCATTCAGAGCATCCTCATTATTCACCTTGATGAGTTTATAAGCACTTTATAAGCACAGCTTGGAGTTTTATTTACAAAAATGTTAAAGGTGCTTTTAACAGGTGAGGATACTACTGCAGGGGTGAGGCTCCACCCTAAAGCTGGGGTGAAGGAGACATGCTATAAAGTGAAAAACAAACAAGATTAATACAAAGAAAACCATTACCACAACTGAAAACACCCAATTACAAGTGCCACCACCACCAATAACTAGAAATAAGGTCTCCCTCTAAGTGAGCCCCTCCACACCCAGCTCCCTCCAGCCCACACCCACTGCAGAGCTGGAACAAATCAACAATCAAAAACTAAAACTCAAAAACGGCAACCAGCACTGAGCCTGTGAGCACAGTGCGGTTCATAAAATACATTAATTAAAATTAAACAATACAATAAAAGTTAAAAGCATACCTCTGATCTGGACTGTTAAAATGGCGAAAAATTTCATAAAATGGGCATCGCAAGACCATCTGACACGACTCAACAGCATCACCTGGAATTTGCAAAAATTAGAAGTCTATGGGCAGCCAAAAAGTATATTTTGATGTAGGTCAATTCAGACCAGTGATAAAGCTCCAGGAGACAAGCAAAAATGTTTTTGTGACTCTGCCCTATGATGAACAGGGAGTTGCCCATATTGGATAAAAAAAATTAAGCTCTGTTTTGATTGTGTGGTTGAAATATAGATCTAGTCCCTGCTTTTTGGTCCATATGAGCTCAGATTGGGCATGTCACCCATAGTACGCCAGCGAAAAACACCTCTCACGGCCACAGTCAGTGCCCTAGAGAGCTCAAATTCAAATGTGTCAAATCCCATATTTCCTGTTTATCTGAAACCTGCTCAAAAGGCAGGTGCAAGTTCCTGGTTGGTGCATGGGAGGGATGTGCGCACTGTGGCAAGGGCCATCGTTGCCACTTGTGGATTTAATTGCTATTTTTCTGTTATTGTGACCCCCAGTGCCCACTGACTCAATGTTGACAAAAGTAGTGTGACGGGCTCATGTCCCTCAGACACACTCCTGACATCAGACTGTTTCCAAACCCCCGTGTTGAATGCCTGGGCCATATTTATAACTGCTAAAATGAATGGAAATCAACAGAAGTCAATGGACATCCCCGAGTAGAAGGTGAATGACGAGTGAGTCAGTGTTACTTGAGAAGTCAGAGCTAGGGGTTCAGTGCGTTTGTGGGGCATGACATGGCCGGGGTGCAGTGTGGGTGGTGTGTGGTATGAGCGAGGGCCCTTTGATGCTGCTTGGACTTAATTTTGATTGATCTTCTGTAATATTCACATTTTCTGTGACACTGAATTTGGGGTTTTCAGTATAATAAAGGGATATAAATAAAGGCGTGAAAGTTTCACTCTGTGTCATGAGATGATATGACTTTCTGAAATGATATTCTCATTTTTTAAGATGGACTCATAGGAGCTTTAAGAAAAAGATGGATGAGGATCCTGCTATTCTGTTGGTGCAGTGTGTGTCTTCCCACAAACCCTACACTGGGACACAGTTCAAGGACCAATGAGACACAACCTTCACATCTGACTCACTTTTATTTGATGACACACACACACACACGTGGAAAAATGAAATATTTGAAAATGAATTAATATAATAAATAATTTGCATTGACATTTCACTTAGAACAAACATACAAAAGTGTACGGCCTGAACACAACATTGGCAAGTTATACACACACATGCGCACACACATCAGCACACACATGCGCACGCACACAGACACACACACAAGTAAGTAAGCAAGGAAGTAGTGGGGGGGGCTCGGCTGTAGTCCCAGTCTCAAGCAGCTCTAAGCAGAGAGCTCTAACACTGGGACCAGGTGAGCGTCATGGTCCAGCAGGTGATCCAGCTGTGTCAAAAACACACAATACAAATGCACTCCTTAAGGCCATGTGTGTCCCAGTGCAGAGAGCCCAGTGCAGAGGGCCCAGTGCAGAGGCCCAGTGCAGAGGCCCAGTGCAGAGGGCCCAGTGCAGAGAGTGCAGAGAGCCCAGTGCAGAGAGCCCAGTGCAGAGAGCCCAGTGCAGAGAGCCCAGTGCAGAGGGCCCAGTGCAGAGGGCCCAGTGCAGAGGGAGTGCAGTCCTCCCACATGTGAGTGACAGTGGAGTAAGCCAGTCTCTGTTCAACAGAAGCTCCACCAAAGCCTGGTTCCTTAGTCTTTATACAAAGCACACACTCTCAGCGTCCAGTGCAACAAAACTTCTGTAGTCCCTTGTGGTGCTGGGGCCAGTGTGGGCCCCTCTGTGATGTCATGAGGCAGGGGGGCTCCTGGGGGTCGTAGACCCATGACCCATAGAGCCTCTCATTCTAGTCCTTCTGCGAGAAGCCAACAGGGCTCTGTGCTCTGAGGATTTTAAGCTCTTTCTGTAGTTGTCTCTGTGCAAGCTCCCAGGGGCCCCCAGCCTCTCCACCAGCTTCTTCTGGAACAGGATCTGGAACTGCTGCTCCTGAAACACAGACACAGGTCAGTCTGATACCAGCAAGTGTGGCAAGAGGAAACCTGCCCCAAACCTGCCCCAAACAAGCTCAATGACCAGGTCTGTACCACACTGTACTGAGGATTACACCCAGACTACTCAGGACTAAACCCAGACTAAGCCCGGACTAAACCTGGACTACGCAAAGCTAAATGTAGACACAAATAAAGTACACACATACATGGAAAAGGTAAAAAAAACAAAACAAACCAACACACGTTTTATATCATCATTAGGCACTATTTAAGGCTGACTGGTGAACATAATGACTGAGGCGTATATGGCCCCTGACTCTCACCACTGTGGGCCCTTGGGAGCTGCTGGTGCTACTACTGCTGCTGCTGCTGCTGCTGCTGCTGCTGCTGCTGGTGGTGGTGGTGGTGGTAGTGGTGGTGGTGGTAGTGGAGAGGTCCATGGCTTTGGCGCAGTACTTCTCTAAGTGATGCAGGTCACAGCCGGTGCCCAGGCAGCACTGGTCCACTATGCCTCTGCCCCGGGGCCGTGGGCCGTAACCAGACCAGCCACGCTTCCCTGCACACGAGAGGGTCACAGGGTCAGGCTACAGCTCAAATCAGTTCACTGAAGCAAATTTACATTGTTTAATGTTGATTAAAGTGCCAATATTACACTATTTTCTGATGTTTTCATGTATCTGCAGTTGTGCTTTGTTTCATTCAAACATCTTAAGACACAAACCCTGCATATCTAGTATTTATAGTTTACAGTTTCTCAAAATAAAAACACTGTTCCACCTTGTGATGTCATGTGGTGATGCAGAAAGTGCTCCACTGTGTTTTTAAACTCCATACACCTTCATTAGAATCATTTCAGATAATTCAGCACTGGAACTTCCAGTCTCTACTGAACTAAAGGTAAAAGGAGCTGTTCACTTGAAAACTACCACTTCCACAAGGTGAAATAGAGAATCTGGAGCTTTGGAGATGTAGACAGACTAATAATAAAGGGTTACTCAAACACAACTCCAGGTCTGTTTTTAAGGAGGTAACAGAATTATAACATGGCTTAAAACTCACAAGTGTTCAATTTTGTGTCATAAAGGAGCCAGTGCAGATGGACTGGTGAATAGTGGCTGCTGCTGTGCGTGCAGTGTGGGCAGATAAAGCTTGTTTTCACTCGATCTGAGCGAGGCTGCCCCAACCCTGGAGTCTGTGATAGCAGCTCCACGACCTTGGACCTGTCACAGGGACGGAACCAGGGGAAGGGCCTGTCTCCTCTGCACCACACCACGACGCAGAGGAGGAGAGGAGGAGAGGAGAAGAGCAGAGAAGGAGAGCAGAGAGAAGGAGAGGAGGAGAGGGGCAAATGGTCAAAGGAGCAGAAGGGCAGAGGGGCAGAGGAGGAGAGAGGCAGAGAAGCAGAAGGAGAGAGGAAGAGAGAGGAAGTGGGTTAGAGGAGCAGAAGGGCAGAGGAGCAGAGAAGCAAAAGGACAGAGGAGGAGAGGGGCAGAGGGTCAGAGGAGCAGAAGGGCAGAGGAGGAGAGGAGGAGCAAAGGAGCAAAAGGGCAGAGGAAGAGAGGGTCAGAAGAGGAGAGGTGCAGAGGGGGAGAGGAGGAGAGCAGAGAAGGAGAGGGCAGAAGAAGAGAGGTTCAGAGGAGCAAAAGGGCAGAGGAGGAGAGGGACAGAGGGTCAGAGGAGCAAAAAGGCAGAGGAGGAGAGGGTCAGAGGGGGAGAGGAGCATAGGTGAGGCTCAGATGAACAAAGGGTCAGAGGAGAACATCAGACAGAGTAGTGGAGAGGAGAAGAGCAGACGAGGAGAGGGTCAGAGGAGCAGAGAAGAAATACAATATCAAAATTTTGCTTTGTCATTAGCCGAAATAATCCATGAATCTTAACCAACTAACTCAAGACTCAAGACTCAAGAGGTAGTCATCATTTTGTGCAGTAAACCACAATTTAAAGGTCCTATATTACTTGAAATTAACTCTTGTGAGCTTTGATCCATGTTAGAATGTTGTTGCCTCCTCAAAAACAGACTTGAGTTGTGTTTTGTTTCTTTATTGTGAGTCTGTCTCATAATCTCCAAAACTCAAAATGGCCTGTTCCACTTTGTGATGTCAGATGATCCAAATGATTCTAAAAACACAGCCGAGCACTTCCTGTATTGCTGGGTTTCAGATGACATCACAGTATGCTATAGGACAATATTATTTAATACAGATGAGGGCAGCTAAAATGAATATTGTTCAAATGCCGATGGTCTTGGATTTAGTCAATAACAGAAATGGTCAGGTTCCATATTTGGGAATTTACTTTTCCAACATTTCAAAGTACAACGTAATCACTGGAAAAACTGTCCCCTGCCCCCCATCTGGGAGTACGACATCAGCACATTCTAGACTCCACCATTAAACCACCAATAACCACGTGACATCACAAGGTGGAACGGAGTGCTTTCAGTTTGAGAAGAACTCAAAATACCTAAATGTGCAGAGTTTGTGTGTTAAACATGTGAATGACACTAAACACAACTCCAGGTCTGTTTGTGATGAGGAAACTACATTAGAACACAGATCATGTTGTAAATGTATCGTGTTAGACAAACTTTACTGATCCACAAGGGAAATGATTTGAGCACAGTAGCTCACAAATCACAATAAAAATAATAACAAAGAGCAAAAATCTAAATATATATGTTTGACCAGTGACATTTGTCTTGATGGTCATGTTGTTGATGAATTGTATTTTAGAGGATAATAATACTGATGAATTTGGTAAATGTACATTTTAAAGGATATTGATGACAGTGAATTTGAGTATTTTTAGAAGATAATGATGAATTTGAAACCTTGTATTTATGGAAATTAGAGTTAATTCATTTTGATAGTTTTAAATGTTTAATGATGAATTGGACAGTGGTAGTCTCATGCAGATAGCCTGATTGATCAGCCTTGCAGCATTAGGATTCATTTGCTCGACGGTAGACGGGTACTTTTTTATTTAACCAATCGCTGCTATTTAGTAGTCGTAGTAACCTATGTAATGCGCTGCTAACGGGGCTAACTGGTATATTAAGCTTTTCCCAAATCCCATAGGAAGAAGGACAATAACGTCTTTCCCCTTGATAAAATTCACCAAACATTCTCTTTGTTCCGGCTTTAAATCCTCGATCTCAGAAATCGTTGACAACACTCAATGTAAGGCTCTTCACTGATTGGCTGGTGCCCAAACTTGCACTTCTGAGGTTTTTACAAACCGTCTATATATTCTGATTCCTGACCTAGTTGCTGGAGAGAAATGACATTGATCGGAGGCACTACGTGGTTCCAGCCTGGCACAGATGAATTTGGTAAATGTACATTTTAGAGGATATTAATGACAGTGAATTTTTGTATTTTTAGAAGATAATGATGAATTTGGAATCTTGTATTTATGGAATTTAGAGTTCATTAATTTTGATAGTTTTAAATATTTAATGATGAATTGGATTGTGGAAGTCTCATGTTGACTACATGAAAAGAAACGACAGTAAAAATATTGGTAAATTATATAAAGTAAAAGATATGTGAGACTTAAATCACTTCACATGTTCTATTGCTCATTAATTCTCCCATATTTTAGTTGCTGCTCAGAAGTTTGAGGCAATGTTGATCCAAGTAGCATAAAACCTTTGTTCCTGCTGCAATCATCAACAAAAAGGGTTTAGAGCACACTGCTCATCTGTTTGTTAAGTCTAATCAACTAAAGTTTAAAGATTTGGTTGAGATTTTATTTGTTCTGTGGAGAGCCAAACAAAGACATTTACCTGAAGCTCCACAAAATCTTTTTGTTTGTCTCGGAGGACTGTGACCATAGAAGACAAGATTTTTTTCCAAACTGTATTCTCAAGGACAGCATTAAAACAGAAGTGCATCTCTGTGTATGGAGCCAGCCAAGATATGGAACTTGTTAAATCGTGATTTTAAAAGTTGCACTAGTATTTCTAAAATAATAGCATGAACAATAAATACATAAATAAAAATGTTAAGGAGACATTGTTAATGATGAAATGTTGTGGTTAGAGTTGACCTAATAGTTTGTTTAATGTATTTTGTAGACTGTCCTGGTTTGTTTTAAATAAGTAAATCCATCAGAAAATAGTGTAATAAGGGCCCTTTAAGTATGAGACAGGTTGCTGCGCCCTGTGAGAGTGTGATATCTTCTGTTGTCTCTGTGGCTGTGGCCCTGAGGAGCCCGAGTGCAAAAAACACAGGCTACACTAACCTGATAGAGCCAGTATCATTGAGCTTAACCCACAGTTATATAAGCGCTCAGGGGCCCACACACTTGCCTAAGTAGATGCCACGGTCCCCACAGACGAAGATGAGGTCCGCCAGGAGCTCGGAGCCACAGCGCAGGCGGGCCCCCTCTGCGCACAGGGGCCCCAGGCTGAAGGAGCAGTGCAGTACGCAGAGCCACACACACAGCTCCTGAGACAGAGGACACTTTTAGAGAAACACACACACACTAAATATTGTTCCCAGTCCAGTGTAGAATTATGAAAAGAATCGAAAATCAGATACTAATTGGTATTAAAAAGGTTTGGTATAGTATCGGAACTGGATACTCATTTGAGCAGATATTGATACTGCAAAAATAATCACGTCAACAATTTCAACATTTGTGTTCTCCTGCACATCTGACTTAGTTTGACTCATTTTTGTGTCTATTCTTTGAAAACACCAAATTTTGTATATTATTTTATGTTATGTCCTTCTATCTACATTCACTTCAAATTATAAATCAGGTTTTATGTCTTGACAGTTACTTTAGTTTTGGCAACTCCACCTGATTATAAATTGTTTTATTACAGAACTATAGAAGTGTGAGCTGTTGCATACATGACATGTAAGTGTTGATTAAGCAAAGTTAACACAGAAGCACAGAGCAGCAACAGGCCACAAGAAAGAAGACAAAATACAGTTTTCTGGATGGACAACCTGAACTGGACAAGGTCCAAACCCAGACCAGAGCAGACGAGGTCCAAACCCAGACCAGATCAGAGCAGGGTCTTACCTGAGTGTGCGCTGAGAGCGAGTGGCGTGCCATCACCATCCTGTGCGAGCGCCCGACTGTGAGCGAGGTGCCACTTATACAGGCTCACAGCACCCAAGGGTGGGGGTGAGGGGTGGACTCCCATTATCATCTCACATCTATCTCATCTATCCTCCTGAAGCACAGACACTCAGATTTGTGTTTGACATAGAGCACTCACTGATAACAGAAAAACACCCAGCACAGGCACAGCGCCCTCAAGAGGCACACCTCTGGCATCAGTTGACTCTTTCTAACCCTGGAGTTGTGGTGATGGCAAATGCCTGTGGTCATCATAACAACTTAAATATAAAGACTACACATTAACCTTATATAATCTCACAACTTCTCATCAGGGTTAGAGAAAGCACAAACACAAAATGCACTGTTACAGACCAATGTTCAGATTAGGGCTGTCAAAAGCACAGAAAATCTGATACTGATCAACAGTAAAATTAGTGGCAAAACTAAATACTCATTTCAACAGATACTAATTCATAGGACAGAAACAAACCTTTCCAGAATGACTTTAGAATGATGTTGAGCTGTATCAGAACAAGTATAAGAGACACAGACTAGTATACACACATGGACACTCTGAACCTACCTGGACCACTGAGGGTTACACATATATAAGACACATGGGAAAAGAAAAGAAAGTTCTATGATTTAATGTTGAAAATCACATTCTATTGTAAGTTTTTATCATCATCGTGGTATCAAAATCGGTATTGAACATCAAATCTATTCCTAAGCAACAAAATCAAGTTTGAAATTTTCGTATCATGACAACAGTATTACAACCATCCAAAATAAAGAGGTTTATTTTGAAAAAAGACCCAGTAACCGTCTGGACAGACAAGTGCATTTCAGACTTTATAGAAAAACATATTATTGTAAGGCACATAAATGAAACCATTTTGTCAAACATAGATTCACGTCAGTGAATAGACCAGCAAAAAACAGAATTCATGCCATATTTGGAATATTCCACAAAATCTCTATGGATCCCCTCTCCAAGGAAATGTTACATGTCAAGTCTCTGGTGAGGCAAGCCATGTCACAGTAAGAATACTTTTTTTGAAAGATATTTTTTTGGGGAAATAAATCCATTTGTTCGTTAAATTAGACAAAGACAAATACATTGAGAAAAGTCAACTGTCCATAACAGAGCTGAGAGGGAGCTCAGGAAGTCCAAGGAGAGCCCGGTTCAGCCTGTGTGTGTTTAGTCTGGACAGCGTGACAGTTTCACAGCGTTTAGTCAACAGCCTCATCCCTCTGACTCACCCAATCTGAACACACTGCAGCAGGCTCTCCACTCTCCACAATATTTTATCATTAAAGGCACTGTACCAGATTTTAAGTCTTAAAAATTTGAAAAACAGGACCGGTTCATTTTAAATGATTTGCGGGCTAGCATTCTAATGGACACTTCCTGATAATCAGACAATAAACAGCTTTAGAATGACATGGAGACAGCATTCAGCGGACTTCCTTTGACCTCAAGAGCTGCTTATTCAACATATCTGTACCGGGACAAAGTGAACTAAAATACATGTGAAAAAATCATGCCCAGGACCTTTCAAGTATTAAAATATAAGGATAGATTGTTTAAAGTGTGACAAGAATTTTCACACAATTAACTACAAACAATTCTTTTTTTTTCTCTTTTGAAACAAAAACTAAAGTGAAAAAGAGCAGAGGTAGGAGCAATAATGTATGGAAAATAATTGGCAGATTTTTTTTTTAACTCATTTACATCGTACAGTGAAATAAAATCATCTGGGCTCCACTGTCCTGCCCAAGTCTAAGTCCTTTTACCATTATTTTTGTCCATAGACTCAAATATTAAGGCTTCAAAGGCACTGCAGAGGCTACGATAATATTCCTTAAATAAAAGTACATCATAGTGGTCCATGAACTTACTCAAGTAAGAGTACCTTAAATACATATCAAAATCATATCTGTAGGAGCATTGCAAGAAACACAAACATTCAAATCATTTCATATTGTCAAATAAAGCTTTTGTCACTTTAGAGTTACTCATATGCAACTAACTCATAGTGGGAAGAATAACCACAACAGTTATTTCAATTAAAAATATAACTTATGTAGGAGTAGGAGTTAAATATAGTCTGTTAATATAAATGTAAATATAACTGAGTACTACCCACTTTTTTTCTTTTTTCTGGAATGTCTACAGGGAAATTGAATGGGAAATTTACTTATATTAAATATTGTCCTAATGTATACATATATTTCTAAAAATACTAAACAAGTACTGCTATATAGAGGTGGGGAAAAAATAAAAAAATAGTATAGGAAAGTCGTATCATAAATGTGCTTTCAAACTAAGGCATGTGTTTGGTTTCATTGAGCCATAAAATGATCATATTTGTGTTTGATATCATACAACATAATAATCTCTCCTCTGTACACAAAATAACACATTGGCAAACGTCCGGATGATCACAGGGGGCACTGCGGGGGGCTAGTGCATATGACAGGTAAGACTACTCATTTCTCTAAAACATAGTCAACATCATATATTAGAACTCACCACTTCCTGTGTTTGTATACTTTTTCTGTAGAGAAGCACAGATACCAATAGTGTGTGGAATATTAGCACTGACCCAGGAAAATCTACTGGGTCTGGTTTCTGTTCCATGGTATCAGTTCAGTCGATATCCTGGTTGGGCCTTTAATTTGATGTAATGGGGCCATTTACTGACTGTAAGTTTCATGTTTGAACTTTAATCCATACAAAGCTGTTCTGTACTTACCTGCAGGATAAATAACAGTTATTGAACACAACTGGATACATTTTGTAATAAATTATGTCTTGCGAGAAAAAAAATTCATGTTTAGTCCCTACACTGGTATCAGTTAATATGGACAGATACTCTAAGCATAACATCGATATGCTGCATCTGTGCGTCTCCATTTTTTTGCTCAACGTTTTTTCCAAAAACTGCCACTGGACTGATATGAAACTAGAATAATCATTTAGCACAGGTACTATGACCAAATTAGAAAATCATGAAAGCCTGTCATATGCACTGGCCCTTTGGGATTGTTCACTGGGAAATCTTCTCCAAATCCAGATCTTGCTCTTGGCTGGTAACGGTGATGCCCGGTGATGCCCGGTGATGCCCGGTGATGCCCGGTGATGCCCGGTGATGCCCGGTGGTGCCCGGTGGTGCCCGGTGGTGCCCGGTGGTGCCCGGTGGTCGTTGAGGTCACTGCACGCCGCGTCTCTACTCCAGTTTGGCCTTCATCAGTGCGATCCTCTCTCTGCACGCCAGCTCCTCATAGTCAATGTTCGGCTCAGAGGGGTCCAAGACGTGATGATGGGCCAATGAGGGGTCATAGCTGTCAGTGTCGTCGTGCTGGCCACTGTAAAGGGCCAGACCAGAGTCCTCATCAATGGATTCCTCTGGTGGCTCCTCGTACCTGGTGTCCCCCTGGCAATGACCAGCCCCCACACTGACACTGTGGCTCTGAGGGGCCCCCACACTGACACTGTGGCTCTGAGGGGCCCCACACTGACAGTGTGGCTCTGAGGGGCTCCCACACTGACAGTGTGGCTCTGAGGGGCTCCCACACTGACAGTGTGGCTCTGAGGGGCTCCCACACTGACAGTGTGGCTCTGAGGGGCTCCCACACTGACAGTGTGGCTCTGAGGGGCTCCCACACTGACAGTGTGGCTCTGAGGGGCTCCCACACTGGCACTGAGGCTGTGACTGGTCCCTGCACTGGACCCTTGACTCTGAGCGACGCCTTGCTGCCCTGCTGAGGGATTGGATCGGGACTTATTTGTGCCCTCACTTGGAGAGTTCCGCTTCCTCTTAAGCGTAGTGTGGATGACTGGCTCCACCTAGAGACACAAAAACACCTTACACAAAGATCACACAACACTGAGCACACCAGGTCATGTTCATAGGGGCATTCACCTTATTCCACCCCGCCCACTTTTGTCTCTAAATGCTCCTAAACTAAGTTTTTTTGTGGTGGCACTTCCAATTAAATGGGAATCCCATTCATGTAAATGGAGAATTTGGGAAACGTTTTGCATTTTAAATCTGACATAAAGTCAGTTCATTTGTGTAAAATGTTCAATGTTCTTGTGACCAGCATGTCACACTGCACATATTCTCTGGGGGGGGGCTTTAAAATGGTGTTATAGTCTGTACTGAATTACTTATTTACTATCAAGATCAGCAGCCCCATACAAAATAACACAACCCAAAAGATACAAAATAACACAACCCAAAAGATGATGGTGGCGCCCACAGCAACTTCCAGAATAAGATGAATATTCTGAAGCTGGTTGGACATAGCCAGGCTTTAATTCAGTGAGCTGTCTTCTCAAAGCCTGAATCTCTATCTTGTAAAGGACTGAAAAGCTGTGTGTATGTGTGCCCCCCTCTGGTGAACCCTACGACTTTGAGCCTCTGAGAGGTTTACTCTGTCTGCATGTTTGTGTTTGAGCTCATCATGTCTGTGATCATATGTGACGGAGGGTTTATCACTGCACACACACTTATATTACTGAACTGATCAATACCCACAAAGACTTATTCAAAGAGAGACAGATCTGATCTAAGTCCTAACTCTGGTGGGTAGAATTAAAGTGGGTATTTGACTTTTATGGGGGATTAGCTGTAACATATATTTAGATCACTATGTTACAGTTTATACTTTTGAAAATGCTATGTGCACTGAAAACAACATACTTAATAAGTTTCATAAATTATATTTTTGACAAACGGAACAACATTCGGACATTGATTTAGGATAATATCCCCTCTTTAAACCTCTCCAAACCAGGGTCTGTTATTATAGTGATCAAAACAAACGGAAAAGTGAGGCACCTTCATGGTACAGGAAATCCTTAGCTCTGACACCCACCTCACTTCGTAGTATACCTCTCATGACCGAACAGTGTACGCACACTTCATGACTCCCAGTGAACGCTTCCATGTTAATAGTGTGCACATGCAACCATGGAAACCAAGCGTGTGTACAGGTGAGTGTGTGGGACTCACCTGGCCCGTGGCAATGCTATGGGGCTTGGCTGCTTGTTTCTTGGCTTTTTTCACGGACAGGTAAACTCGCCCCTGGTGAATGATGACTGCATCCAGCTCAGTTTCAGACAGCACCCCCTGGGGGACTCTGGGGGAGCTGCAGAGCTGTGTGTTTGAGTCCATAGGGAGGGTCTCCTTCAGGACCTTGTAGGCTGTAGAGTGAGCAGTCACAAAGGTCATCTTACACTGGCCATAACCTGGGGGAAACATGCAGAATCAGAATATGAAATAGGAAATATTAAAAAAAGTGTGTAATAGAATGGAATGAATTGGTGGTTGTCAGATTGTAGAATGTGATACTCTCAAACAAGACACAGTTTTCCCTATTGATTACATTGTACTTTTCGTTGAAATCTCCAAACGATACATTCACAAATGTTGAACCTGATCTGTACCAGCGACTGGACCCTATAACTCACTGAATTACAACACAAGTCTTCATTTGAAGGATATTAATTTGAGCTACCCCCACCTGTATTAAATATTATTGGTCTATAGAATGTTGTGATGTCATCTGAATCCAGCAATAGTTATAGACCCACCTTTGCTTAAGCTGGGGCAGGCCTGGCTGTTGTTTAGCACACTGAGCACCTGCTGTCTGACCGCGCCTCTACTCTGGGGCAGATCCTTCTGGCCCTTCCTTTGGAACAGAGCCGGACTGATCCACACACAGAGAGGGGAATCCGGGAGGGAGTCCAGCCCTGCAGAGAGGCCCATCTTACGACGCACAGAAGTGGAGAGAGAGAGCAGAGGCACGCGCTTCACTTCAGCTTCTGGGGGGATGTAGACCTCTAGACCCTGCAGCAGCTCCATACCTGCACACACTTTCACTTTTTTAATGATAAGAAATAACTCTTGTTTAGCGCTTTTCAAGATACCCAAAGACGCTTGAAGAAACGAAGACAAACAAAATAAACAAAAAGGTTAATGAAAAGTGGTTTGAAAGAGATGGGTTTTCACGGCTTTTTTAAACATGGAGTGTGGGGGAATCTGTGTCTGTGACTGATGTGTTTGGGGAGGGAATTCCAGAGGGTGGAGGCAACAGCGGAAAAGGCACTGTTCCCAGAGGTCTTGTGTGTAGAAAAACTTATAATTCAGTAGAGGACAGATGGAGCAGTTATTTTTTGGATGCTAATATTTAATTTCCTATTATTTTTCCGTGCTACAATAAGATTTGAGTTTTGAGCTGTACACCGTCTAATTAATTATAGATACAAACTAACTACATTTATTTATTGCAGTTGGTGTTTAACATTGTGGTACATTTAGAATCTACTTTTGGAGATGATTCTACTTAAGGATTATTCTGCCAGTATCATAAATTAGTTTCATTATTAGCATTCATCAATCAAATGTGATATTCTGACACACACTCACAAACTTGAACCCATATCTGAGCTTTAGACCAGCTTGTTGCATTAATAATAACATATTTACATCATGGTGACTCCCTATAAAGAAAAAATGCACAGATTTGATCCACAGTGTGTACACATACTGCTCAAATGTGGACTCAGCCTGTGGATGTGGATGTGCAGCTCAATTCAAATTCAACCCAAATCACAGACAAATGATCTGTTTCAAAATGTGGTTCTGCCTTTTACTCCCAAAACTAAATACAACTGACCTAGAGGTGCATCTTCATGTCATTGCAGATACTTTTGCACTGTTGTTCATGTAACTGTATTATACACAGTTTTGGAGAGAAACAAATTAAATGTATCGGCGTTACGTAATCAGAGTACAAATTATGAGTAACTGTATTCAGTTACAGTTACTGTTTCCATGAGTGGTAATTGGATTACATTTACTTTGTTGAAATAAATGGATTACATGGCGGTATTTTCCTGTTTTCACATTTTGGACTAAACCAGGACTAAAACCAGGACTAAAACCAGGACTAAAACCAGGACTAAAACCAGGACTAAAACCAGGACTAAAACCAGGACTAAACCAGGATTAAACCAGGACTAAACCAGGACTAAACTAGAAAAGCACTCAGAGAGCGCAGACCTCCACCAAGGACTACCCCCATTTTTTATATAAATTGCGATAAAATCAGTCTTCTGGATCAGATCCGGATCAGCCTTTGGAATATGAAAGAGGATCCCATTGTCCATCCCTGAGTGAAATTTCATGGGGTTTGGTCAATAATTAACTGAGATATTGAGAAACAAAATTTTTGGCCCCATTTACCACAATGTTAACTAAAATTTCAAAGTGATCCAGAATCCAGGATTTCTTCCGGATCACCCCCAAAATGAAATCAGTTCTTCCTTTTCACATTTCCAACAAATCCTGAAAATTTCATCAAAATCGGCCCATAACTTTTTGAGTTATGTTGCTAAAAGCAAACAAACAAACAGACAAACGCCGGCAAAAACATAACCTCCTTGGCGGAGGTAACCAAGACTAAACCACGACTAAAACCAGCACTAAACCAAGACTAAACCAGGACTATAGCAGGTCTAAAACCAGGACTAAACCAAGACTAAAACCAGGACTAAACCAGGTCTAAACCTGAACTAAATAAGGACTAAACCAGGACTAAACAATAGTCCCTAACAGTAGGGTGGACATAAGCAGCAGTGATCTCATATAGAAATAATTTCTCTATCAATAATAGTTTTAATCTGGTTAAGGAAAGACTTGTTTTTTTATTGTCTTTTAGCAGATAAAACATCTTTGTCTTTGCTTCTCTACAGCAAACACATGTTCATGGAGACTTGAGCTCAATAGACAATTTGAAGAGAACAAACAGAATGTGGTTGTTACATTCATTTAGTTTAAAAAAGCACGACAATATCAAGTAATCCAAAGTATTCAGATTACGTTACTCACTTTAAATTATTTAATGGATTACGTTACAAACTACATTTTGGGGTATGTAATCTGTAATCTGTAGGGGAATACATTTTAAAAGTAACCTTCCCAACACTAACTATACATTATATTTTGTGTTAGTATTGTTACTTTGCAGCTGATGTGATTACATTTCTCTGGGGCTGTGATGCTAAATAGAGGCTCTGCTCTGTTTGAGGCGTAAGAAAGTAGCAGAAACAGAAAAGAACAGAACAGTTTTTCAGTTATTCACAAATCAAACTCCTAAACAGGACCATGAACGCTCATATTGATCACACACAAGCTCGTGAAAATCCATTTTGCATTTTATTCTTGAATTTTATCTTATCTTGACACTGATATTAGGACAGTGTTTTCTAATTAGCATTTGCTTATATTTTTTAATCACAGTTTATATTTATTACTGTTATTTCTTGCTTCTTATTGCACCATATCGCAGGAGCTCCTAGTTTGTGAATTTTGTTTACTGACATCGAGCAAAGGATCATGGTCTATGTAGTATTTTAACTACTGCTGCAAAAGTGCTTGTAAGAAACGGAGCTGGTGATTCGATATATTGCAACAGCCAACGAGATAAACTTTTGACGATACGATAGGACACTATTTCGGTGTATTTTCACTGCAGCCGTATATTTGAAATGACACGTAGTTTTACGCGTGTCTACATCATCACGTCTGCTCGAAGAAACGAAAGTACAAGTCTAGTGATGGTCAGAGGGACATAGGGAGCCGTAAAGCACAGCTCACAGTTCACAGCTCAAGTTTACACGTATAAACTCATCCGTAACATCAGCAGTAATCTTACCTCAGGACGGAGCGGTGCAAAGAAACTCTTGCCTTGTGAAGAACGAGTACGAGCCGCTGCGAGTGTGTGGGCGGGACGCTAACTTTCATAATAAAAGCACGACCACGCTCACTTTCACAATAAAAGCACGGCCACTCCTCCTTTCATAATAAAAGCACGAACCCGACCCTTTTCATAATAAAAGCACGACCCCGACCTATTCATAATAAAAGCACGACCCCGACATCTTTCATAACCCTTTCATAATAAAAGTACGACCCCGACGAATTAATAATAAAAGCACGACCCGACCCCTTTCACAATAAAAGTACGATCACGCTCCCTTTCACGATAAAAGCACGAACACGCACCCTTTCACAATAGAAGCACGACCCAGACCTTTTCATAATAAAAGCATGACCCCAACCCCTTTCATAATAAAAGCACGCCATCACAAAGATCTACATTCCTGTATTATTGAATAGAGATAGGCCGCAGCCAAAATCAATAGTTTTAAAATGTAGATTTTTATTGTAATTCAGTGAGTTTTTGGGTCTAGTCTAGGGTGACCAGATTTTCAGTATAAAAAACTGTGACATTCCTGGTTTAGGTTGGTTGGTAATAATAAAATCGTGAAACGAGTGTGCAATTAAGGAAAACTGTTCTGTACTCGGCACTATTGTGAGTCAGTGTAGTCACATTTTCTTTGTGTTTTGGTCGTTTTTAAGCAGCTTTTCTGTATTTTACCAAAACAAATAAACTCTGTTAGCACGGATCATATTGATCAAAAATAGGGACACCTGGGACATTTCTTGTATAAAACTGGGACAAACCACTGGTTTTGCATAAGTTTGCTGGGACAGGGGACATGGGGCTCAAAACTGGGACTGTCCGGGAAAATAGGGACATCTCTAGTTAATAACAGAAATGATCAAGTCAAACAGTTCTGAATTTACCTTTTAGATATGTCGAAGTACCAGAAGAACCAGAAACAAAAGTGATATGGTTCAAAAGACTAGAAAAGACTGGCTTTGTCAATAGACACATCCCACTGGGAAAACAAACATGACGGTTTGATGCTCACTTTTTTCGGAAAATCCTTCCCAGTATGCACTGCGCAATGACCGGAAGTCCGAAATTCTTGATGCTTCTATTTTAGAAGTATCGGTAAGAAAGTGGTGCATGGTCAGACGCCTTTTCATGAAGCTGTTGCCTGGAAGTCCACAGAGACAGTATGCCATAAAACATATCTCCATGGAGACAAGCAGCTGAAACCACCAGGTCAGTTGAGAGCACGTCTGTGGAGAGTCGACCCTGCTCACACTGGGAACATGTTTTTCCAAGTAATTTTTAAGGAATTAACAAAATAACTGAAACTGAATAAATGCAAGATAGTAATGCTGTTCAAAGCAAAGAACAGCTTGTGGTGACAAAAGTTACTTATACTTTTAATCAACAACTTTGTGAAGCTTTATGAGGTGAATGCTCTTGTGATTTGTAGAAATATACTGTGTTGAACTTGGTTTACTTTATTTATTTTTTATTAGTTTTATTATTTCCAGAAAAAAACAAAAAACAAAAAAACACTGGATTATGAAAAGGCATTTATTAGTTCTTGTATGGCATAAAATGGAATAGTGCCTGAAGCTTCTGAAGCTTGCGGCTTAGATACAAACACAGCAGAGATGAGTAAATAAGGCATGAGATTAAAGGCAGTCTTAAAACAAGAAAATTGTACATGATGATTTAGTACAAATGAGTACAAAATAACTGTGTTCATATATAAAAACACTGTTGAACATTCATAAGGAGTTGTTGCACTGAAATCAATAACAAAACATGTCAACAATACAAATATTTTTGTCTATTTTGTAATGTCTTTGTTCAAAGCTGTGATTAAATCCAATGTGTACATCAAAGATGCACTATGCAACTTTTTCTGGTGGAAGGTCTGCCATTTGCTCGTCTTTATTGATACTTTGCATGCTCGAGGTGTTCTTCATGTATGTCTATGGTGGAATGTTCAGCAGTTATCTTGATGACACAATGCACACATTAGCAAACACTGCCAGAAAAAAGTCTGAAAACTCAAATACTCAAAAAATATGAAATAGATTTAAACAACACATTTTCAGGAGTTTTCTGATGTAATGTAAACCACACCCACTCAATTAGTTCATCAGCTGAGATTTCGTGCTTCTTTCAAATGTTGATACTACTGGATGTGTATACAATATGAGCAAATAACAGTCCTGTTTTCTTGAAGCTGAAAAAAAAGAAGAAAAACAAACATCTGGTTCATGCTAAATATGGACATAGAGTTGGGTGATGTGCCACAAAAATCTTATCACACGCTTGTGATGTTCACTCACTCAGAGTATGACAGAGGCTGACCTGTCCGCTGTGTTCACGTTCTAGAATTCAATGTGATGTTTTATTTCAGATGATTGATACTTTGCAGCTCATGTCGTCAACATCTTGGGGGTGTGATGCTAACTGGATGCTCTAATGTCTGAGGCTTTATTACTCATATCAGAATTTAATGTGATTTTAATCTTTATTTTAACACACTGTGTCCATAACTGATTTAAGTCAGTCAACAGTCTAAATACAGTCAAAAGATAGTTAGCATTATCCAGCCGTTTCAGTTAATCACCCTCACCTTTGTTGGTGAAAAGCAAACACCTAAACAGAACCATGATTGTTTGTATAGGCTCTATTCACGGTTACCTGAAGACGTTTGGAAACATGCGGATGACGACTTCCGGGTTTAGTTACCGACAGTGCGCCCGTGATAAAACCATGGATTCAGCACATCTTCAGTGTCACTTACAGGCAGCTGCTCTGACCAACAGAACGGAACGCTACCATTTTTAAATTCATTTTTAATCTAGACAAATTATAATACACAAATGAAAAGGCAATTTATAAAAGGAAAAAAAGAAAACTACAACGTCTAAATGAAGAAAATCATGCCATTTTCTCAGTTTTCCCAGATTTTGTCAGTGCTACTTTCGCCAACAGAGCCCAAAGGAAATCATCATCTGCATGTTTCCAAACGTCTTCTGACTTTGTGACGTAAATGTGAACAGAGCCCACTGATCGCAGGCTTCTGAAAACGTAAGCAAATACAGATACATATAGAGCACCCCCGGCGTGACGTTATTGCAAAGTATCTCTGCGATGATGCGGCGTCGCGCGAACAATACAAAACACAGCTGTAATTTTTCGACGACCTCCATCGACTTCCAGCGCAAAACCCACTCTGCTCGTATTTATTTACACGTACATTATATAGTGCAATTGCGTCGTACAAAATATTTAAGCTAAAGGCCATATTCTCTCGATTTATGTTGCCGGTGTTCCAGCAGAATTGCCGTGTCTGCTGAACATTCAATCTATTTCCAGGAGGAACTCTTTTTAAAGCCGTATTGATAGTTTAAAAGGTTGTTGAAAGTGCATATGACAGGTTAGACTACTAATTTCACTAAAACACAGTCAACAAATTATTATTCTTAACAATTTACTCAAATCTTGTCTAGTTTTTTTTATTTTAAACTAAATTTTACTTTCAGATTGGACACAGGTAACATTGAGGATAATGCTGTAACTGTTACCTAGCAACCATAATGTAAACAGGTCAAAACGTGTCCAATACAAAATGGTTATTATATGATTGGACTAAAAAATATATAACAACTGCTTTATTTATTAAATGAAGGCTTAAACTGTCAGAAAATGTCCTTCCATGTGCGTGAATTGTGTGTGCATTTTAGAAGTTTGTTTTACGACTTAGCTCTACTTCCTGCATTTTTTGGACTTTTCCCCACAAACTGCTACTTACTTGCTGCAAAATGAATCTTTAAAAATCAGCGCAAGTACTACCCCACCAAACCGCATCAGAATTAGAAAAAACATGAAAACCTGTCATATGCACTTTAAAACCCAATATCCCCCTTTGGAAGACGGATCATAAATCACGTGTCTCCTGTGGATCGGATTGTCTGTTTCAAGAATGTGCCTTGAGCCCCCTAATAGGATTTGAATTTAAAGTGCTTTTCATCAGATTGAAGAATAAATATGACAAAATATGATCTGGTGTACAGCCCTCAGTTTGGTGTCTGTCCACAGGTTTGGTTCAGAGTGGGATCGATCACTTCTCCGTGGACCCTCCAGTCTTACTTTGGCACTCGGGTCTCTGCGCTCCCAGCGTCAGTGTCTCTCAAAGGAGGGGGGGGCGGGGGTCCTCGGGGTGCTGATCTGGCTCCTCTCTCTCCCCCTCCGCTCTCGTCTTCGTGACCTCCTCCTCCTCCTCACTGTCCTCCTGGGCGAAGTAGCGTCTCCTCCTCTCAGCTCTGGACACGGTGGTGGACGGCGCGGACGGTCTCTGCGGAAAGTCCTGCGTGCAATAAAACAACAAAAACTCATTGATACTTTATAGTAAATCGGCATTAGCCAAAAGTTTTTCAGTTCAGTCACTCTCAGCAGAAATTCTCAAACTTCTAAACGCGACCATGAACATTCATACTGGTCACAGGCTCCTGAAAATGTGTTCTTTAAATCCATTTTGTATTTTTTCATGAGTTCCTTCAGTCAATGTAAAAATGTATCAGCCATGAGATCAATGCAGTACACCCCCAGCGTGATATCACTGCAAACCATCTGTATGTGCTTAAGTTAAAACCAGGAGCTGGAACATCCAAATTGAGCTAAAACATGGTATCAAGTATAGATTATTATAGTTTGATATTCAGTGTTGTGCATGAACGAGTTCAAAAGAACGCGTTCATTGAACACGTTCATTTTTCAGTGAACTTTGAACTGAACGCAACACTTTTGTAAATCAAGAACTTGAACGTGAATTTGTTCAAATTATGTGTGATGAACGACGTATGTCACTGTTGGAGTTCAGTTAAACGTCGGAATTTGAAGAGTGACGATCTGCTCGCACTTCACCTCGCGAAACCACAGCCGCGTGTCAACGTGAAGGCGACTCCACCGGCAGCTTTAGCGGAACGTACGGGCTCTTGTGTCTCTCAATGGGAAGTCAATCAAACTTGACTGGGCGCGTTTAGCTGCTTGTATTTACCTTCTGTACAGGCTGACCACGGCAAACGCAAGGATTTCAAAAGTAAATTTCAAAGCACTAATTAACAGTGTATGTGGATCTGGGCTCTTTCACATGATACACAACTGCCCAGGGAGCACAATGTGCTGATGGTAAATGCACAAATACAACAATAGATACATGCTCTCTGTGGATTTTGACGGGGATACGCGCCTACGCTCGTGTAGAGCGTCAAAAAATAGGATGGATCCTATTTTCTGAAATCTACACGCACAGGACGTGCTGCTCCGCGCGCGTATTATTTTACTTGGTACATATGTCAGTAACGCGCGTCACAATGCTTTTTTAACCTGGATTGAAATGGTGGGTTTTTCGTTTTTCTTCATACAAATTTGCTAAAATCACCGCCCGCGATATCAGCAGCGGTGAAACGCCGGAGGTGCGCCCGCGTAGACCGTCAGGTGATCCTGAGCGAAAGGACCGACGCAGAAGTCCGCGCTCCACCGAACTAAACGCAGCTGACGCCCGATCGCACTCGGGGTTCTCTCAGGGGCGGTCCTAGATTCCAAGTTCTAGTCCAGGATTAGTCCTGGTTTAGTCTTGGTTTAGTCCTGGTTCAGTTCTGGTTTAGACCTGGTTTATTCCTGGTTCAGTTCTGGTTTAGTTCTGGTTTAGTCCTGGTTCAGTCCTGGTTTAGACCTGGTTCAATTCTGGTTCGGTCCTGGTTTAGTCTTGGTTTATTCCTGGTTTAGACCTAGTTCAGTCCTGGTTCAGTTCTGGTTTAGACCTGGTTCAGTCTTGATTTAGACCTGGTTTAGTCCTGGTTTAGACCTGGTTCAGTTCTGGTTTAGTTCTGGTTTAGTCCTGGTTCAGTTCTGGTATAGACCTGGTTTAGTCCTGGTTTACACCTGGTTCAGTTCTGGTTTAGTCCTGGTTTAGACCTGGTTCAGTTCTGGTTCAGTCCTGGTTTAGACCTGGTTTAGACCTGGTTTAGACCTGGTTTAGTCCTGGTTTAGTCCTGGTTCAGTCCATATACAGCGCAAAAGTTCAGCATCTTAACAGTTCTTTTGGTGAGAGTAAATTAAAAGTGCTGCAATAGTCATGTAATGTTTTACATTTTAAATACAGTAATATTGTAATGTAACAAATGACTTTGAAATGACAGTAACAAGTCATAAATAACACGTTACAGTTTTAAAGTCACTTGTCCAACAGTGGATCTTGTAAAGTTGTTGTAAACTAGAAGTCAGTTTGAAAAATAAATGCAGCCTTTCATTTACAGATCTCATCTAAATATAAAATGAACTGAACTTTGAACTAGTTCAAAATTAAAATTGTGAACTATGAACGTGAACTATTCACTTTGAACAAGTGTGAACTGAACTTTGAACTAGTTCATGAAAACTGTGAACTTGCACAACACTGTTGATATTTATGGATTTGTAAAAAATGTGTAATTGTAATTTTTCTAACAAAGCATTGAGATTGCACAAATCTAATAACAATAATAATAAAAACAGGATTCAATTTCAAAACATTTGAAATACATCCAGAAGAAATGAGAAAAAAAGACTGAAATCTGAACTGACAAACTAATACAAGAATCACATTTCAGAACAGGTTTGTGCAGATCTAAACTACAGGGTTAGCAGATTTTATGCACAATAAGACAGGACATTTTGTGTGTCATGTGGAGGAAATTATGCTACTTTACAAACTGCAGCCTTAGGGATTTGATAATTGGGTCCACTACTACTACTACTACTACCACCCTACTTGCTGTTAAAACAAAATTATACTCAATTTAAATTAAGGTAAAATAAACTTTTAAATATATCAGGAGGCCTGTAAAAACTTGTTTTTCATATGGATGTCGACATAACAGACATGGCCACAATGCCTAAATGGACTGATAGAGCGGGGTATATAGTCATACTTTCTTCTTACTTATTTTGAAGAATTTGAAATCTATAAAACAAGTTAATTTCACACTACATTCCATAGTTTTGATGTCTTCAGTGAGAATCTACAGTGTAAATATTTCTGGAATAAAAAATAAAAAGAAAATGAAAATCTGTGAAAGACTAACTATCTTTGGTCTTTTATAAAACTGTATCTTGTATCTCTCAGAGTTCTAAGAGTTCAAACACAGGGTGACATGCCTCATAGTGGAGTAGGTTGCCAAACCCATATCAGCATCTTTATCAAAATTTTACAAACTAAAGAACTAATTTGATTATTTATGATGACAGCCTTGGCATCAACAACATCAAATCAAATTATTTCTATGGAATTGATGAAAATGTGACAGAATATCTATAGTCCTGGCTGCTGTCATTCTACTGAAGGGCCAATGTGAGAAAACGCTGTTAGACTCTTTAGACTCTTTTGCAGTTATGGAGTTCGCAAACTTCCGAAGTTCATTTCTTGAGCCATTTTCTGCTGTTAGGACATCCAACAACCACACAATTACAATGTCCAAATCCCATAACTAAAATATTACAATATCAGAACCAGAAACAAAAGCAATATGGTTCAAAAGAATTGAAAAGATCAGCTTTGACAATAGACGCATCCCACTGGGAAAACAAACATGGTGGTTCACTTTTTCATAGGATCCTTCCCAGTATGTATTGTGTGATGACCTGAAGTCTGTAATTTAGGATACATGTATTGTCAATCCTCATTCTGTAACTGCTGCAGTGAGTCTCGTCACTTTGGTCTTAAAATGTTTATATTAACCCGCTCTACATGACTCGGGTGTTTTTATTTCGCCATTTTGTCGGTGAACAATTTTTTATTCCTAATATGGAACTTGGCTCCAAATTCACTCCTATAACTGCCGACCTTGTAAGGCAGGAGTGTCAAACTCATTTTGGTCCAGGAGTCGTATCCAACCTACTTTGATCCCCAAGGGGCCGGATCAGAAAACTCATGAAATATAAACCCCAAAAATAACAATAAGTTCAAATATTTGTGCAGAGAAACACAAATCTATTACAGAAATCTTTTTTAATTAATGAACTCTTTCTTTTACAAAATATTATAATACTATGAACAACCTGAAACTTTAAGAAAAATGTAATTTCAACACAATGTTTTAACATTAAATTGTATGTAAATAGGAATAAGTCAATTTTTTGTTGTAAAATCCTGCACTCAGCTCCACTTTTCTCATTTTGGACATTTTTCTGATGAGGGTGTCACGGTCAACAGTCAAAACGATCGTCCTTTAAGAGCGTTTGGAAAGAGACAAGTCTTCATTTGTGCTGCTCTGGTGGGAGGGGCCACGCACAGAGACGCTGGACACGCTGCTATGATAAACACCGCAGAAAATACAGTATTTTGAAAGAAAATATAATTAAAATATTTTAGTAGAAAATCAGCAGAGGGCCACATTAAAGGTCTTGGAGGGCCGGATCCGGCCCCCAGGCCTTATGTTTGACACCTGTGTTGTACGGTATGGGTGACGTCACACTCCCTTAGTCCACTTTTTTATACAATCTAATAGGGCTGGGCGATATGGATCAAAAAATATATCTTGATATATTTTGCTATATCTCGATATACGATATATATCTCGATATATGTTCAAGAAAAAATAACCCCCTAAAACTGAAAACTGCAAAAACAAATCTGCCAAATTCCACAAGGTCTTTTTTTTTTTATTAAAGTATAAGAGGTCGGCAGTTCATACAGGAACATTTAAGATTACAAAAAACCCTAATTACATAAATAATAATTTAACTGTTAAATAAAAGAAATAAAACATATTTCCTTTGTTTCATTCATAAATTAAACAACTCAAGACAAGCTCATCTTTGCATTAACTCTGTTATCCAAACCAGAACCAGAACCATGAGCTCATTTAGTAGAAGAAGCTCTGGATGTTCCTTATTTTAACAGACACATGTTCCTCACCAGCGTAAGGAGCTCTGAGGTTTCCCACAATCCACTGCAGATCAAACCCAACGATTCAAACACTGTTGTACAAGTGACACTGCAACAGATTATTCATTAAAATCTTCTGCATAAATAAACTTTACATTGCTAAACTTTACAAGATATAGGCCTATAGCATAACGACTCAAGAGCCACATCAGCCCGTTTGAGATTATAGTGTTAATTATTATTATTATTATTATTTTATTTATTTATTTTTTGTTGCAGCTTTGCGTAGACTTGTTTACGTTTTACAGAAACGAAACTTAAAAAGCGCATGGCTAATTTGCATAAACAGCGCACTCCAAGAGCTGTTCTTGCGGTTCAACTTCTTTTGGACTAAAGAACATGACTCGGTGGAATATGAGGATGTGCTGCTGATGGTTTTGTCTGTAAATGGTGGAAAAGGTTCGTGGTGCTTGAAGCTTTTCACTGGCACCAACTTTCGGTGTTCACGGTGGTAGTGACGAGTGAAGGAGACAGAGTGAACAAAATCAGGAAGGCGGAGGAGCGCGGGCGACGAGAGAGAAGATAAACAAGCGAAATGGCGAAATCAAAATTGAATATATGCATTATATTGATATATACGATATGTCAGAATTCACATCGAGTTTTTAAAAAATCTCGATATATTAAAAATATCGAGATATCGCCCACCCCTACAATCTATTGTATAATGATCTTGATCTGATAGACTAGTATACGCCCATGAAGCATTATGGAACCTACCTGGACCACTGAGGGATTACACACATATAAAACACATGGGAATATGCCACGTGGGACTATGCCACATGGGGATAGAAAAGAAAGTACTACCATTTAATAGATAAAGCAAGGGAGGTAGAGCGCTTCACTGGGTCTTAGAAGAGTAAAGAATATCAGTACAGGTGCTCTACAAGGGTTAAAACAGCAGTCTTAGAACAGAAAATTACCCTTACAGGAAAATGTAAAAATGGGTAAGGTACAAACCCGAGGCACTCTGACTGAATATATTAAAAGTCCTTTATTACATGAAGGGACGCCAACGCCTTTCGACCAGCGACATGGTCTTCGTCAGGGCAAAGACTACAGTTTTACATTTTCCTGTAAGGGTAATTTTCTGTTCTAAGACTACTACCATTTAATGTTGACAATCACATTCTGTTGTCAGACGAATATTGCTAAGTATCTGGAATTAGAATTTTTTGTTGGATTTTTTTGTAACACTAATTAAAAAAACTGTAAAATAAATGACGGGTTGTGATTCTGTGCAAACTGACCTGAACAGTGTCCATGTTCCCAAAGAATTGCTCCACAGGCAGGATCTGGTTGCTATCCTCGTCGGGGAAGAGCTTGCTGTAGTCCTGGTAGTCCATGCTCTCCCCACAGCACAGCGCCTCCTGCTGGTTCTCCTTGTCATGGTGGGGCACAGGCTGAGGGGAGGCCGAGCACCTCCTGCGGGCTGACCCCTGCTCACACTCACAGCTGATGTCTGACCTGTCCAGATGCACCTTACTCTTCTGGCTCGCACACGCCTGCCAGGAGGATTCATAGAATTGCAGTTACATTCATAACTCAGAACTAAAATAATAGTTATATATAAATTATTTAATAACTTCATTAATGTTTTTACTTTTTATATATGTTTTTATTTATTCTAAACCATCTATGACACCTGTGGATCTTTTGTTATAATTTGGACATTTAAATATTGATCTAAAACAACAAAATAAAAGAAACAAGTTTGCCGATTTCCACGTTAGAAAAATGCAGTGCCCTACGGAAGCTGTAAACATCACAACAAAGCGTCATCACCGCACCACCCAGTGTACTGACGACGGTGAAAATGAGTTCATCGGCAAAATGGCATCTTGAAAATAAGCTATTAAAAATTCCTCAAACACGCATGAATCACTCTGAATGCCATTTTGTGTGAGTATATGGTGAGGGGAAACAATTATAACAAAAAAATAACAGTTAAAAACTCTGAAAAGTGCTAGGATAGTGTTTCACCACTGCACCAATGGAGAAATTAGCTCCACTGATTCGTCTTTAGAGCAGCATAGTCACCATCATGTGTGTGGACTGGTCATGTATGAAGCGTAGAATGTGTGTGTGTGTATAGATGTACGGATGTGTATGTCTGTGCTTGTGTATATGTGCAGTGACTGACCTTCCTGGAGCCTGTGGACTTGGAGCTGCTCTTCCTCTTCCTGCTCCTGAGTTGCCCGGGCATCTGTGGAGAACATAGGGTCAGAGCCACATGTTTACCTCAAATGTTTGCCTCTAAAGTCTTCTGTCTGCTCCAAACCACGAGGCATTTTACAGTCAGCCGCGTGTGGACCTCTCCATTTAAAAAGGCCCGAGTTTACTGACAATTACAAATTCAACTTCATCTCTGATTAATAGCGCAGGCTTGACACCAAACAACTAAAAGATTCTTACTTTGCTGATGATACATGTGCGTGTACAAGAAACAGGTACATGTAGCCTGTTTGTGGAAAAAAAAAAAGAAAAAAAAAAAGACTTCATTAAGGAACTAACCCCTTTTAATCCATTACATAAGAGAGAAGTTTGTGTTCACTGGAGCCCCATGACTGACGAGGTCTCATGACAGAAGGCTCCCTGAGTGGTCATACCAAGAGAACTGGGCCCATCTCAGTGAGTCTGGCTCCTCTTATATCATTACACTAATCTAACAAAGCACATGCGTAAACTGCTCTGAAACGTCTGATACGCTCCAGCAGGATGTTTATGTCACAGTTTTATGGGAATCTAAACAAACGTGTTAGCTAAAGTGGTGTGCTGGCATTATGTTAACAATTACATGAGTTCTCACAGCTCCTGAACAGGCTTAAACCAGTGCACCATTATGTAAAAACAGAATTAAAATGAGCTTTTTACAAATTCCATAGTTATTGGACATTTGGAAAGATTACATTCAAAGGCACCTACAGGAGGCACCAGTCTGGTACAAACGTTTACCTAATATTTTGAAAGTTGTAAAACGCATGATAACATTAGTAATGTCACTGTATAAAATATATGGTATCCTTAAACCACTTTCATTCACACACCACACAACAGATCACCATTTCTCTAGTGAGAAGCTCCATCAAATCTAGTTAATGTGGAATTAACAGGCAGATAAAAAGGCACTCCTTTACATTACAGTTTACATGTTTACAACCTGTGTCTAATCCCGACTATTAGTTAGCCAAAGAATAATGGCACCAGATATTAACCTTTGTTATTAAAACACGACAGTTAAATCATTACTCTTTTCTGGTCAAGGCTCTGCTCCCTGCTTGTCTCCATGGAGATGATGTACCGAGATGCGAATGTTTCACAACGCGGCACTAAAATGATCCATCTTGATGAATTCCAACAGGCCAAGTCACTGAAGAAATACAAGATAGATACATTTAATGCCACCAAGTAATTTTCCAGAGAAAGCAATAGCATCGCCATAGAGACAAGCAGGTGGCACACCTTCCTACTAGTACACCTTTTGACATTGTAAAACTAAAAACAATGCTACTCAGCTGTAATGTCTCACCTACAGACTTAAGGTTATAATATATATTTATATAACTTCGTATGACTTTATCATGGATGATTATAGAGAGCAGTGCTGCACACCTGCTGTTCTGTCCTGGATTTAGCTGTGAGCTGCTACTGCTCATGTAAACAATGTGAACAATGTCTTCAAAATGGATCCAAGAACGCGTGTAAAGTCACGCAGCTAATCTCACAGAGCTATAAGCTCATGTTAATATGACACAGCATTACAGCCACGACAAGTGAGCACCTTTGATAAACACACGGTTTGTGCAGCAGATTAGCCGCGTTAGCATAATTAGCTCACCTCGTGAAACAGGATCCGGTGTAAAGAGCACCGGGGCACGGTTAAAATGCTCGGCGCTCCGTGAGAAGGGCCCCGCCGTGATGAGCTCTTCTCCCGCGGCCAGCTCCTGTCCTGATCCCCCGCCTCCGGCTGCTGGACCCTGGGCTGGACACAGAGCTAGCAGGACCCGGACTGAACTGAACCATGGATGGTGTGTTTCTTCCCAAATGTGTCTAATAAAAGCAAGAAAGACTCTGAAGACTGCTGGAGTGTAAATAGCGGCGGCCATCTTGGGACTGTAGGAGCAGCAGAATTTTAATAGAAAATAATAAAATAACAGAGCTAGAAAATTAATATATATATTTTAAAATATACATAAAATAATATATAATGCAGGGATATTTTGTCTCTGAATATTCCCCCAGAATTGGTCTATATTTTATACAGAACTAAACTATCTTTGTAACCAATGCCAATACTGAGCCTCACCCATTTATAATGATACTATTTATCTGACATAGCCTACATAATGTCAGTTTTAACATAGACGTTAACATAGGCCTATCACATAGGCCTAGGTAATTTTTACATTTAAAAAAAAATCCCATATAGATACAAATTTACATTTATTTGATGGGGATGGATATGACACATCTCACAGTGGAGTGTTAAAGTGTAAATAATATAGCCCAAACATATTTAGCATAATTTTGTAAAATATTTTACAAAGGAAAACTGTTGAGTAAAAATCAATGGCAGGCCTATAATATATTCCGTTTTTGTTTTGTTTTGTTTTGTCTCTGAGGGTAAATGGCAGTACACTTCCTGACACACAGTGAAAGTGAGAGGCCAGGGCCTACACTCTTCTTTATTTGGATTGGACTGATGATAAATATTTCCTTTGTGGCACACATAATAATGTAAGCTACAGGTTTTGTTTTTAGAGTCTTGTTCCAGTTGGTAAAAACTGGTGGAAACTTTTATTTTGTTTTCTATTAAATGATTTGAAAATGTGTGTTTCTTGCAGTGCTCCGTCAGATATAATTTACTTTGACTCACTTTGATGTTTGCCCTTTGAAAGTACCAGATTTGTTGCATTATTTATTGTTTTGTCCTCTAGCTAAAAGTAGGCCTTCCTTACTGCTGCTTCTAACATTTTCATTTTATTTTTGTGTATTGCTGAAATGTCCATTTACTCTTTTTGTGCCCAAGTGCCCTATCTGACTAAAACAGTGCCAAATAACAGAATCGTGCCAGAGTCCAGCCTGTAGTGTATATCGTGCTATTACTGATGTGTAAACACACATACAGCCGAACAGAGGGGCACCATCTGCCGCTGAAGACGCTCATCCGCCAGTTAGAGATCAGCTGCGTTCACTTGGATGGTCCGCTAGGCGTCGCCAGAGACTCGATTACCAGCTGGTTCTGGTGTAGTCTTACCGTTAAGAACATCTCTGTACCTGTATCTATGTGGGATGTGCTGTAAGAACAGTCTGATGGAGCGGACGAGTGAGAGTGTACTGTCTGCACACGCACTGTGTAATCGGCCTCCTCTGTTTTCACGGTTGTTCGCCTGAGACGTTGTGAGACTTGGGTGCTCCGCGCGCGCACTGTCCTAAAGAGGGTGTTCGTGTCATGTGACACCTCGAGGGGGGCTGGTCCCATCTCAGCTCTAGAGGAGGGACCGTCCGGCCGCTCCTCACTCAGTTCCACAGCTCCGCATCGTGCGCTCCGGACACACCTGGGGCCGTGGTGCGCGGCTCCGGGAGTCCGGCTGGATGCGCGAGGGGCGCGGAGACATGAGTCACTGGATCCGTAGGAAGCGGCTCGTTTTGGGTCTGCTGAAGCCAGTGCTGAGCTTGTCCCTGGTCTTCGCATCCTTCCTCATGCTCCACAGGCTCGCAGAGAAGGACGCGCTGGGGCTGAAAGCGGGCGGCACCAGAGCCTGGTGCGGTTCGGACTGCTTCTCATTCAAACACAGTGTGACCACGGAGGGGCCCACGGAGCAGGACGCACAGCGCTCATCCAACGCCACTGCCGCGTCTTGGGATTCGCAGGTTTTGAACTGCACCGAGAACGCGTCCTTGCGCTCTCAGGACTGGTTCCGCCGCCTGGACTCCAGGTTCCACCAGTTTGTTCTGCGGAAACATTGCCGCTACTTCCCGATGCGCATCAACCACCCGGAGAAGTGTGCGCGCGGACACGTGCACCTGCTCATCGTGGTCAAATCCGTGATAGAGCAGCATGACCGGCGCGAGGCCGTGCGTCTCACCTGGGGCCGCGAGTACGAGACCGAGGACGGCAGTGTCCGGACCGTCTTTCTTCTTGGGACCGCGTCCACGGGTAAGGACTCCCGGAACCTGCAGCGGCTGCTGGAGTACGAGGACCGGCTGTACGGAGACATCCTGCAGTGGGACTTTATGGACACCTTCTTCAACCTGACCCTCAAAGAGGTCAACTTCCTCAAGTGGTTCAACATCTACTGTCCACGCACGCGCTTCATCTTCAAGGGGGACGATGATGTATTCGTCAACACGCACAATCTACTGGAACTCATAAAGTTCAAGACCGAGGAACGGCGGGACGAGCAGCTCTTCGTGGGAGACATTATCTACAAGGCGGGCCCGATTCGGAACCGGCAAAGCAAGTACTACATCCCCAAAGAGTTGTACGACGGGATATACCCACCGTACGCGGGCGGAGGAGGCTTCCTCATGTCCGGGGCTATGGCGCGCAGCCTGTTCCTTGCCTCGGAGACGGTGCAGTTGTACCCGATAGACGATGTGTTTTTGGGCATGTGCCTGCAGAAGCTGGGCTCTGCCCCGGAGCCCCATCCGGCCTTTAGAACATTCGGGGTAACGCGGCGGAAGGTCAGTCCCTTGAACCATGAGCCCTGCATATACAAACAGCTCATAGTGGTGCATAAAATGAGCGTACCCGAGCTGCTCCGCATGTGGAACATGACGCACGACGACAACCTGGTGTGCGCGCGCTCCACCGCCATATGAGAACACAGATGCGGGCACGGAACGTCAGCCCGTCACGCACGGACCCTGAAGTGGCTCTGGGACTACGGCCACGTTCACGGTGTCGTTTTAGAGGAGCTACACCTTGACATGGACCGTGCGTAATTGTGCCAACGCGCGCAGCTGCGGTGGAAAAAGTTTGGCTCCTTTTCTGAAGACTCCAGCCCACACGGTGCTCCTCACAGCAGGAGGAGTTAGATCCTAACTCTAACCTGAACGGTTTTAGTTCAGACATGAGTCAGCGCACTGGACTGGACCCTACTCTGTGCCATTCATCATGAAGTGCCTATATGCGTTTTATTTGGACCCGTTTTGGAGATTTCATAATAATTATAATAATACAAAACACTTGTATAGCGCTTTTCAAGATCCTCAGACAAACGAAAGCAAACAAAAGAAATAAGATAGTTCATGAAAGGTGGTTTTAAAGAGATGTTTTTTTTTTTTTTTTTTTACATGGAGTGTGTGGAGGAGTCTCTGATGTGTTGAGCAGGGAGTTTCAGAGTGGGGGCAGCAGCGGAGAAGGCCCCGTCCCCCCAGATGTCGTGTTTAGTCCCGGTGGGGGGAGCTGATAAGTGGGCACGAGCGAGGGCACGGGTGAGGGCGCGGGTGAGGGCGCGGTGGTGCTGGGTGATGGTGGGTGGTGGGTTTCAGGAGACTGAGGGGAGAGGGACGGAGGGAGTGATGGATGAGGAAAAGGCGGGGTTGGGGACATGTTTGATGTGCTGTTCACAGGAACGGGTCTGGTCAAAGATGATGCCAAGGTTAGGGAGGTGGGAGAAGGAGGAGACTGAGGAGCCGTCAGAGGAGAGGAGGGTAAGGTTATTTTTGGGTTTTGGTGAGTGTTATGGGGCCGATGATGATTATTTGAGTTTTGTTGCAGTTGAGTTGGAGGAAGTTTTGACTGTTGACAGAAGTTTATTTGCGAGAGTCAAACAGTGGTACGACAAAGATATTTCTTAATGATATGGACAGATGCGGTGGCTAGGTAGAAATTCAGGATGGGGGCTCTGTCTCAGGCGCTCAGCCCTGTTGATTGAAGACCCCCCTCTGTACACGGTGGGGTCTTTGGGCTGAATGACGCATAAGGGACACGAGGGTTGGAGGGAGAGGAGGGAGAGCGCGCTGTCAGACGGTGTTGTCTGGATAGGCCTGTATAAATAGGGCTTCTGGGTAATTGAAGATGTGGTTGAGCTGAGTTGGAGCGAAGAGAGTGGAGGTTGACGCGTGGTCCTGCTCCTGAATCTTAGTCAATCATATTAACTCCATTTTGGTATAAAATGTCATTAAACCATAACGTGGATTTGCACGTGCAGAATGACCCGAGACATGTGGCAACAACCTCTTTGAATAAAATGTATTTAAAACCACTGTTGGGCAAGTTACTTCAAAACTGCAATGTGTTATTTATCACTTGTTACTGTCATTTCAAAGTCATTTGTTACATTACAATCTTACTACATTTAAAATGTAAGACATTACATTACTATTGCAGCACTTTTAAGTTACTCTCACCAAAATAAGTTCTCAAATAACTTTTGTGCCATATATGGACTGAACCAGGACTAAACCAGGTCTAAATCAGGACTAAACCAAAACTGAACCAGAGCTGAACCAAGACAAAACCAAGACTAAAACAGAGCTGAACCAGGACTAAACCAGGACTGAACCAGGACTAAACCAGGACTGAACCAGGACTAAACCAGGACTAAACCAGAGCTGAACCAGGACTAAACCAGGACTGAACCAGGACTGAACCAGGTCTAAACCAGGACTGAACCAGAACTGAACCAGGACTGAACCAGGACTAAACCAGGACTGAACCAGAACTGAACCAGGACTGAACTAGGACTCAACCAGAACTGAACCAGAACTGAACCAGGACTAAACAAGGTCTAAACCAGGACCAAACCAGGACTAATCTTGGACTAGAACTTGGAAGCGCCTTGCAGACAAGGTGTCGGGCATCAGCTGCGGTTCGTCCCATGGAGCGTGGAGTTCTGCGTCGGTCCTTTCGCCTGCGGAGACCGTCGGGTGACTGCGAGCGCATCTCCTGCGTTTTCTGCGATTTTAGTGAATTTGCATGAAGAAAAACGAAGAACCCACCACTTCAGTCCAGGTTAAAAATGCATTACTGACATTTGTACTGAGTAAAATATTATTTTTTCCCTGTAATGCCTTACACTACTGCGTTACAGCAAAAAGCAACGCATTACAGTAATTTGTTACTTTTATAACACGTTACTTCCAACACTGTTTGTTCCAAGGACTGTATTCTGAGTAAATCACACAACACCCAACTGTTTTTTCTGTAGTTTTTTATTAGACTGATCCATTCACAGAAGCGATCATTCAGTGCCATCCTCGTGAAATATAAAAGGAGACATTAATGCTCAATATGCACAAGTGAATAATATGTGTCCATGTGTGGAGCTGTGCTGGTCAAACTCATTTTCACAAATCAACAGCGAGCCATAAAACACTAAATTAAAGAGTTATCCCAGTGTGACAGGTGGATTTAACTATGTAACCACAGTCAGTGTTGGATCTCTGAGGCAGGTACACGCTAAATCAACCACACATATGGGATATCAGGGTTAAATTTCCAGCAGGCTGATTCTCCACTGGTCGATTTGGTGTCATTTGGTTTCATTAGGACATTTGTGCGAGGAGAGCACCACACTGCACATAATGTGAGCACAATCTTATGGGTTTGAAGTGAAACAGGGCTGTGATTATGTTACAAAACGAGTGCATAGGACATCGGCTGCTCTGGTTTCTAAACATTCAGCATCGGCCAAAGCAAAACCCACACTGGTCAGTATTTATAATAACCTTAACTTTGAATATCTTTACAATCTGAGCACAGTGTTGCAGCATATCAGTATGATAAACCAGTGTTGGGGAGTAACAGATTACATGTACTGGAGTTACGTAATCAGAGTACAAATTATGAGTAACTGTATTCAGTTACAGTTACTGTTTCAGTGAGTGGTAATTGGATTACAGTTACTTTGTTGAAATAAATGGATTACACAGAGGTATGTTCCTGTTTTCACATTTTGGGCTGAATCAGGACTAAAACCAGGACTAAACCGGGACTAAACCAGGTCTAAACTAAACCAGGACTAAACCAGGTCTAAACCAGGTCTAAACCAGGTCTAAACCAGGACTAAACCAGGACTAAACCAGGTCCAAACAGGTCTAAACCAGGTCTAAACCAGGTCTAAACCAGGTCTAAACCAGGCCTAAACCAGGACTAAACCGGGACTAAACCAGGTCTAAACCAGGACTAAACCAGGTCCAAACAGGTCTAAACCAGGTCTAAACCAGGCCTAAACCAGGTCTAAACCAGGTCTAAACCAGGTCTAAACCAGGTCTAAACCAGGTCCTAAACCAGGTCTAAACCAGGTCTAAACCAGGTCTAAACCAGGTCTAAACCAGGTCTAAACCAGGCCTAAACCAGGTCTAAACCAGGTCTAAACCAGGACTAAACCAGGACTAAACCAGGTCTAAACCAGGGTCTAAACCAGGTCCAGGTCTAAACCAGGTCTAAACCAGGTCTAAACCAGGTCTAAACCAGGTCTAAACCAGGTCTAAACCAGGACTAAACCGGGACTAAACCAGGTCTAAACCAGGACTAAACCAGGTCCAAACAGGTCTAAACCAGGTCTAAACCAGGTCTAAACCAGGCCTAAACCAGGTCTAAACCAGGCCTAAACCAGGTCTAAACCAGGTCTAAACCAGGTCCAAACCAGGTCTAAACCAGGTCTAAACCAGGCCTAAACCAGGTCTAAACCAGGTCTAAACCAGGTCTAAACCAGGTCTAAACCAGGCCAGGTCTAAACCAGGTCTAAACCAAACTAAACCAGGTCTAAACAGGTCTAAACCAGGACTAAACCAGGTCCTAAACCAGGTCTAAACCAGGTCTAAACCAGGCCTAAACCAGGTCTAAACCAGGTCTAAACAGGCCTAAACCAGGTCTAAACCAGGTCTAAACCAGGACTAAACCGGGACTAAACCAGGTCTAAACCAGGACTAAACCAGGTCCAAACAGGTCTAAACCAGGTCTAAACCAGGTCTAAACCAGGTCTAAACCAGGCCTAAACCAGGTCTAAACCAGGGCCAATTTGACGAGAACAAACAAGACTTTTCAGGATGTGGTCGGTTCATTCATGCGGTTTTAAAAAGCATGACAATATCAAGTAATCCAAAGTATTCAGATTACGTTACTCACTTTAAGTAATTTAATGGATTACGTTACAAACTACATTTTGGGATATGTAATCTGTAATCTGTAGGGGAATACATTTTAAAAGTCACCTTCCCAACACTGGTTAAAACCATCAATATTGTCACATACATTCAGGGTACAGTTATCGTGACTGTAACATAATATAAAAACACTACTCCCCACATGAGCAACCACCCAGAGGACCCTACCCTACTGACCTCCACCAGGACACACCGCCACCACCCGCATGTCCCTCAGCATCTGTCGTGACTTTACTTTATAACACTTTGTATCAGATGTTGCCTTAGGTCACTGTCTGTTAAAGGTGATAAAGTTTGTTTCAATTTGAAGCTCTTCAGACATTTAAACACCAATAGATTTCATTTCTAATTTGAAGTACTTGCACAGGGAAGTCAAATGTTAAAAAACAAAACAAAAAACAAAACAGATATTAAACTATCAGCATAGGCCTATTTTTTAAGATCAAGATGTTTGGTGATAATTAGCCAAAAATTCAGGAAAGTGTCTTCAGGAAACAATAGACATTGGCCTTTTTTTGGCTGCTGTGTGTTTAATTTTAGGGACATGTGGATGGGGGTGAGTCACCTGGGTCCTGTGGGTGGAGGTCTGCAGCCAGAGTCCTCTCAACATGAGCTGTCCATTCTAAGGACAATCTAAAAATAAACTATTACGGTATTATTGTATTCCTCTTTGCCATGTAGTCCAACCCACTTACGTATCTCTTGCATATTTGATCTCCACCTGTCCTCTACACTTCTGTGGTTCAAACTTTGGCAAAACCTGCACATAATATCTGTCTTTATCTCTTTAGAAGTGTAAGTTGCCTCTTTTTCCATATGAACAAAATGAAATATGGCATAGCATACCCAACTTCAACTGTAATATTGTTATAACCAGAAGGACCATACTGTTGTGCTTGTTTCATTCACATGTTTGAGTAATTCTGCACTTGAGTCTTAATCTGATTCCCCCTGTTTTGGTCAAAGTAGCAGCTATTGTCTTTAGCCTTATTTAAACAGCTTTCCTCAAGTGCTCATCCCTCTGCTAGCAACAATGTATAATACAAGGGGATTAAAGTGACATTGATGAAGATGAGACTACATTTTTAAAGGGGCTATACTCAACCTTTTTCATGTATAAAGTCACATTTGTCTTGCCTCAGTACAGATCCTGGTGTGCTGTCTACTCTAATTCTAAAGTATTATTATCATCTGCGAAGCATGAATGCGCTGTTAGCATTCTAGTTTGTGCATTACCGTGACTGTGAAACTCTAGTATGGCCTCTGAGTGGAGTTAATTAGGAATATGTTAGAAGAGTGAGGAATACCTTTGGACCACTGCAAACCATTTAAAACTTGTTCTGTTTTTATCCACTTTTAAGAGTTTTTAAGATTCAGTAAAAATCTGGTACAGTGTCTTAAAGGAAATTGGAATTATAATGATTTTTTATTCAACAGTTCAGTTTGTGAGCAGATTGTCAGTGCGCTTCCCACATGCAGACGGTGGTGGGTCAGACACTGTCAGACCCTGTCAGACCCTGTCAGACCCTGTCAGCGTTTGCCGGCGTTGCTCTTGTGTGTGGGGGCCAGAGCTGGGATCCTGCTGTCTCTGCCCAGGGGCCCTGTGGTCCAGCCCTGCTTCTGCCTGCTGCTGTCCACTGCTCGGCCTGCACACACACACACACACACGACAGCAGCTCATGGTCCTGTGGAGCGAGGAGGCCACTAAAAGCTCAGCACCTCCAGCCAGAGGCTGCACTAGCACATTCATGATTGGCTACAGGTTTTCCAACTAAAATTTAATTGTAGGAACTGGCAAACCAAATGTGATACTCATGTGAGGCTCATTCTACGTTCTACCTTGTCCACCATGTCAAATATTTTTGAATAAATAATAGACATAATAGAATAAATAGAATAAATCAGCATTATAGATGATATCAGTAGAAGAGATATATTTGATATTTGAACATGTTTACCTCGTACCTGGGGACACAGAGTGAGCACAGCCACAGCACGTCTGCCTGGACCTTGGGCTTTTGCAGTAGAGAGTGCAATGAGGCAGTAGTGAGTGCAGTAGTGAGTGCAGTAGTGAGTGCAGTAGTGAGTGCAGTAGAGAGTGCAGTAGAGAGTGCAGTAGAGAGTGCAGTAGAGAGTGCAGTAGAGAGTGCAGTAGAGAGTGCAGTAGAGAGTGCAGTACCTTGTAGAGGCTGAGTCTTCTGGTAGAGTGCGGCTCTGCGGAGGTTGTGTGGACAGCCCTGTCGGCCCATGAGGTGTGTCTTCCAGGCCTACACACACACACACACACACACAGAGCTCAGTCTGCAGCACCAGGACACTGCGGCTTTGTACCAGGCTCACATACTCCAGGCACATTCTCCACCCTACACCAAGCACCTCCACCCAGGCACATGGCACATTTACCCTATACCTGTCACCTCTACCCAAGCCCCTCTTACCCACGCCTGGCACCTCCACCTTACACCGGGCACCTCCACTCAGGCACCAGGCACCAGGCACCACCACCCTAAGGCACCTCCACCCTACACCAGACACCTCTGTCCTACAACCAGACCAGCACCTCCCTGTATCCACATCAGGCACTCCACCCAAGTACCTCCACGGCCCAGCCAGACCAGACCAGACCAGACCAGACCAGGCACCTGCACCTACACCCAGCCCCATAGACTGCTTAGATAGACATAACAAACCTTCTAGCTGCCGGGTTACAAGCAGGATGTGAGCATGGTCAGGTTTCGACTCCATCCATTCTGACCTTAAAATGTTGGTTGGTACATATGATCATTATAACTGACCAATCAGGTGCCTTCTTTCCTCGAGGGCTGCTCCCGTAAGCGACTGACTGCTAACAGGCCTTGTTCCTTAGCTGAGAAGGGGCATCTTCAAAAAACCTCGCTCCTGATTCACTTTTTAGTTGCTATGATCCACACTCTGAATAACAAACATGAAACTTCACTCCAAATGAGCTGTTGTAACTGTTAACTTCACTTGGTTAAGCACTATGGCTGATGTCACACTCCCTCAGTCCACTTTTATCTATTAAGTGCTATCTTTATCTTTTATCTATCACTTTTATTTATTTAGCCTTCACACTGTATTCAGCTCAACCCTGACCTCCTGATGACATCAGCTGGTGGAGCAGTGCCTTTTCAGCTCTGGAGAAGGAAACAGTCTGAAAATATAGGAGTACTCAAACATGCATGAATGAACCAAAACACAGCTCAAGGTTTGTTTTATGGGTATAATCAATCTTAAAACTGCGGGAATCCCTCTAGTTTAACCTGTTCACCGGTTTATATCTCAATCTAATCTAATTACTGGGTCAAAAAGTGCCTTTGTCCCTGTTTATTCACATTAATTTCATTTACATCGTTTATCCATATTCAACTAAACAGCTAAATATGACTATCCCGGGTTTGTTTTATTTAGTCTTTGTTTAGTTAAATAATTTGGTTATATCTATTCATTTTGTTACCATAACTTACCAGCTGACCTGTTACTCCACATGGTCTAGAGACAAAAGAGGGGGTGTGCCCTTGGTCGGCCATATCTGTAGTCTCTGGGGGAAGGTTTTGGGCCAGACCATGTAAAGGGGAAAATCGGTTTCAGTTCTCTTTTGTAGTATGTTTTTTGTTTGTTTTATTTTCATATTTCAGTGTTTATAGTTTATTTTGAGCACTGTTATTTAAAGGGGAGTTAGGCCCTTGAAAGTAAGTAGCACACTTGAGAAATAAGTAAAGTGGCTAGAAGAGCTAACCTGGGTTTGTTGCACTGACCCAAAGGGAGGTTCTTCGTGTGTGTGTGTGTGTGCGTGCGTGCGTGCATGCATGTGTGGCATCAAGAATCTCAGACTTCCAGTCATTGCTCAATGCATACTGGGATGGATTTTCCGAAAAAGTGAGCATCAAACCTCCATGTTTGTTTTCCCAGTGGGATGTGTCTATTGACAAAGCCAGTCTTTTCTAGTCTTTTGAACCATATCACTTTTGTTTCTGGTTCTGATATTGTCATATTTTAGTTTTGGGATTCGGACATCTTCGTCTTTCTCCATTTTTCAATTCTTTTGGGAATGTAAACAGTTTGAACAGAGGTTTGCAGTCACACACATTTGATTCTCTTTTGCATTTATCGAGTCTGCTAACAAATTTCTCGAGCCGTTTTCTGCTGTTAGGATCCAACAACCACACAATTAACGATGTCCGAATCCCAAAACTAAAATATGACAATATCAGAACCAGAAACAAAAGTGATATGGTTCAAAAGACTAGAAGAAAGGCCTGGCTTTGTCAACAGACACATCCCACTGGGAAATCAAACATGGCGGTTTGATGCTCACTTTTTTGGAAAATCCTTCCCAGTATGCATAAGCACAGTTATTTTTTTGTGTAAATATGTAATCTTTCATTTTTCCACGAATCCACGGTGAAAGCAACAATAAATATTTTTAGGTGAAATTGACATTTTTGCGTCTGCCTCCAACTTTTGACCACGTTCGCCAGCTTCCACACAGGCCTACCCACATGGAACAAAAACTGACACAAAGTGAAATGATTTTTTCACAATAGCTCCATAAACTGGTGCCATTATTCAGCCTCAAAGATGTGATTTTTGTGAGTTCAATAGAGAAGATTAATATGAAAACCTTTGTGGAGCTTTTTCTAACAAATACGTTTCAACATTTGTAGATCATCATTTCGATACTTCTCTCAAGAACAGTGAATCTGCCATAGAGTTATAAAGGCCTCTGCCCTCCGTCTGAAATTATGACAGAAGAAGGAAGAGGAAGAGGATGAGGTGGTGCAGTCAGCGTGGCAGCTGCTCCTCAGACCGCACTTGTAAAAGAGCAGCTCATGGTTTATTAAGGACCACAGCAGTCAAAGGTAACAGTATCCTGATGGACAACGGCTTGGGCTCTACACTACAGCTGCCCTGGAACAAACTACTATAATACTCTGGAGTTTACCTACGCACTACTAATTGTTTTTTTGCCAACAAATGTACAAACCGGTTGCATTTTTTTCTGATAAGCACTGAAATTAGATACAGGTCAGACAGGAAGAACTAACCAAAAAGACTGATATCTGAAATGACAACAAATAAAGAATCACATTTCAGATCATGTTTGTACAGATGTTTTGTTTTTTATGCAGAATAAGAGGAGATTTAATTGTTTATGAAGGAAATTAAGGTGATTAAAATTGCGATTTCGATTGAAGCAGCTCTAATGGATGTTGGTCCTTTCTATGGCTTTTGATTGAAGAGACAGTTATTAATATACGAATGGAACTACTGATTTTTGAGGAGTTAATGCATGTTGGGTTTGGACTTTACTTTGTTTACATTAACAACCGGAACCAATATGGCAGCAGGTGGCAAAACACGATTCTAGCAGCTTTTGTGCAGTTGTTATCCCTGTTATACCATTATGTGCTTGTTAAAAAACAGAGCTGGAGTTGCTTTGTTCATTCATGCATTTTGGAGTGAACCTGCATTTTCCTGTTCCACCTGCTGATGTCATGAGGTGGTGTCTTCCTGCATCCTCCAGTTTTAAAGTCCATCCTAAAAAAAACAACTCAGCAAGCAACTCTACCTGGGGCCACCCTCCCTCTGTAGTGAAATGTAGGTGATTGTTTACATTTTGTATCATGTCTGTTTAAAGGTGCACATGTAACACTTCTGGTGGGGGGTTTACTACCTTCTTGTCTCTATTAAGGATTTGCGTGTCACGTGATTTAAAGGGCCCATCTCATGCAAAATAATTCTTTTCACATTGTATCTTTTGCACATAAACAAGCACAATTTGGGGTTTGGAACATCCATTACACAATAGTTCTGAAATCTTACTGATTTCTTGGAGACAGTCACAGACCAGGAACTATGAAAGACCGACTATTGCTCATCCCCCCGCCCGTCTTGAGAAAGCACAGGCTCCGCCCTCCAAACGTGACATAGACTGAGTGAGCCGCCCTTCCTCCGCCCATCTCAGGGAGGGAGGGGGAGACAGACGTGCACCCTGATAGTGGTAGGAATCAACATTTATTCATCATGGTGATACAGCGCGTTCAGCCGCATGTGTTGGACCTGGAATCGGACGAGGACTTTGAGGTGCATGAAGCTCAAGCACCGCGTCATAGGTGTAGCTGCTGCATCATTGTTGTAGCAGCTTTAGATCGTTGTCATGTGGGAGGGTGGCAGAAATACGCTGCAATTTGTTAAAAAAACGCCGAATCAATCTAGAAACCACTTGGGCGACATATACAAGGCCCACACATCACTCTTAGAAGGTAGAAAGCTCTGAAAAGTTGATTTTGCATGAGATGGACCCTTTAATGTTTTGGTGGCCATACTGGAGGTCAAGACTGGGATTATTCAATTTATTTCAATATAATCATGGTGACTTTAAACAGCGCAAATGACATAAAACTGTCCGAAATCACCAGCTTGTTAGATCAGCCATCATTAGAAAGGTATAAAGCTAAAGTCGTCCTCCTGGGTTGTGGAAAAGATCCCGATCCAGATATTTACAACTACTTAATTCATTCGACATCGCCCTACACCAACCAAGAACTGAAAAGCTACATGGGGCTATAGAAGCAGATAAATATTTTGTAGCAGGATGTGCGAGATCTTTGTTGGTCACCAAACATCATATCTGTTCCCAATAACAGCCAGGGGAAGAAGAATGGGAGTCAAAATCAGAGCTGGAGTGACCCGGGACGGTGGAAATAGAGGACTAGGGTAGGGGGGTGATTCATTTAGTTTAGGGATTATTTCATTTAGTGTAAATCCCTTCTTCGTTTGTGTGGAGATAGTCCCTCACCAGAAATTAAATGCTGACCTCACCACCTCTGTCTGCAATGTTTATCAGCCAGGATCCGATAGAAAGATACTTTGGTCTCCTTCTTTACCAGATTGACTCCGGCCGTCCGATAGCAACACAGGTCAATTCAAATTTTATCGGACACAAATACTACACATTGGTCCAGATGGATAGTTTGATCTCCAATATGGCGGCATAAACACCAAGTCACATTGTTTTGTGACGTAGACACAAAACCTTAATTGAGATGTTATTGCCTTGTCTGGAATGTTCCACAGTATAGCATTAAACTTGTATCGTTTGTATGTTTTATTGCCCCAAAATACCCAAATACACAAACATATTCTTACTGTAAACTGTGTTGCCTCTCCACAGATCTAAACTGTAACTTGATGTCTTTTTTCTCAATTCATAATAAATTTAACAGTGTTGGGAAGGTTACTTTTAAAATGTATTCCCCTACAGATTACAGATTACATACCCCAAAATGTAGTTTTTAACATAATCCATTAAATGACTTTAAGTGAGTAACGTAATCTGAATACTTTGGATTACTTGATATTGTCATGGTTTTTAAAACTACATGAATGTAGCATGTCGCAGGTCACAGTACTAGATATCATGAGACATCACGAGTCTATGCAGGTTGTTTTCACCAGTGCCAGTAGCTCCGGTTTCATATTTAACTTGTAGACACATTTTTTTATTGTTTTATTTTTTTATATCTCATGTCAGGAGAAGTGGGCGGTCGGCGTACCCCCCGTGTACCATGCCCACCACATGCCCGTCCCTCTCTTCTTTAAATACAAAGTGATGTCTGAATTTCCAAGACACAAATGCGTTTTTGCCCTTGGACTGCTGACTCTGTTTTTCTGGCTCCTCGACCTCGTCCGTTGTGTGACCAGTGTTGGGGAGTAACAGATTACATGTACTGGAGTTACGTAATCAGAGTACAAATTATGAGTAACTGTATTCAGTTACAGTTACTGTTTCAGTGAGAGGTAATTGGATTACAGTTACTTTGTTGAAATAAACGGATTACATGGCGTTATTTTCCTGTTTTCACATTTTGGGCTATATTCCTTTTTTTTTTTTTCCCTTTTTTTTTCAGTAATTCCACTCATTGCCAGACACTAAACCAGGTCTAAAACCTGGTTTAAACCTGGTCTAAACCCAGGTCTAAAATCAGGTCTAAAACCAGGTCTAAAACCAGGAGTAAAACCAGGTCTAAACTAGGTCTAAACTAGGACTAAACCAGGACTAAAACCAGGTCAAAACCAGATCTAAACTTTGTGTCAAACAGGACTAAATCATGCTGCGCGGACGTGTCTCCTCCTCTTCTGTCAATAATATTTTTAATTTGGTTCAGTAAAGTCTGGGCTTTTTATTTATATACTTTTAGCAAACAAAACATCTTATGTTATGTTTTCCTCGTCTTTGTTTCTCTACAGCAAATCAAGTAATCCAAAATATTCAGATTACGTTACTCACTTTAAGTAATTTAATGGATCACGTTACAAACTATATTTTGGGGTATGTAATCTGTAATCTGTAGGGGAATACATTTTAAAAGTCACCTTCCCAACACTGTGTGTGACTGACACCAACAAGACGTTTACACAACTCTTATTGCGCACATTCTGTTTGGGTTTCTAGCAATGAGTGGAATTACCGAAATAAAAAAAAAATAAAAAAAAGGGATATAGTTCAAAATGTGAAAACAGAAAAATACCGCCTTCCGTAATCCATTTATTTAAACAAAGTAACTGTAATCCAAATACCACTCATTGAAACAGTAACTGTAATCGAATACAGTTACTCATAATTTCTACCCTGATTACGTAACGGCGGTACATGTAATCTGTTACTCCCCAACACTGAGATTGAATATATAATGCTTTTGTTACTTTCATTGCATAAGCAGCTCTTGAAGTCAAAGTTAGTCCACTATGTGCTGTCTGCATCTAGTTTATTGTTTGATAATCAGGAAGTGCGCATTAGGTAAATGAGGAATGACTTTGGACCACTGTAAACTGTTTAAAATTAACTACTTCCGTGTTTAACTTTTATAAAACAGTAAAAATTAGGTCCAGTGCCTTTGATGCTATACTTTGAAACATTCAAGGCAAAGCAACGACCTCGTGCCCACAGGTGGGAAAAGCTCGTCGGCTCTCTGCACATGTGCACACGGAGCCCGGGGCCTCACCTCGTCTCCAGGCTGGAAGTTGCTGTGGCACAGGGGGCAGTGGTTGGAGGCTTTCCCAGTGCTGGGGGCTGAAACAGAGCAACACAACACCTTAGACAGACACACACGTACAAGTACACTCTGTGACGCAGCCGGATGGTTAATAATTCATGTAAACATATGGTCAAGCACACCTGGGCCTATCAACAGGTTTCCCACACATCCCCACAGCACACACACCGCTTTAGACTGCTATATGACACAAAACTGACTCTTGTGAACAAATCCATCTATCATTCGTTCATTTATTTTTCAATATAAAAACTAAAATAAGAACTTGAAAAAACAAATTTCTTCATTATTTGTCTCCAAAACCAAAATGAAAAATGGATAACGATGAGTTTTTTCAGGTTTAAATTTTGTGTTTAAATGAATAATAGAAAAAACGGATAACGGCCGTTTCCTGTTTCCGTGACTTAAACTGCAATGCCAGACTGAACCAGGACTGAACCAGGACTGAACCAGGACTGAACCAGGACTGAACCAGGATTAAACCAGGTCCGTCCAGACCGCAACCACACCAGGACTGAGACCAGGACTTAGACCGGGACCAGACCGAGACTGAGCCTAGGACCAGGACTGAGACCGGGACCAGACCAAGACTGAGCCCAGGACCAGGACTGAGACCGGGATTGAGACTGGGACCGGACCGGAACCAGACCGGGACCAGACCGGGACCGGGACCAGACTAGGACCAGACCAGGACTGAGACCAGGACTAAGGCTGGGACCAGACCAGGACCAGGCCATGATTGAGACCAGGACTGAGACCGGGATCAGACTGGAACTGAGACTGCGATCAGACCGGGACTGAGACCGGGATCAGACCAGGACTGATACCGGGACCAGACTGGAACTGAGATCGGGACCAGACTGGGACCAGGCCGGAACCGAGACTGGTACCGAGACCGGGACCGAGACCGGGACCGAGACCGGGACCGAGACCGGGACCGAGACCGGGACCAGACCAGGACTGAAAACAGTTTAGTCCTGGTTTAGTCCTGGTTTAGTCCTGGTTCAGTCCATATGCTGCGCAAAAGTCTGGCATCGCAGTTTAAGTCACGGAAACAGGAAACAGCCGTTATCCGTTTTTTTTCCTATTATTCACTGAAACACAAAATCGAAAACTGAAAAACAAATTATCTGTTTTTTTCATTTTGATTTTGGAGACAAATAGTGAAGAAAACTGTTATTTTTTCAAGTTCTTATTTTTGGTTTTATATTGAAAAAACGAATGAACGAATGATGTCATGTTACAATATTGTTACCTCCTCAAAAACACCTGGAGTTGTGTTTTGTGTCATTCAAATTGCTATGTAGTGGTAGTTTATAAGTTAGAAGCTACCTTTTATCTTTAGTTCAGTAGAGATCGGAAATTTTAGGAGTTTAAAAACACAGTGGAGCACTTCCTTCCACATGACATCACAAGGTGGAAAATGGGGTTTTCCATTTGCGAGAGGAACAAAGCCTAAAAATATTGAGGATTTGTCTGTTATGTGTGAATGAAACAAAACAAAACTCCAGGTCTGTTTGTGATGAGGAAACAACATTAGAATATAGATGCGAAAAAAAAAACCCACTTGCATTGTTCTGCAGTTTGGATTATTTAAAACAAATGACGCAAAACTAGTATAAAACTCATGGAACAGAAGAAACAAAACAAGAAACTATATGACATGGGCAAAATAGATTCATTTTCTCAGCACTACTTTGAGACCTTTTCTACTTTGGACCACTTCTGGACAAAACAGTGGTCAAAAACTATGTAAAAAGGTTAAAGCATCTTAAAATCTCCATTTGTTTAACATTACGCTCAGTGAAACGTCTATGATATGATGATAATCAAATGTTGAACAGAACAGAGAACCAAAACACAAAGCCTATTATATTATATGCTGTCAGACATCACAGTTGTTACAATTGAGCAATACACAACCTTTCAGACTTCCTTTTTTATCTATGACTTCCAGTTTTCTGCACAAAAAACACCAACTTGCGAGTTCCTGAAACATCTTTAATCATAAAAAGCTGTTGTTACCTGGTCCCCAAAGAGTTGACCAGGGTTTGTATTCACCCTGTGTGTGCGTGTGTCTGTGTCTGTCCACCCGCGATAATTCCGCCATTTATGAACCGATCTTCACCAGATTTGGTACGTGGGTCAAGCCCCCGTACCCGATGCCAAAAAAAAGAAAGTTTGGTGACGATCCAAAGTCATTTGAGGTAACATGGGTCAATTGAAAGGTCACGCCATTGTGAAGGATCGGCAATTTCGGCAATTTCTGAATATTCACCCAATCATCACACGTTAGCCCACACATAACCGGGGTACACTGTATGTTACAGGTTGAAACCGGTCAAGGTAACCAGGTCAAATATGTGTTTTTGGTCATAACTCCGCAAAGGATGGAGCTCGAGCAACGGGAGCGTCTCAAAATCTCAGAAAAAATATTATCTATTTATAGTTCTATGCATTTGATTCGTAAAATATTCATAGTTTTCGAGATAATCACTAATTATAACAGTTCCTTTCTCTTTCAGTGTATGCCGTTAAAATTCTAATTGGAATGAAAACAATTTCCATTTCTTGTTTTTCTGGTGATGCACAACACACTGATCTACAGTCACACAACTAACACATACACAACTCATGAAAAATGACATTTTGGTTCCACACTAATAAAAACAGACATTCTCATGTGTGACCAACATCACACAAATGTTCATGGGCCTGTACACATACACACATTTCATTGTGGATATAATGATCATGTAATATGGGCTGGGCTCTTCATAAACTGCTTCTGTGGTGATGAACTGACCCACCGACGCCTCATGGGGACCAGGTTGCTGTCTCTGATTGAACTTGTTGTTTCTGAACACACAGATCAAAATGTGCGATAGAACTTCACTTCATTGTTTATTGTGATTTATTAACGGTGCTCTCTGTAACTTTTCTGGTGGAGAGTCTGCCATTTCCTTGTCTCCATGGAGTGTTATTGGGCACGTGGATGTTACACAGTATGGCATTAAACATATTTACCTCATGCAAGCAGGTGCCCACACTATTCCAAGCTACAACTCAGACATTGGTCAGATCATGGCATTTCTGAAGGAAAGACGGACAGGGAATAAAGAAGATGGGGGACGTTCAAAGTGAAAAGCTGCATATTTCAATTTTAAGGGAAGGGAAAGTCCAGACTAGAGCATTGTGGAATCATGGTAACAGCATGCTGATCGACAGAGGGCCTGCACAACATATTATGCGAATCAAGCAAAAGATGTTCATTTTGTCTTCTTATATACTTTAACTTCTTGGCTTCTTTTTAAAGACAATGCAGTAAAGTGTATTTACCTTGTTGACATGTTTCGGCTGCTAGCTGCAAGCCATCTTCAGAAATGTCCCTGGTGTTGGTGGTGACTGGTGGTCAGCCTGATGGACCTGCAGGTCGCTCAGACTGACCACACCTCCCATCGCCCGGTGTTCACTGGAGGAGGGTGTCCCAGTTGTGTGAAAGGAGGAACCCGCCGTCATCACGGTTAATGATGTCCGTGCCTCATTTCCTGATTTCAATGGCCTCCTTGATCCAGCGTTTGAACTTGTTGTTTTCCGATCCAATGACCCGCGTTCCTCCTTTCACACACCTGGGACACCCTCCTCCAGAGAACATCGGGCGACGGGAGGCGTGGTCAGTCTGAGCGACCTGCAGGTCCATCAGGTCTGACCACACCTACAGGAAGTAACAACAGCTGATATACGACACGTCACCACCAACAGGTCCTGCAGGTCCATCAGGCTGACCACCAGTCACCACCAACACCAGGGACATTTCTGAAGATGGCTTGCAGCAGCAGCCGAAACATGTCAACAAGGTAAATACACTTTACTGCATTGTCTTTAAAAAGAACCCAAGAAGTTATATTATGCGAATACTGTGATATCTCCACCACCTGAAAACAACACCATAAACCTCTGATTAGGGGGCATTTAAAACCCGTGTGCCATTACCCCTGATTCACACCAAAGTAGCACCACACGAGCAGGAATTCCTTTTATTATTAACCTGTGGGACAAGCTACACCAGTGGATCAGAGGTCAGTGGATCTGACCGCTCAACCAATTTTTCGTCAACCTTCGGATCAGTGGACAGAAGCTCTACCAACTGAGCCTCTCTCACCCATATGACCCTTGAGCATGGGAGTAAAATCAGAATGACCCTGGTCACTCACGGTTGCAATGGGGCCCCTCCATGTGGGCCCTGAGCTCCTCGTGGGGCACGGCCTCGCTGCACCGGGGACACGGGCTGAAGCTGCCCTGATTGTCACACTCCCCCAGCAGGTGCTCTGTCAGACTGGAGATCTCTACCACCTGAAAACAACACCATACATTTCCGGTTAGGGGGCATTGCACTCAGCCCAACCCTGATCACCTGACAGGGTTGAGAAGGTTACTTTTAAAATGTATTCCCTTACAGATTACAGATTACATACCCCAAAATGTAGTTTGTAACAGAATCCATTAAATTACTTAAAGTGAGTAATGTAATCTGAATACTTTGGATTACTTGATTTGCTGTAGAGAAGCAAAGACGAGGAAATATTCACATAAGATGTTTTGTCTGCTAAAAGAAAATAAAAAGGCAGAGTCTTTAACTTCTTAGGTTCTTTTTAAAGACAATGCAGTAAATGTGCATTGTCTGCTAAAAGAAAATAAAAAGGCAGAGTCTTTACTTAACCAGAATAAAAATATTATTGATAGAAGAGGAGGAGACATGGTCCACACAGCATGGTTTAGTCCTGTTAAATCCATAGTTTAGACCTGGTTTTAGTCCTGCTTTAGTCCTGGTTTAGTCCTGGTTTAGTCTTGGTTTTAGTCCTGGTTTAGTCCTGGTTTAGTCTTGGTTTAGTCCTGGTTTAGATCTGGTTTAGACCTGGTTTTAGTCCTGGTTTTAGTCCTGGTTTAGTTATGGTTTTAGTCCTGGTTTAGTCTTGGTTTAGTCCTGGTTTAGATCTGGTTTAGACCTGGTTTTAGTTCTGGTTTAGTCCTGGTTTAGTCCTGGTTTAGTCTTGGTTTAGTCTTGGTTTAGTCCTGGTTTAGATCTGGTTTAGACCTGGTTTTAGACCTGGTTTTAGTCCTGGTTTAGTCCTGGTTTAGTCCTAGTTTAGACCTAGTTTAGACCTGATTTGGACCTGGGTTTAGACCTGGTTTAGACCCGGTTTAGTGTCCAGGCAATGAGGAGTGGAATTACCAAAAAAAATAAAAAATTGTGAAAACAGGAAAATACCTCTGTGTAATCCATTTATTTCAACCAAGTAACTGTAATCTAATTACCAGTCACTTAAACAGTAACTGTAACTGAATACAGTTACGCATAATTTGTACTTTGATTATGTAACTCTGGTACATGTTATCTGTTACTCCCCAACACTGCCACCTGATGACTTTTCAGCTCTGGGAGTACTCAAACATGCATGAATGAAACAAAACACAGCTCAAGGTTTGTTTTTATGTGTAGTATAGCACCTTTAAAGCTGCTAGAATCCCTCTAGTTTAACCTATTCACCGGTTCATATTTCTATAACTACTGGGCCTATGCACAAGAAACAAAAACTGACACCAAGTTCAGCGTCTTTTCTGCCAAGAATAATAAACTAAAGTGAAATGATTTTTTCACATTAGCTTCATAAATTGGTGCCACTATTCGGCCTCAAAGATGTGATTTTTGTCTGTTGAATAGAGAAGATTAATATGAGAAGCTTCTGGAATTATTTCTAACAAAGAAGTTTCAAAGAGGAAGTATGACAGGAAATAAGTGCATAGTGTCAGACATGCTTTAAAATATAACAATTCGAAATAAATAAGTTCTCTAAAAAAACCACATTGGCGTAAACCCTGTGCTGCTGTGCTTGTGATGGACAATGAAATGTTTATTACCATGGAGGATAAATATAATACACTTTACCACTTAAACATGTTTTTTTTAAGAACAACCTGACATTTATTTGGTTAAAGAAATCAATAAACGTTTAAAGAGGAGGTGCTTCCCAGTAATGAAACTACTGCGCATCACATCAGCTTTGTGGAGTTGTAGTGTATTGTTTTGTATAATGCTTTTGTACATGTATGAAAGATTATCGTGTGCACAGAATCTTACAGCTACACATAAAGAGGGTTTGAATAGGGCAGGGGTGGGAAAACTTTTGACTCATGGACCACAAACAGTTCTAAAATTTGACGGAAGGGCTGGACCAGGAGCACATGGATGGAGTTTTTTGGTAATCCACCTCATAAGAGAAAAAATAATATTGGATATGAGGGAAACATATGCCATGGTATTGAAATATCAAATAAAACAGAAAACCCACACCGAAGTTCTTGTACAGGTGCAAATGTAAGGAACAGAAAGATAGAAGTGAAAAAATGCATAGCACACTCAGACGGCCGGTGTCCAAAAGCTTTTTTATTCTGAAATAACGTTTCGACAAAAAAAAGCCTTCGTCAGATATTTTTCTTGCTTTGTACCACAGCTTTTTTTTAGTACCTGTTTGCAGTGGTCAGAGAGAGTGAGTACCTGTTTGCAGTGGTCAGAGAGAGTGAGTACCTGTTTGCAGTGGTCAGAGAGAGTGAGTACCTGTTTGCAGTGGTCAGAGAGAGAGTACTGTTTGCAGTGGTCAGAGAGAGTGAGTACCTGTTTGCAGTGGTCAGAGAGAGAGTGAGTACCTGTTTGCAGTGGTCAGAGAGAGTGAGTACCTGTTTGCAGTGGTCAGAGAGAGTGAGTACCTGTTTGCAGTGGTCAGAGAGAGTGAGTACCTGTTTGACAGCGGTCAGAGAGAGTGAGTACCTGTTTGACAGCGGTCAGAGAGAGTGAGTACCTGTTTGCAGTGGTCAGAGAAGAGTGAGTACCTGTTTGCAGTGGTCAGAGAGAGTGAGTACCTGTTTGCAGTGGTCAGAGAGAGTGAGTACCTGTTTGCAGCGGTCAGAGAGAGTGAGTACCTGTTTGACAGCGGTCAGAGAGAGTGAGTACCTGTTTGCAGTGGTCAGAGAGAGTGAGTACCTGTTTGCAGTGGTCAGAGAGAGTGAGTACCTGTTTGCAGTGGTCAGAGAGAGTGAGTACCTGTTTGACAGCGGTCAGAGAGAGTGAGTACCTGTTTGCAGCGGTCAGAGAGAGTGAGTACCTGTTTGACAGCGGTCAGAGAGAGTGAGTACCTGTTTGCAGTGGTCAGAGAGAGTGAGTACCTGTTTGCAGTGGTCAGAGAGAGAGTGAGTACCTGTTTGCAGTGGTCAGAGAGAGTGAGTACCTGTTTGACAGCGGTCAGAGAGAGAGTGAGTACCTGTTTGCAGCGGTCAGAGAGAGTGAGTACCTGTTTGCAGTGGTCAGAGAGAGAGTGAGTACCTGTTTGCAGTGGTCAGAGAGAGAGAGTACCTGTTTGCAGTGGTCAGAGAGAGTGAGTACCTGTTTGCAGTAGTCAGCGAGAGAGTGAGTACCTGTTTGACAGCGGTCAGAGAGAGAGTGAGTACCTGTTTGACAGTGGTCAGAGAGAGAGTGAGTACCTGTTTGACAGCGGTCAGAGAGAGTGAGTGCCTGTGTGCAGTGGTCAGAGAGAGTGAGTACCTGTTTGCAGTGGTCAGAGAGAGAGAGTACCTGTTGCAGTGGTCAGAGAGAGTGAGTGCCTTTGTACAGCAGTCAGAGAGAGTGAGTACCTGTTTGCAGTGGTCAGAGAGAGAGTGAGTACCTGTTTGCAGTGGTCAGAGAGAGTGAGTACCTGTTTGACAGTGGTCAGAGAGAGTGAGTACCTGTTTGACAGCGGTCAGAGAGAGAGTGAGTACCTGTTTGACAGCGGTCAGAGAGTGTGAGTGCCTGTTGTGCAGTGGTCAGAGAGAGTGAGTACCTGTTGCAGTGATCAGAGAGAGAGAGTACCTGTGTGCAGTGGTCAGAGAGAGTGAGTACCTGTTTGCAGTAGTCAGCGAGAGAGTGAGTACCTGTTTGACAGTGGTCAGAGAGAGTGAGTACCTGTTTGACAGCGGTCAGAGAGAGAGTGAGTACCTGTTTGACAGCGGTCAGAGAGAGTGAGTACCTGTTTGCAGTGGTCAGAGAGAGTGAGTACCTGTTTGCAGTGGTCAGAGAGAGTGAGTACCTGTGTGCAGTGGTCAGAGAAAGTGAGTGCCTTTGTACAGCGGTCAGAGAGAGTGAGTACCTGTTTGCAGTGGTCAGAGAGAGTGAGTACCTGTTTGCAGTGGTCAGAGAGAGTGAGTACCTGTTTGCAGTGGTCAGAGAGAGTGAGTACCTGTTTGACAGCGGTCAGAGAGTGTGAGTGCCTGTGTGCAGTGGTCAGAGAGAGTGAGTACCTGTTTGCAGTGGTCAGAGAGTGAGTACCTGTTTGCAGTGGTCAGAGAGAGTGAGTACCTGTTTGCAGTGGTCAGAGAGAGTGAGTACCTGTTTGACAGCGGTCAGAGAGAGAGAGTACCTGTTTGACAGCGGTCAGAGAGAGAGTGAGTACCTGTTTGACAGCGGTCAGAGAGAGAGTGAGTACCTGTTTGACAGCGGTCAGAGAGAGTGAGTACCTGTTTGACAGCGGTCAGAGAGAGAGTGAGTACCTGTTTGACAGCGGTCAGAGAGAGAGTGAGTACCTGTTTGACAGCGGTCAGAGAGAGAGTGAGTACCTGTTTGACAGCGGTCAGAGAGTGTGAGTGCCTGTGTGCAGTGGTCAGAGAGAGGGAGTACCTGTTTGCAGTGGTCACAGAGGCGCAGCATGGGGCAGTGCTTCCAGTAGTGCCGGTCCAGTCCGTCCTCAGTGAAGGCCTCGTCCCTCCGCCCACAGAAAACACACAGACTACAGAAGGCAAAAGTCAAGAAGATTATCAGTACTGTGTTGTAACTGTATACCACTGTCGCTCTCTCGTGACCGCATTCTCAACAAAGACTTTAAAGTAAACATATGTCACTTTCTGGAGGTGGAAAGTCAACTGCATGGTTCCAGGGAAATTGAAAGTTAAAATCCTCTGAACCATGAAGATAGAGACCAAGTGTTTTATGAATTTTATCCAGAAACACACAGAATCTGGGCAGGTCCAAAATAAGTGAGAGGTGGTTTCATTTTTCTGTTTGTGTCCATTGTCCTTCTAAGATGATTCTTTAGAGGATAACAGCGATGTAGAAGTTTGTAGCAGATCTCCCTTTGCTTGTTGGTGATGAGATATTTGTGACGTCATGTCCGTAAATTTTTTAATGGAATACACGCATCAAGAATCTCGGACTTCCGGTCATTGCGCAATGCATCCGGGGATGGATTTTTCGAAAAAGTGAGCATCAAACTGCCATGTTTGTTTTCCCAGTGGGATGTGTCTATTGACAAAGCCAATCTTTTCTAGTCTTTTGAACCATATCGCTTTTGTTTCTGGTTCTGATATTGTCATATTTTAGTTTTGGGATTCGGACATCGTAATTGTGTGGTTGTTGGATTCTAACAGCAGAAAACGGCTCAAGGAATGTATTTGCGAACTCCATAGATGCAAAAGGGAATCAGATGTGTGTGACTGCAAACCTCTGTTCAAACTGTTTCCCTTCCCAACGGAATTGAAAAATAGTGAAAGGTGAAGGTGATGGGCAGGATTGATCCACGGGAAGGACCAAAAAGGAAACCTTTGACTGACTAAATCATCCCGAGTTTGCAGCGAACATTTTATATGTGGAGCAAGACAAGTTTAATTGAAGATGAAGCCAAGTAAATTCCTTTTGAAAAGTTTTCAAAGTTTGGTGCAGCGTCTTCACTCACGCCTGCTCAAGCCGCCATCTTCAGGTGCGGCCCTGTCCTGTCGCTTCCCCAGTTTAGGCTCCTGGCTCCACTAATGACATCACTCTGTTGCAGCCAATGAAATATGAATTCATCTCAGAACGTCTCATAAACTAAATGTGAAACTAAACTAAAACATCTCCAATTAATACTACTGAGTTTGGAAAAATATCTGAATAAATTGATATTTTTGTGTATGGTGTAGTGCCTTTAGCATACATGTTTACATACATAATTCACTGCTAACTGGAAACACATAAGTTACATGTTTACCTACGTTCAGTGTTCAGTTTTTCGGTTTGTGCTCTATATACAGTATAGTTGCGGTCCCTTTAAGACCCATTGCTGTTTGAGGCACGCTGTTCTGTTTACCATTATTAGCCGTTTCTGAACTTGTGAGTTCAGTTAATAAAGCGACACACGACTTTTTGTGTCTGAAATATGAGAAGTTGTCGGCTCCTTTTTTATTATGCACAACTTCCACAATGGCAAATATTGGTAGGGACTATTTTGTCTTCCCCAAATATTGGTTGTGACATGTTCTTAACTTCCTTATGCAAACCTACACCCTTGATAGAGACGTTTAATGCCATACTGTAGATGAGTAGATTACAGCCAAAAGAACAACAATTCCTTGGAAACAATTCCTTGTGGAGACGCAAGCCTGCTCACAGTAAGGACACAGGCCTTTCTATGTTTTTATGTGCAATAAACACACCCATAATGAAAAAAAACAAAAAAATTAAACACACCCATAATAAAAAAAAACAACAACATTTTACTAAACCTACAAAAAAAAAAAAAAAAAACATAAGTGGAAAAGCACTTTTTACTTGCTAATATAATAGTTTGGAAACATTTAATGAAAATATTAAAGACAGAAAGCTTCATGTCTTGCATATTGCATTCTTACTTGTCTTACTTGTCTTACTGACACTTACCTGTCTAAATAGTTACCAGCAGAATCAGGAGTATCAGCAACTTGCGGCGTCTGCTTCTGCATCTTTGGGAGAGCTGGAAACACAAAGAAAGAAAGAAATGTAGTAGGTTCAATTTCGTATTAGGAAATTGTTCTGCAACACTTTCTCCATCCAGTTTTGGGAAGGTTCCTTTCAAAATGTATTCCTCTACAGATTACATATTACATACTCCAAAATGTAGTTTGTAATGTAATCCATTAAGTTACTTAAGGTGCGTAGTGCAAGTAGTGAAATGTGCAGCTGAAAACAATAATCGAGCCGCAGAAAGAAAGTTTGGATTGAGCAAGAAACTTGTGAGGGACTGGCGGAAAGCAGGGATGGAGAACACAGCTTCACGATAACAAGGAGGGTGCACCATGTAACTTTCCTGGAAGTCACTGGATGGATGGACAAAGCCTGGACTTCAGTGACAACTGAAACCATCCTGTCGAGATTCAGAAAGCCCGGAATATTTGTAACTGGAACTGATGCTGAGTCTGACGACAGCTACACAGAAGAGGAAGTGGCTCTCCGTTTACCTCCGGAGGTCGCAGAGTTGCTCAGAAGTGACACCGAGGATGAAGAATTGAATGGATTTAGTGATTTGGAGTGAGATGGAGAGTTTGGTAAACTTGTTCTGTTCTGTTGTTTATGTTATAGTTTATCTGAAGAACTGTTCATATGTGACGTTAACAGTCTGTTGTTCTCTGTTCTATTGTTATTACTAGAACTTGACTTTCAAGATAAAATGTTGGTTCCTGGTCTCTGATTTTATAAAATAAATTTCCCCCCCAAAAGTGCGACTTATATATGTTTTTTTCTTCTTCATTGCGCATTTTTTGGCCGGTGTGACTTATACTCCAGAGCGACTTATAGTCTGAAAAATACGGTATATATTTCAACACAAGACAAGTGCGCCCTCCACTGGCAACATTGGGGAGTGAAGTATTTCCTAAAGAGACATTAGCAGCACGGCTAACATAAAAACAACACATTCCAGTCCAAAGCATGTGGATGATGTACGTACTGGCTCGAGTGGTTCTCCGGGCCTCCTCCTCTTTGGCTGTTCCTCTTTGGACTCCAGTGCTTTTCTTCTTGTCCTTAAATCACACAGCAGAATATTAGACATGACTGGAAATGGAGCATTAGCGTTAGCCTGGTGAGATCACAAGCGTGTCCGCGCCCTGAGCTGATCTCACGGCACTTGGATGGTGCACAGACTCACAGTGATTTCCTTGAAGGTGACCAGCTGCTCCTGGAGAGACTGAGCTGACTTCTGGGGCTCTCCTGTCCCCTGTGCACACACACACACACACAGACACACAGACAGACACACACACAGGTTTACATCCTTCTTGTACACTGAATTACATTAATTTCCTGGAGACGGAGTCCATTGTCCATCCTTGTGTAACTTTAACCTAACCTTAAAGACAGGGTATTTTATGTCAGGAATGAACTGCCAACACATAACAAAAAAAAAAACAGTATTGTATGTAATATGTTTTATAAGTTTCACTTTTGTTTGTGACACACTGAGTTTCCCCTCACTTTGCTTTCTGCATTGTCACTTCCCCTTCAGCGCACAAGTGTGCATCAAGTTTGTGAAGTTGCTAAAAAAATTTAAAAAAAGCATAATACTGTCTCTTCAACCTATTTTATCCCATGTCTGAACTTTAAACCATGTTGCTGATCTAATTATAAAAGGTTACATCATTGAGACTTGATTTTTGTCCCCATGAGGGAAGCAAGCCCCCATGATGTGAGAGTGTGTACTACTTTACGCAGATATACTGATTGATTGGTGTTACTGGGCATTACAACTTTAGGCTACTAGTTGTGTATATTTGAGGCTCTAACAATAGACGCATCAAGAATCTCGGACTTCTGGTCATTGCGCAATGCATACTGGGAAGGATTTTCCAAAAAAAGTGAGCATCAAACCTCCATGTTTGTTTTCCCAGTGGGAGGCGTCTATTGACAAAGTCGATCTTTTCAAGTCTTTTGAACCATATCACTTCTGTTTCTGGTTCTGATATTGTCATATTTTAGTTTTGGGATTCGGACATCGTAATTGTGTGGTTGCTGGATGTTCTAACAGTGGAAAATGGCTTGAGAAATGGGCTTCAGAAGTTTGAGAACTCCATAAATGCAAAAGGGAATCAGATGTGTGTGACTGCAAACCTCTGTTCAAACTGTTTCTCTTCCCAACGGAAATGACAAATAGTGAAAGGTGAAGGTGATGGGCAGGATTGATCCACAGGAACGATGAAAACGGAAACCTTTGACTGCCTAAATCATCCCAAGTTTTCAGCGAACGTTTTGTATGTGGAGCATCAACAATGCAAAATCCCATTTGTTAAGAGAGAGGTACAAAAGTCAAACAGATATTGTTCGCTTTGCAGTGGAATGTGTTTCTTGGTGAACAGCTGGTGCCTTTCGCTTTGGCGTTGACTTTTTAAATTCGTAACCAAGGTGGAGTGAGGATTCGGGATTTTGCTTTGATGGCTCCACATACAAAATGTTCACTGCTAACTCAGGATGATTAAGGCAGTGAAATTTTTCCTTTTTCATATTTCCCGTGGATCAATCCTGCCCATCGCCTTCACCTTTCACTATTTTTCAGTTCCGTTGGGAAGGGAAACAGTTTGAACAGAGGTTTGCAGTCACACAGATCTGATTCCCTTTTGCATTTATGAAGTTCACAAACAAATTTCTCAAGCCGTTTTCCGCTGTTAGGATCCAACAACCACACAATTAACGATGTCTGAATCCCAAAACTAAAATATGACAATATCAGAATCAGAAACAAAAGTGATATGGTTCAAAGATCGGCTTTGTCAATACGCATCCCTCTTTGTCAATAGACACATCCCACTGGGAAAACAAACATGGCGGTTTGATGCTCGGAACATCCTCCCCAGTATGTATTGCACAATGATCAGAAGTCAGAAATTCGTGATGGATGTATTGTACAGGTCCCCTCAATTCGAGACCAAAATTAAGACTGGGAGATATGGCAAAAAAAGAATCATGATTTTTTTTGTTTGTTTGTTTGTTTGTTTACCTCATGTTGATGTATCCTGATTTTCAACTCAATAATTTTTTTAAATTCAAAAATCTGTATTAATTTTATGAACACAAACAAGTCAGACTTTTAATCAATGCACAAAAAATAACAAAAAATAGCCCAAATTCTCACTTTGAATTTTTAAAAATTTTAACTCTAACACTGAAAAATTTGTTTGAATTATTCTGAATTTTAGTTTCTGAAATTTTAAGTACACATATGCTTCAAAGTCAAAATAAAAATTTCACCTTTTAAATATTTAGCACAGATATTTTCAAGCCCTCAAATTCAACAGTCAAAATCCAGAGTGTAAAATTCGCACACAAAATTTTCACAACAAAGATCCAAGATGCCAAGGCAGAAGTAATCGATCCTGTGTGAGTGAGCAGGACAGTGGCTTTTTCCTATTGGCCGTTCTCATCTGTGGGCGGGGTTTACACTTAACAAATCAAAGAGATGAAGTTTTGATAAGTTTAATTCTGACCAATCAGATTGCTTCACTGCAACATTTCCTGCTTGTTACTAAATTAGGTCGGATCACTTTGGATCGATTCTTTAGGCCGTGGCATCTTGGATCTTTCCTGCAAATGTTTTACTCTATACTTTTTACACGCCGAATTTTGACTGTTGAATTTGAGGGCTTGAAAATATTTCTCATGAATACTTAAAAGGTAATTTTTTTATACTGAATTTTCAACCATTTGAAAATGATCACTTACAATGTCGCCAACTAAAATTTAGAATACAAATAATTTAACATTTTAAAGTTAAAAAATTAAAAGTGAGAAAGTGGATTTCAACTGCATTTCAAATTCAAAATCTAATGAAACAAATGATCTTCCGCACTTCCTCTAAAGTTTCCCGTCTGCTCCAAAACACATGCTTTGACTGACAAAGGATTGGCTCTCTGCAGCTGGAAGGAGATCACCAACCACACCCCTGATACTATTTTCCCTTGCACCAGTTTATTTATAATCAAATCAATTCATGTTCCGGCTAGTCCTCATTAGTCCTCACCAGTGTTGGGAAGGTTACTTTTAAAATGTAATCCCCTACAGATTACAGATTACACACCCCAAAATGTAGTTTGTAACGTAATCCATTAAATTACTTAAAGTGAGTAACGTAATCTGATTACTTTGGATTACTTGATATTGTCATGTTTTTTAAACGACATGAATGTAGCAACCACATCCTGAAAATTCTTGTTTGTTGTCTTCAAATTGTCTGAGCCCAAGTCTCATGAATAAGCGACTGTTTGCTGTAGAGAAACAAAGACCAGGATATCTTAACATAAGAGGTTTTGTCTGTTAAAAGACAGAAACAAGATCAGCCTTTCCTTCACCATATTAAAAAATATTATTGATAGAGAAATAATTTTTTATATGACATCACCTTAAATTATGTCAACCTACTGTTAGGTGTCATGTTGTTTAGACCTGGTTTAGTCCTGGTTTAGTCCTGATTTTTAGACCTGGTTTACTCCTGATTTTAGACCTGGTTTAGACCAGGTCTAGACCAGGTCTTTAATTCTGGTTTAGTCGTGGTTTAGTCCTAGTTTAAACCTGGTTCAGTCCTGCTTTAGTCCTGGTTTAGTCCTGTTTTAGTCCTGGTGTTAGTTCTGGTCTAGAGGTGCACAGGAGGAAGCGCGGTTTACGCGAGAAAACATGGTCCACACGCGGCGCACGAGACGTCGGTGTCCGCGCTGTAACTACGGAAGGAGACGTGGTCCGCGGGTTCTCAGGTTGATGACGATGATGGTGTGTGTTTGTGTGTGTTTGTGTGTGTTTGTGTGTTTGTGTATAGGACAGTAGTGCAGATATAGTGCAGAGTCTATGCAGGTTGTTTTCACCAGTGCCAGTAGCTCCTGTTTCACATTTAAGTTGTAGGCGATTTTATATATATTTTTTTTTAATATATATCTCACATCGGGAGAAGAATTTCCAAGACACAAATGCGTTTTTACCAATGCACTGCTGCTTCCACTGTGTGACTGACACCGCCAACTTTAACATGACGTTTACATCGCTCTTACTGTCGCGTTCTGTTTGGGTTTCCAACAATGAGTGGAATTACCGAAATAAAAAAATAAATAAATGGGATGTAGCACAAAATGTGAAAACAGGAAAATACCGCCTTGTAATCCACTTATTTCAGCAAAGTAACTGTAATCCAATTACCACTCATTGAAACTGTAACTGTAACGGAATACAGTTACTTATAATTATAGCTCTTGAGGCCAAAATCTACTGTGTATTGTCTGCTTCTAATAGAAAGTATCTTATTGTCTGATTATCAGGAAGTGCACAGTTAGTATGCTAGCTGTTGTGATGGCTTTACCGTGACATCAAAACTCTTCTCTGGTCTCTGAGAAATGTAAAAAAAATGATAAACTGACTGCACTGAATGATGAGGATGCTTTAAATTCAAAAGGTACATGGGGAATAACCTAAGAAAGTAAAAGTCAGGTACAGCCTACCTTTAATGATTCGGGAAATCTGAATTTAGCTCTTGTTTAGAATTTTGTATGTTTTGGTTTAGTCCTGGTTTAGTCCAGGTTTAGTCTTGAAGTCTGCATTTAGTCATATCAGGTAGAGTCTGTCAGTCAGGATTAAATAAAATATTTCAGAGGGTACTAGGAGTGAAAATCATATCTTTCAGAGGGTACTAGGAGTGAAAATCAAATGTTTGAGTGAAAGTCAAATATTTCAGAGGGTACTAGGCGTAAAAGTCAAATATTTCAGAGAGTACTAGGAGTGAAAGTCAAATATTTCAGAGGGTACTAGGCGTAAAAGTCAAATATTTCAGAGGGTACTAGGAGTGAAAGTCAAATATTTCAGAGGGTACTAGGCGTAAAAGTCAAATATTTCAGAGGGTACTAGGAGTGACAGTCAAATATTTCAGAGGGTACTAGGTGTAAAAGTCTAATATTTCAGATGGTACTAAGAGTGAAAGTCAGATATTTCCAAGGGTATGAGAAGTAAAAGTCAGATATTTCAGACGGTACTAGGAGTGAAAGTCAAATATTTCAGAGGGTACTAAGACTGAAAGTTAAATGTTTCAGATGGTACTAGGAGTGAAAGTCAAATATTTCAGAGGGTACTAGGACTGAAAGTTAAATGTTTCAGATGGTACTAGGAGTGAAAGTCAAATGTTTCAGAGGGTACTAAAAGTGAAAATCTAATATTTCAGTGGGTACTAGGAGTGAAATTCAAATATTTCAAGGGGTACTAGGAGTGAAAGTCAAATATTTCAAGGGGTACTAGGAGTGAAAGTCAAATGTTTCAGAGGGTACTAGGAGTGAAAGTCAAATATTTCAGAGGGTACTAGGACTGAAAGTCAAATGTTTCAGAGGGTACTAGGAGTGAAAGTCAAATATTTCAGAGGGTACTAGGACTGAAAGTTAAATGTTTCAGATGGTACTAGGAGTGAAAGTCAAATGTTTCAGAGGGTACTAGGAGTGAAAGTCAAATGTTTCAGAGGGTACTAGGAGTGAAAGTCAAATGTTTCAGAGGGTACTAAGAGTGAAAATCAAATATTTCAGAGGGTACTAGGAGTGAAATTCAAATATTTCAAGGGGTACTAGGAGTGAAAGTCAAATATTTCAAGGGGTACTAGGAGTGAAAGTCAAATGTTTCAGAGGGTACTAAGAGTGAAAATCAAATATTTCAGAGGAGTAAAAGTCAAATATTTCAGAGGGTACTAGGACTGAAAGTCAAATATTTCAGAGGGTACTAGGACTGAAAGTCAAATATTTCCAAGGGTACTAGGAGTGAAAGTCAAATATTTCAGGGGGTACTAGGAATGAAAGTCAAATGTTTCAGAGGGTACTAAGAGTGAAAATCAAATATTTCAGAGGAGTAAAAGTCAAATATTTCAGAGGGTACTAGGACTGAAAGTCAAATATTTCAGAGGGTACTAGGACTGAAAGTCAAATATTTCCAAGGGTACTAGGAGTGAAAGTCAAATATTTCCAAGGGTACTAGGAGTGAAAGTCAAATATTTCAGGGGGTACTAGGAATGAAAGTCAAATATTTCAGAGGGTACTAGGAATGAAAGTCAAATATTTCAGAGGGTACTAGGAGTAAAAAGCACTTGGTCTAGTTCATTACAAATCTTGCACACAAATGACTGAGGACCCTCCCAAAGTCAGCACTCACATGTGCGTCTGCCACAGTCCCATCAATCTGGGCGAAACCTTCAAAGATCCTCTTGTAGATGAAGTTCTTGTGTGTGGCGTGGTCGTTGGGGGGCAGGTACCGGAGAAGCTGGGCCCCGTGCTGCTGGTACATGGACAGGATGATCCGGACGGCTGCCTCCCTGACCGTGGACGCGCTGTGACCAAGGGCTCCTGTGCAGAACTGACACACGCATAATGAAGAAAAATTAGGACTGTTGTCATACCAATTAACAATAACAAAATATTATATCTTTTGAATAGAAAAAGTCCTCAAAATGTTGCATATATCAGGAAGCTGAAACACAATTTTTGTTCTCCAATTAAAATAATTCCAATATGTCAAAACCATTTCAGGAGACTTCATCATGAAGCCAAGGGTTTACAGCGCTGTCAATAAAGTAACAAGAGGATACTTTGAGAAATTTTTTATCTAAAATATATAACGTTTTAAACTTTTTTTCTTAACTACATAATTCCACAGATCTTACATCATATATTTGATGTCTTCAGTTTGTATCTACACTGCAGAAAGTAGTAAACATAAAGACAAACCATGGAATGAGATGACATGTCCAAAATTTGGACTGTGTAAACTTCAGTTATTCAGTTATGATAAGCAAGCACTATTAATTCTTCAGGCAATTATGAAACAGCACTAAAAATAAAAGACAAAACAGGTTCAACAGATGACTAATGTCCAATGACCCAACAATGCCTCATCTAATACAGGCCACTGGATCAGTGTTGTCACTTGATGCCAGTACTGGTATAGGTGCAGCAGTTTTTTGATTTGTTTTGTTTTGGGTTTTTTTTTGTTTTTATCTCAGGTATGTCTGAAAACAAGTGTATATTTTTGGTTTATAGTGGTCTGCAAACAGTGCAGTAACTGGAACAGCTCCACTCTGCATTAGTTGATCATGTTAAACATTGTAAGACTTTGGGTAAATAGATTTTGAAAGAGTGGAGGACATAATGACGCTGGATGAACCAGTCTTTATAATCCCTGAGCACAGAGAGCTCAATCACTATGGGCCCAGAGAGGGTCCATGTACACTGGGCACAAAAGAAGTCAGGGCTACCACTTCCAGGAACCTCTGCTCCTCTGGGCGTTGCCTTGGCGACACAGCAGCAGAGAGGACTATGTTTGAACAGGAGTTGTGCTAACAGACTATTTTACTATGGCCCACAGAGTTTGATGGATCTACCATACTTTATCTGAACTATGGATGTCGCAGTGTCAAGTTTATTGTTACTGTTGTGTTTAGCATTACAGTTGTTTAAGCTGAGCTGAGACAGATCAGCTTTTAGGTAGAGTTTGCTGTGAAACTGTCAGATGCAAATTTGACCAGGTTATTGGTTCATGTCTCATTACTGGGCCTATCCACAGAAACAAACTGGTACAATGTTCAGCATTTTCTAAATAAACTAAAGTCAAATGATTTTTTCACTGTATCTTTAGAAAGTGGTGCCACTATTGAGCCCCAAAGACATGACAGTTCAAAGGACATAATATTCATACGATGAATTTTGTGGAGCCAATCCCAAACAAATAATGAGAAGGTTCAACATTTGTGCATCAGAAGTTTGGAGAGTTCTTTAAAAACAGGGAATCTCCCATAGACTTGTATTGGCCCCTGCCCTCAATTTCTGACGTGATTGCTGAGTAAAACAAGTGAAATCTGTTACTGTTGTTGTTACACTTGTGTCTAAGAAACAAGAGTGTGTTTGAGACATTCCCATAAGGCCCAAACACACTGGATGTGTATTCCGTGTGTATACAGCAGACTTTTGAGGCCTACTATTGTGTACTTATTTGGTCCGGACACTGCATGTTAATGAACATAAGAAAAAGATTTTATCCCTGGACTAGTTTCCATCCATTGTCCCTTCTTCACTTTCACAAATACACTCGAAAATTGGACACTAACTGATACAAGTATCAAAACTAGACACTCATTTTACACAGTTATACACTAAAAAAGTCACATTAACAGGACAGAAATTAACTTTCCTGAATAGGTTTAGAATGACGTTGATCTGTATCAGAACAAGTATAAGAGCACATAGACTAATATACACACGGACCACTATGAACCTACAGTACCTGGGCCACTGAGGCATTACACACATACAAGACATATGGGAATACTGAATGGAGTATTTTTTAATATCATTGTGGTATCAGAATCGAGTCTCTTCTCTTCAAGTCTATTCCTTAGTATCAAAATCAAAGATGTCCTCTTTTATTTACCTTCCATCTTATTTGACTTGCATGAATTAATCCTATTTTTACTATAGACAAGGGAGTGAGTTTCAGGCTTTAAGGAGCATTACCAGTTCAACCTGTCCTGGACCCTAGTTCATATATAAATCCGCAGTGGAACACTTTAGGGCGGATGTATTGACCATAGACTACATAAAGAAGTGGGCAAAGGGAGTGTGCAAATAGCATTTGGCTCCAGTCAAATGAAGCTCAAGAGGCTAGCAGTTATAGGAGCAAATTTTAAGCCAGGCACCATTTTAGGAATAGGAATTAATTAATGGATAAAATAGCAAAAAAACAAAACAAAACAAAACAAAACAAAAAAAACAGGATTGTTTGTACAAACATAATAAGACCTTTTTTTTTTTTTTTTTTTATTTAATAGGGACAGTGCATATTAATGAACATCTACAACACTGTAATGTAAATATGCCAGATTATAGCAAAAAGGCTCATTTCCATCTGTAGTCCCTAGTGTTAGGGTTGGGGTTAAGGTTACAGGTGACACTTACTGATAATGGGAGACTGTTCCAGAACTTAGTGCCTCTGACTGTCTGTGTGGGACCTCACAGTTCCCCCGGGCTGTGGCCCTAGTTCCCACCCCACTGACAGTCTTTATTTTAATAAAGTCTGTAATGGAGCGGGGGCAAGTCCACACAAAACTTTATATACAAAACATCCATATTTAAAATGAACCAAATTATTAAAATTAAGCAGGTTGTACTTATCTAAATTAGTGGAGTAGTGAAATGAGAATGGTTTCTTGTCCAATATTTTTACAGCTTTAAAAAAAAAAAAATTCGATGGGTTTGACTGTTGCACCAGCAGCAAGTGACCACGTGGTTCTGCAGTTCTCTATATGAGACAGAATCATGAAGTGTAAAAACATTAATTCAGAGTCATGAAGGATCTTATCTGTCTAAAATTCACAAAGTTAAAATTAACACTTTTTGTGAGGAGCTTAATGTATTTCTTAAATGTCAATGTCGGGTCCAACCTTAGAAAAAAAACTCTTTGACGAGGCTGAGTTCCACCGTGTCCAGAAAGACACTGGACTGTTGTTTTTTTTACTGCACATCATGCAGGCAGTTTTCTTTATATTGAGTTGCAAACATGAGTTCTTGACCTACTTTTAGACATGAGTCATGGCTGATGTTAACTAAAATGATGCGGCTTACAGCAGCAGTTACAGAGAGAGGGGCTACAATATTCCAAGGTAAATCAATGTGCCCCATGTTCACTTCTATTTGTAGAGTGGATTAGCTATGTCCATTTATACATTATACAATCTATGGTTTTGAGTTGGGGGAAAAGGAAAAAATAGTTGGGTTCAGAGAGACGATCTTCATTGAAGTTAGGAACAGTTTTGTTAAGTTACGGTTAAGGTTATACAGTTATAGTTGGAAAAATATTTGGGTTAGTTAAGTTAGCAGAAGTAACTTTAAAAAATGAATGTGTCTCCTACAGCCTCATCTCAACTTACACCATAAGAGAAAACAGAATATTTACATGGCAGGCCTATTCACAACAACAGAAGCTAACACACTACAGTGGCAACCAGAGCTATGTCATCACTTAACACTAACCGCATCCCACTGACCCACTGATGTGCTGCTCTGTCATATGTGTGCTAGCTCCAGGGCAGGGACAGCTCACACATCTGTTTCTCTTGTGAAGGGTGAGGGCCACAGACGAGTGTGAGAAGACTCAGTCCACACACGTTTCCCCAACATACAGCCCTGAGAGGAGGGGCAGGGCCAAGGGGACATGGGTACAGCCCTGAGAGGAGGGGCACAGCAGAGGGAAAAAATACAGCCTTGAATGGAAGGTGGAGCAGAGGGGACATACAAACACATGCATACGACCTCACAATTACCCCCACAAACACACAGACAGGGGAGGGAGGGGCCACAGTGTGGGAAAGAGCCAGGACAAACTCATCACCTCACTGAGGACAGAGAATGACAGGACTGAGTTTAAACAGGGCAATCTTCTTTAGCCACTTAGACACAAGCAGTGGTGATGATGATAGAGCTGCCAGTGTTTAGCTTGCTTTTTCAAACAACAGTGGAACAGTTAGGGGTATTTTTTGAGTACATAGTCATAAGTGGGTAGAGTAGCCAAAAAAGTAAAAATAATGTTACTTTAAAATAATATAAGTCAAGTAGTGGTCCAAGAAATAAGACTACTCAAGTAAGAGTAACTTTAGGAGTAACTGTCAGGCCGTAACATCTGATTTATAATTTGAAGTTAATTAATTTGAAGGACAAAACATTAAATTATGAACAAAATCTCGTCTTTTCAAAGAACAGACACAAAAATGAGACAAACTAAATGACATCTGAAGGAGCTCTGCAAGAAACTCAACTGTTCAGATCATTTGATATTGTCAACATAAGGTTTTAGTCACTTGTACATTCACTCAAGTAAGAGTACTGTTATGTCAATAAAAAAAAAAAAACTCAAGTAAGAGTTAATGTATGCTTCTAGATAAGTGCCCTGAAAGTACAATTTCTTAAAAAAGTAAATGTACTGGTCCATTACAGGGTTGCCAAGGCCACTTCTTTATAGTGACTTTGGGCTTCTTTTTTGGAAAGTTGCTTACAAATTTTGTCACTTGTAATTTCCAGTGCTATTTCTTGTAATTTTCAGCACTGTTTCACAATAACACACTCAGTAAACACTAAGAAATATTGATGTTAAACTTTCAATTAAAAACATGCACATCTCATTGACACACAATGTTTAACTAGTTGCTTCTATTTTACAATTATTTGCATGGGGCTGCAGTCGCTTGTTTTAAAATGATTTTCAGAGGCTTGGTTGCTTGTTGCTATCTGAAAATCTGGAAACCCTGGGCCATTGAATTCCTGTTCAAAATTGTACAACTGGTGGACTCCACCTCATTATAGTAGATACTGTAGCACAAAGCAGACTTTCATTTCGATTTAAAAATAATAATAATAATAAAAAAATAATAAGGCCTGTGTTCTCCCTCTGAGTATAACATCTATATCTATAGAGTTGTTAAGTGATAATGTCACTTCTAGATCCAACCAGAAACTTTACATCTGATTTCTATCTTCTTTTTGTTGCTTATTCATCAAACAAGAGACAAAAGTCTTTCGAAAGTGTATGTGCAACCACAAATTGTATCAAATATATAAATCATGCAGAATAACATAACAGGATTTACTGGTGTGTATATCTCACTAACTCCCCGTGAACGCTGGCTTAGCCTGGCTAAGCCTCTTACCTCAGCTTCCCTCATCCACTCTCTTAACACAGTTATAACCATAGATCCATGCTTATAAACTTCTTAGCTTAAAACAAGCTCTTTTTAATGCAAGATGTGTCACTGCTAAAAAAGCAGACATTTTAAACATGTTCACTCTTTTGAATCAGCTGATGGACCCGAAAGTGACATCACACCTAACAACTATACTGTATATCTGTATCTGTATCTGTATCTGTATCTGTATAATAACAGTATCAGTATCAGTATCAGTATCAGTATCTGTATATGTATACATATACATATATGTATACATATACATATATGTACTATATGTACAGTTTATGTATCTGTATATATATATATATATATGTATCTGTACAGTATATGTATATATTCAGAGTGCAGAAAAGTGGAGCTCTCACAGTCATCACATTGTCCAGGGTGAAGCCGGAGCCATGTGTGCCCAGGGCAGACAGCAGCTGTTCCAGCAGCTCCACCCGACTCTGGGCCATACGAGCAGGGATTGTGGAGGAGAGCACCTTCACCAGCTCACAAGGCACCCACTGCAGAGCGCGCACGTCCTTCAGCATGGCTATCTCCTATACAACACAAACACAAGCACAACTGACATTATGGTGGACCTATGGTAAATATTTATCCTAGTTTACAGCAGTCAAGTGGCAAATTTGAAGAAAAGTAAAAACTAAAAATCCAGGAAGCAGAGTTATATGTGACCTAGGTCATCAATGCACAAAATTTCATCCAAAGGATTTTTTTTTTTTTTATTTATACAAAATGAAAACATTTTTCTGACTAATTAAACAAACTAAAGGTATTATCATATATGTCAAATCAGAACTTTACATGAATTACATTAGCTTTTGTCCTGAGGGCTATTACTCTCCTCAAACTGCCCTAATATAGATCTGATTCTTTTATTATTATTATTATTACTATTATTATCATTATTATTATTATTATTGTTGTTGTTGTATTTTACTGCTCAATGTGCAAACTACAAATTAAGTGACAAATTAAGTGAGATTGATTGGTAGAACGATTGTTTACAGGATGGTTGCTAGGTAACCGTTAAGGAATTATTGCTGCCCATGTCCAACCAGGAAGTAAAATTATAAACATAATCAAACTGACAAACTAGTGAAAATAAAATGTTCAACAAACTCTTCAGTACAAATCATGTATCATGTGAAATTGGTAGCCTCACTGACCTGTTGTATGCGCTGCAAGAGGTACCTGTACAATTAAACCATGACTAACTGTGAGCCCAGCAGGAGCGCACCTGTACAGAGGAGAGAGCAGAGAGGCGCAGGTGGCTGCAGGCATCCCAGGTGCGGGGCAGCAGGAGGGGCCAGGTCTGCTCCAGACAGTAGGTGACCTCTGCTCTCCCAAGACCAGCGCCAGGAATGAGCTCACTGAGCAGGAGGAGCAGCAGCCGAAGGGAGCACTGGAACACCTACAGCAAAACATGAAAGGAGAGAGCAACATGAAGTCTAAGGGCCTGTTTACATGAGAAAGCTTGTGGGTAAAAATGACAAAATATTTTATTGGAAGTGCCTTTCGTTTAGATGGTGACGGCGTTTTTGTGGCTTAAAAATGTAAAAATCTGAAGGCACCCTCCAGAGTGGAAAAGTTGAATACACTCTGTCGTAGCATTTCCGTGTATACTGCCCAAGACGCAAAACTCTGGTCAGATCTGCTCATGTTGCATATGCATTTACGTCACATACATACAGGTGTACTGTATGTATGTACAAACATGTCGGATCATTTCCATGCGTCGGACCTTCAAGCTGAGCAGAGATACTATTAGTGAACAGAGAAGGATCTGCAATCACCTCTGTCAAATTCTGGATGTACCAGACCATCGCACGCGAGCCAGATGGCATGCATACCAGATGGATTATCACAGATTTTGCATCACTGTATGCATGCAGATTTTCTCCCGAAAATGCTTGTTTAAACACGGAATAAAATGTGAAAACGCGACACCACTTTTGAGTCTTCTGTTCAGACCGTCATCATATAAACGTCGTCTAAGCCAACGGTTCTCAAACTGTGGTAAAGGAAGACAGACAGGAAGTAGTGGTGCGTAATGTTAATATTTATGTTTTGATATGTTTGTATTGTGATTTTTTCATGTCTTTCTTCTTCTGTAAATCATGTTGAATTACTTTGTGTACAAATAAACTTGAGTTCTAAAAATCCCTCTACCTACTGTATGTCATCAACACACAACATTACATACAAAATGCACAGACAATTTACACACAAGAAAGACATTTTTCAGACAATTCAGACATGAATTTATCCATTTATCTAATTTAATGAGTTTTGAACATTGTTTATAGCGTGGTTGCTAGGTAACAGTTATGGGATTACCTCTATATACAGTATGTCATATTTGCTGCCCATTCCAGCCATGTCTATAAAATTATACATTTCCCCAAAACTGTCAAACTAGGAAAACCACTGAACAGATTAAAACATTCAACAATATTTTGGATAAAAAACAACAGCTGAAACACTATTTATTGTTGTGAATTGGCCTAGTAGATTATCCATCCATCCATCCATCCATTTTCGTCCGCTTATCCGGGGCCGGGTCGCGGGGGGAGCAGTCTAAGCAGGGACTGCCAGACTTCCTTCACCCCAGACACGTCCTCCAGCTCCTCCGGGGGGACCCCGAGGCGTTCCCAGGCCAGCCGAGAGACATAGTCCCTCCAGCGTGTCCTGGGTCTTCCCCGGGGCCTCCTCCCGGCGGGACATGCCCGGAACACCTCCCGAGGGAGGCGCCCAGGAGGCATCCGGAACAGATGCCTGAGCCACCTCAACTGGCTCCTCTCGACGTGGAGGAGCAGCGGCTCTACTCCGAGCTCCTCCCGTGTGACTGAGCTCCTCACCCTATCTCTAAGGGAGTGCCCAGCCACCCTGCGGAGGAAACTCATTTCGAGCGCTTGTATCCGCGATCTCGTCCTTTCGGTCACTACCCAGAGCTCATGACCATAGGTGAGAGTAGGAACGAAGACTGACCAGTAAATCGAGAGCTTCGCCTTTCGACTCAGCTCCCTCTTCACCACAACGGTCCGATACAGCGACCGCATCACTGCCAAAGCTGCACTGATCCGCCTGTCAATCTCACGTTCCGTCCTTCCCTCACTCGTGAACAAGACCCCGAGATACTTGAACTCCTCCACTTGAGGCAAAGACTCCCCACCCACCCGGAGAGGGCAAGCCACCTTTTTCCGGTCGAGAACCATGGCCTCGGACTTGGAAGAGCTGATCTTCATCCCAGCCGCTTCACACTCGGCTGCAAACCGCCCCAGTGCACATTGCAGGTCCTGGTTCGATGAAGCCAACAGGACAACATCGTCCGCAAACAGCAGAGATGAAATCCTGTGGTCCCCAAACCGGACCCCCTCCGGCCCCTGACTGCGCCTAGAAATTCTGTCCATAAATACAATGAACAGAACCGGTGACAAAGGGCAGCCCTGGCGGAGTCCAACATGCACCGGGAACAGGTCTGACTTACTGCCGGCAATGCGAACACAGCTCCTGCTCCGGTCATACAGGGACCGGACAACCCTTACCGGGAAGGCTGAGAAGTGTGATCCCCCTATAGTTGGAACACACCCTCCGGTCCCCCTTCTTATACAGAGGGACCACCACCCCGGTTTGCCAGTCCAGAGGTACTGTCCCCGACCGCCACACGATGTTGAAGAGGCGTGTCAGCCAAGACAGCCCCACAACATCCAGAGACTTCAGGTACTCAGGACGGATCTCATCCAACCCCGGAGCCTTGCCACCAAGGAGCTTGCCAACCACCTCAGTGACTTCGGCCAGGGTGATGGATGAGTCCGCCTCCGAGTCCCCAGCCTCGGCCTCCTCCTCGGAGGACGTGACGGTGGGATTGAGGAGATCCTCAAAGTATTCCTTCCACCGCCGGACAACGTCCCCAGTCGAGGTCAACAGCACTCCCCCCGCACTGTAAACAGTGTTGGTGAAGAACTGCTTTCCCCTCCTGAGGCGCCGGACGGTTTGCCAGAATCTCTTTGAGGCCGTCCGATAGTCCTTCTCCATGGCCTCCCCGAACTCCTCCCAGCTCCGAGTTTTTGCCTCCGCCGCGACCACACGGGCTGCAGCACGCTTGGCCCGCCGGTACCTGTCAGCTGCCTCAGGAGTCCCCCGAGCCAGCAAGGCCCGATAGGACTCCTTCTTCAGCTTGACAGCATCCCTTACTTCCGGTGTCCACCACCGGGTTCTGGGGTTGCCGCCGCGACAGGCACCACAGACCTTACGCCCACAGCTCCGAGCAGCTGCATTGACAATAGAGGCCGAGAATGAAGCCCACTCGGACTCCATATCTCCAGCCTCCCCCGGAATCCGGGAGAAGTCCTCCCGGAGGTGCGAGTTGAAAGTCCCTCTGACAGAAGGCTCCGCCAGACGTTCCCAACAGACCCTCACTACACGCTTGGGCCTGCCAGGTCTTTCCGGCTTCCTCCTCTGCCAGCGAACCCAACTCACGACCAGGTGGTGATCAGTTGACAGCTCAGCCCCTCTCTTCACCCGAGTGTCCAAGACACGCGGCCGGAGATCAGATGACACGACGACAAAGTCGATCATCGACCTCCGGCCTAGGGTGTCCTGGTGCCACGTGCACTTATGGACACCCTTGTGTTCGAACATGGTGTTCGTTATGGACAAACTGTGACTAGCACAGAAGTCCAATAACAAAACACCACTCGGGTTCAGATCGGAGAGGCCGTTCCTCCCAATCACCCCTCTCCAAGTGTCACTGTCGTTGCCCACGTGGGCGTTGAAGTCCCCCAGGAGAACAACGGAGTCCCCGGTCGGTGCACTGTCTAGTACCCCTCCCAAGGACTCCAAGAAGGCCGGGTACTCTGCACTGCTGTTCGGCCCGTAGGCCGACACCACAGTGAGAGACCTGTCCCCGACCCGAAGGCGCAGGGACGCGACCCTCTCGTTCACCGGGGTGAACTCCAACACACAGCAACTGAGCTGTGGGGCGATGAGCAGGCCCACACCAGCCCGCCGCCGCTCCCCGCGGCCAACGCCAGAGAAATGGAGAGTCCAGCCCCTCTCAAGGAGTTGGGTTCCAGAGCCCAAACTGTGCGTGGAGGTGAGGCCGACTATATCCAGGCCTGGCTCCAGGGTGAGGCCCCGGTGACGCCAATCCGGGCGACGTAACTGGCCTTGCTCGTACACTCATCATAGGGGCTTCTGAACCGTTCTTCGTCTGACCCGTCCCCCCCGGACCTGTTTGCCTTGGGTGACCCTACCAGGGGCATGAAGCCCCCGACAACATAGCTCCCGGGATCATTCGGGCACTCAAACCCCTCCACCACGATAAGGTGATTTAGAAACAGTTTAGTACACTTAAGGCGGTACTTGTACTTGTAAATCTGGACATTTATCGAGGTGGTGATGGGTGCAAAAAAGTGGGACTAAACATCTAAACTCTGCCCACAATTACATTTCAAATAGAGCTGATAAACTGGACATTACTTGGAAAACTAAACAGGAGAGTAATCTGGGTAGTCTTTTGTAATGTCACCAGCTACCTGAACATGCAGAGGCTTCTGAAGGCAGCACAAACATACAGTAGATTCAAGCATTTTTGACCAGAAAGCTGCACTGTACCCATTTTGCACCAAAGTTGCCAAAAAAAACAAACAAACAAACAAACAAACAAACAAACAAAAAAAGACTAAGAACAGTGAATAATCCCACAAATTTGTGAAAAAAAATGACATTTGGTGTTTAGTTCCACTTTAAATAATCCCTGGTCTACACTGGTTTACAATTCTATCTACTTCGTCTAGCAGTGAGGATTTCGGTGCAAACCTCAACAGACAAGCCCAAAAGTGTTGTCAAGTCTTTAATTAATTAAGGAATGCAGGTTCAACTTGAACCAGGAAAAACCAGGAAAATAGACACATGGCTCAACTCAGCTTGAAGACTTTCTCCAAAATATCCATATGAACACCATAACTCTCCACATTTATACTGAGAATAGGTAAATCACTTTTCCTTTCCCCAGTCTCTTCAGCCTCCAAGACTGATGTTTGGACTTCATTTTTCCCATATTTTGACCACAGGATTGCTTGCACAGTCTCTCAAACAATTGTGGGTCTTAATCTTTTAATTCATCACATAGTATTGCAGCCAGGTAATGGTCATGTGATTCAAAAAGTTCTGTGAGTCATTCAGACAGTTTATTGAATTCATCCAGTAACTCTTCTTACACCGTACTGTCCAAGTCTCTTGTGACCAGGTTATCTTGTCTTGTGAAGAGGCTTTTTACAATAGTGTGCTCTTTTTTGAGCTGTTTGATTGACTTGTCTTCAGCCATGTTTCCTCTTGTGTCCTCTTTAGCACTTGGAGTAAGTTTTTACTTTTTTCACTTTGTGCTTGCATGCTCGGGTTTCGACTGTCAAGTCTTCAATTAAGGAATACAGGTAAACTTGAAAAAATAGCAAAACAGACACAAGGCTCAATTCAGCTTGAAGACTTTTACTGAAATTGTTCAGTTTCTTCAGCAGTAGTAGTAGTAGTATTTGTATTAGTAGTAGTAGCTGTAGCAGAAGGAATAGCAGTAGCAGAAGTAGCAGTAGGTTAAATTTACATGAGTTGTTTAATCTATTTGAATTTTAATGAATATTATTTATTTATTTATTTGAGACAGGGACAGCGCACAATTTTTACATTAACCTTTTTTACAGGAGAGATGCATTGTACATCAGGTTATAGCACCAGTGCTAATTTCCACCTGTCGTCCCTGGGCAGATTCATTGATTGATTGTGTTTAACTGACCTTAACTATCAACTGTTCTTGGAGACCTATGGAGCATGTTTTGGGATGATGGGGGAAACCGGAGCACCCGGAGGAAACCCATCCAGACATGGGGAGAAACACGCAAACTCCACACAGAAAGGCCCTGGTGACCCGGGGATCGAACCTGAACTTTCTTGCTGTGAGGCATGAGTGGTAGCCACTCAGCCACCCTGCCTCGAATATACTTATAACATATTTTTTATACAATTTTAAATGACTAGTTATATGAAATAAATGTAATATTTATTTTGTTAGTTTTTAATTGCTAAATAAAATACACTTTTTAAAAATGAGTGCTACTTTAACTTAACAGTGTTTACCATAAATCAGATTATATTTAAATAATCAAATGCCAGTTATCAATCAAATGATTCAATTATTCAATTTAGCTTTATTTACATTTTAAGAACTTGAATTGAATTAATTTTTTAGGCTATTTTTTTAAGTTAAATTGGGACATTTCATAAGATAAATCAGCCAGTTACATTTAAATCTAACTAAGGCTTCTCATTGTGCTACTTAAATTAAACAGAATATTAATTTTACATATAAATTAAGACAGATTATTTTTACATGGGTTTTTACTGTTTTAACTAAACTTGTTTGGTTCCTATCACATTCCTGGTTTGGTTTGTGTCTGTGCACCTGGGCGTAGTTAAATGTGCAGAGACACACCGGCTAACCTGGATTTTCTGCCACCATCTACTGGCCACACTAAGAATAACCTAATCAACTAATAAAAAAGGGGAGGAGAGGTGAATGGGCTCAGGAGTGGAGGTGAAGACTAGAAGCAGCCTAATGAAACAGTTAGTACAACAACGTGGCAACAAAAATACACTCTGTGCGATTCTTACAGCACGTGTGGCTTGAGTTGGCTGGAGCGTTGGGAGAGGCTGGGGCTGCCCATGTTTGTTTACCTAGCGCTCGGAGGCAGAGGCCCAGGCAGAGCAGGAGCCGGGCAGCTAAAAGGAGCCTCTGTGTGGTTTACCGTTAGCTGAGGAGCGCGCAAACACAAACATTCATGTGAAAAAGTACACGCTCGAGCTTTTCTCACATATTTGCAATTAGTCCAGTGAAAAGTGTGTCATTACTGCGTGCAGATTTACAAGTGACTACTACAACCAGGCTAATCAAAAATGCAGTAAGATTGTTGGTCATTCCATAAACTTGAATTCATGCCATATTGTGTTATTAATACTAGAACCAACTGAACAACATTTCCATGGAAACAAGCAAGAGGAGTGTGTCCTTCAAGTCAAGGAAGGTTTGTGGAGATACAAGCCCGCTCCGTGTAAGGACTAATGTTTTTATGTGCAGCAAGAGTGGAAAGTAACGAATGACATTTACTCACGTTACTGTAATTGAGTAGTAATTTGTAATTTTTAAAGTAGTTTTTGAAATACATTATTTTACTTTTACTTGAGTACATTTGAGTATTTTACTTCATACACTGAAAACCACCCTCGTAACTGAGTAAAATCAGATTGATAGAGAAAAAAAAAAAAATGAAATGCGAAAATAAAAAGAAAACAATCTGCCGGAAATGAAAGGAAACTGCGAGGGCTCTGCTATTCAAGAAGGTGCATTGAATAATTCTCGAGAGGAAAGCGAAGAAAACCTCGGACAGATATTTGAGTTCAAATGCAAAACAGGGAATAACATAATAATGCAGGTGTTAAAATAGTAAGTATTAGTGAGCTCAGATGTATTTAAAATGTACAAAGTTTGCACTGAAGAAAATTTGTCTGTATCACCTAAAAGTTGATTAAAACAACTTGTGCGGGATTAGATTTATGACTCAACTAAGTCACTCAAATTACATTTTAAATTAAGTACTTTTTAACTTTTAGTACATTTTTAGATGGTTGCTTTTACTTTTACTTGAGTAGGAATTAAATAAAGCAAAGATACATTTACTTAATTTAAAATATTCAGTACTTTTTCCACTTTTAATGTGCAATAATGGGAAGGCACATTCAAGTTTTTTTTTACATTTCATAAGAAGAAAGAAAAAAGTCAAAGCCAGAAAAACTTTCACAACTTCACAACAAAAAAGTCTAAATCAGAATATCCACTTTTTGTGTGATACTTAAAGCAGACATATTGTGCTTGTCTGCTCTATAGTCTATGACATCTGTCTTACATGTTATTAGAATTTGGAGGTTTATTTTTAAAAAATACTGATCTAAAACAACTTTTAAAAAAAACAAGCAATGTCCAGTAAGGAATTAGAAGCTCCTTACAGTACACTGCTGTATGCTGTCTGCCCCGAGTATGAATAACTGCACATCACACATGTGAGCAGCAGATTACTTTTTTGGGTTTGTGCCAGAATGACTATGTGACGCTGCTAAATCCTACGTGTATCACCGATTAAGAAAATTTAAATGGAGAAAGAAGTGCGTATGTCACAGTGGAGCACTGAGAAGAGAATAAAGAAGAAACATGCACGAATCTCTCCAAATACAACTCCAGAGGGAAACAGCTAAAACATGGTTGCACAATATATCACCTTTCAACTTCAGCCTATAGACAAGGACAGGCATGGTAAGCACATTCATTTATGTGTCGCAGATCGCCCCCTGTAGGTGGAGTGTGTCCTCCTCCTCCCCATGACCCCCGTGCAACTCACAGAGAAGACTTTGTCCTGTAGGCTCCTCTTGAGCAGAAGCACGGCGGCACGGACCATCCCCCTGAGCTCGTCCTTGGTCCCAGAGCCAGAGGCCTCCCTCAGCTTCTGCTGCACGATCCCCAGCGCATCCTCCCGGTACGACCACGTCTTAGAGAAGGCCGCACGCACCTGCACAACAATGAAGACAGGGATTTCATCTGAGAAATGTCATTATTATACTGTGCGCTGTGTTGAAATGTAACTGTTTATATGGAGGACAGGGGTCTTAGTAAATCCATAATGTGCATTTAAAGAGTGATGGGGTATTAACTGCTAACACAGAACATATTTAGATCACCATGTTCCTTTTATTGTTTTGAAGATGATATACTTGCCTAAAACAACATATGAACATGTTTTATTAACATGTTTTATTAAGGAGTCCCTCTCCCTTTGCCCCTACACAAAGTCACTCCCCCCAACACAATCAGCGTGCATCTGCTACTGAAACTACTGTGCATTTTGCATTGCATCACGTTTGAGAAGTTGCTGTGTGATGTTTTGTATGTGTTTTTATGTGTCATGTCTTTGTATATTATGGAGAACTGTCATGTGGAAGCATGAGTGATGTAGGCTTGAGGATGGAGCTCACCATAATAAGGGTTTGAATAAGGCCCAGGAGAGATCACTAAATATTAAAAAAAACAACAACATGGAGGATTTCTGCAGAATCAATGCATGAAGCACTAAATTGACGTGAGGACGGAGAAATGTGATTTTCTTTGTAAATTCATGGCTTGCCATGAGAACGCTTGCGGGTAAAAAGTGCCTTTCGTTTAGACGGTGACGGCATTTTTGGGGCTTAAAAACGAAAAAAATCTGAAAGCACCCTCCACTGTCCAAGACGCAAAACTCTGGTCAGATGTGCTCAGGTCACGTACACGTTTACATCACATACATACAGTATGTAAAAACAAATCTGATTGGACGGCCGTGTTTGAGCCTGACTCAAGAGGCAACAGAGGGAGTGAGGACCAGACTGATAGCTCTCTAAATAACCCAGCTCCAATGTGAAGCCTGACAAACACTTCCACAGAGTGAACAGATGTCATTATATTGTGTGATGTTCATGGAATGTGCTCTAAATACTATCCCCTGCCCTCCATGTGAGATTTAGGCCCGGTCAGACAGAACAACGTACAGTGGTTTCCCCAAAGACCTCGAGTGCAGCTCCGGCCTCTCGCTGGGCCTTCTCGGTCAGTGGCTCTGGTTCTCCTCTGATAACGGCTGCCTCAGGGGTGTTGTGCTCCTCCGCTGGGCTCATCGTGCTCTCAACTGGCCTGTCCCTCCTCTCCAGAGCAGGTAACGGTCTCTCATCATAAGGCACGGTCGGAACCTCAAACTGCAGAACAAAACATATCACACACAAGAGCCATTTTCAAAAGAGACCAAGACTGGAGCGGCACTAGAGGGTTCTGTTTCAGACATGCTTGTGAGTTTGGTCTGTTACAATAAATACCATATCCACTTATCGTTCAGTACATGACAGATGGAACAATTATTATTGGGGGTGAGCATTTATTGCGAAGACTGTTTCTTTGCACTAGTAAGAAAATGGTGGTTATTTTTCTGTACTACAATGACATATGAGCTGTAGAGGGTTGAATTATGAATCACTGAGATACAGTAAAGTGTTTCATTGTGCGCCTTGTTTATTGCAGCTTATGTTTTTTTGAACATACTGCACATTTAGAAATCTTTTTGCTTTACAGTTTGGTTTCAGTATTATCATTTATCTTCTTTATTTACTTCAGCAATATATTGCACTTCAAAATGTGTTATAGTGACTGGCCGATTTATGAGCTCCTGTGTGGCGCACAGGGCCACAACAGACCTTTAGTAGTTTGTATCTATGTCTAGAAGTCTAGAGCTACAAAAAACTAAACACATTCACTAGTCTAGTGCAAAGAAAAAATGACAGTTGTTGAGAGGGTGAGAACCATGTGCAAGCACATGTGCCTGGTTCTGTCCCAAATGTTTCTTTGTTATGGATGCTACATTACGTGCTACATATACTACTTTATTGTGAAGCATCTTTGTGTTTGTTTGTGAAAAGTGTTTTTATTATTATTATTATTATTATTACCGTGAGAGAATAGACTAGTGAGTGAACAGTTCCACCTGAACCATGTTCCTCTCACTGGGCCACACACAGAACAAAGCCTTCGTCATGTTTGAATATGAAAAAAATACCAGCAGAGAGTGCAGTAAAAAGGGAAGAACTTTGAAAAGAAGAGGGATCATTATATAGCTGCATAATATAGATCCTTTAAATATTTAAAACAACAGAATAATGGATCTAAGCACAATAGGTCTGTATCAGTTTAAAAAGTGATTGTCCCTGGTTTAGTCTCAGGTAGGCACAGTTCCTGGCATAGTCCCTGGCACAGTCCCTGTGCTGTGGGATGCTCAGGCAGGCGTCTGGACCTGACAGGCTGGCAGCCGCCAAACTCAGCCAACTGTAGCCTACTTTAATTAAGAGAGAAACCTGAGAGTGGAGCTGGAGGAGGAGGAGGGCTCCAGGAAGAGGGAGGCTCCAGGAGGAGGAGGAAAGGCTCCAGGCAACACAGGCTGGACACATGCAGTCAGGGTGTGGGAGAAAGAGCCCAGAACAGGCCATTCAGGTGCCAGGCCTGCTCCAGTGTGCATATGGATGTTATGCATGTTTGAGCCACATGAGTCTTGCTCCAGTACACATATACTGTATAAGCAGCTCTTAGCAAGTCCTCTGTGTACTGTCTGTGATTAATTAAAAACAGTTTTAGTGTCAGATAATCAGAAAGTGCACATTAGCATTGTTGTTAGCTTTACCATGATGGCAACCTCGGCTCTGGTCTCTGAGAACTGTGAAAAGCTCTTATAAATAATAAACTCAGGGTGGTGAATAATAAGGATGCTCAGAATGCAGAAGGTAAGTGAGGAAGAACTTAGGGCCACTGCAAACAGTTTTTTTTTCTTTACATTTTTAAAGACCCTAATCCTACTTCACCCTTTGGATTTGTCAAAAAATATATTTGTATATACATTTTTTGGTATAGAGTATGCATCATACTGAGTAATTATTATGTACACTAAAAGCAATGACATTTGTAATAAATACTGCAATTAAAAATGTTCTAATGATAAACACCTTGACATGCATCTAAAGTTAAAGCTAAGAGAAAATATATCAGTTTAAAATCAGTCAATGTAAAAAGTAGATTTCAAACAATAGTGAGTAATCCTAAATTGAACCTTACATTGAGTGAGCTGGGTCTGCTGGCTGGGCTGCTCTGTGTCAGGTCCTCTGGGCTCAGGTGGGTTTCGGGGTTAGATCTCCGGCTCTTGTGCTCCGTGTTCGTGGAGTCTGTGGACAGGGTGGGCTTGGGCAGGTCAGGAGACAGGTCTGGAGAGGGCAGGGAGCAGGGGGAGCACTCGGACACTGAGGTGGAGACCTGAGACAGCACACGCCAAGAGGAAACAGCATCAAACCGAGGAACCGAGGAACCTACAGAACAGCACCAATTCCACCAAGCTTGCCTGGAAATCTAGAATAATATCTCTCTGTATTGTTGAGTCTGGAATTTTTCAGACATCCAAGTCCCTATAATCCTACAGTCTGTCTTTATAATCCCAGAGTCTGTATTTAGTCCCCCTTTTAGTGACAGTGGCTGAAAGTGGGTGTAAGCAGAGGTGACAGAGCAGCCAAAAATTGTACTCAAGTAGAGCAACGTTCCTTAAATGACACTACTACACAAAATCTGGTTTATAATTTGAAGTTAATATCACTTGAATCTGGTATTTTCAAAAAACAGACACAAAAAAGAGACAAACTAAATCGTGCATGTAGGAAAACAAACCCTTGATCTGAAAAAATAACTTAATAACATAAACTAATTCATACCTGAAGGAACGGTCCAAACTACAGGATTAGACAGGAGATTTCGTCAAAAAACACTGCATTTGTGATTTGATAATTGCATTACGTTTGAGAGGAGACTGAAATATGAACTTCAGGAGCTATCTAATTAAGTGCAGCCTTTGCGATTTCCTAATTGCGGCAACTGAAACTGCGATTTCGATTTGACAGACACATATAGTGCAGCCCTTGTTCCTACAGTGTTGCTACGGCGTGGCCCTCACCGGTGTGTGCTCTAGCAGCTGGTGCGCCTCCAGCTGGCGGTACACGATGCTGCGGTAGTGCTCCATCTGCTGCCTCTTGTCCTCAGCCTGCTCGTAGTCCTCCTTCTCCAGAGCATAGCGCTTCTCTACGGCCAGCCGGGCCAGACGCTCACCCACCTGCAGTGTTGGGAAGGTTACTTTAAAAATGTATTCTCCTGCAGATTACAGATTACATACCCCAAAATGTAGTTTGTAACGGAATCCATTAAATTACATAAGGTGAGTAACGTAATCTGAACACTTTGGATAACTTGATTTGCTGTAGAGAAGCAAAGACTAGGATATTTTCACATAAGTATGTTTTGTTCTGCTAAAAGAAAATGAAAAGGCCGAGTCTTTACTTAACCAGATTAAAAATATTATTGATAAAAGAAGAGGAGACACGGTCCGCACAGCATGGTTTAGTCCTGTTAAATCCTGTTTGAGACATAGTTTAGACCTGGGTTTAGTCCTGGTTTAGTCCTGGTTTAGACCTGGTTTAGACCTGGTTTAGTCCTGATTTAGTCCTGATTTAGACCTGGTTTAGACCTGGTTTAGTCCTGGTTTAGTCCTGGTTTAGACCTGGTTTAGACCTGGTTTAGTCCTGGTTTAGTCCTGGTTTAGACCTGGATTTAGATCTGGTTTAGACTTGGTTTTAGACCTGGTTTAGTCCTGGTTTGGTTCTGGGTTTAGACCTAGTTTTGACCTGGTTTTAGACCTGATTTAGTGTCCGGCAATGAGTGGAATTACTGAAAAAAAAAAAGAAAAAAAAAAAAGGGATATAGCCCAAAATGAGAAAACAGGAAAATACCTCTGTGTAATCCATTCATTTCAACAAAGTAACTGTAATCTATTTACCAGTCACTTAAACAGTAACTGTAACCGAATACAGTTACTCATAATTTGTACTCTGATTACGTAACGCCGGTACATGTAATCTGTTACTCCCCAACACTGTCCACCTGACAGGGACCACACAGCATGCACATCATCACACCACGCTTCATTTTGACCACTAAAAGATTTGTGTAAGTGCAGGCCTGGGCAAAATGATGATACAGATCGAACCGTGATCTCATCCATGTGTCACGCTGGGGCAGGGTGACCAGATTTTCAAAATAAAAAACTGGGATATCCCCGTTCTTTTGGCAGTTGGTGATAATAAAATTGCGAAACGAGTGCGTAATTAAGGCAATATGTTATGCAGAGACCATTCATGACTTACAAGTGAGGCAGTATAGTCACATTTTCTTTGTGTTTTGGTCATTTTTAAGCAGCTTTTTTGTATTTTACCTAAATAAATAACAATTCATGAATCTTTTAACTGTTGGCAGTGATCAAATTGGTCAAAAATAGGTACACCTGGGACATTTCTTGTATAAAACTGGGACAAATCAATGGTTTTTGGATAAATCAGCTGGGACAAGGGACACAGGGCTCAAAACTGGGACTGTCCTGGGTAAATAGGGACGTCTGGTCACCCTACGCTGACGGTACTGCACGTATGGTGGAATGTTCAGCAGTTTCCATGGTGAAAAACACACTCAAAAAAGTTTTCAGAGAGTGTGAAAACGGATTTAAACAACACATTTTCCATTTAGGTGTAATATAATGTATATAATGTTGAAAATCACAAATCAGTTCCTGTTGTAATTCAAACTACCATATTTTTCGGACTTTAAGTGGCACTTTTATCACGGTTTGGGTGTTTCCTGTGACTTATACTTATAAATGACTTATACTTATACATTTTCACACTGACATCCACAAGAGCTCTAGGCTTGTGTGTCAGTATCTGCTACTACTGTACCACTGTCACTTCACTCTCCTGCAGAAAAAGCCACTGTCCTGCTGCAAGTAGTGAAATATGCAGCCAAAAACAGTAATCGAGCAGCAGAAAGAAAGTTTGGACCTGTGAGGGACTGGCGGAAAGCGGGGATGGAGAACACAGCTTCATGGCAACCGTGCACGTGCGCCATGGAACTTTCCTGGAAGTCACTGGATGGATTGACAAAGCCTGAACTTCAGTGACACTGAAACCATCCTGTCGGGATTCAGAAAGGCCGAAATAATTCTAACTGGAACTGATGCTGAGTCTGACGACAGGTACACAAAAGAAAAAGCGGCGCTCTGTTTACCTCATGGATCTGTGGTTTTTCTCCAGATGTTGCGCAGAAGTGACACCGAGGAAGAAGACTTAAATGTATTTAGTGATTTGGAGTGAGATGGAGAGTTTGGTAAACTTGTTCTGTTGTTTATGCTATAGTTATCTGAATAACTATTTATATGTTACGTTAACACATTAACGCCTATTCAGTCTGTTGTTCTCTGTTCTGTTGTTATTACTAGAACTTGCCTTTCAAGATAAAATGTCGACTTATACTCCAGGGTGACTTATAGTCCGAAAAATTCGGTAAATTTATGTTCAGATTGATAAAACCTCTCCGACAGCCCTTTTCACCACAAACTAATAAAAGAATATTGTTTAGTCAGGTTATATGCAGTTATCATTTGAATTGGTAGGTTTACGCCGATATATAATGTAAAATGTCTGAAAAATTTAAAAGAAAGCTCATTGTGTTAGATTAGAAGAGGGGCGTGGGGTTAAAAAAAGTTTTCTTCTTCCCACTCCTTTTTGGGCCAGTTTTTTAATTTTTTGTTGTTGTTATTTCTGCTATGATTTCATTAATGTTATATGTTCCATTGTAAAAGACTGCAAATTTCTTACTTGCCCAAAATAAACACATAAAAAAAAATCTAAAATGGCATCAACATCTCTAAGATATGATTCAAAATTGTACTGGAACTATTGACAACAACGGTTCCACGCTGCTATTCTGACATGACGCTATTTAGACACTGACGTCTAATCGTCAGAGTAGCGGCATACACATTATATTTTTCAAGCTTCCCACTACTTTGACATTTTATTTAGTAGCGGCACTTTACTATTTTTCAAACATTCTGCTTTTTCGACATGAATAATATTAATGTGATAGCCTATTATACTTTGTGCTCCCATATCATAAGATGCTTGGGCTCTCATCGAAAACAGAGGCTGCATGGGCCCTTTGTACTTCATTCATTTCGTCATGTAGGCGATCTGTGGAGAATATGACGTGTCCAAATGGCGATATTAAAAAGTATTGGAAAGCGGGCATGTATAAATAGAGGCATGTCGTAATGAATGGATGTCATAGTAGGTAACGGACAGCTACAATTAGAGAAATGAGGTCCTGTGACACAATAAATTAATAATCAGCAATTCACAGAAACTACATTTTAGCTGACATGTTTTGCCACTTAAAATTATTACTGTTGTCAATAGATGCATTAAGAATCTTGGACTTCCGGTCATTGCGCAATGCATATTGGGAAGGATTTTCCAAAAAGCTGATCATCAAACCGACATGTTTGTTTTCCCAGTGGGATGCGTCTATTGACAAAACCCGTCTTTTCTAGTCTTCAGAACCATATCACTTTTGTTTCTGGTTCTGATATTATAATATTTTACTTTTGGGATTCAGACATCATAATTGTGTGGTTGTTGGATGTCCTAACAGTGGAAAATGGCTCGAGAAATTGGCTTTGAAAGTTTGCGAACTCCATAAATGCAAAAGGGAATCAGATGTGTGTGACTGCAAACCTCCATTCAAACTGTTTCCCTTCCCAACGGAATTGAAAAATAGTGAAAGGCGAAGGCGATGAGCAGGATTGATCCACAGGAAGGACCAAAAAGGAAACCTTCGACTGCCTAAATCATCCCGAGTTTGCAGCAAACATTTTGTATGTGGAGCGCCAACAAAGCAAAATCCCGTTTGTTAAGCGAGAGGTGCAGAAGACAAACAGACTGAGCTCTCATTTTCTTGTTCTTGTAACTTTACAGCAACATCATGTCTTGGTCGCTTTGCAGTGGAAGGCGTTTCTTGGCGAACAGCTGGTGCCTTTCGCTTTGGCGTTTACTTTTTAAATTCATAACCAAGGCTGAGGGATCGGGGTGTTGCTATGATGGCGCTCCACATACAAACTGTTCGCTGCAAACTCGGGATGATTTAGGCAGTCAAAGGTTTCCTTTTTCGTCTCTCCTGTGTAACAACACTGCCCATCGCCTTCTCCTTTCACTATTTTTCAATTCTGCTGGAAGTAAAACAGTTTGAACAGAGGTTTGCAGTCACACACATCTGATTCCCTTTTGTATTTATGAAGCTCGCAAACAAATTTCTCGAGCCGTTTTCCGCTGTTAGGATCCAACAACCACACAATTAACGATGTCTGAATCCCAAAACTAAAATGTGACAATATCAGAACCAGAAACAAAAGTGATATGGTTCAAAAGACTAAAAAACAAACATGTCGGTTTGATGCTCACTTTTTTGGAAAATCCTTCCCAGTATGCATTGCGCCATGACCGAAGTCTGAAATTCATAATGCAAGTATTCATCTCACAGCTTTAGTTATATATATATAGAGCATACACAGAAATGAAAATAGGCCACTGTAATAAGGACATTGAATGTGGCGTGCTGAGAGCTGTGAGTTTCTTATCGTAAATGAGGTCATGTGCACAGTCACAGGTGAGGCAAAGCTGACAAAGTGTTGCCACAGAGACACTGCGACCTGCACACACTTCCCACACCCGTATTAACAATTGATGGTGAGCGTGGAAACAGTATCCACAGGAGGTGAGCACAATCTGACCCATGACTCACTGTTTCACACTGGTTTATAGTGACACCAGAGCCTGCACAGGCATCCACGTCAGTGTCAATTATGGCCTTCACGGATGATTTCAGACATTCTATAGAGTTCTTTGGTCTTGGTAAAAGAAATTATCTGACTTGCACACACTGTGACACACCACATCAACAACTGGACAAAACTTGGACAACATCTGGACTAAACCAGGACTAAACTAGGATTAGAACAGGACCAAACCCATTCTACATTAGGGCTAAAATATGCTGAAACAGGACAAGTACTTTTAAGAAATGACAAAGGAGAAATTCAATTTGTCAACTGTACAAACATTTATTTTGTTTGAAAATGTTTCGCAGCTCATCCAAGTTGCTTCTTCAGTTCTGGTCAGATGCTGGTGGACACTGCCTTATGTCTGCCTGAAGAGAGGAGCTAACTACACTGAAGCTACTCTGAAACTAATGCACCAACTTGTTTACAGTTTCTGTTTGTGCTGCTCTACTGTGTGGGGTCATATTAGTAGAATCATTCAGGCCGCTGATGGGGGCTTTCACACCTCTGGCCCTGACTTGATGATACTTGCATACAGGAAGTAATACCAGCTGATATATGACACATCACCATTAACACCAGAGACAGTTCTGGAGATGGCCTGTTGCTAGAAGTCGAAACATGTCAGCAAAGTAAATACACTTTACTGTATTGTCTTTAAAAAGAACCCAAGAAATTAAAGTACATAAGAAGACAAAATGATCATCTTTGGCTTGATCCCTGTTGCTTTCTTTGTTTTAGGTCTGAGGATGGAGTTGTAGATGGGAGACAGATGATGTCTGAGGCCTCCATTTCTGTTCAAGGAAGGACTGTCTTTCCTAACAAAAATAGCCTCTTTAACTCCCCTCACAAAATTATTTATTTATTTATTTTGCACGTATAACATAAAAAAAAAAACACTAGATAAAAAGTAGGTGCCAGAAGAGGCAAAAAACCCCAAAAGGGCATATTAAAGCCTCCACCTTATGAATACATTAAAAATTGAACATTATTGCATTATTGCATTAAAAACAAACAAACAAAAAAAACAAACACATTGGATTAAATTAATTTGATTCAAACATGGATTAAAATGAAACATCCACAACTGAAAGAATATCAGACATTACCCTGAAATATCAAACATTTCCTCAAAGTCTTTTTAAACAACGTCTCTGATCTGCCATCACTAACCAGATGTGAAAACTGGCTCCACAATTTACAGCCTCTGTGTCGTCAAAACTGAGCTCTTGATGTGACACATTTTGGAACACGAAAATTACAATTTTGACGAGTTTTGTATCTATGAATCTCTGTATTGATTTTAAAGTAAAATGTGAAATGTTTGGGGATTATTGTTGAATTATAAAGAATTTTATACATAAAAATACAAATTTGATAAATATTAATCTCATAAATATTAAGAATGTTAAGTTTGATGAATAAATGAGCAGACGATGTTAGTGGCATGGAATGAGTTGCAAATCGAACAAAACGTTTTTGCACCAATAATAATTTGTTTAGAGTAGTAGAGAAAGTGCAGCCCAGACAATCTTACAGTATGACAGATAGGGATAAATTAAACTATAATATAATGTTAAGTATAGATTTTGAGTCCACAATTTTACAAACTTTTATAATACCAAGAGATTTATTATTTTTTCTGGTCACCCAAATGGTTTGAGAGAGGAGTTAAAGAGGCTATTTTTGTTACGAAAGTTTCTACCTGGATGACTGAGGAATTCTCCACACATACTAAAAATAAAAATAAGTACAAGTTTGGTTTTCTTTTGTACAACAACTCACTCAACAGATAACTTTATGTCCTGTCCATCATCACATCATTGTTGCACTGTCTCTCGTATAAAGCTGTGATTTTATATTTTATTACTTATTTTTCTATTTCATTTTGACTTGAAAATATACATTTATATAACTGCGTCTTATGTCACACCTATCTCTTGCTCTTTTTTGCTACTTAGTTAGAATTTATTATTACCATTTATATTTTTTACTCTGTTATTATATTATATTGTGATGTGTGAGCTCCTGTGTCCAAATCATTTCCATTGTGGATCAATAAAGTTTATAAACCTAAGTCTAAAGATCATAAACATGACCTGAAGTGAATCCCAGACACAAGCTAAACTCAAATCAAATCTAACTTTTACAGATAATAATTATAATGCTCATTTGATTCTCAAGACGGTCATCCAGAATAAGCCTCACAGATGGTTTAAACCTAAAATGTCTCTCTCTGATCTGAATGATCACTACCTAAACCTCAGCACATTGGTAACCTTTTTTTTTTTTTTTACTGTAAGAGGGCAGGCTTCATACAGTTCCTTTATCTCATGCAAAATCAACTTTTCAGAGCTTTGTATATATTTTAAGAGTGATGTGTGGGCCTTGTAAATGTTGCCGAAGTGGTTTTTAGATTGATTCAAAGTTTTTTAAAAAAAAAACTAATTTCAGCGTATTTCTGCCACCCTCCCACATGACAACAAACTAAAGCCTGCTACAATGATGACGCAGCAGCTACACCTATGACGCACTTGACGTAGCAGTAAGCGCTTTGCACCCGCCCCCCTACATACAGTGCGTATTTGGCTGCGATGGCAAGTCGAAATTATTTAGCATGCTGACAGAAGAAGCGAGGCGTGCTAAGTGGCTGGAGTTTATTTCTGGGAACACAGACAAAAAGGTCCCCAAGAATATTTTTGTTTGCGAGCGACACTTCACCGAAGACGCTTCGAGTATTTTAAAACTGGACTTACAACGAAGCAGAAGCGACACTTTGGAAAAGGATCCTGTTCCCACGATACCAGGGTCCAGTGATGGCGATCCTACATTTGTAAATTTACCACTAGTAAACCGCTGAAGAGAACTAAAAACAAACTGCAGCGTTTATTTTTGAAGATTATCCGACATATAATTTAAATCTGCAGGTCATCTCCTATGTTATACCTGTTTTAGTTTGACAAATGTTACGTAGTCCCACGATATTACAATGATACTAACAACAGACTTAGGGCATCATTTTATTCTAGTGAGTTGCCTTCAATGCCTCTGCACGAGAACAGAATGACGATTACACCTGAGTCATTACGACCACTGATGTTTTGTGGTCACCTGTACAGATTATGATGACCTCATTTGATCGAACATATTATAGGATTCAAATTTGCCCAATTATGTCTTCTGTCTCCCCCCTCCCTCCCTGAGATGGGTGGAGGAAGGGCGGCTCACTCAGAGCTACGTCAGGTGTGTCCAAACTTTTTTCATCAAGGGCCACATATCTAAACACAGATGAAGCAGAGGGCCGATCGAGGGCCGTAGACTGGGGCTCAGTACAGGGAAATAATTGAAATATTACATGTTTAACACGTTAGAATGAGCCATCAGTCTTCATTCACGCTAAGATCCTTAAAACCACAAACTAAATATTAAATATGAGTTTTATCAAGGTAGATTTTCAAAAACTTGCAGTAAAAAAAATATTTTTAAATGATGCAAGGTAATTTGGGCCAATTCACCTGGAAGCTTGAGGGCCAAGAAAAATGTGTCTGAGGGCCACATTTGGCCCCCGGGCTATAGTTTGGACATGCCTGGCCTACGTCATGTTTGGAGGGCGGAGCCTGTGCTTTCTCAGGACGGGCGGGGGGATGAGCAATAGTCGGCCTTTCATAGTTCCTGGTCTGTGACTGTCTCCAAGAAATCAGTAAGATTTCAGAACTATTGTGTAATGGATGCTCCAAACCCCAAATTGTGCTTATATATGTGCAGAAGATACAATGTGAAAAGAGTTATTTTGCATGAGATGGGCCCTTTAAGTCTTGAGAATTTGAATGGGACAAGTAGAGCTGAATGAATGGAATCCCTGCTCATTCACACTAAGACAAACACCGCAGTATCCCCCATTGTGAGCCTGTGTTTACTGTGTCACATTCATCTCCATTAAACACCCTTTACGTTCAGGTGCTCCACACAGCTCCTCACAGCTCCTCACAGCTCCTCACAGCTCCTCACAGCTCCTCACAGCTCCTCACAGTTCCTCACAGCTCCTCACAGCTCCTCACAGTTCCTCACAGCTCCTCACAGCTCCTCACAGCTCCTCACTCCTTGTCACATACCTTGTGCAGGTCGGCCAGTGCCTGCTTCAGAAGTCGGGCCTTCTCAAACTTCTCGTGGTGCACCATCTCCTGCTTCCTCTGGTCCAGGAGGCGGATAAGCTGGGCCACCTCAGGGTCCTGGTACATGTCGAAGGCGAGATCGTCCAGCGGGCAGAAGGACTCACATTTACTACACACACAGAGAGAGAGAGAGAGAGAGATTATGGGAGAAACTACTACCCTAACCTGAACATAAAGACATAGTGATAGTGGCTGTGGATGGGACATAAAGTAATTGTGGTGAGTCTGATGATACATACATATCATGATTTGCTTGTCATAATTCAGTTTATCATGATATATCCCGATACTAAAACAATGGATGATATATTGTGATTTATCAATAATTACCTCTAATAATATGGTCACTACATCTTCAAGAGAACACAGTTGTATGAAATATAATTTATATATATTTTTTAATCATGAGAACAGTGAATGTAACGAATGAATTTTTGTGAAAAATATTATTTAAAAAAAATCGATTCGGATCCATTTTGAATCAGTTCGAGATTTATACAATGAAGTATCACGATATATCACTGAATTGATTTTTTTCTTATACCCCTAGTGGTGATGTCATTTTTAAAAGATAGTGGTAATAGATAATAGAGGAGGTGTTCCGGGAGGTGTTGCGGGCATGTCCGAAAAGAAGGAGGCCCCAGGGAAGACCCAGGACACGCTGGATGGACTATGTCTCTGGGCTGGCCTGGGAACGCCTTGGGGTCCCCCTAGAGGAGCTGGAGGAAGTGTCTGGGGTGAAGGAAGTCTGGGAGTCCCTGCTTAGACTGCTGCCCCCACGACCTAACCCTGGATAAGTGGAAGAAAATGGATGGATGGATAATACTACTGTTTTTAAGTGTTTTTAAGAAAACTATCAACCAGAGTTTGGACACACCTTATTTTTCAGTGTATTTATTTTTTATGTTTACTACTTTCTACATTTCATACACAAACATCACATAAATTATGTAAGATATACTATAGAATTATGTAAGATATAGTTTGGAATTATGCATGCATATTATGTGAAATAACTCAACTAAATATTTTTTTTTAATATATATTTTTTTAAATCCACCCTTTGCTTTGTCAACAGTGCCGCAAACCCTTGGCCCTCTCTCAGTGAGCTTCTTGTCTCCTGAAATAGTTTTCACTTCACAGCTATGCCATGTCAGGGTCAAAAATTTCCAAAAGTGCCAATCAGTGACTATTAAAAAATAAAATAAAATCTTAAATCTAAAACAAATTTTGAGTTATTTCGCGTTTATTTTTTGTTTACTACATTCCACATGTGTCATTCATAGTTGTGATACCTTCGAATAATTCCTACAATATTGGGACATCTACCTTCCTATAAGTCCTTGTTCAGCATTCATTCTTACTTAAGTCCAGACGTAAATAAAAGATCCAAAGTGCTTGATATAGTTACTTCTAAAAGTGCTTGCAAATATTAAAGGTTTTGTAATATAAAGTATGTACAAAATAACACAAACTCCCCTTTATTGTCTTTATCAGTTCTTTGCAAGGTGCACAGTGTCACTTCCTGGTGGTGGGTCTGCCATCTGCTTGTTTCTAGGATGTTACTGTTTAGCCTGGAATGTTTCAAACAGTGGTATGTGTACCACTGTTGGTATCTCTCTTCAGTTTGTGAGTTAATTCAGTATCACTTTATCCACATTTTTTATCCTTGTTTGGGTAATTTCTTGGTTAGAACTATGTTGGCCATGATGTAGTCAAGTTTAACCCAGTATAGCCCTGTATTTCCCCAGGGATAGTCCCATTATAGAACTGGTTTAGACCCAGGAAGCCAAATATTTGACATTGATGGTGCTCGTGTGAAAAGTTTGAGAGCTGTTCTATGGCGTAAAAGTATCCTTTTCCACGAAAGAAAGCAACTGAGAAGATTACATGTTTTTCAAGGTATATTTGAGCGATAAAAGCATCTGTTACTGAACAAAGCTATACTGTGGAACATTTCAGGGAAACCAGAACATCTCATTGGAGACAAATCGACCCAGCAGAGAAGTTACACTGTGCATCTTTAAACGGTTCGGTGACTGGTATATTAGTGGGATTAATATGAACAACATAAACAGAATCTTGGAGCTTAACTTGCGGTGCGACAGTTTTGGGGGTAAAAACAGCACATTTGGAAACGTGCCACTGGTGCTCTTGTTATGGGGTGACCTGAGATGCTCTGTTGGTTTGCTTCCAGACCAAACGGCGTTGTTGGACGGTGCTGTGGTCACAAGATCCAGAGAGAGGGTTCAATGGCCCAGGCTCACCCCATGTAGGTCGCGTCCAGGGCTGCCTCCTGCTGCCCGCTGCCGAGGTACTGCTCCATCAGCTGCTCGCGGCTGGACTGAGGGCACACAGATGGACAACCCCACAGCCGTCAATACAAGAACCACAAGGGACCCAAAGCACACAGTATTCATATGTATAATTACTGTTCATAGCATCTCAAATGATACTTTGCAGCTGATGTCGGCCACATTCTCTGGGCATGTGATGTAGGTATATAAATGTAGACACTGCTCTGTCTGAAGTTCTGTTACTTACGTTAGACTTGAGACTTTATTTGAATACAGACTGACCAGAAAGAGATGACTTAGATGGAACTACAACAACTGATTTGTACTAAACAAGTCTAGTACACATAAAATTACAGTCACAGCATCAGCCAACAGTTTTTCAGTTAGTCACTCTCACATTTTAGTTGAAATTTTTTATATAAATTTGAATTATAAATTTCCCCAAAGTTGTCAAGCTAGGAACATGTAAAAAAAAAAAAAAACTTAAACTCTTAAATATAATTACGTTTTACATGAGTATGTTTTAATGAAATGTGTATCCTGTGTTGTTGTGAAGTTGGCATGCATGAATTCCTGCTGTTTTGTATTCATATTTGATGAATACAAAACATACTTAAGTTGATGTTATCAACATTCTCTGGGGTCAGGATCCTACCTGAAGGTACTACACATTTGGAAGCTCTGTTGAGCTAGACTATTTTTTACACAATCTGCCCATAAAGAACAGATTTAACTGGAACTGATCTGGAGCTGGAACAGGTGAGCAAGTCATCTTTTGGTAGAAAATCAAACTCCTAACAGGACATTGTACACTCGTATTGATCACAGGCTCCTGAACATGTGCTGTTTAAATCCATTTTGTATTTTTTCAGAGTTTTCAAACTATCTTAAAACTTTTTTGTGCCTGTGTTTGCTAATGTGTGTCACCATGGTGACTGCTGAACATTCTACCAGAGAGTTACATGTAGAACACCCTCAGTGTGATGCCACTGCAATGTATCAATAAAGTCAAACAATAGAACATTTGGGAATAGCTTTACACTGATCTCATGCAGTATCAGAACAAGTATATTAAGTATTTAAAATGTTATTATTTTATATTCTGCTTGTTCTGGATTCAATGTTTAAGCTAAACTATTATTAAACATTTATTTTAATAATATTTCATATTTTGAAAAAAGAGAAAACATGCAGATGTTCTTGAAATTTTCAATAAATATTTACTTTGGCCCACAACTTCATCTCAGTTTTTCATTTTGGCCCTCTGTGAATTTGAGTTTGACTCCCCTGGAGCATTATGGAACCGACCTGGACCACTGAGGATTACACACATACAAGAGTGCATAGGAATAGAAAAGAAAGTACAACCATTTAATATTGAAAATTACAGAGAAGGAGAGTTTTATAATGATCAGTATTGAGTATCCAGTCTATTCCTGAGTCTTGAAATTAAGTTGGACATTTCAGTAACATGACAGCACACCTGAAGACATTGATAAATATAAAGCCATCTGCTTTATATGGAAATATGTCACAAAGAAAACATGTTAAAGAACTCTACATGTTTTATTTTTTAGATCTACATTGAGAACATTTATGGAGTAAGAAAGCTGTCAAAAATATTTGTGCACATAAAATAGAAATCCGTGCGTATTTGGGAAATCCGTGCATATTTGGCTATAGTTGCGCATAAAATAAATATTTGTAAACTCTCAAATAAGTCCAGTCGTACAAAAAATATATTGTGAGTATTTTATCCATCAGAATACGAATTGAAAAATTACGACGTCATGAATTACAATCACGAAATGAAAATTTACGATTACGCTTTCAACTTTATGAATACGAATTCACAGACAGAACTTTACTGTCAAAAATACGTCATCACTTCACAGACATTATTCATTGAGCAGAAGAAACATCGATCAAGATCAAGACTGCGCAGCTCAAGTGTGTAGCAGAGGGTAAAAACAGAGTAATAGCACAAGAAGCTACAACAGCGACCAACAAGTGGGTTAATTAAAATCTATTGTAAAAATGTCTTGAATTCGGGAACCGAACGCTGCTGTGTAATATTGTGTAGAAACACCTCCTTTGAACGGGAAATTGCACCTATATGTTAGCTAACATAGTGGAGCCAGTTGACTAACATCCGACGTAACGTTATCCCAGGGCTAATTAACAAATATCAGGTTCTCTGTATGTTTAGATTAAAACATTCACGACTACAGCCACAGCGAGCATCAGTCAGTCTTCACTTCAGCTGCATTTCTCGCATGAAATGCCACCAAAAGTTCCTCGGGACGCTGAAATGTCCCAGTTTACACCAAACACCAAACTGTCCTGGTTACAGACGTCACAGCTAATGAAATGTTACACATTACAGTTTAATGCAGCTTCCAGCATCAATTAATGTTCGTGTTTACAGGCAACACCTTGGTATGTTTACAGTATTTACCGGTAAGTATAACGTCACCGTGACGTGGATGGATTTGCTCATTATAACCCATTATAACTCATGTATAACCCATTGTCTGAAATGCAGCTGAGATGAAGACTGGCTGATGCACGATCGGACTAAGTCTGTGCGAACAGGAGCAAATAATGTCACCTTGAAATTAGGCGAAATTCTCACTGAAATTTGCGGCTTTGCCGCACGTAAACCGTGACAATTATCAAAATAAATCAGCTAACTTTAGATGTTCCACTTGTCTAGATGATGTACGGTGATTTTCAGCCCTGTGGGTGAAGCGCCTTCAGAGGAGTTCGTTCAAACACAACGTCAGCGAAAACGCGGACTCAAATTTCAATCCAAGATGGCCGCCTTCTGGTTTGTCAGGGGGCGTGGCCATAATAATATTTTTTGTTTGTCTTCACATGGCAAATGTGTGTACCGAATTTCGTGGCTCTACAACAAAGTTGACGTCGGGACGTCTCCCATAGGGGCAAAATTTTTGAATTTTCCAGGTGGCGCTGTGTCGCCATTTTTTTATGCCCGTGTACGAAATCTATATTTTATCGAATTTTTCGCCACTTCTGAATATTGTGCCAAGTTTGGTGAGTTTTTGAACGTGTTTAGGGGGTCAAATTAGACCTCAAAGAGCAAGAATATTTTTAGCAAAAACAATATATCAGAAAACATTAGAACAACATATTATACATTTTTTGAAAGCTCTCGACCTTCCCCACGTCACTGTGGGGTCATTGCTGAGTGACGGGCACTGATGCACTCCTCATTCGCCATCTCGTCGAGGTCACCCATGGCCTTCCATTGACTTCCATTCATTTTAGCAGTAGTAAATATGAGCCAGGCCTTGGGCGTGGGTTACTGGGATACTGCTGTTCGTGCCGGGGGCGACCGTGGACATAGTTGCATGTCGTCTTGTCGCATTTGGACATGCGCACGTCGCTCCCCATTCGCTCCGCTTAGCGGAAGCAATAGGCCCTACGCCCTGTCGGGGCTCGGGCCTAATAAAAAGAAAAAACATGAAATTAAAATCCAAACTTTTGACTAGTAGTGTAAGGAGACCATTATTTTATATTTGACACTTTGGTCCTGCTAGTTATTCTCCATTTGTGGATCATGACGTTATCATTTGGAGATTTTGAACAATATTGATCTAAAACAACTTAATAAAAGAAACAGGAGTGTTGACTTCAACGTCATGTCCAATGGAGCTGACGTCACCGTAAACGTCATGACAACAAAGCCCCGCATGCTGTGGGCCTCTCCTGTGGAGAGCTGCACATCACACTAGAGCAAAGCTTTTTTTTTTACATTTGGTCCAAAATGACTTTGCGACGCTGCCCAATCCTACGTGTATCACTGATTCAGAAAATATCACTGGAGAATTAAGTAAGTGTTTCACAGTGGACGTGTACCCAAAGTGGTGAAAGCGGGGGCAGATGAGAGATGAGAGTTGATCGGCAAAATGGTATGTTGAAAACAAGTGATTCATTAATCAAACATGAACAAACCACTCCAAATACAACTTCAGAGAGTAAATAAACAACTCTAACGGGGTTACAAGCTCTGAATAGTCCATTTTACAGAATAAGTCTGCTTGAATAATAAAAGTGAGTTCAGGGACTTCCTGTTGGAAAGTGCAGAGCTGATTGTGGAAGTGAACACAGAGGCGTGTGGGTGTTTTTCCTCCTGCTATAGTTCACTTTGACATAATCAGAGTTAAGCCCTGCACAGGAGCTGTGGGTAAGCGGAGCCCGCTCCTTACCTTTGGATGAACCTGCCCTGTAATCACATATACTCCTGTCTCTATACACTCTGTACTACCAACTTGCACTAGTAGTACACCCTACTACACTTGTACTTGTACTCACAGGACCACAGACCACTACTACTACCATGTACTTGTACTCGAGTAGTAACAGGACCACAGACCACTACTACTACCATGTACTTGTACTCGAGTAGTAACAGAACACAGACCACTCCTACTACCATGTACTTGTACTCGAGTAGTAACAGGACCACAGACCACTCCTACTACCATGTACTTGTACTCGAGTAGTAACAGGAACACAGACCACTCCTACTACCATGTACTTGTACTCGAGTAGTAACAGGAAAGCAGAGACCAGTACTACCACCACGTACTTGTACTCAAGTAGTAACAGGAACACAGACCACTACCACCACGTACTTGTACTTGAGTATTAAGAAGAATGCAGAGACCACTATCACGTACTTATACTCGAGTAGTAACAGGAACACACAGAGACCACTACCACCAGGTATTTGACTGATATTTACAAATATGTATCTTTACTACAGACCAAATGTATGTTAAACTATAGTGAAGTTTACAAATTAAGCTGAATTTATAACAGAAAATATGTATTTGTAAAACAGATATAAATTAATATTTTCACTCATGTGTTTGCTCAAAAAGACAAATCTAATGCACTGAGGACAAATGTACAGAGACCACTACTCACCAGTTACTTGTACTGGAGTCGTACTGCTTCTTATTTTTTTGCTACTTCTTCAGACTTTATTATTACCATTTCTATTTTTGCTCTTTGTTAT